GGATTGTGCCCATCATTGGTACCGTGCCATTCGGGCTTGGGATTATTGGTATCTACATGCCCATTCAGGCGCACGCCATTGACTGCTATCCCGGATATGCAGTATTTGTTAATGCTACTATAACAGCTGTACGAGCCTTGTTTAAGGCATTACTGCTACTGGCCGGACCTAAGTTTGCCAGCTTGGGCCTGTGATGGTGAAACTCCTTACTTGGATTCTTAGGTATGGTGTTTGTCCCAGTTCCTATCCTCTTTAACAGGTATGGGAAAGCTATCCGAGAAAAGTTCCCCGCAGACCTGGACGGATAGCGAGCATGGCGTAAAATCTCCAGCTTGCAAATAGTATTATCTGAAGTTATATCCCAAGAGGTCGCTGTAGAAGAATGACCAGGGGGATTTTGTAATGACCCGGACTAGATTAGTAATGCAACGCATCATGCCACGTGGTAACAAATGGAATTCACATCCTGATAGAGGTGCTGATAGTATACCATTTATTATCGTGACTTGACGTGTGTAGACCCAGATACCAACAAACAGGTCCAATAATTAAGGTCTCTTAGAAAAGGCGACTAACTGCCAGGCGTGTCATGTTTTCAATTCTCAGAAAGCAAGCTTTACTTGTGGTGGTCATGGTGATCCTTCAAGATGAACATCGACCAGTATAGACGACTCCTTCCAGAGTGTAATGTTTATATCTCTTACGATTCTGCCTTATCTAGGCCCCGTGCCCATGGCGGTCATCAAGATGAGCGAAACTTGGTTTCGCAATGACTCTTGAAGCCATCCCGGCAGTCCCCGGATCAAAGAAGTCCACCACAAGTTCTCGGGCACAAGGATCTGTGCACCAAAACCAGAATATACCTGGTCGCAAATCTTGTCAGCCACAACTTCAGCTGGTGTGACAGTGTCCTTCAACTTCCCATTTGCGACCATCTCTGCTGTCATGGCTGTCCTAATCCACGAGGGATGTACAACACTTTGATTTGTCAGAAGATATTCGTATCAATAATCAAGAGGATTTGACTTACCTGGTACGAACGCGTGGGGCTTTGTAGATATATCTCAGCTCCTGGCCAAGGCCTTCGTGGAAAGCCAGTAGGCCGACTTTCGTAGAGCCATAGGCCACATTCGTCGCTTGCGCCACAAAGGATGCCTGACTAGCGAGGTTGACAATATGACCGTGGTCTCGCTTGATCATGCTGGGGAGGAACTGCTTGGTGAGCAGGTAGGGGGCCAGGAGGTTTACATTAAAGATGTTCTTGAAGTAAGACTCTGGCAATTCTAGTATAGGTTTCAAATCTGCGAATCCGGCATTGTTGATCAGAACGGTCGGGTTGCCGTGGTCTGCTCTGATCTGATCTGCAACCGAAACTATAGCCTCTGAATCCGTGAGGTCAATCTTGTAGAAGTATGTATTTGGGGCTAAAGAAGGTCAGATACTTGTTGGCATTACATCTCTTGCGGCGCAATGAATGCCATCATGACTTGACAGGACTTACCCAACTTGGTAGCGGGAGGAATCCGATCCAGGATCAAGACCTTGACACCTTTTTCAGCAAACCTTGAGACTATGGCAGCCCCAATTCCATTGCTTCCTCCAGTGACAACCACAATTTCGCGGCTCCAATCCCATGAAGGGTCGCTGACATGGTTGTTGACCTTCCTCTTGGTATACCAAGCATTCAAGTATCCTAACGACTTGAGGGCAAGGAGGACTCCAGCAGTGACTTGAAACTTTGGGTTTTTAGCCAGGTCAATGACTTTCGACAGGATCTGTTGTTGTTGATACATGACCACCGATGACGATAATAAGCGCTATCTTTCTTAGTAAAGAGACAACCCTGGTTCGATTTTAATATAAAGAGAACAAAGGAACTACGCAAGGAGTTAAGCGATATTTTACAAGAGAACCAATTTATATAGGTATACATCATCGGAAGCTGGGCACTTGATGATCAAACCCGAAACGCTCCACTCTTGCCTCGCTTGCGTTATGCCACCTTGATTTTTTCGAGGAATGGTAAGCTACAGATGAGGTACAGCGATTCCGGATAGGCTTTGGTATAACATAAAGTATTTACTTTGTCGCTGTTGTCTAGTTCTGTCTTGGACTGAGACTCTAGTGCATTTCTCCGCAGTGACAGATTTGACTTTGTGGGGCTGTGCCGAGGGTATGCCGAGGGACTACCTCCGACTTTAGGGACTTCTCGTCGACTGTGACAGTAGGGACACTATAGCTTTGGCAAAGTCAACCTTGCATTATGGCAGCACCAAGCTACCCAGTCAGTTGCTCGATAGCCAGGGTGGATCCGCATGGCTTAGAACCTGCAGCAGCTCCCGATTCGTTACTATAGCATAAGGGGTCTTTACTTGTGAAGTTTGATTGTTTGTACCCTTGGTCTGAATCATGTAGGGGGGAAGGCTGCACTGACAGTTAAGCAGTCAGTAATTATGGTACAGTCGGACTCAGCCCCGTAGTTTCTTTAGGTTGATCAATTATTACTTTAATCTCTGGACTATGTGCTCCAGGTTCCATTGATCTTCTTACATCTTTATCTCCGACATAACTCTATTGCAAGCATCTCGCTATGTGCAGGCCCATCTTCTAGGTCATCTTGATAGGTTACATGGTTAATACCCATCAGGCTCTAGACCTGCCCAACCAGTCGCCATTTCCCAGTGCTCAGCCCAGCAACTCGAACGATGGCACACCGGGGGAAACTCTCCAGGTAAGCATCATTCAACTCAACCTCTGATAAGGTCGATGGAACCTCATTTTTTTAGGTGCATTACTAATCTTTCTCGTGTTCCCCATTTCTTCAAATATGCCATCTTGAATGCACCCCTGCCCAATTTGCATATTCCAGTCTTGGAATCAAAGTATGCCCACTTGCAACCCTTCTTCCGATTACACCTTAGACCGCAATCTCTATCGTTAGCGACAACCTGGCCTTTTTTCTCTAGGTTTCGTGTAGCATAAAATGTACACTCGTATATATAGTGACGCGTGCCGATCTTGTTTGGGCCCCCAATGCATTTAAACTCGGGCTTGTGCTGTTTCTTTTTTGAATTTTTACAATTTCTGTTGCACTCGTTGATTGCATCGGTTTTGTCGCTTTCACATTGGTTGACCTTGGTTGTGCAATTTCTGTTGCACTCGTTGATTGCATTGGTTTTGTCCCTATCACACTGGTCGACCTTGGTTGTGCAATTTCTGTTGCACTCGTTGATTGCATCGGTTTTGTCCCTTTCACATTGGTTGACCTTGGTTGTGCAAGCCTCGGTATCCTTTTGGCGATCTGCTTCGCAGATTTTGAGCTTGTCATTGCACTCATTGATATCTGTGGCGTTGTCTGGATTTTCGACCAATGTAAGCGAGACGTGTTTACGCTGCGGATTCACGGTAAGGTTCTCGTCGAGGAGATAATTGCATTGCCCGCTCCTGCCTTTTCCTGGGGGCGTCTGCCAGCGGACACCAACGCATGGCCCGTTTTCATGGCACTTTCGAGCGCATTCTTCTAAACTCGATGTATAATTGGCGACTTCGCGAACGTGATATTGATAGTCGCAGCGAACTCGGTATTGTTTTTTGTCGAAAAGAAGAACCTTTCCGTGAGACAATGGGCAACAAGCTTCATACGTTCCCGTGGTGTTACAGGATTGAGCGACTGCCAGGGCAGATAACGCGACAACACAGGCCAGATAGACGAGGTAAGAGGGGCAAAACATATTTTCTTAGTTACAAAGTAAATGGACAAACGATGCTTGTTGGTCGATATCCGGGTAGGTTTATTGTTGTTCTCTCTGGAATTGGACCCCTTCAGTGCACCAGGAGATATAACTAACCACCAGTAACTCTATGGCCCGACCAAGGAGCGCCAAGACGAGCAGCTGGCTACTTTGGGTCGATAGGTTGCATCCGGACTTGCGGAAATGGCGGTGTTGTCTATACGGCTGCTCAGCCAGCCACTTTATCTCAGCTCGGACGGGACTGGTACTTGCAGGGTTGTTGTGCGTGTATATCTGCAGGCTGCACCGAATGTCACATCATATTATGTGGCACGGGACAGTGTGCACAGATACTTGTCGATTTCTTACCTATTTCGGCCAAATGCACTATCACCTCCAACACTACATACCTAGACAGTAGTTTTTATTTTACCGACTCGTCGCTTTGCAGCTGCAAAGCGTCGTATTCGGTTGGTGTTCAATCATCATGTGAATAATTGACTGGGTATTATCAGCTCCCGTCGTGCAGGAAGCTAAGCTCCTTCTCGTCTGTATGCAGCAGATAGCGCATTATAGCGAGCAGGGGATGGTTCTGTGATTGTCTTTTCTCGTGAGCAAGAACTTTGGTTCAGGTATTGGTAAATTCATCGAGGCGCCGCGGGCGTTCTTGCAATCGAATGAGGGGCTGGCTTTTCGCACAGCGAGTCTTGTCCAGTAGGATCACGGCTCGGTAAAACATGGTTCCGGGGGGGGCCTGACTTCGTACACAAGCTCTTGATTACTTTGGATGCAGTCGCGTCCAAGCCCTTAAAGCCAACCACGTCTTGATGCTCAGACATACTCAACCTCATTTTCTTCTTTCTATCCCCAACTCTCGAGTCCCAGCATGGCGAACCCCACTCTCCGAGTCATTCTTTTGGCTCTGTTTGTTTGTCTTGTTTGCTCTCAAGACGCCCCGAACCAACAGCCCCTATCACCTTCACCCCAAAACCCTGTTGGCTCAACCCCGGGTAATACCTTTTGCAATGGCCCTTGTGTCCAAGTGTCCCTAGATGACATTACCCCATCCTACGATGCCCAAAGTAAAGTTAAATGTTGTCCTACGGGCACATTCTTTGACGGCACTACCTGTGTCTCTAAACCGTCAACTGTGTGCCCACCCGATACATCCCTCCAGGGCGGATCTTGTATCTCCAACCAGAAGCCAACGTGCCCAGCTGGTACAGTTCTCCAGGCGGAGAAATGTGTTTCTACCACCGAGCCCGGTTGCTTATCAGGAGCTCGATTCGACGGCTGCAACTGTATCTCTACCCAAATTCCCTCCTGCAGTGCAGGATTTGACTTTAATGGCGTCGCTTGCGTCTCTACACAGTCTTTGGTTTGTCCAGCAGGATATACCGTGGTCGGGAACCTCTGTGCGCATAACTTGCCCCCGACCTGCCCGCTCGGGGAGAAATTAGAAAAAGGGTCTTGCATCCATTCGACCCCACCTTCTTGCCCAGCTTCGACGACCCTTGAGGATGGCCTATGTGTCAAGAAGCAGGCTCCATCATGTGCAGCTGGCTTTGTGTTCGATCAAGGGAGCAAGAGCTGCACCCACCAAGAGAAACCCACCTGTCCCACTGGCTCAATATTCAGTGGGCGCGTTTGCATCTCGGATAAGCAACCCAAGTGCAAGGAAGGCGAATTTAAAGAGGGTGCTTGTCAAAGCCTGGATGAGCCGCTCTGTGTTTACGGCGCGAGCCTCATGGACAATATTTGTGCGAAACCATTTGTCTGCAGTGATGGGTTGGTGAAATCTCGGGACCCCAAGACAGGCAGTGAGTATTGCTGTCCGGCAAACATGGGGTGGGATGAAGCCACGAAACGATGTTTGCTACCTGCCAAAGACTCTACAGCTTGTCCAGCCGGAAGTACTTTTCAGGGTGCACAATGTGTATTTACACCTGGGGAGGTGGAGTGTGAGCCCGACTTCACCTTCAATGGACATGCCTGTGCACATCGCGATTCACCTTCCTGTCCAGATAAAACTACTTTCTCAAACCGAGCTTGTGTTTTTACTGAGAAGCCTTCATGCGACGAGGGAACATTCGACGGATCAGCCTGTGTCATGCCTCAGAAACCCAGCTGCTCAGGCAAATCTGTCTTGTCAGGGGACACCTGCGTGTCTATGGAGTCGCCAGCCTGCCCTGACCAGATGATTCTCCGTCCGCGCGGGGACGTGTGCATCTCCACGAGCTCTCCTACATGCCCTTCAGGATCGGTGTCAGATGGCGGCAATCTCTGCCTCACAACCAGCACTCCCGTGTGCACTGCAGGAACACTGAGAGATGGCAAGTGTATTGCCAGCACAGGTCCAACTTGTTTAGACAATACCATCTTCGATGGCAAGTATTGTGTTTCTCAGAGCCCCCCAGGCTGTGAGCAGGGCTTCACTTTCAACGGAACTGCGTGTGTCTCGCACGGCCTCCCTGCTTGCCCTGGAGGTGCCATCTTTGACGGAAAGGCTTGCCTCCACAGCGAGGCTCCTAAATGTCCCTCGAACACTCACCTCCAGGGGGACAAGTGTGTCAGCCAATCAGGTCCCAGGTGTCCTGACGGTTATGTTTACTCACCGCAGGGATGTATCTCAGGGAAGCTCCCAGAGTGTCCAAGCGATCTACACTTGGAAGGGGAAAACTGCATTTCCAGCAATAAACCAACATGTATTGCTGGTACACAGCTTGTCAACGGCTCCTGTGTTTCTATCGATGGTCCAAATTGTCCTACTGGTAGCCAATTGCGGCCCGAAGGATGCGTCACCGTTACTGTCCCATCCTGTCCCTACGGCTCGAGTCTTGAGGATAACAAGTGCGTCTCCAACGATAGACCCAAGTGTACTCTTCCTCTAGTCGTGTTGGGCGACAAGTGTGTCTCTCGAGACCAACCGTCTTGTCCCGCAGGTACCACTTTCTCCCTTGGAAAGTGCACACTTGCTGCATCTCATGGCTGTTACAGCATGCAGTTTTGCCCTCCATCGTGAGGGCTAAGCTGTCCTTAAACTGTCGCTCGCTTGTACGTATGCTTTGATATTGGTATTCGATGTAGTATCTAGATAGTAACAGGATATAACTACCAACAAGCCATATTTAGCTTGGGCCGTTGAAATCCGCACTCTCTCCTATTCTCAATTTGACTTTTGTCTTATAAACAATTCTCTGATGTTGCAGCCACTTTCTCATTGTTTCCAACTTGAACCGCCAAGAACCTAGACAAAAGTCCACCTGGCGACGCTACAATGAGCAAAAGCGTCCGCGTCATTGAGCAGTTGCGCTGACCGTTGACTAATTAATCGCTCAGCTACTTGCTAAAATGTGAGAGACCTACCATGATATGATTCAGCCTAACGTTTGTTACTTTTCAGTTGCCCTCAACTACCCACAAGGTTCCTTTATCGACGACATGCATACTTTACATGGGTCGGCTGACCGATTCCGCCACACAGACGCATTTGCATGAAACTGCATGATATGTCACAATGGCTCGGCTACACCGGAGCAAGGCAGCTGACCTTTCCCCCCGAAAATGGATTTTGTGGAGAGCTGAGCCCACGACCAATTTGGTTGGCATTTTCGCAGATCCACAACCAAAGGCCAGCTGAACTTACATTTAGGTATAGCTCAGATGTGATAAGAGATGCACCTACATGCATAAGCGCTGAAGAAACAATGCTCTTCAAGCCAGGTGTGATAATGTTTCCGAAATAGGGCATCCTCGTATCCGCATCTTTCATGCACTCTTTTCCCTGGACATTATCATACTAAAAACACCATCTTTCGATCTGATGTCAAACTCCTTGTCATTTAGGTAAATGCGATCGATCATACAAATTCACATTGTATCTACTGGTCAAATATTCCATGTACCTATTCTCGATTTATTTACACTTTATTCTATTCTTTCCGTTTCACCCCGGTCACCGTCATGAAAGCCAACTTTCTGTTCCTCTCTCCGCTCTTTATTCCCACCTTCGCTGCCAAGTCCGCGGCCCAGGCACAAGCTTCTATCCAATGTCCTAGCCTTCCTCCCTCTAGCCATGCCTCCCAATCTTACTGCAAAATGGCCGACGGTTCACTGATCTATGTGGAAGGCGTGGGACCATTCGACTGCGAGATTCCTGATAACACTATCCGTCCCCAGAGGAATGAAGACAGCACGACCCCAGAGTCAGAGAAGCTTCCCAGCAAGGAGTCCACACACTATGAGGTTCGGCTCATTCAGTTTACCAGCGACGGTAATGTGCGCCGTGGTTGTTGTGTAGATGGGATCGCTGTTTTTGATAGTCGAATCTCAAGTCTTCACTCTTCGGAGTCCAAAGATAGGAATCAAAAGCCGCTAGAGAAATTGCAATCAGATCATCAGGTAGTGAACAGAAAGCTTCAGACGCAGGACGAAAAGGAGCTTGAGAACGAAAGTGAAGGCCCGCGCTATAATGAACGGGATCTTAAGGACTTGGGTGAAGGAGACGAATCAGACAATGGTTACGATTATGATACCGACGAAGCGGATGACTTGGATTCTGGGGAGGAGAATGAGAATGATGATTACAGTGACTATGGATATGATGAAGATGATGGAGATGATGAAGATGATGAAGATGATGAAGATGATGAAGATGATGAAGATGACGAAGATGACGAGGATGACGAGGACGATGAGGACGATGAGGACGATGAGGACGATGAGGACGATGAGGACGATGAGGACGATGAGGACGATGAGGACGATGAGGACGATGAGGACGATGAGGACGATGAGGACGATGAGGACGATGAGGACGAGGTAGATGGAGAGGTTACACCAGACAGTAAGGCTGAACTACCTCTAGAGAATTAGTAGAATACTATAATAGAAAGTAAGAAATCACTAAATATTTATTTACTTTTACTGCCTTATGAACTAATTTTGCGATTTCATTAAAGAGTTCTCATACAAAGCTATGTAAACTATCCAACTGCGTGCTGATAACCCAATGCGATGCAGTGGTTTCTTGTTAATTATCTTCCACAAAATTGGTAGAGGTTGCCCAGTCTGTGTAGCCAATGTATCATCACGCCCGTATAAGAACCATAAGAAAGCACCCGTCATGACAGCACCGCCAACAATGTTCCCCAACGTGACAGGGATAGTAGATTGGTAGATGAACTTACCAACACCAAAGTTTGTGCCGTAAAACATTCCAATGGGGACGAGGAAGAAATTGGCCACGGAGTGCTGGTAGCCCAGTGCCACGCTGCAGTATCTCGTTAATACTGTTCCATTTGATACAGAGTCTGATTTACACTTACAATGCCCAGATGGGGATCCAGATACCAACGATCTTGGAGAAGTTGTCCTTGCTACTCGTGGCAAGATACACCGCCAAGCCTACGAGCCAATTGCAGCCGATCCCTCTCGTGAAGTTAAACCACCAATTGATGTTGAACTCTCTGTTCGGCTTGTGTAACGGCATAAGACGACATAGCATCTGAGTTTAACGTATCGCTCCACCAAGCCAACACTCCCGTAAAGAAGAGACAACCCGCCAGGTTAAAGACGTAACAAACAACCCAGTTTTTTACGAGGTCGTACAGACTCGTCTTTCTCTGCAAGGTTGTGTACATCATAACGGTCATGTTGCTCGTCACCAGTTCGAAGTTTGTGAGAATGACAAGAACAAACCCGATGGGGAATGTGAAGGCGGCCAGAAGGGTGATGAGAGAAGGGTTCGATTCGCGCAGACCTGGCGCTCCACCTGCGACGACAAGGTCGAATAGTGATCCGAGTGAGATAAAGATGCCACCGAAAAAGGACTTGATGATGAGGTCTGCCCATGGGAGTTTGGCTTTAGCGATGCCTGATTGAGTCATGAGTTGGCAAGTCTCGGGCGGCGAATGAGCGTCGACTTTCTCCATCGACACGTGCGGCTGACGCCCATGGCCAGTATATTTTGAATACGAATCACCTGTCATTATACTGGCTTAGTATCTTTAGTAAATGGCGACACAAACCAGACTATGTTCCAATTAAGGGAATGCTCTATTATATATAACTTGGCACATGACGCAAGCTTGATGTCACGATGGCCCAATCTCGGATAGTCGGCCTTGAGCTCGATGACATGATTCATTAACATTTTAGTTGCTAAAAGTTCGAAGGAAAGCGCTTTAAAAATCAATTATGATGTAATTGTAACTTGACGTGCCCATGATGTTATGGTGGGTAATGCAGCCCCATTAATTCAACTTCGCGCTATCTTTCTATCTATAATCTACACTAACTCCTAAACATTGATGCGGTGACGCCAGACCAACTGTTCCTCACGAGCACTATAAGTCGAAGCCCCAAGAATAGCTCTCATCTGCTGCACACTCGTAAACAGAATTGGTCGGGCGATGAAAAAGCGAATACCCTCTGTGCAAGGCGGACTCGTCAAACTACCCTCATAAGTCCAAAACTCATCAAAGTAATCAACACTCTCCAGAAGCAGCCTATGGTTGAGAGTAGCCTCTTCGCTAACGTCTGTTTCATTGAAGCCAATCATCTTTGGGAGCTGACCAAAAAAGCTGTTTGCCTTGTTACCCGGGTCAAGACGAATAGCAAGGACTGCGCGTTCTTTGCCTTGAGCGTTGACGTGGACGAGGTGAAGCTCGGCTCTGGAGCGGTGGCGCTCGACTGTGTGGTCGGCGGGGGCGTGGATGTGCCAGCCTTTGAGGTAGACAGTCTCGTTGTCGAAGCTGAAAGAGGGGTTCTGCGTCCAGACTTGATCTTCGTTCTGGACGGTGAATGCAGGGCCGTAGCCCCAGTTAAAGAAGTTGCCGGTGATTTCATCGGGATAGTTCCATTCTTTGATCAGATGCTCCAGTGAGAGGCCTTGCTTGAGGGCGATGGGGATGGGGGACTGTTGGGTGCCATCTTGGCAAAGATGGTAGTCTAGATTGTGTCAGTCACTGGAAGCTAAGAATTGCGATTAGATGAACGTACCCGGGTTGAGACGACCCCAATTGTAAGAGAATTCATAGGCCCAGTCTGTTTTCCCAGGCTCAGCGCGAGGATCAATGGCTCGCTTCTTGTGCTTGAGGGAGTAATGATTGTTATGCTTTGCGCATGACAAGACACTGGTGACGTACGTCGCCACTGCAAAAAGCTGAGAGACACGCATTACGATGATAAGATGAAGAATAAAGTGATAGAGACTGGTGATGAGATGATTGATGAGAAGTCGTCGCGATTATGGGTAATTTTATATCTGATTGCGACGGACATGAAAGACGCAGAATTCAGTCTAGCGCGTAATAATGTCACTGCCAAGACCAAAGCGAGGCGCAAGAAAATCACAGACCATGGGGGCTTGGACTTGGGCCCCCCGCAGCAACTCAAATAAACTCTGCAAAACTCTATCTCGAAGCCAATCGATGAACAAGATCCAGGTTCTTCACCCTGTCAATCACAAAATTTCTCGATAGATTACCAGGAATTGCTTGGTGACGTTGATGGAACTTTCCATTCGTGGCCCACGTGGACGTTCCAGGCACAGCCCGCGCTAATAATGTGGGATAATGGGATTCTCCATGGGGTAATGCACTAACTAGAGAATTAGGTTTTGTAGTGGTCTGTCTTGGCGCTGGCGGTCTAGATTCATCCTTGTTTCTTCTAAACAGCGAGAGATAAGAGACAATGCGCGCTTAGTTGATGTTATTTGCAACTATCTCGGGCCTTGTGTTTGGTCCAGACCGTTGAAATGGCCGCGTAACTAGTCAGTCCTTTTTCTCACTGATAATTTCCGTATGGAATCACCCGTAGCCTTGCAGGGATCTTTGAGATATCGCATCTTCCTGGTTTCAGGGAAGCATCGTGACAGACACAGCCTCGGATTAATAGTTTAAGGTTTCGGCATCTCGTTGTATAGATTGCCGAAGGTTCCGAATATGGTTTGTCTCCGAAGAGATGAGATCTTGCATCTTGTCTCTCGGTGCAATTGGCACATTCATCTCATGATGTGAAAAGATGAGCTTGAGCTACAGCAGAAAGGTAAATATCGCGATGGAGCGCATGGTCTCTCGCCTCAATTAATTGCGGTACTTGAGCCTTGTCATTTGAGATATCATCATAAGCCAAGAAACATGGTCCCAGCATCTTGGGAGCCGTTTTGACTACCCGAGACAGGCAGCTACTGAATGTTACTGGCGACATGAGATTGGCTCACTGTACGGAGCCTTTGGCGCAGCTTCTTGGCGCATCAGGTCAAACAAACTAAAAATCACAAAGACAATCGCTTTCGTGCAGAAATAATTGCCGTCTTGGCAATGGTATAAGCCACAAGCAACGTCATTTTTTAGGACGATAGGGGTGAGTACAAAGCTGCCTGAGCTAGCGTCGACTAGTTGCGATTAACGTTTCTGGAGGCAAGGATGAGGCTTGATATTTAGAGTTTGTGCATATTGAGACTCATCTACCGTTCGTCTCGTGACCAATGATGGGAAGTTCCATTTGGGATTTTGTTGATAATTGAGCAATGTCAGGATAACGTCGGTCCGACAGAATGGCAAGAAATTGTCTCGAGATAATTCATGATTCATGATGTTACACCTTTTCCGCCGGGTCAACTACCCTAGAGATTGATAAGCGTATTTATCGATAAGAAGATAAGATATTTAGGCATGATCTGGCAAAACAAAACCGCACTGGAGATGGTGTAACTCTGATGCGTTTGCTCTAATAAATCTATTTCATGTTAAGCCTTTGTTCACATTGTTGAGACCTGGCGTGATAAGCAGTACTAACAGCTATCTCATCAGCAGCTTCAAACGTCGTTGGACCTGAACAACGTTTAACCGCTTGTAGTAAGCCTTGTCTGGTCCGATAAAGTACCTTAAATTGTAAAAAGACGTTACAGGGCACCGATTCGAATGCGCAAGTATAAATGGTCTTTCGAATTGCAAGTAAACGCGGGACAGACGCTGGGAACCGTCTACCCCAGAGCCATGAGAAGATTAAGACTTCTATAGTGCTAAACATAATTACCTACCCTAAGTAGCTGGAACTGCTTGGCTTCTCTTAGCTATACCTTCAATAGAGAAGGCGCAACTACTTTGAGCCACTTTGGGTAGAAAGTATTGCTGTTCTTAAATATATCAGTTCTGATGTGCTGCGCTAACTTGAGCTCAAGGTATATCAGTACAGGAAGGACATATTCCAACAGGTTACCTTTTTGGCAAGCTGTGCGAGCCCCTCTCTAGAGTCTGCATGTAACGTAGCCGTTCCCTAATCGTTTAATCAGGTTCTCCAATTGGGCATGTCTGCCTTGTCTCAACTCAGCCAGTACAAATGCCTCGTGCGGCTGAACCCGACTGCATCTCACTAACCCAAGAACAACTTAGCTCCTCTCCCTTTCCCTTCACTAACGCCCAATTTCGATGAGAATGTGCCTCGCGTGGCTTTTACGGCGCCGAAATGATCTTATCTCCACGGTCTAGACCATTGCATTTCTATTTTGGACATTCAGCTGAAACCATGTGTCGCTACACAAATACCCGCTCTTGGCACTCTTGGCCTTTTGCTTGTAATTCTCCACGGATTATACCGCGACGACGACGAAATGCCTTTTGACTTCAAGGCCTACGACCAGAAATGCCAGGGCTTGACGCTCGAGGAGCTACAGCGGGAATGGGAGCACTATACCCGCCTTATCTCGGGCGCTGCCACGTCGACTGCAGTGTCGGGATGCGCTATTCCCCTCACGCTAGGTGTTTCGACGATTGGAGTCGCGATGGCAGCACCGGCGATACACAACGCACGAAAGAAACGCGAGATCATTGAACGACATCTCAACCGACTTAACGCGACGCATAAAACACGAAAGCGCGATGTACTTGGAAGTATGGCCGTCAGCGGAACGATTGGCGTAGTCACCCTCGGAGTCGGAAGCATGGGCGCTGATGCCGTTGCAACTGCTGGTGCAGAACACGGCATTCAGTCGATTGTAGCGAACGAGACGGCTATCAAGCTCGTGTCGCATGCTGCGCTCGATGGTGCGGGGATGATGGTTGAGCATAAGCATACGGATCATTTGAAGAAGAAGGATGCGCGAAAGGCGTTTCAAAAGGCTGGTGTTTTTCAGGCTGTTCAGGATGCTAAGGCTGCTGAGGCGGGGTATACTATTCAGCCGTATCAGAGCAATGGGCAGGTTTATGCTGCTGGGAGTTCGTCGCAGGCACTTCCACTGCCGCCGCCGCCGTATAATGTTGCTGTTGGTCAGACACCTGTACCGCAAAGCTACAACACTACGCTGAATGGGTATCCTCAGGACTTCAAAGCTCCAGCCCAACACCAAGTCCAGCAAAGCCAGACTTACTTGACGCCGCATGTCACTGGACAACAGCCTATACAACAGCAGTATGATTACTCACAGCAACAAGTCCCGACATATGGTGCACCATCACCTATGCCTCCAGCGAGCACGCAGATGTTCTCACCACCGCAAACACCAGCCGTGCAGTACCCTCCTCAGACTACACATGCACCAAACATGCAGCCAGCACAGCCGCAGCCTCTCTACCAACAGCAGACAGGAGCTCCGCCCTATAACCCTGCTGTGACACCGCAGCCTTTCAACATGGTTGCCATGCATCAGGCTCTTCCTCCTGCTACACCAGCGCCATCTACTCCTTATCAACAGCCGCAGGTTCAACAGGTTCCGAATATGGTGTTGCCTACACTTCCGCAGGATAACCCTCATGGATATATGCCTCAACAAGTACAGCCGCAGCCAACTGGACAAATTGTTGGTGCACCCCAAGCGGGATACTCCCCACCTACCCCAGCAACAACAGCTGGATATCCACCTGCTGTCACAGTTTCGCACCAGCCAACACCGCAGCCTGCTTCTGTAGCTCAGGTCCCACCGCCTGCTGATACAGCCAATGGTTACCAGACTCCAGTGCAACATGTTGCACCGGCTGTCCAACCGCAGTATCAGCAGCAGCCCGGCTATCCAACGCCCCAGCACACTGGCACTTACCAGCAAAGTCCAGCGCCTGCACCCGTAGACCGAAGAAGCTCATTCATAGCCCCGCACCAACCAGCATACGCTCCGCATGCACCATACAATCCTCAAGATTGGGCTCCCAAACCTCAACAAGCTTATGCTCCTCAGGCTCCCAGCATGGCCAGTCCAGCTGCACCAGCGATGCAGTACCAGATGCCGCCGACTCCTCTCCCAACTGGCTCAACAGTGAATCAGTACCAGTACGACAACAAAGGTTCATATTTCCCAGCCCAGCCTCAAACCCCTCAGGTGACAGGGCAAGCCCCGCAACAATATCCACCAGGGAATTATGCCGGGGCCCCGATGCACAATCCTGTACAGGTGACGCAATAGCTGTGGAGACGTGAGATTGGTGGGTTGCAATTGGAAGCATGAGTTATGCTTAATTAGTTATGAGAAATGAAATCAAGTTGAGACTTAGCGTGTCACTGCCAATTCCACTTGAGGCTCCCATTCTTCACTTGATCGTTTCTATTCAGTGTTTATACGCCGTCGTTGACTGAAGATTTCACAAGAGCCATCACAGTGGAGCATTGGTTGAAGTATTTACGCTAGTCTATAATAGGCAATTGTGCATTTCGACTCATCCAAGGTCATACCTTTTCAGCGGGGCCCACCTCTCGACAAGCTCTATAAGAACAACCAACAAACACAAACGTAACATCTCACCAACTCATCACATAAAATGACTGCACTAAACACCATAAACATGGAAGACCTAGACATAGAGCTAGACGTCATCGGCCAACAACCCTTCATGGTCAAGATCTACACCCAAATCAGCTTTTGCTTCCCAATCACCGACCCCTCCACGCACCCAGCCATCACCGCCACCATCAAGCAAGGCCTGCAGCGTCTCTCACAGAGCTTTCCTTGGGTAGCAGGCCAAGTCAAAGACGATGGCACTGGCGTATTCCATATCAAACCGTTCGAGGAGACGCCGCGACTGGTAGTCAAGGATCTTCGCGATGACCCCTCAGCACCAACAATGGAGGGTTTGAGAAAAGCAGAGTTTCCTATGAGCATGTTTGACGAGAACAAAATCGCGCCTAAGAAAACTCTTCCTTTTGGTCCTGATTACTCGCCTGATGATCCTTCGCCTGTGCTGATCTTTCAGCTCAATTTTATTGAGGGCGGGCTGATATTCACTGTCAATGGGCAGCATGGATGCATGGACATGACAGGTCAGGATGAGCTGATTCGACTGCTCTCCAAGGCTTGTCGCGACGAAGCTTTCTCAGAACAAGAGATATCGACAATGAATCTTGATCGCAAGACCATTGTTCCGCCACTGGAGAAGTACGAACTCGGGCCTGAGCTGGATCATCAAATCATCAAGCCCCCTCCAACCACTGAAGCCCCGCCAACACCACCAAAAGCAAGCTGGGCTTTCTTCTCATTTATTCCACAAGCTCTATCCGAGCTCAAGGACAAGGCGACACAGACTCTTGATGGAAGATCCGAGTTCGTATCCACAGACGATGCCCTCTCGGCGTTTATCTGGCAATCTGTCAGCCGCGCCCGTCTCCCCCGTCTAGACGAATCCACCTCAACTGAATTCTGCCGCGCCGTCGATGTACGCACCCAACTAGACGTGCCAAAGACCTACCCCGGAATCCTCCAAAACATGACCTACAGCGTCTCAAACCTCTCTCAAATCGCCAACGAGCCACTCGGCGTCGTAGCTTCACGGCTGCGGTCTCAACTCGGTCGCGATGATCTTCGTCGGCGAACACAAGCCCTGGTGACATACCTCCAGGACCAGGAAAACAGGGCGAAAGTGTCTGTCACAGCGGACGCGAATCCATCAACGGATATTATGCTCAGTTCATGGGCGAAGCTAAAATGCTGGGAGTATGACTTTGGATTTGGACTAGGAAAGCCAGAGAGTGTAAGACGGCCACTATTCGAGCCGTTTGAGAGCCTGATGTATCTTATGCCCAAGAGACTCGATGGAGAAATCACCGCGGCGGTCTCGTTGAGGGATGAGGATATGGAGAGGTTGAAGAGTGACGAGGAGTGGAAAGCGTATGCAAAGTACATTGGTTGAAGATAGTTCGCGGGGTTCAATGCAACGTTTCGGCGGGGAAGCTCATGACATAATTCGACATCATCCGAGATTGATGCTTATTCTTGTTTGTAGAGTTGTATTTTGCGGAGACGATATGCAGATCTCGGACTATTCTGCTGATGAGCGTTGCTGCGATAGGTGCGGGAGTTGGACGTGACGATCGTAGGGCTTGGCGTCTGGGGAGGATCATAAGTAGAGCCGAGGCGACGACCGAATGTTTTCCATATAAAATGACAGTATTCTTCACGATGAAGGTAGTGGTTGTAGAGTATCCAAAAGCCTTGGTATTGAAACAACATGGACCTATCTGCTATGGGATTCCCAGGGGCCTTGCCCGACTGGAGTAACCTCAACGTCCTGCACCGCAACACCCTCCCAGCCCGAGCCCACTTCTACACCTACCCAAACCAAGACTCAGCTCTCACCTTCAACCGCGAGCAAAGCTACTTCCATAGCCTCAACGGAACATGGAAATTCCACTACGACCCCAGTCCCCTCGACGCCCCAATCTGGCAAACCGCCAACACCAGCTCATGGGCTGACATTCAAGTCCCTGGCATGTGGCAGCTCCAAGGCTACGGGCATCCTCACTATACCAACATCGACTATCCCTTCTCCGTCACTCCTCCCAATGTGTCTTATGTCAATCCCACTGGGTCTTACTGGCGACAGTTTGACGTACCTGATGAATGGGATGGTGATCAGGTCAGACTGCGATTTGAGGGTGTTGATAGTGCGTTTCATGTTTGGGTTAATGGCGAAGAGGTTGGGTATGGACAGGGGAGTCGTAATCCGAGTGAGTTTGACATTACGGATTATCTGTCTCCTGGTCAGGCGAATGATCTTGCTGTGAGGGTTTATCAGTGGTCTGATGGTTCTTATATCGAGGATCAGGATCAGTGGTGGCTGTCTGGTATCTTTCGCGATGTTTACCTCATTCCCTTCTCTGAATCGTCTATCGTTGACTTTCAGATTGACTCTGAACTGAGTGACTCTTTTGATGAGGGGTTGTTCAAAGTCAATGTTACGATTCAAGGAAAAGAGGGCGACCTTGCCATCAACTTGCTCTCACCTAATGGTTCCGTTATTGATGAATGGAAAGGATCGTCTTCGGATAATTACGAGAAGAATCTGTCTGGAGACGACTTTAATATCTGGTCTGCGGAAACGCCAAACTTGTACACCTTGCTCATCACCTTCAACGGCCGAACCATCAGCCAGAAAGTTGGCCTTCGGCGCGTTGAGATCAAGGGATCCAACTTTTACGTCAACGGAAAGCCTATCATCATATACGGAGTCAACAGGCATGAGCATCATCATCTTACCGGGCGCACAATCAGCTACGAAAACATGCGAAAGGACTTGTTACTCATGAAGCGATCCAACATCAATGCAATTCGCACAGCTCATCAGCCTCCCCACCCTGACTTTTTCGACGTGGCCGATGAGCTCGGCTTCTACGTCATTGCAGAGTCTGACCTCGAATGCCATGGCTTTGGTGGTATTGAGGAGACAGAGGAAGAAGCTGCTGAGTGGCTCTCCAATAATCCTGATTGGGAAGAAGCTTATGTCGATCGTGCTCGTCAGCTGGTGGAACGTGTCAAGAATCACGCATCAGTTATTATCTGGTCTCTTGGCAATGAGTGCTTTTACGGTCGGAACCACGCTGCCATGAGCAAATGGATCAAAGAGAGAGATCCAAGTCGGATTATTCACTACGAACAGGATCGTAACGCTACGTCGACAGATATGTACAGTCAAATGTACAGCACGCCCGATGATGTGAGGGAGTTTATCAAGACACATACCGACAAGCCAATTTTGTTGTGTGAATATGCTCAGTAAGTTCCCTCCAACAACTCAGAGGGTACTTAGCTAATAGTGATAGTGCCATGGGCAACGGACCAGGTGGTCTTGTAGAGTACATCGATCTCTTCAGAACCGAGCCACTCTCCCAAGGAGGCCTTGTCTGGGAGTGGAGCAATCACGGACTTCTCAAGAAGGAAGAGAACGCTACATACTACGCTTATGGAGGGGACTTTGGAGACGAGCCGAATGATGGGGACTTTATCATGGACGGTCTTGTGCTGTCTGACCACTCGCCCATGCCATCGCTGAAGGAGTACGCCAAGGTCATCCAGCCTGTTTCGGTGAAGCTGTCAAAGAACGGCAGTGCAATGACTGTTATCAATCACTATGACTTCTCTGACTTGAGTCATCTTGATGTTTCGTGGCATGTTGTCGCGGATGGTCTCAAGACTGAGTCTCGTCCACTCGACCTTCCGAGAGTACCTGCTGGAGAAAATAGGACCGTGGCACTACCTTCGGGTCTGAACCTCACGCAAGATGAGGCATGGATCGCAGTTGAGTTCAAGCTGAAGGAAGACAATCTCTGGGCTCCTAAGGGCCACGTTATTGCTTGGGATCAACTTCACATCCAACGTCCCAGCGTCGAGAAGCGAGACATGTCGCTGGTCCGCCGTCAAGACAGCGGAGAGTTCCAGAAAAACGGGACTAAGCTCCTCTATAAGAGCGGAGACTCCTCGTTTGGCTTTGATCTGTTGCAAGGTAACGCGACTTGGAACATCAACGGCGTCGACATCTTCCAACGTGGCCCTGAACTCTCATTCTACCGTGCTCTCACACAGAACGACGCAGCATCTTCAGGCGATGGCCCAATCTGGGAACAAGAAAAGATCCCAATGATCTACCCACAAGTACGCGACGTCACCTGGCGGGTCGATGATGACGGCGCAGTGGTACACTACAAAGTCTGGGTTGGCGTCAAGACCCGTGCTTGGGGCGTCGAGGCAGACATGATTTACAGGATCCCTACCAGCGGACCTCAACTCCAACTCGAAGTTCGAGGTGAATTCGTTGGCAAGAATGAGTCGCATGTCATTCCCCGCATTGGCCTCATGGCTGTTCTACCTGAGTCGTTTGACGATGTATCATGGTTCGGCCGAGGACCTGGAGAGAGCTACAAGGACTCCAAGCAAGGGTCCCGCATGGGGCAGTATAGCTCCACAGTACCGGACTTGTTTACGTATTATGATTATCCTCAAGAGAATGGCAATCGGGAAGATTTGCGCTGGCTGAAGATTGGAAATAAGGACGTTACGCTTGATGCGCGACGAACGGGGAGTGAGCCGTTTAGTTTCACGGCTCGGAGGTACATGCCATTTGACTTGGATGACGCACAGCACCCGCATGATTTAAAGCCGTTGAATATGACGGTTCTGCATCTTGATTACGATAACAATGGCCTTGGATCAGCTACGGTTCGGGTCCGACCGTTTGAGAAGTACAGGTGCTACACCAAGCCATTCAACTTTACCTTCAACTTCAACATAGTCTAGCCCCACAAGATAATCAAGTCCAAATGATTTGGCCTTACAGCAATATGATTATGCGACTTCGGCCATGATAATAATTGATTACTCAACTTTCTTCTCCGCCAACGTGTTGCAGTACACGTGCACATCGGTGAGCAATTTGGGCGACATGTCAAGTTACACAACTGCTACCATACTGCTTGACACCGAACATCGTCGTTCCCAATTAGGAATACGATACGAAGCGACGGTTCTGACTTGGTGAAGTGGGCCGACACAGTAGCGTTGTGAGCACCGAGCTTATGATTAGTGATCAATAATTACTGATCAAAACGCACTACCCGAGACCGGAGGGAATTGTAATCAGCCAAGACAGTTATTACAAAAGCCTCCGGTAATAGCTGCATTTTGTGATCTTCCTCGGAATGCGTGGAGAATAAGACTGATATATATAAATATCGGCAGTTGGGAAATGTCATGCATGAATCCTACCCTCTAACTTCCTAAAGCACAATCGCATCAAACTCTATCAAGCTACCTGCAAACCTTTTTCTTCCTGCAACGGCAATGGCTCGTCGCATTTTTGTTATCGGAGCCACGGGCGCTCAAGGTCTCCCCGTCTGTCGCGGCCTCACCAAAGACGGCGCTTACAGTCTACGGGTCCTTACCCGAGACTCAACCTCTGCACGGGCTAAAGAACTGGCCAAGCTAGGCGACGTTGAGTTTATCGAAGGCTCATTCGCCAATGAAGACAACCTCCGAAAGGGCTACGAAGGATGCTGGGGCGCTTTCGTCAACATCGATGGCTTCAATACTGGTGAAAAGACAGAGACTTACTGGACCATCCGCGCGTATGAGTTGGCAATTGAGTCTGGTATCGAATTCTTTGTCTTTGGAAACTTGGACTATGGGTATAAGAAGAGTGGCTATGATCCCAAGTTCCGCTGTGGCCATTATGATGGAAAGGGTCGAATGGCGGAGTGGATGTTGACACAGAAAAAGACTCACAACATGGGCACTGCAATCTTCACTACGGGTCCCTATATCGAGATGGCTATCTCAGCAGGAACCCCCATGACGCCTCGCACCGTGGAGGGCGTGGTTACTTGGACTGTTCCTCTCGCCGACGGAGCAATTCCTCACGTAGCCCTCGATGACTGCGAGCACTACGTTCGCTGGCTTTTCGATAACCCTGAAAGATCCAACGGACTGGATCTCGAGGTTGCCATCGATCACGTCAACTACCATGACCTCGCGAAGGCTTTCCAAAAGGTCACCGGCAAACCTGCTCAATTCATCGACATCCCAATGGAGACTTACTTCGAGCATAGTCCGTTGGGTAGCAACGTTCCAGCGGGATATAATGCTGATCCTAGTGATCCTGCGACCATGACAATCCGGCAGAACTTTACTGGTTTCTGGAATATGTGGCGGCACTCTGGTGGTAACAAGGGAGTCGTTCAGAGGGATTATAAGCTATTGGATGAGATTCACCCAAACAGGATCAAGACCCCGGAAGAGTTCCTCCGTAGAGAAGAGGAGAAGCGCAAGGCCCAGGGACTGCCGAGTATCTTTGAGACGATTGAGAGTGGGAACCTGGGTATGATCCTCAAGTTGAGTGAGGATGGCAGAAAGGGCAAGTTATAGAAGTATTTATTTTGAGATCCTGGGCCATAAGTGCCACAGCATGGATAATATTATGAAGTGCATTATAAACGTCAGAAATGTGACTCAGCCCTTGATCACCAGATGCTGGCAGCCTGGTAGGCTCCACTGCCATGCCGTCATCCTCCCCCCACTCTGTTTTTGAGGGGAAATAAGATCATTAGCGCTCCGAGCTGCATGCAGTCAATCAGTGCCGCAATCTTAATTACTGGATATTCGAGAGATGAAGCTATGAATCTGCAAGGAGATCAAATTCGGCTACTTCGACTAAACGTTGATTCAAGCTTATCGTTCAAGCGCGTTTCACTTAGCGATCCATCCCGACCACCTTTTGTGGCGCTATCCTATGTTTGGGGTGACTTGACTGACACTCTGCCACTCAATAATGTATCGGGTCAGACTATCCAGGCAACAAGAAACCTTCATCATGTTCTTGATTGCCTCTTTTCATCCCATTTCGACGAGTTCCTCTGGATTGATGCGCTGTGTATCGATCAGCAAGATCAACATGAGCGGGCTTCCCAGGTCGCTCTCATGGGAGAAATTTACTCACATGCACAATACGTCTTGGCTTTCTTATCCCCGCAATCAGGACTCTTCCACTTGGGGCTCGACTACATAGAGGCGACTGCTCGCGACACGATGATGCACTTCGATCCATCTATTTCACCTCATTTGACAGTCCAAGGTCTTAGTGCCCGCGATAAACCGCTGCAAGACTCCATTATCGGCTTCTTTGCCGCTCCATGGTGGACCAGAGTTTGGACGGTCCAGGAATTCTTATTGGCCCGAAAAGTCATATTCCGATGCGGGAATCGTCTTATTGACTCAGATATTGTACGCAAAGCTTGCAGAGCCTGGATAGATCACGAGAACTCTTGCTGTTGGGCTGCGCGTCGACCGATAGATGGTAGTGCGCATGGCTTCCTCGATATTCCCAGTGAAATCAATGGTGGCTTGACGATCTACACTGCGACTCTCCGGATGAAGCACCTGATGGATATGCTTATTCCTGGAAAGCTATTTACCGAAGACTTTCTCGCTGCCATTTCACTTTTCCGGGTGCGCCACTGCTCAGATCCTCGGGATAGAGCATTTGGGTACTTTGGACTGCGTTCGCCTGGTCTGGACGTCAAGGCTGAGATACCTATCGACTACACCGTGTCTATAGCGGATCTCTACAAGAACCTGGCCGTCGCATTAATCAAGAAGTCTCAGACACTAGACGTGCTCAGTCATGTGCTACACGAATCGGGAATTAAGAAACGGACAGAAGGCTTGCCCAGTTGGGTCCCAGACTGGGATGCGACGATAGATGATCGGTACCATCTCACGTACACAGAACGAACAAATATTATTCGACATTGTCATGCTTCAGGCGACATGAAGCCCGACTGGAGGGTGCAAAACTCAGGCCGTGTCGTAACTCGTGGATTACAAATTGCGGTCATTGAAGCAACCGCACCCGGCTACCCTTCCATCATCCCCGGTTCGACGCTCAGAGGCAAAACGGTCATCAGCGAGTGGCGTCGACTGGCTGGTCTATCGACGTATCGCGACGCATCTCCCATTGATATGCCATCTTGCATCGAACAAGAGCGTGCGTTTGAGAACGCCCTTGGTGGAGGTTTTTCAATGAAGTGGCCACAGGGCAGTTTCGAGTACACAGATGCATACCATGCTTGGCTCGAATGGTTTGTATCCTCGGAGGTCGCCTTGGCCAAGTCGTGCAAACAGGTTATACAAGATTTCGATGAGTTGATTCGGCAGACGAGTGAACGTCGAAGGTTTATCGTGACGAGTGATGGGCAGATAGGTTTTGGCCCGGAAGGAGCTGAGAAGGGCGATGTGATTATGATTATACCTGGAGGGAAGGTTCCTTATGTTTTGAGGGACGTTGGGGACTCTGGCTGTGGAGTGAAGAAGTATAGCTTGTTGGGAGATGCATTTATTAATAGTGTGATGGCGGGTGAGAAGATCAGTTCACCGGTCTCCGAGTTCACAAGGATAGTCATCATCTAGTAGCATTTGTCATCAGATAGAGGAATACTCAACATACCGACAGTACATAATCAGGAAAAGAGAAGAAATAACAATCCAAATAGTCTTCCATACTTCCAGTTCACCCCATTTCAATATTACCCAACATTAACATTCCTCCTCAATCTTTCTCAGCTCATATAACCAATATTCTATCGTGAATTTGTGATAGGGGTTCCCCATCACTACGGGTGGTTCCGGTCCTACATTATCCCACACAACCCCAATCTCCTCGGCCCCACGTCTCTCATCCTCCGGCAAATCGTCCCCTTCAAGGATATCTAGAACCTCGACCATCCGTCTAACCCAAGTTCGCTCCCAGAAGTAGATGAGATCGCGAACATCTTTTTCGGGGTCTTCAAGGATGGATGTAATACTTCCATTAAACTCTTCCAAAAGATCTTCAAGGAGCTCCAACTTGTGACTTTCGTCGTAATCACACACGTCTTCAACAGGATAAAGATGATTCTCACACGCGCGACGACGATCCTTGTCTATGCAACAAGAATGGTGCATCCCTAGAGCGGTATATGTGATGTAGCGAAGAGTAGCATAGTGATGCCTTGGTCGGAGATGGCAGTAGAAATGTTCGAGGTAAGTGATGAAATTCTCAATCAGCTTGAGCAGGGATTTCTCGCTTATATCGCTGCCTTCCAGAGACTCATGTTCACTTGAAGTTCTGCCTTCCGAGGAGCCTTTGTGGAAGCGTCTTGGCTCATATTTGTATCCGTAGTCATCGACCAACCCCTTTAATAAAAGTCTTAGCATAGAGCAACCCCCAATGGAACATTCGCAACTGCATGTATCCTCAATACTGGCCGCAAATACAGCAGTGTGGACTTCGTGGAACCAGGATATCTCGTCATCAGGTAAACATGGTGTTAGTAGCGAGCTGCTAATCTCAGATTCCGAGGATTGGTAAATTGCGACCCCAGCCCCTTTCCAAGATTTCCTTATGTGGTATCCAATGGCCCAGAATATGCAGTGACACCCAAAGATATCCTTACTTGAAGAAAGAGGGAGCTGGCAGCAGATGCCTCCATGATTGGCTAGCCAACGCAAATATGGCAGCCATCGGAGGCAAGGAATATTACTCAGTTCCATGATTTCAGTATCGCACCACGCCCAGGTGTCTCGGAAACCAGATCGGAAAAATATTTCAGCATCTTCTGGAGATTCAAGCTTTCCATACACTGATGCTGGACCTGAATTCCAATGGTCGATAGCAAGGGATGTAGGGACTCGGATATTACTCTCTTCCAAGAGCCGAGTGACCTCAAAGGCATTGTAATCGAGAATGTGTTCCGACTTTAGAGCCAATCTCTCTGTATCAACTCTAGACAAGTTGTCTAGGCCTAGCTGCTTCAATCCGTCTCTCCGGTCTTTCATGTAGCGTACGTATCTCAGCTTGCACCGTTTAGACGCATTTTTGAGTACTTGCTGCAGACTTGATGACATAGGGACGGCACAGTCAGCCCTCAACAGAATAACAGCGGACTCGGCACATGTGCACCCCTTACACATTTGAATTTTCGCTCCTTTACAATTCAGTCCACTGAGGGAGACAGCGAGTTCTAATGCGGAGTGATTGAGTCTATCTGTGTCATTTAGGAGATCCGTGTCAGCTGCTTCCACTAGAACTCGCAGTAATAACGGTTTGTCTGTAGCGAGGTGTAGTGGGCTATGTCCAAGAAGATTGCGCTCAGAAAGGGTGCTGGGATGCCTTGCTACTAAGAGTTTGATTTCTTCCAGATTATTGGATAAGACTGCTAAGGTAAGTGGACCACATCTATAGGCTAGATGCATAAAACGTTTTGGTTAGCATGTCATACGTAATATAGTCCAAATCGTAGATCAACGAACCTCTAGCTATTTCGTTTGAGAAAGACAGAAAGTGGAACAAATCAGCGATACCATTTGCGTCTTTCTCTTGATCTGATCCATAGAGAAGTAGGGCATCTGCGTGTGGTTGATATGCTAAAGCGTCGTCGGAGTTTGAACCCAGTATAAGATCTGCACAGGCAGCAGGAATTGGATAGTTGGCACCTCTATATGACCATACTCCGAACAATACACCAACTGCGGTACTGAGAGATTTGTCAACCAATCTAACACTAGTTTTTTCAAATTGCATGACAGGAACCTACACTCCGTATGTATTATACTCATTCGCTGGGGCCTCGTTGATAAGTAAGTACTAGAGGAGATCAAATAGAGGACTGGACTGCCGATGCTCTGCCTCATATAGCGAAAGGTCATCATGACCATAGATAAACCTGATCTGATGGCTTGGTTAGTTTTGCCGCTGCACCCGTGAATGTATTTAAACTCACAACCCAGGCCAAGTTATGGACTAGAGACCCGCTATCTTCGTCGACTGCTCGGGGGGACGCCTTCTTAGCTCGAAATAAATCTAGCATTGAGGAAACCACAAAAGGAAGCAACCCGTCCTGCCACTCTGGAACGAGTATATAGCCATTTACTTTGCAGGCAGAACTAAGTAAATGGTGAGAGTCTGTCAACAGCTCTAACATTCTAAAAGCTGGCGCCGACTGTGAATCAACAGTGGGATAGTAGGTGAAATTTGGGCCGAGGCTCCATCCTCCGGCCCCTGAACGAGTGGAGAATGAAATCTGAAGAGCTGAATTAAGCAAAGATCGTAGACCGACGTAGGTCAAAGCGAATTTGCTGCTTCTGTCTATTTCCGTTATTGCTTCTGTCGCTGGACAGCCTGGCGCATGCTGTTCAATCGTTGTCTCGTGAGAAAACCGCAAGGGTCCCCAGGCTGCCGTTTTATGTTGGAGGTGGCGACGGTGGCGACACAAGCATGAAAATCGACCTCCAGTATATCTTGTTACAATCTTTCTGGTTTGTATTGCGTTTTCGGATGTTGCTGGAATATTTCTTTTAGGCTTATGTTGAGCTCGGGTCCCGACAGCATCACACATCTCTTGTAATACTGCCGGCTTTCCTAGAAGTCGTCCAGTGACGATTTCAGGAGTGATCTGTACCATGCGTCAGGATTTGCTATGCAAGAGCCTAAGTGTACACTGATGCCTACTTCTTGCAGTCTTCCATTGATGGCCGAGCCTTGGACGAGCAGCTGATCAAGGAGATTCTCAAGACCGTTGAATCGATTCTCAAATTGGGACATGGTGGTTTGTATGCCTTGAATGGGAATGCTGATGGCTGAAACCTCGGACTGGACGACTAAAATATCACTTGAAATAGTCTGCGAGGTCGCCTGGAGCGCGGCTAACTTTTCAGACCCTAAATGCGACACAGAACTGGCACTAATTAGAAAAGGAAGGCTCATAAAAGATCTGATACTGGGGTTAACTTGCAGTCCAAGGCTTTGTAGACCCAACTGAAGAGTCGCGTTAATGTGATGCAATTTGGTCGCCATTTGCTCGAGCTTTGGGCGATGGAACGGATGTAAAAGCTTTTTGCCCTTGTTCCGAGCTTTGTTCCTTCGACCGCCTGTGCCTTGATCGTCAATATTGAGCGTGGCTACCATGGCCACCAAAACCTTCAGTTCCTCGTTAGATGAGTCTAAAAACTGTCGCAATGTCTCGGTCACTGTTCTGTGGTCATTCTGAAACCGAGAGATTGATGATTCGATGAGTTGCAGCGTCTTGCGTAGCATGTCGTTCCGCTGTATTATGGACGAAATGTCTTGATCGCGGGAGTTCAGTGAGTCAAAGTAATCCGTGATGCCACCAGTGACTTGAAGGCCTAGTGATACCACGGCCAAGGCCAACCCGGCGACGGAGAGAGGGTCAGCCATGGCAAGATAGTAGATGATAGCTAAAAGAAGCTTTGTAATTATCAGGTTGTTGGATTAGAGATTATGTGGAGACAATATCGTAGACCAAATCTAGGACTTTGCTGATTGCATATTGCTGCCTGATCAGGCTCTCACTAGTTGCAGTATGTATTTGTCTTTTCAACCATGTCGGTAAGCAAGTTACATGGATTATACAATTCTATAACACAAGCACTCTAATTAGATTGTGAAGTCTAAGTATAGCTTATTATATTAAAGCCTACAGTTAAACATGTAAAATCCGTCAGTCCCTTGACGTTAATATTAAATGTCAGCACCTACTTATATCAAGGAATGTGGGCTAAAGGTGTGTGTGTTCGGAAGGAGGCTAGCTGAGGCCCAAGTGGGCAGGCTACCAAGAGGGATGTGGGGGCCTGAGGCACCCATATCTCAACAACTTAGGGTAATCAGCCACACTTAGTGTGGCTAGTGCTCAAGCCTCACATAACCAGATCCTTGCAAGCTGAAATGCACCTACATACAGAACGGGCGATCAGGCTGCGCATTCTTGCAGTTGGCCCAATGATAAATAGAGCTTACTAAGGGAAACAAGTGCTTATCTTACGGACTGAAAATTAAATCCCTCATTTGCATGGTTTCAGTCCTTTTCCAACGGCAAAAACCCCCCGGATACACACTCGTCTCAACTTAATCGATCGAACCCACTATTCAGCTTACTAGATCTTACCTTAAATCCTTTAGTTTAGTTTCTTGCACTGCGGAGATGCCATTGCAAAGCAAGAGAACAGTCAAGGTCCATGAGATCCCCGCAGGCACTTCCGAAAAACAATATCTTGACTTCGTTGAGCATCTTTGTACCAAGCCGCAGAAGCCCTCTAAGTCTCACTTCTCTCGCGTCATTAAGCACTTTGGGCGAAAGTCGAAGTCGCCGCTGGTTACGTCAGCCTCAGCATCAGCGGATGAGTTGGATGAAGACGTAAACTCGAAGGACGAAACTAAGGTCACCACACCAGCTTCTGGTTCAAGGGGTGAAGGTGAGCAAGCTGTCCCGCTCCTCAACAGTTCTCAGCCGACTGCGAAGAGATTGAGGAAAACCACTTTTTGTTTCCAGAACGGTCAATCAGTTGGCACGGTTTCCTTTGAAAATGAAGCACTCAAAAGGGAGGCTCTGGCGCGACATAAGGAGAATGCAAGTTCGTGTTGGAAAGTCGAGGACAACTTTGATGGAATCACCATCCTCTATGAAGGGCCGAATGCAAAGTTTGAGTACGTATCCCCTCCTGTAGGTATTGCCATAGAGTGCTAACTGTCCCCTAGCATCTGTGTGGTCCACGGACAGGGCGGCAATGCCATGGACACTTGGACTGCTGACAACGGTCAGATGTGGCTCAGAGATTCCCTGCCTGAGCATGAGAAGTTCAAAGAAAGTCGCATAATGACTTTTGGTTATGACTCAGACGTGACAGACAGAAGCACCGTTATGGAACTGGAGAACTGGGCGGAGAGTCTTCTTCGGTCTTTGGACGAAGTGCGAACTGAAGACGAGGTATCTTCGACCACTATATAAAAGGGAACGTTGAATAAGCGCCTTGCTGACTGTGATGATATAGGAGAAAAAAAGGCCGCTATTACTTGTCTGCCATTCTCTGGGAGGACTAGTTGGACGAAAGGTATGCTTTGCCCGGAAGAATAGATACTCAGCGACTCACCATAGTTTCTAGGCAATGACTCACTTGAACCCGACAATCAACCTCCAGAATATCAAGCTGTCCCAATTTGGCATCGTCTTTTTAGCCACACCGCATAGCGGCTCAACAATTGCAGACTGGAACAACTTCTTGGTTGCTACCGCACACGCAGTCGGAGGCGTCAGAACACAGGCGGTCGAAAAGCTACGATCGTTTAACCCTGCTTCCGTTTGGGATACGTCGGCTTTTTTAAATCTTGAACCATGCCCGCCCTTTCAGTGTTTCGCAGAGGGTCGCAAGATGCGCGTGAAAGGCATGGACCAGCATGTAAGTGGGTATTTTCTAGTATACTATTGCTGATGTTGACTTTATTTGAAGATTGTGACACAATCGTCCGCAACTCTTGGCAAGAAACAAGCATACCAGATTATGAACGTTGATCACGTTACTATCTGCAAGTTTGACTCGAAATTGGGGCCTTTCCTGACGATCAGTATGGCACTGTTAGAATTGCTCAGCGATGTGACCACTGGTGGCATCCAGCAACCGAAGGCTCACGACCGTCGTGTATCAGCCCATGATGAAACATATCAGTAGATCAGTCCTAATATAATCGTTAGATGTTTGGCCAGCCGCGGTTCCTTGCACATGCATATCCACCAGATCGAGGTTACTGGTGGGAGGGAAACGAACTGAACGATATTCAACATCAGGTCACATCGACCAAGCCTTTCTTTGGGCGATCCGCGGAGCTGAGGACTCTTGAATCGTCCTTAGCTGGAGACGGAACGCGCCCGAGTCTTACGGTAGTAAAGGGTATTGGAGGAATAGGGTACAAATCCTGAGCCTCCTAGCTTTTACTATACCACATACTAACGTCAATGCAGGAAAACCGAACTACTTCTTCAGTTTGCAACTAAGCAAAGAGGCCGCAGGAATGTCTTCTTCTTAGGGTCTCAAGATGGAGAGACAATTGACAGTGTTCTCTCCAAGCTGTCAACAAGAATCGGCTTCCACATGATCGAGGATCCGGGTGAGAACCAAGAACGGTGGAGGAGCACTCCCGTCGCTGAGCGCATTCAGATCTTCATCACATGGCTGGGGGATAGGTGTAACAGAGAGTCTCTCTTTATCATCGATGACATAGAAGCTTTTGGATACTCCAGAATTCCAGTCATCTTGAAATACCCGGCACAACACACGTTGATTTCCACTCGAGACTCTAACTTGAAACGAGCGGATCGAGTCTTTCGAGAGCTCCGACTGTGTCCACTAGGTCACGACGATACAGTAGGAATCTTGAAAAGCACACTCGAAAGTCTCTCTGCAGACCCAGCATTTTGGAATGATCTTGGGTCTATTGCCCTTACGATTCAAGGCCACCCTCTTGCGGCTCGAAATGCTATCCCGTTCATAATGGACTATCTGGCAACCTACGATAGACCCAGCAAAGCATTTTCGCAACTATTGGAGGTTCAAGACCCTGAAGAGCGTAGGGTATTTCTCGAGTTCAGCTTTGAAGGTCGATCACTTTGGGAAGCCTTTGATACCTCTCTCGAGCGTCTGGAATTACAACAGAACTCCCAAAACGCGACCAGCCTTCTTCAGATACTTCCATTCTTATCCTGTGCTAATGATCGTGTGGATGACTTTTTAAAGATGAACAAGAGCCTGCCAGCTGACAGCGAGAAAGACCTACCAGATATGGCGGTGCTCAAGTGTGGTTACACTGTCATATCGAACTGGCTATCCAAGTTGCGCGGTGTCTCCTTTTATCTCCAAAGTGGCTTGTCTAATCATACCAAAGCCATTGACATACACCCTCTTGTGCTCCAGTACATATTGTTAAGTTTGAATGAGCGCAGAAGAGTGGATCTCATTAGACAGGTCTTGCAATTGTGCCACGCTTTAATGGACATACTGAATGAGCGTGAAGCAGAGATCAAGCCGCATGTTCTCCATTGCGGTCAAGTCTGTCGAGGACTGGGAATCTCACTAAGTAGCTTAGGCCTGCCTGAAAGCACTATCAGGTGGGTGAAACGCTTACTCGAGATACAAGTAGAGGAGGGAGAAGATCCATTCGGTGATCCGATCGACTTGTCATCTGCAGCAGTAGATGAGTTCGTTAAAGCCTGTATGGAGACGAAAAAGAGTCTTCGCCAAGGCAGCGAAAACTCTCTGTTTGAGAAGACTAGGATGAGTCAGATGCTGATTAATTGTGTCAGGGCCTGGAGGGCGCTGAGATGGTCAATAGAAGAGCAGGGAGAAATAGCTGACTATCTCAAGCCTGAACTTTTAGAGGCGATGGAAGGACTTCAAGAGATGGTTAAACTGCGCAACATGTATCCAGATATCATTTTGGAACTCGGATCGTTTCGAGCTAGTCTGATCGAAGGTTTAGAAGGCTGATACTGAGGGAGTATATACAGCTAAGGTGAATTGGGGTTTTTCATTGTTGTGGCTTGATATGTCACGCTGACTCGTCATAAGCTTGAAGTATCAATGAATGTATATGGATATTTTCTCATTATTAACTAGATTTACCTCCCAATTCGGACGTATTAACTGTAACCTCTGCTTGAGCGTCGGGTATACGAATATGTCCGAGCTGACATTGAAGCCTGCAAGACAAGGGGTTATGATTGGCAGGGCAGAGATGACTGAGCATGTGACCCGAGTGCAGGAGGCGCTGAATCTGAAGTCAGACTTCAGTTTCTGCCACGTAAGCTATCCTCCTTTGACTTCAAGACATTCCCCATGGCAATCGACGAATATGTAATGAACTGGAAATAGCTGAATTAATTCCTGCTCATACATTTACCCTTACGCGCCTCGTCGTCTTGTCATTATCCCGTGCCTCACACGACATGGAGCCGAACGAAGATAGTTTTCTCAGATTCTGTCGTTTCATTCGGTATTTCCAATGCGCAAAGGTCCCTTGCGACCTTTTGATTCGCGCATGCGAGCCAAAGTTAACTTGGACCTCGAATGGAGAGATAGTTCAGAAGCTACCGCTGGAGGCTGGGGTTCCAGAATGGCTTATGGTTCTCTACAACACCAATAAACCGTTCTTACATCATCCGACCCATGGATCACATATTGCAGGCGTGGAAATCATACTCCAGAACGGTGTTCCATACTTTGATGTAGCGACAGCAAACCAGCCCGAACTTGAGCTCAATCAGCTTCCGTCAATCGACAATGAAGGCTCCATGGCCGGAGAGCTTCTTGCTGTCTTCCTACAAGCATTTCCTTCTATCAATATTGAGATAATTGGAGAAGAGATTGTCGACAGGTTGATGGATATCGCCATGAGATCTATCCTGCCCTTGCTCTCATGCCTCACCGATGCAGATATAAAAGACTGGCTGCTGCCGATAGACCAAGAGGAGTATGTGAGGAATTCCGATTGGCCATTTTTTGTATGAACTGATCATATTATCCCAGGTTGGAGTCATGCCTATTTTCTCTCTTCGAGTTCCTGTATCAGGCTATTGCTATGTTAGGCGTTGAACACCCTCTACTGCCGTTGTCGTTACCAGAGCGATTATTGAATATCGTCCCCGACGGTACGGGAAATGACACTATAGTGGTCCTTCGGAGGATTGCAGACATCTTGAAACAATTCAAAGAGACTGGCCAAGATGTACTGGAATACAAACCATTGTCCTCTGGAACGAAGACTGATGAGAGAAGTCACTCCATACTGGGATATTTCTTATCACTCCCAAATATGCATTCCGCTGGAGCCCTGACTACTTGGCAACCTTTAGTCCCCAAAAGTCCATCTCAGATGGAGTACTTGGCAGCGGTCAGCTTCTGCGAGCAGTCGCGCCTAGCTGTGCTTGAGAGACCTGCGTTTCTTACATTGGACGTCAGGGTATTGGAAGGCCTCCTGCGCTCACGACGAAAGCAATACGACCAAGCGTCGAAGGTTTTGGACACGACTATGGTCGAAGTTATCTCCCAGTACGGATCATGTTCCATGCAACTCGGAATAGTCACGGCTGAGCTCGCTAATTGCTACAATGTCCTCCGGCGAGAGGCACTGGCTGAGTTAACTTTGACCAAAAGCCTCGAATTGCTACTGGATTCAGATCTCTCCAACCGACGCGATGTGATCTACCTCAGATTCGCCCTGGCCGACTCCCTTATAGGACAAGCTAAATACCAGGATGCGGTGCCAATCCTCCAGGGCATCATAGATGACCCTGATGTTTCAGCAACATTTCGTATGATGAGTGCACTTCGTCTGACAAGGTCAAAGCGTAGAATGCATGAAGATGCACGCAAGGCCTTTCAACAGAAGAGCCCATTGTGGATAGGCTTTTCACTGCTTGACAATGTACCAGACGTTCTTGTGATGGAATATGTCGAAGAACTAGGCTGCAGCATTTCAGAGTTGCCGAAACGGAAGCTGGAGGACTCGAAAAACACACAGGAACTCATTGAAGCAGTCAACTCCGCGTTGAGTACATCAAGCTCTGTCACAAACAACCCGTGCTGGGAGTGGTATACAAAATGTCAAGAAGAATATTCAGGGCAGATCACAGAAGCCACAAAAGAAAATAAGGGTAAAGGAGTGGACGAGGTTCTAGGAAACGAACTTCCTCCTCAATCCGTCGATGACATGTCCGTTGACGAGGGACCCTGGTCAGAGAGATTAGTCTTATCATTTGGTACGAACCCCGGTACTTCAATACAGCTTAGACTCATACTGACTGTCCTATTTGAGATGGTGGAGGAGTTCGTGCTATCTCCAGTTTATTAATTCTGAAGCGCATCATGCACCAAATTCAAGTGGTTGAATTAACTCACCCCGACGGCCCATCCTACTCAAGTAGCGATTCAAGCTGGTCTCCAACAGTTGAAAATGTCCCACTGGCGATATTAGAAGAGTCTGAATTAATTGGAGAGTTCTTTCCCTGTCACTACTTTGACTATGTGGCTGGGGTATCAACCGGAGGGTAGGTAAAACGCAACTCAGGATGGACATAAGCTTACAACAGCAAAGCCTGAACAGCATCATGCTAGGAAGTCTACGTATGTCCGTCGACCATGCCATCGATAGTTTTATCAAATTTGGTAACACTGTTTTGGGGCGGCCCAGGCTGTTCCACAGCACATCACCATACTTCCCCTCCCGAACCAAATATCCAGCCGCCGATGTCCGCAAGGCTTTCCAGAATATCATCACGGACAGCATTGAAGGGGTGCCGGGAGTGGCGGACGTTCCAGGATGGGGTTTAAGTGGCCACAAAGCAATCTTCCACGAGAAGAGTGGTGGCATTCGAACGTGAGTTGAGCCATCGATTTCTGTCGACGGGATAAATAACTAAGATCTCCCAGTATTGTCTTTTCTTGTCGCTTAGAAGATGGAATACCATACGCCTGGAAAAGTTACCATCATCAGGAGTACACGAGAATTTGGGAGGTTGCGTGTGCCACTGTTGCCACTCCGGGCTACTTTGATGCGATAGAGATTGACGGTGCCGCATTCGTAGATGGAGCTGTTTTTATGAATAATCCTTCATTCAGGGCCCTTGAGGAAGTCTTGGCCATTCACACGAAGATCCCTGCGGTTTTTGTCAACATCGGAACAGGTACACAGTACAGTGACGGTGCCACTTTTCGTCGCTGGAGAGACAGACTCCAGCAATCGAACATACTTTTTGACCGGACTGTCAAACACTTCCAGACCGGGAGCGAAACGAAACGATGGATAGAGTTTGCTAGGCATCAAGGGCTCAAAAATGCATATACACTTAGTGCCGGAAAAGATCTGCAAGCGATTCCCCACTACGACTGGCAACCCGCCGACACTGGAAAGAAGACTCTCCATGAGATCACAAGGATCACCGAAGAATATCTCCGCTGCGATGAAGTAAGAGCTACCATTAGTATCATTGCCCACGAGGCCGTTCAAATTCGACGTGCACGAGCAATTACAGAAAAGTGGAGATCCTTTATACAACCTCCTGCAGTCAATCCACCTTCAGCACTTAGTTCAGTAGGTTATGATGGCACAGTTAAATGGAAATAAGTTAAATGTTATAGTAATAATAATATTTTGTTTACTTAACAAGACAACTCTTTAACTTAAACTTGACTATTAAGAAATAGCTAACAGTATACCTGTGCTTTTATGACAGTTAAAATACATGAAAGATTGATCAGTCTTCCGCAATACCATAAGCTCATGCCAAAGATTCAGGTTGGCTTCCTCGCCCTCCCTCTCCATCCGATTGAAGTGGTTAATCTGTGTGCCAAAGATCTCCTTGTGCTTGGGCGTGAGAGACCATTTCTCAAGTCGTGCGAGTGACTCCCACATACTGATGCTCCATGTCTTGCCAACTGGGTTGCCATCATCATCCTCTATGCGCATGTATCTGTTGGAGAAGCAACCAAAGTGCTGGCTGTTCTTGGTAAGCTCCTCCATGCCGCTGTCGAGAGTCGGTTTGATCTCTGTGTTGTATGACTTGATCTCTGCGGGTGTACTATTCTCCCAGACTTGACCAGAGCGAATAAGACAGAGATTCTCATGTGGTTCAACAGTAACAAGTCTCCCTCGGGTGTCAGACGCTTGTGATTCCTCTGTGAGTGATGGCCAGCCATCTGGCTCAAGAGTATCCGTCTGTGATCTCGGAATACGATCCCTCGCCGATCCCCAATACTCATGGGTATCAGTCTCACCACTCATTGACTCTGCGATGACTGAGTAGCCCTCTGGATCCGGTAGAGCAAATGTAGTCTCCGTATCAGTAATCGGGACTGTATACAGCTCTCTAAATACTCCGATGTCGGAAGCAGGACATAGCCCTCTGTACCACCAATCTGGAGGCAGTGCAGCTTCCCATTCTCGATAGGACGCGACATCTTTCCAATAGAGAGTGAAGACTATGTTACGATAGCCTGAAGAGTCTGTGAAGCTCGATCGGACGTAGTGGTGAGGTCCCAAGTTTGTGCGGATGGCTCGGCGAATGGTGTCGATTGCGTCGGAGGGGTCGGTTGAGGGGAGATGTTGAATGCCGAGGTCGATCGTGACGATGGCTGTTGTTTCTTTGGGGAAGCGTGCGGAGTGGGAGGCTTGTTGAGGGCCTCTGAAGCAACGAGGATGATGGAGCGGTTGAGTGCGGTTGACTTTGAGATGGTTTGGAATGGCTGGCTCCAAGCAGGGCCTCTTCGGTGTGCTGTTGGTGTATTAATACAGTTGCCAACCACCAGAAACATTTTTTCATGTTGCATTGGAAACAGGTTGAAACGGTTGAACATACCTTGAAACAGTCATGTTTCAGTTTCTGACACTGGGCTAGTAGGCGAGGTAATTGTCTTTGTACTCCAGAGATTGAAGTCAACTCAATGATAAGAAGATTACAATAATTGGATCAAGATACAGAAATCTAATGAGTTCTCTAGGTAGATAAACAATGTCATGTTATACTTTTGAGCTAGCTTTCCTTCGTACGAAATGTTGATGCCGCGCCCAAAGCCGAAGGTTGCCCCAGGAGGTTACAATGTTTCGCTTGACGCTGTTGACGCTGGAAGCGAGGTGGGTCACCTGCATCTCAGCGAGGTCTAGACCAAAACTCAATTTTCACACTAAACTTCAGCAGTTAACGTTGACGGCGAAGCTAACGATAGCGGCGCTGTTGACGCTGAAGACGCTGAAGACGCCGAGGATCACGTTGCTAAATAATTTTATGTAATGGAACACTTTTCTCTATAGCTGGATACAATGGTCAAACCTTTTCTGTGCCATGACATGGATAGATATAAAGGCTCTAATTTTGCATAATACGTTCAAATCTTATCAGTAGGCTGTTAATAAACGAGCATCAGTTCATTGAGCTAAGCCAACATGGACGCCAACCCTACACCAAACTCTTCCAACGACAAACAAGACAAAGTCCGAGTCTACGTCGTCCAACGATGTCCCCGTCTCTTAGACCTCGAACACGGCGTCCACACAGCAATTGAAGAGATCGCAACAGCAGCAAGGGCTGGAGCCAATCTCATCGCATTCCCCGAAACATGGCTGACAGGCTACCCTGCGTGGGTATTCGGCATGGCAAGCTGGAACGACCCCGAAGCACGAAGTTGGTATAAACGACTCGTCGAGGCTAGTCCAACGGCTTCAAGTTCGCATATTACTCGAATCAGAGACGCTGCGAGGGAGAATAATATTGAAGTCGTTCTTGGATTTAACGAACGAGCGCGAGAAATTGGCGGGACGATATATAATAGTGTCGCGATGATCGGACGAGATGGGTCTCTTCGAGGTGTTCATCGCAAGCTCACGCCTACGCACGCTGAGAGACTTGTCTGGGCGAATGGCGATGCGCAAGGTCTCAGAGCCTATGACACTAGCTTTGGCAGAATTGGTGCGGCGGTTTGTTGGGAACACTTCCATCCTCTCATCAGACAGGCTCTGCACACCGAAGATGAGCAGATCCATATCGCGCTGTGGCCTGATATGCCTTCGGCGCATCAAGTCGCTTCTCGCCAATATGCTTTCGAAGGGCGATGTTTCGTTGTAGCGGCAGCTTCGTATCTAGACAAAGAGTCTGTCCCACCCGAGCTGCTCGAAGCATACGTCAAAGGTGCTGGGTCAACGGATCTGTTCACCGGTGGCTCGAGTGTCATCGGGCCAGATGGGGAGTACGTTGCAGGTCCCGTATATGGTCCCGAGCCTTTGGTGGTTGATATCGATATTAGTCAGACGATTGCTTATAAGCATGATCTAGACGTTGCCGGCCATTATGGCAGGCCGGATATCTTTAAGCTGTCGGTAAACAGGGAGGGTGATCGGAGATGAAGTATATAGATAGCTCTCAAAACAAAGCCAAGTTCCAACCACGATGCTTTGACACGTCCTGCCATGCAACTGCCCTCGGTCCGTTGACTGTCCAAATCTCATCAAGAACATCAACACAAGCATCAACATTCTTGAACTTCCTCCACTTATTCATTGCCACCAATCTTTTTCTGATGACACTGGCTTGTCTTGCATTCTCAGCTCTACTTCCAGCAACAAAAAGAGGAAACAGTAAAGAGCATTCCGCGAATGCGCCTTGGGGTATCCTGTCTGACAGGCTAGATATAGCCTCAATATGCGTCGCAATCCCTCCTGGTACTACTTCCGCCACAATATGTTGTGAGAACCGTTTTCGTAGAACTGACTCGAGGTATATGAACGCCGCACCGCGATATGTCTCACTCAACAGGGCAAGAGGCTCATCGCTCGTGATGCCAGCCTTGCACTTCCACTCTGCAAGACCATTAGCAATTTCGTACGCCTTCTGTAGCATCTCTTCGTCAGATTCGATTGTGCTCAAGACACTTATCTCGGATAGGTAGAAAATAATCCTCGGAGCATAAGCGCAATATGGATCTGCCAGTGCATCATCGCTCGACATCCAGTAATCGCCCGTCAATAAAGGCTTCCGATCCAGCGATATACTTGTCAAGCTATCGTGATAGGCGAAAAACCGAAGTAGCCACTTTGCTTCAAAGCTCAAGTTTCTTGACGATCGGATTGAGTCGAGACATGCTGCTGCACCAGCAACATGACATGTCCAACCCACGCTCGTTCCATCTGAGATTGTTTCCAATGCGCACATTACCATTGCGATGGCAAGGCGCATTTCACTTGTGAGGCTATTGTCTTCATCGAGAGAACTTCTGAACGCGGCCAGGACGCGGCCTCGGTGTTGGAGGGATATGTCGTTGAACTCTGGGTTACACATTGCTAGATGTGTTGACGACAATGCTGTGATAGCGTCCAAGAGAACCGGACAGTCAAACGCCATTGGTAGTAGCACCGAGATAAAGCAGTTGTTCTCTGTATTCGTCGATAACATCTGCGCCAGAGTCGTAGTGTAATATCGCAACATACTCCTCCTCCCCGTACTCAAATCCCCAGAATGCCCATCATCAGGCCGCACCACATCCACAGGCTCACTGATCCCCGTACACGCATCAGGATACCTCACCACAGCCCCCGGTGACTTTCTAACCCGCCGTGGTGCTTGGTACTCGCAGACGAGGTTGAGTCGCGTACAGTCTCCACAAACAGGCATCATCGTATCACATTTCTTCTTGCGCTGCCGACACGTCAAGCATCCATGCTGCTGTCGCGTAAAAGGTTTCTTAGTGCGCTTTTTCGTCGCCGGTGCCGAGGGGGAGTCTAGAATGCTGGTGGATAATGGGGTTTCGGAGGGGCTGGTCATATTTGCCAAGGTAACGCTGCAGGGCAGGTAATCAATGTACTGTGTGAGGTGAGATGGGAAGTGGGAGAAGAGAAGATGAGTGGAACGTGGATCGGCTCCTGGGCTATGGATTCGCAATATCCGCTAACTCGGAACGGAGACGTCAAGCTAGTTAATGCAGGGTTTACCCCGCACTTTTACGATAAAGTCAATCAGCCAGCTCCCAGTGGTCCGAGGAATCATTAGTGCCTGGGGCTGACTGAATAATTCCGCACTCTTCACGTTAAACTAAGCTGGGAACGCACCAGCATTTCTGTATTCCTCCTTAGTCTCATTGTTAGTAATCACTCCAAACTTGGAGATAAGCTTCCAGACCATTCTTATCGCTCTTGACGCCCTTGACGCCGAAGCTTCTCCACAATCCCAGCGTTCCGGTTACCTTATCTTGAGCTAATGTTAGTAGGACGACAACGTCAAACGAGGCATCATTCTTATCATAACACCGGGTTCAGTATCCGGATAGATTCAGTATGTCGGCGATTGAGAAGATGCATATATAGATGTTGACCATCTCCACGTCAATATCGCTCATCATTTCCTCCAATAGTCCTATATGGTCTACCTCTGCATCTAGAGCAGTAACACAGTGACATCCCCCTTGACCTTCTTCACCCTTTCTTACTTGTTGATTTGTGTACAAACATCACACGACCATGAAGGGAGACTCTCACGACACAATGGCTCCGTCTGGGCAGTCGGGCATCGGCTCCGTCGTCTCATGCGAGCCCTCACCCGACTGCAAACCCCAGGACGAAGATGCAAACTATCAACAAACCCACCTCCGAAAGCGTTTCACACTTGTATCTACAATCGCATTCGGCTTCACAACCATGAACTCCTGGGTCGCTTTTGCTTCAGGCCTCGCCGTCCCCCTCTCATGCGGCGCTGGACCAACTCTCATTTACGGTCTCCTCGTCGGTGGCGTCGTCATGACCATCCTCGCAGCAGGATATGCCGAACTTGCTTCTGCCTTTCCATCTGCTGGTGGCCAGTACCATATCGTGTACATGACGTTCCCAGCTTCGACTCGTCGATTCGCTGCGTTCTTTACGGGGTGGATGTCGATTCTATACACCATGGGCGCTACGGCTTCGTGCAGTTTCTTTGTCGCACAGTCGATCCTTAGCCTGGTGTCCTTGTGGAATGAGAGTTACGTTGCTCAGAGCTGGCATGTATATCTCGTCCACATCTGTCTATGTACCACCGCATTCCTGGCTGCCTCTCGCTTCCCAGCAGCCATCGGAAGTATCGGTGTCTCTGTGTTCTGGCTCTCAATCATCGGCTTCATCGCATCCCTTGCAACGCTCTTGGCAGTTCAAGAAGTAAAGCAGCCCAGCAAATTTGTCTTTACAGAATTCACAAACGTCTCTGGATGGACTGACGGATGGGCCGCTATGATCGGTCTCGCGAGTTGTCTCTGGGCGTATTGCGGTATTGATGCGCCGAGTCATCTCTCGGAAGAGGTCGACAACCCGAGCCGCAACATTCCCATCGCAATTGGAGCTACAATCATTCTGGGCATCATCACAGTTATTGCCTGGAACATTGGTCTTATGTATGTCATCAAAGACGTTCAAGGACTCATTGCTTCAGGTGCGCCAATCATGGAAGTGTATAATCAAGCTCTGGGCTCCAAGACCGCAACGACAATCTGGGCGATTTACTATATTCTCCTCTTCTATCACATCATTCTCAACCTGTTTGTGTTTTCTTCTCGAATTTTGTGGTCTTTCGCTCGAGACGGCGGTGTTCCTTATTCTGGCTACGTCTCTCGCCTTAGATGGTCCAACCCAGTCCGCGCAACAGCCATCATGCTCTGCCTCCAAATCATCATCGGGATCCTCTACATCGCATCGAAAACAGCGTATAGCAGCTTCATTAACCTGACTCTTTTTGCACTCAACATCACAGTTGTACTGCCACAAAGTGTCTTGTTATTTACCGGCCGCGATTCACTGCCAAAGAGGGCGTTCTCATTGGGCAGATATGGATATGTTGTCAATGCGCTGGCAACTGTGTTCATGCTTTTGTTTAGTGTTGTTTTCGCCTTCCCTGTTGCCAAGCCTGTTACTGGAAGCTCTATGAATTATCTTGTTGTTATTTTCGCAGTTAGTCTGATATTCATTGTCTCATCTTGGCTGTTGGATCTTTCCAAGCGATTCACGGGGCCATCAGAGGGAACTGCACATATCTAAAGAGACTAGCAGTCACAATAATTGAAAGCTTTTAAGCACTCATATTCTCTTAGACATAATCTACTCACTATATCGAGTACTATCAGCTTCTACAAATCTCCCGCTTCTGATCGACTTAAGCCTGTGACATGCATGCTACAAGCTGACCTTGCGCAGAGTCTTGATGGAAACTGGCCCAATAAGCCCGTGCTTTTGCCAATCTGCAGATGTATAAAAGGCAGGCGCAGCAGGACCAATCCCATTCGCCTTGACATAATCAACTCTGGCCTTGACCGCATTGAACAAGGTAGATGCCACCTCCACCCGAATCGTGTTGCTTCCCTTAACCAGATAATCCGAGAAATCAACTTGAGCATCGTAAATATCGATCGCTGGGAGCTGCTTGTCGTTGACCCAAGCTCGAATGGTGTTGAGCACAGGACCAAACTGCAGTACAGCGATGGAATCCTTGCTTGGGACTCGCGGGACCTGGAAAGTGGCTGTGTATGTACCGACGCCGGAAACATTCTGTGCTCCAGGGATCTCGGACCAAGGCTTCAAGGTCGTCTGAGTGCCAAGATTCATCGCCTTCTTGACAGATGCGGACTTTGCCTCGTCAGGACCAGGAACCCAAGACTCAAGAGTCAAGTTCCAGTTGGTGATATCGATGTTAAGTGCATTCTTCTTGTCGCTGCTACTGGCAGCAGGAATCTTCCTTGTCTGTCCATTGGACAATGTCAAGGAGGCGGCCTTGTCATCTCCCAAGATGGCGGAGATATCCTCTTTGCCATCAGAACCGTAGGAAGCGCTGATGACGTTCTCCGACTGCGACACGATGCTAGTCTTCGACTTCCCATTGGTGAATGCAATAATCGCTGTCTGGCCTTGTTCCAACGATACCTGGAAGCTGGCCTTGTCAGAAGAGCGCTTGAAGGATGCCATAGCAACTTGTTGTCCAGTCCATGCGTTCAGCTTATAAGGAACCTTGCCCGGATCAACCTCTGCCGTGATCTCAAAAGCCGATGCAGAGCCCTGGTTGAAGAGAAGAAGATAGTCCGAGCCCTTGTCCGACCTCCACACGGTGTACAAGTCTTTCGCAGCATCTGAGCCTGTCGTCACTCTTGGCTTGATGGAAAGCTTATCGAGGGCCTTGAGCAGATCATCGGCGGATTTGATGAAAGCAACGTTGGAGTACTTGGATCCCTTGAGCTTCGAGATATTCTTGCTCACAACATCCTGCCCTTTGCTCCCAATAGTAGTGCTGGGGAGACTTCCGATGACGACAATTGGAAGGCCTGCATCGGCTAACTCAACGAGCTTCTGCGATGCTTCGGGAGTGATGAACTGTTGCTGATCGAGGATGAGCGCTCGATATCCTGCACCTGCAGCGTCCAAAACCTTGTTCGTCACCTTGAAGGCTTTGGATCCAAAGTTGGCTGGCGAAAAGTACTCGTACGTGAAGCCTAGGGACTCGATTAGCACAATTTAATGGTACGGGGCCCCGCACTTACCAGTTGCTCGAAGAACTGTACCATTATACTCATCAGATACGCCAAAAGGATCTTTGTATAAGTAAAAGGCTAGGTCTTTCTTAGCCACTCCCTGCTGCAGTACAAACTGGTTTCTGGCAGTGTAGTTCATCATCTCACCCATATACTTCCACGCCGGCTGCTTTGGGCTCCATAGCTCAGTGTAGATATACTGAAACGGCGTGAATCCAGGCCAGGTCGATCCGAGTTGCTCGCCAGTGTATGTCATCCCATGGATCATCATGGCATTGACGTCGCCTGCGAATGCGTCGTGGAAGAGGGTGACGAGGGAGGGAATAGTCAGGCTATATGCACCTTGTGCGACAGCGCCGATCTCCGTGGAGATGATGTTGCGACGTCCGAGATGCGCGGGGCCGACGAATTGTGACATTTGATCTGGTGTTTTGAAGGCTAGAGATTCGAGTTCGGGGTTGTCAACAATCGGTACGTCGGCGAGCTAAAGACGGGTCAGAGAAAATTCATATCAAGGATGGTGGAAAGTATGTAAACCTACAATGTCTATAGGAATGTTATACCCAACTTGACACGAGTGAGAGAGGCCCAGCGATTCAGCCCAGGTCTCAAAGTACTGTAGATACTCCTGGTACCCCTCGTTCAAGGCCAGTCGGTAGTCCTGGAGATACTTGCTCTGTCCGTCATCCGGAGTCCCTTCGAGGTAAAAGGTGGTGTTATAGGGAGCCTGAGCCGCTGTGAAGGAAGTTGACTTATGGAACAGCAGTGGAAGATACTTGATCACATTATAACCTCGCTTGGCCTTGAAGCGATCAGGAAAATCAGGAGACCAGTAAAGCGAAGCTTGGATCTCCATGCTGTCCTCCCAAGCTACTCGTATGTTAGCGAGGTCAAAGCCAAGGCTGACGAAATTGAACATACTGTGCTTGCCAACCTCCTTGAGCAACTGACGGATCTGGGTCGTCAAGAGATTCTTCTCCCAGAATTGGGAAGCTAGCTTTGCACCAGCAGCGCTGAAATGGTCCGTGACCCAGGAGCCGTTCGCGATGACATCTGTGGGCACGCCATCGCAGGATCGCTGGTTAGTGTAGCGCTCGTAGTGCGCGAATAAAACATACTCTTCGTAATCCTTTGGCGCCGTCCATGTGAGCTTGCCGTTCTTGACGTTGTTGGTAAGGTCGATCAGTGACTTCTCATGCAGGGCGACGAAAACATTGCTGTCATCAAAGGAGTTTGCTTCAAAGGAATTAGTAAAGGCATGGCTGTCGGAGTGGGTATTCCGTGCAGGGAATGGCTTACTAGAAGCGATGGCAGCGGCAGAGACCCCGATAAGGCGGTTACCACCAAACTTTTCCTGGGGATGAATATACCCCAAATTCTCATTCCAGTCAATATCAGCAGCTGGCAAAGCCCCATCGAACTTCTCTCCTCCCTTGACAGACACCTTCCCATAGACGAGCTGCACAGCAAGACCAGGGGTAAGCGGCTTGGACGGAACGCCCTGACCCTGGCTAGCACCCAGCGCTACGTCCATCGACAGCCCATTCTCTTTGGTAGCTTCAAGCGCAATCTGGAGAACATCTCTAAACGCAGGCTTGCCAAAAGCATATGTCTCCATCTTGGAGTCGTTCACGCCGCCGAAGCCATAGTTGTAGAACGGGAGGAATTCCAGACCGCCGGCGCCGAGCTCTTGGAGGTCTTGGATGTCGGTTTTGAGGACATCGTGATCGACATCTGCATCTGGAAGCCTTTGTTGGAAGGTATGAGTGAAATGTTGATGTTTTGTGGATTGGTGAGGTTACTTACCAGTATCTGAACTTGGGACGATACTCGGCTGCAGGAGCTTCGAATCCTGGGATGGCATTGGTCGAGGGGATGATACCTTGCCCGACGACTGTACTGACAACAGCCGAGGAGGCAAGTAATTGGTACCCGTAGAGACGCATCTCGCTGAGTGACCAGTAGTAGGTAATGAATGTTCTCCTTGGTAGCAAGGAGATTGGTTTCTGCAGAGAGCTAAGAGCCTCTTTTTATGTCCATTTCCAATCTCGCGTCTCGGGCAAGTTGTCAGCGAGATCTACGTCCCCAAGGCATTGCCTAAATCAGCCATCGTTGTGTATTATGGCGAAGTAAACACCCTCTATAGGCGCTTCCCCGAAACTTACCAAGCGTTTGCGGAGAAGCTTAGTCGTATTAAGATTAGCAATGCCGATTCAGGGGATTACCCCGTGGGGAAATGGAGTACATTAAACGCCATGTGTCTTTAGGCATCGGAGCTCATTTTGGGACTAGGGTACAGGTTAGTGTCTCGCTCTCGCCTCGTTCCCGTTGCTCACAGTGACTTTGGTTTACGCCGGTGAGATTTACCAAGATCCGTCTGGGAAATTGTACCTCTGATACAATTCTTGATATATATATATATATATATACATATATGCATGTGTTACTTAGAACATAGTTTACTTTATTTTCTGTTCAGAACAACATTTTTAATGTAAAGCCTGGCTGTGAAAATCCCTCGTTTACCGCATTGCTTACCTCGTTTATATCTCGTTCCACTCACCCCTGCTTCCTCCGCCTCGGCGTTTGTTACTCCGTCTATTCACTCACTGTATACGGTGAACCCATGACAAAGACAAGTCCTTTCAATTAACTCGCAGAATAATAACTGAAACGACGCTGGCTTGCTCATGTTGCAGGCTGAGCTCGCGGATTTAGAAGATCACTACACCTCTTACGGGCCGCTACCTCCTCCTGGCCAGGCCGCACACCTTCCTCACTCATAGACAACTTCTCCATCTGTATTCCAAGTGCCATATCAGCGGCCGTTGGTCCCTGGCCACCTGCACTCGACATAGCACCCCTGTCAAGAAGCAATTTCACTGCGGCATCGTTACCTGTGAGAACTGCCAGGTGCATCGCCGTTAGCCCCATGCTTTTCTCGACAGCATCAAGCTCTGCCGGATCATTAAATCGCAATAGTAGCTCATTCATAATCTCGCGGTTTGCACTCCAATCGATGTCAGTCCAGTCCAGCTCAGCCGCCTCGGTTGCATCTGTCCCGCGGAACTCGGCGTCGATGTGAGCGGCTGCGGCGCGGTGGAGCGCCGTCCACTGCCGGGCTGGCTCGACGATGAATTCTAAGCAGTCCGCGCTGCCAAGGAGGTAGCGGAGTCGTGCGATTGAATTTCGCGCGTTGGAGGCGATGACATGGCCCAAGATAGTCGTGGGGTATGTGAAGCTCAGATGGCCACTGCTCATGCTGGTGAAGTTGATATCGGCACCATGCGATATAAAGCATTCGGCGAGTTGGAACTGGTCGTTCTGCACCGCGACGAGTAGTGGGGATTCGGTTCTGCCGGATTCGTCCGGGAAGCCGTCGAGGGGCGCGCCGTGGTCAAGAAGGGGTTGGACCAGTCGTGTATCGTTTTGCCCTGCATACGCAAGGACATGGAAAGCGGTCCACGTTGAATCTTGTCCACTGAAAGGATTCTTGGAAGCTCCCGTGGCGTGAGCTCCATGCTCAAGGAGGAGGTTGACCATCGTGGGACGATTCCATCGAACGGCCTCTAGGAGCGGCGTTCGCAGGTCAACGCCGCATGCGCGGTTAATGTCAGCGGTTTTGAACGCACCGACGTCTTGGGATTGAAGCACTTCTTCATCATAGTTTTCTCCAGTTTTGATGACGTCAGCTCCGTACTTGAGGAGATATTCAACCAACTCATCTCGGGCTAGCGAGACGGCCAGGTATAGAAGGGTTTGGTTGAAGCCACCGTAGCCTTGGGGGGAGACAAGTCTGCTGGTCCTTGGCAATAGGCACTGGAAAGTCGATTCCATCGCCTGTTGGTATCTCGACCCGTGGTATAGGATCATGTCGAACAGGCTGCTGCCGTAAACGGCCTGCTGAAGGAGACCCGTCACAAAGAAGCCGCCGCGTTTCTCTGCCCCTTGTTCGAGGTTGAATTGCTCGATGGCATGGATCATCAACTCCAGACACTCTGAACGAAGCTGCGATGCTGCAATCTCCAACGCACTTCTTGCTTGAGGCCACGATGTATTGCACATCCTCGGATCGGCCGTGTGGGATAGCAAGAATTTGACAATTTTGGGACGGTCACACTGAGTCGCTAGTTCACACATCAGCCCCCTCTAATACACTAATGATCCGAGTCATGTAGTTTACGAAAGGCGTGAGAATGGATAGACAATAGAAGACACTCACCCCATCCGATTGGATGACCCTCCGGGAGCCGATCAATATCTAGCGATGCCGGGAACCCTGCTTGGTAGGCGATGAATGTGGTCGTCTTGGCATTTACATCCGCGCCGGCTTGGATCAGCGCTGGGCCAACGCTTTCAATCTCCTGATCATCAAACGATATCAGCCAGTGGAGCGGAGACTCTCCATTCCGCGCCACCGACGCCGTTGCTCCATTGGAAGTAAGCCACAATACCGTATCATGCTGCCCAGCGCGGCAAGCACAGAGAAGCGGCGTCTCGCCTTGATCGTTGAGCTGATTAACTTCAAGTGACGGAAAGTGATTCAATAGAGCCCCGATGGCTTCCGTCTGACCGCAACTTGCGGCCACATGAAGAATCCGGTCACCTCGCTTGTTGGCTGTGTAGTCGGCGATGGAATCGAACTGAGAAAAGTTCTCAAGCAAGATGGGAATGTTTTCAAAGGTTCTGATCCACATATTGTGAGCGAATCCGTGGAGCATTTCTGCCTTGAAGAAGAAATTCGCGCCTGTGCCTGCGAGGACGTCACGGATGGTTTTCTTCGTCTTCTCGTAGGTATCCTTGGAGAGCATGGCTAAATCTTCGAGGGCAGTTCTCGAACCACGTAGGGCCATTAGTTCCAGCGTTTCGATTACGCTGTGTGGGTTATCAGGCGTGCGCCCGATGGCCTGCGCGATTCTGTACCCGTACGCCGACGCCAGTGGATGTTTCACTCCCCAGGCGTTAAAGAGCCATCTCAATGCTTGCGATGTATCTTTGTCTACACCGTATCCGTTGATGTAGAGAGCCGTGAGAAGGAACGCCTCCGGTGGGTTTATCATACCTTTCTTAACCTCGCCCTCGCCTCTTTGGATGTATGTTGTTGTCAGGTACCTCTGAACGGAAGGGTCCATCCCTGTCCAGTGGCGCCACGTGAAGAAATGTTGCTATGGGAGGTGAGCTTCCAATGTATTTGACGGGAAAGCCTATCATGACTTACATTGAGGTTCGATTTCAACACTTGATTCGGCTCCGCACTGGTTCGGTCAGTTCCCTGTCCTTATCACGTATCGCCTGTTGTGAATCTCAGTACCTATCTTGAGTAAACGAACCATTGTGGCCCAGGGCGACCATGATTTGTTCTAGGTCCCTTTGTTGTGGCTCATTCGACAATCCTATTGTCACAGCTCTTTTCATCGTTTCGTATGAGCCCAAACTTTCAACAGTTGCGATCAGCTGTTGCTTCAGTGGCTCCATCGCTTGAAAAAGCGCGGGTGGAATTGCACACAGAATCTTTTCAATGTCGTCAATGCCAAATGCTGGGTTGTTGGCCTGTGTGTTGTTCTGCTGCAATTGCTGCTGGAGAGACTGGAAGCGCTGGAGGAACTGGCCGGTGTCGCCATAAGTAGTGGCCATAATGGCTTTCAGGTACCATGCAGAAATATCTGTCTGGGCTGCTAGCTCCTGGGTTTCCTTCAGATTCTCCGCTTCCGCGTAGAAGTCTTCGCCTTGTTTGGAGGGGTCCACGAGGAGTTTGAAGATGTTTTGACCATGCGCAAATGTACACCAGATAAAGAGGGACAATGAGTATATGTCGGTATACTTTGCGTCTGATGCTGCGACTGCTGTCTTCGCCTCCGGGGCCTTCCACGGCCGGGTTCCTCCTAGCAAGAGGCTGCTCCTTTCAGTATTTATCACCTGGGAGTAGCCGAAGTCATTCACTTTGGCTCTGTACTTGTGCTCTGCATCTGTAAATATCAAGACATTCTGTGCCTTGATGTCGCCATGAACGATACCGCATGAATGAAGCATATGCAGGCCTTTGCAGACATCAAGGCAGAGCTTACGGCGAGTCTCTATGCCGAGATACTCCCTCTGCTGCAGTTGCCAGAGGCTCCCGTGCTCCGCAAACTCTACCATGAGAACTGGCAGTTTCTGCGACGAGTTAAATGGGTTTGCTCCCCATGCCAATCCAAGAAAGTCTACGAGATTGGGGTGTTGCAGGATTGGGCGGTGCGTCGAGAGGTAGAGTTCCATGATTGCAGCGTCTATGGCGTGTCGGGACGTTTGAGTGGCTTCACCTTTATCTGAAAACTCGATGACGGCCACTTTGTATGCTACAACCTCCGGTAGCTTCCGTTTGTCCCTAATTTCGATCAACAGGCCGTCCATGTTTGTAACCGACGTTAGTGGCTTCTGGGGCGGGATGCGACGTCGATACACGGTGAAGCTTGCGCCCCGGCCGGCGAATGAGGCGCTGTCCACAGCTTGCGCATTGGAAAACACCGGAGGGACTGATAATGCAACGGCATTGTCAGCCAAGAAGGCTCGGTAGGCAAAGTCCAAGGCGTTCGGGATGAAGCGCGCATCGTCTAGGGTTTCAGGGTCATAGGGCTTAAAGGTCGTAGGATCGGAGGTTTCCCCCCCAAAAGACGTCAGATTTCTTCCTGACGAGGAATCCATTTCGATTTGGGGATCAGTAATTGGGTGATAGATGTTCAAGCTGCTCAGATCAAAGCATGAAGGCGGGACGATAATCCAGGTTTGACCAGGCGGGGGGGCTTGAAAGAAGTGGATCCGTTGCCTTGGCTTCTTTCAAGGGTTCCGTGTTGCTGGTAAGCAAATAGTTATTTATTATGAAATTACTGATTTGCGGCTGAGGTACTGCATCTTGCCTCAGCCTGCTATGCCATTGACGATGTTATTAGGATGACTGGAGCACTTCTGCGAAAGATACCAAGTGGAGTGGACCAAAAAGTGGAGGAGTGGGCTAAAAATAAGTCACTGCGTGGTCAAACGATTTGGTTATATTTTAGCGAAGGGATATATGATCATTGACTGTTGACAAGAGCCTAAAGGGTCCGCGGCGCCAGTACAACAGTGCTCGGGGATCTAAATATCGGATAATTGCACTTGCATTAGCCTCATACAACAGCTAGGCTAGGATCTTGCCCGGCTGGTTAGGCACCATCCACCATCACACGCCTATCCGACACAAACCCCGTAGGCGATCAACCGAGACGCAGACAACAATTTAAAGGAGAGATACCTCTATTGCGCATCCATTATGGACCCCGGAACAGCTCTTGCTGTGGTGTCCCTCTCGTTCGACCTCTTTGCAAGCTGCGTTAGAGGCTTTACCTTGATATCTGACGCTCGAAACATCGGAAAGGATGCAGCCATCGAACGAACAAAACTCGTGCTTCAAGAGCACCGACTCATCGAATGGGCCAGGGCTATCGGCCTCAACCCTCCCAGAGACGATGGATCACTGGAGATACACAAACATCCCGCCGCTCTCATTCTGTTCCAGCTGGAGCAGCTTCTCTCCTCAACGGACGCTTTGAAAAAGCGCTACAAGTTGGAACTCGTGTCTCCGCCTAATGACTCCGATGCCTTGGTCCCTTCCGAACCAGCCATCGTCTCGGATAACCCGGCTTCGTCGATCCTTTCAAACATCGTGTCACCCGAGATTCGCCAGGGCATCCTCAAGCGCGCATCTACGCTTAGCACCACGAACCGGTTCCCACGGCGTCTTTATTGGGCCGCTGTCGATAAGAAGAAGTACGCGGAGCTGGTGCAGGATGTTACCGGGCTTGTCGATGGGCTCTGGTCTCTCTTGGACATTCCTCACCGGATCCAGACGTCTCGCGCAGTCAACCAGACGCTGCAACTCGCTATCCAAACGAGTCAAGACATCAAGGGTCTTCAGGATCTCCAGAAATCCCTTCACGACTCATTCGCAGATGCTGGCGTTAGAAACGGCCTCGCTGCCTCGGCCGGCCTCAAGGCACAGCATATTCTGCTCACATCACATAGTGGTGATGCCCAGAAACAACCGCACTCCGATGGTGGGACCAGCCTTGCACTACCAGCAGAACTCCCATCGGTTCTTGACCCTTCCCAGCTGTCTGGCATTCATATGATGACATCAACCATTGGATCTGCCCTGTACAAGGGAGACAGCGTGCTGGTAGAAGAGAAGCGTGTGCAGCCGAGAATGAAATCGAAGCTTAAACCGCGCGTCGAGGCCCTCGTGCGTCTACTCTCGCAGCCCCCCACGCCATCTTTTCAGACATTCCCTTGCCTGGGATACACTGAAGAGCAGGGGGGCTTCCGGTTGGTCTTCAGTTTCCCTCCTGGCATCGACAAGCCTCCCTCCCTGCTCAGCGTATTATCAAAATCCAGCGGACCACTGCCAGATGTCGGCATGAGACTTCGTTTAGCTGCGCAGGTGTGCCAGACACTCCTGAGCTTCCACACAGCAGGCTGGCTCCATAAGGACATGCGATCCGAAAACATTCTCCTCGTCTCTCCCGCCTCCAACCCGTCAGTTGACCGCCAAAGTAGACCATATCTCTGCGGTTTCTCATTCGCACGACAAGGTTCGCCGACCGAGATCAGCGAGCAGCCATCCGAAGATCTCTCACGGGACATTTATCGGCACCCCAAAGCTCTCGGAGAGCCTTCGGACAGCTTCGAGCGCTACATGGATGCATATTCTCTCGGCTGCGTTCTGATAGAGATCGCAGAATGGGCACCCCTCCGAAAGATCGTCAAGAAGCGCGTTGATATCAGCGACAGCAGTGGCGTGACATTGGCTGACGTTGCATCGCTCTCGCAGTGGATGCATGATCGATACATAACTGATGGATATGTAGGCTTTCGACTCGGGGCTGGGTTTGCGAGGATGCTTGCTCTGTGCATTCCAGCAGGAGACGAAAAGCCGAACTTGGCTGATTACTATTCTGCACTTGAGAGCATGGCTACTTATTCAATTGATATTTGAAATGAAATCTACCCCTTGGCTCGAGGCGGCGGCAGGGGCAAGTAAGCAAGCTTAATATTAAAGTTGAATCGACTGAGAAAGAGTCACGAGGATTGGAATGCCCAAGGACAGTAACCTGCAGCTTGTCAAAGATAAACCGCCGTTATCCTCGTCATCGTCGCCGTTTCTTCCTGTCGGGTCAGGAAAAAGTTGCGCTCTGGGACCTGTCCCCGTCTTGGTACTCCAACCCCACATGTCTTTTCTTGTAGCCGTTCCTGTTCCCGTAACATGAGCCTCGGTACCAGTATACCATTCCTCCATCGCTTCCGCCGAGTATCCATTCCCCATACAGTAAGAAGCGTAGTAATGCCTCATAGTTTCAGCATCCTGCGACTCCTGTCCATTCGAGCAACTCGCCTGTGCGCAGCTGTCGATGTGCTTGCTGACTGCTTTCGCGTTATCGCTGTCGGTCGCGCAGTAGCATTTCTCTTGGTATGGTGCGCCGCAGTTTAGAGCGCTGCCGACGTCGGCGTTGGGGTTGTTGGGACGGAAGAGGCATGGTCGGACGCATTGCTCGACGTCGCCTGGAATCTGGCGGAAGATATTGACTGTTTGGGAGAGGGACTGAGTCGCGAGGACCAGCAGTGCAATTGATCTCATGGCTATGGATGTCATTCTGAGGACGATAGCTTGGAGATGAACGACTGAGGCGTGGATGATTGTTGATCAAATAGTGAGAAGTCAAATTGAAATAGTCATGTACTGCGGCACAAACATGACAGATTCTGTGCGGCGTAGTCGACTTTATCTGCAAATTCCAGGCGATGACTCTTCCCCTCATGCGCATGGGTTGGCGGTTGCGCAACCAATTACAGGCTGTCTTCCCTGCCAAGACTGTAGATCTCTGTTTCCTAGCCCTGCAGCTTCTTGTTCATCACGGTCATCACCAACACGAAACTATAAATATTTGATTCTCCTTGTCACGCCCATAGGATTTAGTCAAACTAAGAAAGCGTAAAAGAAACTACTAACTCGCAGGGAGAGTGGTAGAGTCAACTGAATACAGTCACCAGCGGCGAGTAGTGATCTGGTCAGCCTCGGTCGCCGCCAGATAATGGTGATCAATTCTCGAGACCAAGCCCAGTTCATAGTGCGCATATACCTCTAAGGGAAAGTATTTTTCGTAAATAAGTCAGACAGGCCATTCCAGCTGCTCTTGGTGGCTGAGCTTATCTGCGATCTGATCTGCAATTCTCCGCGTACGGCTCAGGCCGAAACGCCAAGATCGTATACGCGTATAGAGCTTGACCCATATCATAACAACAATCAACCTATATATATATCAACATCAGATCCGAAAAAGATCTTAACAGCTCTGCTTATTTCCAAGCTCAAAGTGACACACTCTGATTCAGTCTTCTGGTTTTCATCTTCTTTCGACATCTTGCTTCCGCCTTTCCCTCCACGCACTCTGCCATTCAATCTCCATCTCAGCATCAAACAACCGACACCATGGGCATCCGAGACTTTTTCGACAGCCGCTTCTTTGAGCACAGCTGGAAAAACAAAGTCTTCATCCTACAAGTCGTCACCATCACTATCGCTTTCATCCTCGGTATCGCCAAGGTTGCGACGAAACCATCAGGCATCCCAATGACCAGATCAGACATCATGGCCATAACAATGGTGGGCTACCTTCAGTCTCTGACCAACGCCACATGACTAAGCTTACAATTTCAGAGTCTCAAATCGTACGCGTTCCTAGCCTACGAATCCCTCACCCAAAAGGTCGACAAGTTCAAGAGATTCGGAAGTCTCAAGGCAAACGCGATTCTGAACACCATGGACATCGTCTTCTGGGCGGTTGTTATGGGCTTGGCGTTCAACATGGCCACCAAAGTATGCATCGGTGCGAACTGCGCAATTGGTATCCTGGTCGGCCTGGTAGCCTTAGTCGTTACGTAAGTTCCTTTGCCTCGTTGTCATCGAGGAACTGGCTGACACTGCGCAGAATCGTCAACTTTTGGGCGTCTGTTATTGCTTGGAAGGATCACAAGTACTTCAAGCACAATGGGGTTCGACGTGTGCATGGATCTGAGAAGTAAAGCGATCAGCCTGGGTGGAAGACTCTCATCATGGTAACTGAGCCACTCTTTCGCTTGGTGGTATTAAAGGTACACGAAAGGCCATTCTTGACTGTACCGGGTGACGTAGATGGTGGAGGAAATTTTACGATAAATGAGAATTTGAGACACGCGATAGACAATGAACATTTGAACCTCTACCATAGATCTACGTGAACTCATGGTACGTGATTTGGTGGTTGCTTGAGCACCTACCCTGACGAACTTGAGTAGTAAAGCTAGAACCTTAGGCTTATGTCAGTCTTATGTCGAAACTTGGGATACAGTGCTTTTACTATATAAGCTGGTTTACAATAAAAGAAATAACCTATAGTAATATAGCAGCTATATTTTAATTTATCTATAAGACTTAGAATGAGCCAGCGTAGTCTAGACTACCCTAAACTTTAGCAACTCGGCGTGCCGTGGACCCACAGAAGAAGCCATAACTAATAAAGTCTAGCGTGAAGCGGGAACGAGTCAAGGGCGGCCGAGCAAAGACATTCTTTACGCGTATTCATTGTCTCCACATTCAATCCGTCGTTCTCGCTCACTGCCTCATAAGGCTTGGGCAGCTTGGCTCACGTAACTCGACACTGGTCAATGAGATTCTCTTCCGATTGATCGAGACACGTACGTAAATCCGGTCGGAGATTTAATTTGAACATTTCTCGTATATTAGCTTTCCCCAAGATTGTTATTTTGTCCGAGAAACATTGTTGTTGATGGCTCTGAGACACACGCGCTGGAGCCATGAGTCGGGTTTTCGTGTACGAGTGTTTCTTGCGATACGCGTATTTGGTGATAGCGTCGTTTCGGCCATTCCGCTTTTTGCTTCCAGTCAATTAGCTGCCATGTTTTACGGTCGGATTTCTTATAACATGGCGTCTCGCCGCCCGGCAGCTAAGGATATTCTCAATGACTTTCGACCCTTCTCATCCTTAATCAACTTCAGCAATCATGTCTCCAGCACCAGATGACGAACAGTCCAACCGACAGACGAGATATTTCGAGCTCCCAGCGAATGGAGAACATACCGTCCCACTAACAGACGAACTCCCCCCCTACGAAGCACTAGCGGAATTAGAAGCCACGACCACTAGCCGTGAAGATGGACGAATTGACATAGACCTCAGTTCGAGAATAGCTCGGCGACTGTCGAAACTCGTTCCTTCGGGAAAACCTCCCATTTCTTATGGACAGAATCAACCGCCCGCATACACCGAGACAAGCGGAAAGAGCATTCGTCTCAATATCGTCATCCAAGTCGTTGGCAGTCGAGGCGATGTTCAGCCCTTTGTCGCGCTAGGTACTGAATTACAGCGCCATGGCCACCGAGTGCGACTCGCGACACACGGTCAATTCGATAAATTCGTGAGAGAATCTGGTCTAGAGTTCTTTTCCATTGGCGGCGACCCCGCAGAGTAAGTTTCCCCAGATTTAGTTACCGACGCAGCTAACTCTGTAAAGACTGATGGCCTACATGGTCAAAAATCCTGGTCTCTTCCCTAGCATGAAGACACTGCGCGGAGGCGAAATCCAACGAAAACGAAAAATGGTGGATGAAATGTTGCACAAGTGCTGGAGCTCGTGCATTGAGCCTGATGAACTTGCAGGACGACCATTCGTCGCAGATGCCATCATTGCAAACCCGCCTAGCTTTGCGCATATTCATTGTGCGCAAGCTCTCGGCATCCCGTTACATCTGATGTTTACGATGCCGTGGACGAGCACGAGAGAATTCTGTCATCCACTCGCGAATCTCAAGTCTGATGGGAGTGATATGTCGGCGACAGCTGCGAATTATGTGTCGTATTCATTGGTTGAGTGGATGACTTGGCAAGGGTGAGTTTGATGGATTGCCTGAAAGTGGCAGTGTGCTGATCGCAGACAGACTTGGCGATATCATCAATGCGTGGAGAGACACAATAGACCTAGAACCGATTCCTTTTAGTGAAGGGCCCTGTTTGACCGAGACGTTGGGGGTTCCAGTCACATACTGTTGGTCTCCAGCTTTGGTACCCAAGCCAGCCGACTGGCCTGAGAACATCGGTATGTCGCGATCCATGCCCTGTGGATCACTCGCTGACAATAGCCTAACAGATGTATGCGGCTTCTTCTTCCGCGATACTCCAAAATATCAACCTGAGGCAGCTTTGCAGCAGTTCTTGGCCAGTGGTCCGCCACCGATATACATCGGCTTCGGCAGTATCGTAATCGACGACCCCCGGAAGTTGACAGCGACAATTCTGGACGCTGTTCGTGCGACTGGAACACGGGCAATTGTTTCTCGAGGATGGAGTCAGCTTGGTGGTGATTCGCCTGGTGACGGTCAAGTCTTTTTTCTGGGAGACTGCCCGCACGAGTGGCTGTTTCAGCATGTCACTGCGGTGATACATCACGGAGGCGCTGGAACCACAGCTTGCGGGCTTCTCAACGCAAAGCCTACTACTATTGTGCCTTTCTTTGGAGAGTATGTCGTCGCCTTCCTAACTTTGCGGCTTATGCTTACCCAGTGAATAGTCAGCCGTTTTGGGGAAACATGGTCCACGCTGGTGGTGCAGGTCCAGCGCCCATTCCCTTCAAGGCCCTTAACAGCAGTAATCTCGCCGAAGCTATTCTATTCTGTTTGACACCTGAGGCTTCGGCAGCTGCACGACAAATCGCCGATAAGATGTCAAGTGAAGCTGGCGTCAGGCGAGCCGTGGCATCCTTCCATGCAAACTTACCTCTCAACGATATGCGATGTGACCTTTTACCCAATCGTTCTGCAGCATGGCTTTACGACAAGAAGGGCAAGAAGATAAAGCTGTCCAAGGTAGCTGCTGAGATATTAGTTGAGAATGAGAAGTTGTCGTGGAATAACCTCAGGGTGTATGTTGCACTGCGACAAGCATGGAAAGAGTTTGCTGACCGTTTTATAGTTACCAACCGCAACCAGTTCATATTGAGAACCGCCGTTGGGATCCGTTGACCGCGACACTTTCGACGCTCGCCACGACAGGAGTTGGTATGGTGACATCGGCCTCTGACATCGTCGTCAAGCCCATCCAAGCTCTACGGCCAGTGACCCCAAGCGGTAGCAGATCAGCCAGTCGAGATCGATCAGGCGCTAACTCAAAACGCCCCTCGGAGGAGGATGTCTTCGGCAGACCAGCAGGCATGGATCTCCCCCCAGCACCAACAACCACCAAAGACAAAGACCCCCATCACGGTGCCCTAGCAGCCGTCAAGGGCTCAGCTTCCGGTGTCGGCGGCTTCTTCAAACACTACTCCAAAGGCATGCTTCTCGACCTCCCCTACGCCGTAACAGAAGGAATGCGTAACGCGCCCAAACTCTACGGCGGCAAAGCCTACGACCCCGGTGCCGTGACAGATTGGAAATCAGGCGGTATAGCAGCGGGCAAGAACTTTGCGCACGGTATGGTTGAAGGTATAGGCGGTATAGTGTTAGAGCCTATGCGAGGGGCGAAGAAAGAAGGTGCTGCGGGCGCGGCGAAGGGTGTTGGTATTGGATTGTTGAATTTGGGGACAAAGGTTGGTTCTGGGGCTCTTGGGTTGTTTGCGTTGCCAAGTCAGGGGGCGTATATGAGCGCGAGGGCGCTTGTGAAGAGGAAGACTGGGAGGAGTATTATGGAGGCGAGGAAGATTGAGGGGAGGGATGTTGTTGAGAATAGTGATGAGGCGGAACGCCAGAAGAACAGGGCAGCTGTGATAGAGGGATTTGAGACACTGACGGGAGAGAAAACGAGGTAGCGAGGCATAAAAATTGAGTTCATAGAGCAGACTACGTATATACTGTCTATTAGAGGAGAACCCCGACATCATGCCTGGTATTTGCATTACGGCTACTCAGGGAACAAGTCAGTCCTCTGATATACTATGTAAATAAAACCTTTATCGGAACCAGAGCCGAAATTTCTGGTTATCATGAGAGTTTGCCTCGAACGTAATAAAAGGTTGTCCACTCTCGCCTTTGCCCCCAAAAAGGTCAAGATAAAGATGGGGATATTTACAAGAGCGAAAACTATCAATGAAAATATATGTCAATACTATAAGTCCTGCGACTCATTTAGAATGGGATATAACTCACCTGACAACTTGATCTTCAGTCATGTTATTGATATCCCCTCCTTCCATATACCAGCGAAACTTCTCGTCCCAAATGTCGTTCGTTTCGCAATCAACGTGTCGCTTATGGCCTAGGTTTCACCCCGTGTTACTACTATATCAGGTCGGCTCTTTGCATAATACATACCATAGGCAGACAGGAAGCCGCCGGTCACTGGACTCTTGATCATAACACGAGTATCGCCCGGCAAATCGGTAGAGAATATAATCCAATGCTGGTTCGGATTGGTCTCCCAGGTCTTATCGTCACTAAGAAAGACAATATTAAAATGCGAGTGGGAGAGACTGGAGAGAGAATGGGTATGGTCTCACAATGAGATAACAGGAGGGTAGCCTCCACCTCCGCCCTTCAGATCAACAAACATGCCTCCAACCTGGCTGCGAATGTTGACCTTTCTTTTCTGAATCCACTGTTCTCCACCACTTTTACTGTCTTCAGGCATTTTGTGTAACAGAAGGGAAAGTTGACTTGGCAAAAGAATCGGGTGAGAGGTGAAGGCAAGTGACGGAACTGACTCAAAAAACAGGGAAGCCCAGGATTTTAAATTTGGAAGAGAAAGAGCTGATCAAACTTGCCCAACAATGGCCAGAGCAAGTATAAAGTCTATGGCTGCGAGGGAGCCTGTGTTGAGTGTCTTGTGACTAAATCACTTCTAGCTTTCGTATTGTGACTAACGTCTTGGCGACCTCATCGTGGCTGGCTGAAAACTTACTGCATAGCGCGCCTGGGCCGTTTGCACCAGAGTTGGTCCAACGAGGAGTAGAAAATGGTCTAGTGTGCTTTTACTCTCTCAGATGACGATTCATAACAAACCTCTGGACTGTCGTGGCTTTTTTACTTCTGCATGGTTGCAATACAACGAGGAATGTTCCAAAGTGCAGGCCGCATCGGATGTTGACTTTGGAACAAAACAAGCGCCGTGGCTTTGCAATTTTGAACTAACACTGTAGTTATGATCACATTAATGCATACTTCAGAGCTCATTTCTTGAAATGTTTGTTGAAAGGCGGGTCTTTTGGCTGCATCTGGCGGCATACATGATACGAAGTACGAGATATCACAATGCTAAGCCAGTGATTTCAGAGGTAATATGTTTTAGTACTAAGGAAAACATTCAGCCGTAGCAGTACGAAACTCAGCCAGCCTCTATTCAGCCATGTTTCGGACGAATTATCACCTGAGAGATTTCTCAATATGTGACATTGTGCAGCAGCGCCTCGTCTTAGCTCGCTAGTTTTATCCAGTAGCAGGATCGCACCATCCCTGTCGCCACTAAGACTTGTCACATACCACCGAAAACATGACGCATCAAACAGACTGGGAGGGGAAGGGGTCTTTCTAGATATCACTTAAATCGGGTCTGTGAATCACATTGCATATGAGACAGGGCGTGCCTTGAACAGCCCAGTGAAAATTCACAAGCCAATAGTCCAGTTCCAGAACTTTGCAGTAGTGCCAATAATCGGAAGCGGGGGAAAATGTGATCAATAATCCACAACCGTCCAGCTGTGCATATACTTGGGTCGATAGTGAGCTATCCAACCACGTAGTGAAAAAAGTTGCTAGGTACACAATTCGACTTTCGCCGACACAAATTCTTGCCAATCAACAAAAATGCCGGAAGAAGGTAATGCGGAACCGCAGCCCCAATTCATTCATTGCGGCCTTCAACTTCCGCGTTCAGAAGACGGGCGATATGATCAACCTCGCTGGTGGTATAGGGCCCGTGATCTCATAGTAAGCGCCATATACAGTACGATGACACTCTGAGCTTGAGACTGAAATCTAACCATTAGTGGACCTAACCATCATGAAACCAACATGAACCGAATTTGGTCTATTTTCTCTGTACCTGGGAAGAAAACGTTTCTTATCAAGAGCGAGGCAAATTATCAGTGGCTAGTTGCCACTGGCATGTATGCCGAGTCGGCAGGATCCTAAAAATTAACTAAGGAAATCTCAGGACATGGCCAGCGAACTAGCACAGGCAATACGCACTGGTCTGACGGCAATGCCCAGTGGATTATACAGGGCGGAGGTGTTCATAATCTGAACAGTAGCACGACTGTATCGTGAGTTTTATCTACAAGTCTACCAGCCACATCTATTAAATCTCCTCTCTTAAGATCGACGCTGAGAATATAGCCAAATGTATGGGGGGTATGTCGACAGTCATGAAGCTTAGAGCTCAGATGTGTGAGATGGAAGGTGGCCGTGCTTCGCGGCGAGGAGGCATCATCAAACTGTTGCAGGAAAGGCGCGCTCAAGCTAATATGGCAGGACGCGAGATCAAGCAGGTTGACAAACAGATCGAGTCAGCTCTGGTACGTGTTCGCATCTCCGAGGCCGACATCAAGACACAGCAAGAGAGTATCCAGCAGGCAGCTGCGACAGAGGCATGGTATAAGTCCAAGTACACAAATGAAGCCCTCTATGCGTGGATGGAAAACAGCACTCGAGCACTGTGCTTTGATGCCTACGGTCTCACAATGGACTTCATACCCGTCAGTTCAATTACTCTTAGTCAACGCGGTGCTGATAGTGGCGTCTTCGAGCTCAACCTCAATAGTGAGCGATACCTGCCCTTCGAAAATGCGGGTGCCATTAGCACATGGAAGCTGGAGTTGCCGCAACATGTCCGCCAATTCTCATATGAGTCCATCAGCGATATAATCTTGCACCTCAAGTACACATCGCGCCAGGGAGGAGCCCAGCTCCACGCTTCAGCAGAGGACGCTGTTAAACGCCTCATGGCGGCTGCCGATGGTGTTAGCGAGGGTGACGGCTTATTTGCTCTTATTGACATGGCCAGTGATTTCGCGAACGCTTGGGCACTGGTCCAATCTCAAGCACAGGCTAGGCAGACCGGCGATCTCCTGGTTTCTTTGGGCGACATTGGCATAGTACTACCCTACTGGTCCGTTGGCTACGCCGTTAAGGTCCAATCTGTCACGCTCATCTCACGCTGCAGTCCAGAAGTCGGTGCCAGATTCTCTGTCGACTTGCTCCATGGCAAAGATAGTGAAAGAAGTTTTGGGGACGGTGTCAGCCGTGCTTCTGGCTGGGATGTTCGCGAGGTCTCGAATCTTGACGCCGGGATCGCCAATTGGGGGCTTCGATTGAAGCGCAAGAATCAAGGGGAGGATCTCGAACTCACAACCGTTAAAACTATGTACTTGATCATTCAGTACACGAGCACAAAATGACTAGCTAAAGTTTGAGCTTCAGGGAGAAGCCTTTGTGATTATGGGAATACATTTATATTTTACATTATTGCAACCCATTTCCTAATTGCGTCACAAACAGTGAATCTGGTCCTTTATTCCAAGGGAGATGGTCCAGAGCTTAAATAGTTTGCAAAGTAAATAGTTAAAATGAGGGTATGTTCTAGTAGTTTTATCTGCCTTTCCCCGTTGTTCTGCAAGAGATTTACCATCATTTCTATTAATCGATCGAGAATCCATGCAACGTCACCAGCTTCGTCATTATGTAATTATGTAGTGACTACAAGATGACTTTTAACATGACAGCCAAGCTTTTTGAAACCTGAACCTTATTTATTACAGCCTTATGCAGGAATCTTCTTACGGTATGTATGAACTCAATCGAGATGGCACTGGTCACTCACACGCTGTAGACAGACCACTATAAACTCAACTTTGTCGAAATGGCGGTATCCCCCGAAACCGCTGCGATTATCCAGCGCAAGAAAGCGCAATGCTGTCGTTTCGCCGACTCCAATCAATGGAACCGCTTCGACAGCATCATGCTGCCCAACGCGACGTTTCTCTTCCACAACCCAGATGGAAGTGTGATCACAAAGGGTGACATTGAATACTCGTGGTCATCTACAAAAGACTGGGTGGCGTTCTTTGAGAATGAGTTCAAGACGATGCAGACAATTCATATCGTCGGACCAGCTGAGATGGAGCAGATTGCGCCTGATGAGATCAAGGCTATTTGGGCTGTTACGTATCACGCTGGGACGAAGGGACATGAAGGTGGCGTTCATGGAACGGGCGGTGGACATTATCACGAGACGTGGAAGAAGGTTGGTGATGATTGGTTCATGGCGAGTTTGAGGATGGAGAGGCTTTACTGGAAGGTCTTGAGCGTTTGATCAGTTCATTCAAGGCGGCTACATATATCAACATCTAAGAAGAGCCGTTCACTCCGTTCGTGCCATTGGTGCCATTTGCCCTCTTGGCCTCAGAGGCATCCTCAGCATCAACACCTCTATACTCAAAATACTCACTCCACTCACGATCATTGATCAAATCTTGAGCAAGCCTCTTCTCGTAAAAGATAGCAAACTCACATCCCTCATCTGACTCAGGCGACGGATCACGAGGTGGGTAAACAATGATGACACCCTCTGTGATGCGATCGAGGAGATGACGATACGTAGCTGGCTTCGCGAAGCCAAAGTCCGCCGAAGTAATGTTTGCATCGCGATGGTCTGTCTGAAGGATCGACAACGGAGGCTGCGCATCGACTCGTGTGTTCAAAGATGTCTTGTCACGAATGGTAGCGACCATCTCAAGCGTCTTGTCAAGGTTCTCTTGCGTAACACTGTTGGTCAAACGGCGGATATACGACGCCAACTCTGATAGCGACCACTCCGACATTATCTGTGCAACAGTCGGTTGTGTAACAGGCGCAGTAGGAGACGTAACAGCGAACATGACATTATGCTGAATACGCGGCGGCACCTTTGGACTGTGCATCCGACGTCTCATGTCAATAGCTTCACACCAGTATAGAGTCGAGTTCGCATCGGGGTTGAACACGGGCGCTCGGATACGCGTGAGGTTGCGCCAGATAAAGGCTGAGAAAGCATCGTATGTCGAGATCCACGTTCCGTCGGTGGGAGTGGCTTTTGCTTTGAGTTCGGCTGCCTTGCTCTTGGGCAGGTGGAAGAGTAGAGACACGCCGACTTGATGGGCGGGATGGCGTTCTGGGGGAGCTGGGCCATCGATCTTTTGATCTTCTGGGGGTTCTTGCTTGATGAGGCGTGAGACGTCGAGGTTCAGAGGATCCCAGGTTGGATGTTTGGTGCCGTTCACATCAGCGTAGCAGTTCTCAGCTAGCTGATGGACGAAGCCCGCCCAGCCCATTACATCGTTGGTGTAGTGATGATGGTGAATGTTAAACACCAATCCACCTCGGATGAAGTTTGCCTTGAAGGCTGCCACGATAGGACTGTTGTCAGGATGTGCTTCAGGCTTCTCACCATATGTCATAGGTGGTACACTCCATTGCTCAAGATCCCCCAACGTCACCGCACTAAAATTCGTCTTCTCAAGGTCCTCAAAAGAAGGATACTTATCGGCATCTTCAGGGGCATCAAGCCACTGCACAAAGAACCGCACAGTACTCTCCCTCTTCTTGGTGAACGAGTGACCACCGCCAGGATCCTTCTCAATGGTTCCACAGTAGTGTCTCGCTTGCGCCAGCGTCCTCTCCAGCCCAGCCTTGAGGATCTCAGCGGCTATTTCTTTCTTCGAGTCCTCTAGCTTGAAGAACAGGGCGTAGTTGTTGTAGCTGCAGACCGTGAGGTAGTCCAGCGTGGTGACTTTGAAGCGTTCCTCTTCGGGGTCGTTTTCCCAGCCTAGTGGGTGAAGATGGTAGACTTGCTGCTTGGGCATGGCGGGCGTGGGGCTTGTGGATATGGTGAGATGTGTGTGTGAAAGTTTGCGTGATGGGGAGGAGTATGGGTGTGAGATTGAGCTGGATTTATGAGCCTGGTAGCGAGAGTGGGTTCTTGGCAGGATGGTTTGGTGGCCCCTTTGATCTTCTTAGCTGGTCGTTCTAAGAAACTACCTGTATTAACAGTGAGGGGTTATCAATACAAAGGAATGACACCGAGTTTCTGGATGCATAGAAATGACGAAAAAGTTGAAACAATAGTCTTGGGAACGGTACGAAAGAAGTGGCCTGATCCTTCAATGCAGCCAAGGCATTAACTGCTCTTGAACCAACGCAGCGTTACGGATACCAGGGACCTGGTTCTCCGACAACTATCCAAGGATGAGAAGTGCCGATCATCTGCAGATTTCTGATGAAGATGTTGCCAACAGTGCCAAGTCGGCCAAGTTCATGCAACGTCAACAGGGAACCAGGGGTGAAGGAACTTTAAACTCTGGAGCGGGACGTTTACAGGAACTAATAAAAAGTCCGCGACGTCTGCTATGCGAGAGATCAGACGTTGAGAGTCTTAGCTTGAATTTTATTGACTAGTAACAAAATCTGTCTTGTCGATAAGTTTATTGAAGTAAGTGGGATGAGATGATGAGGGGCCTGATGTTTGGGAGTAGCTTTCTTGGCCTGCAGGCGGGTGTAACATTTCCGGTAGCCCGGCAATCAGCGTACTGGTATATGCATCTGTTCAGATTTGCTAAGGATCTGCCCTGCTGGAACAGGTTCGAAGACATTTGCTGAAGGATGCAAATTGCAGTGACTGATCACATGTTGTTGGTTCACCCCTGTATGCGGTTTTTTCTCTTGGTGTGTGGGGAATCTGAATCCTTCAGTCGGATACCGTTTTCCAATTTGAGTCCGAGTACTCTGTATGGCAGTTCTTCTTTCTGCACTCAAACAGGCCATTTTCACTACTCTAGGGCTGCTAGTCACTCGCAACTTTCGTTTGGCTTCTCATAACTAACGCCAGTGACACAAGTAGTTAAAACTCACAAAGCTCGTGCCAAGCCTAGCCAGGAACAGATCATAGACTTAATTGCTCGTTTGACCAAGAAGTGGTATGAGCGTGTAGCCGAGGTTCCACCATATGGAGTTCCTCCTCAGCCTAGACAGGGTAACAACCAGGCTTTCCACGGGCGGCATCAACGTCCCGAGGAAACTTGTGAGAAAACTATCACAAGCTCCCCTAGCTCCCGTCACTAGCCCCTGGAACTTTCAATGCCAAACCCGCTGCAGCCAATGTTACCAAGTTCTAATGAGCCAGGATTTCGGGAACTGGTAGCTAGCTTGGGATATGATCGCCAGGAGAACACAGACAATGAATGTTTCAATCAAGAACTCAATTACGGCTTGCACCGACAAGACTCTTCAGCAAGTGATGACCTTGTAAATAGGTAGTTACCTACTATAGTATCCCCAAACGCAATTACTGTTTCGCCTCCTGGACCCGAATACCGGGGTCGTTGCTCGCCACGTTTGGTACCAAACCCTCCTTAACATGGGTGATCAAAGTCTTGCCGTAGGATCGTTAAAAGTCAGCTCGTTCCTAAACTTCTGTGCCTGAAGATCAAGAGACCTTGTTATTGTTCTGTGCTTCCATCATGGCTACTCTTGATCTGGACGGACCGGCCCTCGCGCCTCCAAAAGGCGAGGTATCGAATCTGAACGACCCCCCTAATCAGAATGGTCTGGCATACACTATTCTGATCATCTGTGCGGTTATCACCACGATATGCTTCCTTCTCAGAGCCTATGGGCGCGTTTATCTGCTGAAGAAGTTTCAGACTGAAGAGAGTGAGTTGCGCGCCTGATCCTTCCCGAGTAATCGCTAACAGATTTGAAGTTCTCACGACCTTGGCATATGTATGTTTGATCCCTTGACAGCGCTTTACATGATCTCTAACAGAACCAAGGGCAACTACTGGGGTGCTGCCTATGCGACGTTCAAGATGGTGGATACGCCTGGATATTTCGTGCATCAATGGAATGTCCGTCTCAAGGATGTAATTCCCACAAACTACGTGAGCATCCCTTCACCATAACTACACAATACAACTGTAAAGGCTAACATATATCAGTGGGTTCTCATCTTTGGAGTCTGCTACTCTTTTGTCCTCCCATTTCTCAAAATCGCTATCCTCGTTGAATGGTGCCGTCTCTTCGTGCCGAAAGGCACACGCACCAAGAGCATCTTCTGGTGGGGTTGTATGGCCATTGGATTTGTCCAGGCCACGTCCAACACCGCTATCGTTGTTGCTCTGAACATGCAGTGTACCCCTCATGAAGCCATCTGGGACTTTCGAATCCCAGACGCCAAATGCTGGGACTTGCATAAACTGCAGGTCGCGTCTGCTACGATCCACTTGTGCTGCGATATCGCCATCTTTTTGCTTCCCCAGCAGGTTATCTGGAAGTTAAAGATGTCTTGGAAGAAGAGGTTGGGTGTGTCTGTTATTTTTGGACTTGGTCTACTGTAAGTGCATGTCTTGAACTCTCACCATACAACCGCTAACAAATACATGCAGAGCCTGTGTGTCTGCTGCCTTTAGGTTGGCCGTCACAGTCAAGTACGGCAAAGCCGCCGATGCCCTCTACGCCCTCGCCCCTCTCGTCTTCTGGGCCACCGCCGAGATGACCTGCGGCTTCTTCATCGTCTGCGTCCCTTGTATTCCCAAGATTCTCAAGGAAACCGGCGTTATCCGCAACATCAAGCGTGCATTCGGCATGAGCACCGCCCCTACGAACCCCAATACTGCAGACCGATATGGCAAAAGTGGAACAAAAGGCTCACAGCTTTCTTCTACAGGCCCCAAATCTTACTACAAGCTAGATGAGGACGGTGTGCCGCTGGGAACACTGAAGGGATCTGAGTCGACGGAATATCTACGGGATAATGCCAATAATGGGCACGGTATTACTCGGACGACACAGATCAAGATCACGCAGGATAATCGCTCGACAAGCGATTCGGAAGGCCATGCTGCGTTCCCGGCGTCTCAAAAGCCCTGGGGTGTATAGCGCATGAGTGTTGCCAGTTGGCCGATGTTGCACCAAGTATGTAAAAAGGGTTGGTTTGGCGGCATTGTTACTTGGTAAAATGCTACAGTTAATGTAAGAGTTTGGCATGTATCTAAAAATAAAGATTGAAATGTCCAGATACTAAGGGATGATACCGGCAGGGCAGCATTGTTCTACATCAACAATCGTGACTCGAGGAACCTTTGTCGAGGCCGATAAAAACGGTAATCATGCATGCTCTCCAGCTCTCAAGACAGTGGACTAACAGGCGCAAGCACACCATCAGAATGAGGCCATTCCATGTTACATCGTTCATACCGAGACGCAGGATCTGTCTGATCGTCGTGTAAAAATCCCTATTCGATCAAGAACGAAAACTGACCTCGACAGGGAGACAAGAAGAGGAATTCGTAATGCAAACCAGTCATGATATGATGTTGGCTCTCGCTAGGAGCAAAGTCTCATGAATTGTCTCCACCAAACAGGGGATAATACGAATGGTAAGGTGATGGGCAGGAATGAGCGCTGATCTCTTCAGGGGTCGAGCCTGTCTGATTTCCCGGAAGTTTTCCTAGCTTCCTCTCCCGTTGCTCGCCTCGGAGGATTTAGCACAATTTACCCGACAGATCGGCGATTTGAAGTTTCAGGACTGCGGCGTAGCTTTTCGGCAAGTGTAGTAGTACAGGGTAAGTTACGGACTTTCGGACATTGGTTATCAAAAGGGACAAGATCGTTCTGCGAGGAGTATCAGCAGCAGTCGACGTGGCAGATGCAGCTAAGTGGCCCTCGGTATAAAGCTAGATTTAACTCTGAGTTCATGTTTCGACTATCTCGAGGCGTGCCGGCCCGCGGTGCCTTGTTTTAGTTGGCCGAAGCTGGTCTCGACGCAGACTAATCAAAAGCCATCGGTGCTAGTCACCTTCTTTGTTGACTGGTGTTTTCGTTTAGACAGCCTATTTCTGCCGCATCTATGCAGGCCAACCTAGGTCTCCTCCGTCTCAAACTCTGCTGATGCATTAGCTTAACTCAAAACTACTTCTCCGAGGTCAACATCTGTTTTTCGAAGGATTCTTGTGCAGTAGCTTGAAGGACTACTACGAGATAGGAATGATTATCCGTTCAGCAAAATGCCTCGGAGGAAATACGGTGGAGTGAGAGTACCACTTTTGGCTCTATTATCGAACGACAGTAAGCCTAGATAGGGCACTGATAGAGCAGTTGGCCGATTAGTAACTTCCTTGATCTTGAAGTATGGTGGTATAAGTCTTGGCGCAGTAGGATACCAGAATTCTGTAAGGTTGGCATTTCTAAATGCTATACGATCACCCAGGCAGAAACGACAAGATGAGTGACATTGCAATCGTTGGATACTCGTTCAAGTTCCCCCAGGGTGTTGAGGATGATGATGCTTTCTGGGATGTTCTCGAGAACCGACGAAACTTGATGACAGACTGGCCTGAAAGTCGTGTCAAGGCAGATTCGTTTACCAATAACAAGCATCAGAGGGTATTAATCTCGATCAAGTATTTGGCCTGTAACTGATGTTCTGGCAGTGGAATGGAAAAGGCGGGCATTTCATCACCGATGATGTCGCCGCCTTCGACGCCCCCTTCTTCTCACTCACGACGAAAGAAGCCTCGGCGATGGATCCGATGCAGCGCTGGACGCTGGAAGCTACTTACCACGCTTTCGAGAATGGTAAAATGTCCCAAATCTATCTAAAGTGAAGAAGTACTGACCGTTTGTCTCTTAGCGGGTCTCCCAGTAGACAGTCTCAAGGGCTCTCGCACTGCCGTCTTCTCAGCCTCTATGCTCGAGGACTACAGCAGAATGACGGCTGTAGACCCAGATAACTTGGAGCGAACAGCTGTCACTGGAAGCACCATCTCGTGTATTATTCCCAACCGTGTCAGTTGGTACTTTGATCTTCGTGGGCCAAGTATCCACGTCAATACTGCGTGCTCTAGTAGCTTGTCGGCTGTTGATATGGCCTGCAAAGCTTTGAAGAGCGGTGATGCTTCATGTGTAAGTCATAGCCCACTATCAACCTATGATTGACTAACTTCAGCAGGCTGTTGTGACTGGTGCAAACCTTCTTCTTGACCCAAGCATCTTTCAAGTTCTGGCTAACCAGGGCTTTCTCTCACCTGACGGAGTTTCCTACAGCTTTGATGAAAGAGCCAACGGGTATGCACGTGGTGAAGGAGTTATTGCTGTTGTTCTCAAGCCTGTGCAAGCTGCGATTGAGAATGGGGATATGATCCGAGCTGTGATCCGATCGGTTGGCTCGAACCAGGATGGCCATACCCCGATTCTCACGCAGCCGAGCTCTCAATCTCAGGAGGAGCTGATTCGCCATGTCTATCAGCAAGCAGATTTGTCGATGAGCGAAACTCGCTATGTTGAAGCTCACGGGAAGTGCCATATTATGATCCTTCTGATTATGGACTAACTGTGAGATCAAGGCACCGGTACACCTGTCGGCGACCCAATTGAGGTGAAGGCCATCGGACGGTGCTTTAAAGAGCACCGTTCACCTTCGGAACCACTCTATGTGTATGTTATCGCTCTAGCTGGTGAAAAAATGCAGACTAACGACCTGGGCAGCGGCTCAGTGAAGGCAAACATAGGGCATCTTGAAGGAGCCAGTGCACTTGCAAGTCTAGTCAAATGCATCTGTAATATCACCTAACAGTGGATCAACAGACGGGAGCTCAAGGCTGACAATGGCAGTGATCCTCGAGAAAGGAGTCATCCCTCCCAACGCGCTTCTTCAGAAGATCAATCCAGCACTTAAAGCAGACTCATACCACATTACCGTAAGTCAAAAGCATACCTCGGATGTGTTTCCTGTTAGCTGAGACTGCGTTAGGTACCATCTAAAAGCATCGAGTGGCCTACCGAGGGCCTCCGTCGAGTATCTCTCAACTCTTTCGGGTTCGGCGGTTCAAACTCGCATGTTGTTCTTGATGATTCACTTCACTACTTACAGGATCGAAGTCTGAGCGGTATCCATAACACGAGCCTCACCCCAAGGCCTGTGACAAACGGCGCAGGTGTCACCACCAATGGACATGGCGCGGCGCATACCAATGGCACCAACGGGACCAATGGTGCTAATGGTGCTAATGGTGCTAATGGTGCTAATGGTGCTAATGGTGCTAATGGTGCTAATGGTGCTAATGGTGCTAATGGTGCTAATGGTGCTAATGGTGCTAATGATGCAGCGAATGGCCACTCAGACGTGGAACTACCCAAGCTTCTGGTGTGGACTGCTGCCGACGAAAAGGCATCTAAGTGCACCATCGAAGCTTACGACAACTTTTATAAAGAGAAGGTGGGCGGGAACCATAAAAGGTTCGTCCATTTGGCATCTACGCTCGGTACTCGCCGAAGCACCATGCTATGGAGAGCTTCTGCTGTGGTTGACGGATCAGCAGAACAGGCATTGTCGTGTTCGAAGCCCATTCGAAGCTCGGAGGACCATGGCCTGGCTTTTGTCTTCACAGGCCAAGGAGCGCAGTACATTAACATGGGCTCGGGTCTTGCACAGTATCCGATCTACCGGGAGACTATAGAGAAGATCGGGAAGATTTACTCCAGCTTTGGGTGCGCGTGGAACCTATTTGGTGAGTGAACCATGTGTAGTAACAACCTTGAGCTTTGCTGACAGACTCAATTAGAGGAGCTTGGCTCCAGCGACAACATCAACATGCCGCAGTATAGCCAGCCACTCGCAACCGCTGTACAGATTGCCTTGGTCGATCTACTCGCCAGCTTTTGCATCACTCCCAGGGTAGTTATAGGACATTCTTCAGGAGAGATTGCTGCAGCGTATGTAGCATTAATACTTTGGAGTGTGAATAGGTTTGCTAAATCGTCCTAGATATGCATCAGGTGGGCTGTCTTTGGAGTCTGCCTGTAGAGTGTCCTACTTTCGTGGCCTCTTGGCTGGAAGGCTAAGGGAGGTCAACGCTTCATCTCCAGGCGCCATGCTGTCCATCAACTTGGCACCGCATCACGTCTCGGAGTACCTGGAGAAAACAGGCATCACTACTGTCAACGTTGCCTGCATCAACAGTCCGCTCAACGTCACACTATCGGGGCCTGAAGACACCATCGACAAGGTCAAATCCCAGGCTGATCGGGATGGTATCTTCGCGCAGAAACTCAAGACTGGAGTTGCCTATCATTCACCATCCATGAAGGCCATCGCGAGCGAGTACTTTGCTGCACTCGAAGGACTCACCAAGAGACAGGATGGGACTAGCATCCTAATGATCTCTTCTGTCACCGGCAAAAGCATTTCTCCCGAGACACAATCAACTGGTTCATACTGGGTTGACAATATGCTGTCCCCTGTTCGATTCGCTGAAGTGGTGCAGGTCATTGCAAACAGGAACTCAGCACGCAAACTTGGCTTAGAAACCATTACTGATCTCGTCGAGATTGGACCTCATCCAGCTCTCCGAAGGCCCGTGAAAGACACCCTCAATGGGATGTCCAGTGCGGCAAAGGGAGTAAGATACAACTATGTCTTGCATAGATCCCACCCAGCATCGCGGACCACTCTAGAACTTGCTGGACAACTGTTCTGCCAAGGCTATCCCGTCTCCATCTCGGCAGTTAACCACCAAGACAAGACGGAGAAGTTTCTGGTTGACTGCCCCAAGTATCCATTCGACAGATCACAGCGATACTGGGCTGAGTCGCGTCTCAGTAGAGATTTTAGGCTGCGGGAGGCTGTGAAGGGCGAGTTACTTGGGGTGAGGGTATCCGATTGGAACCCACTGGAGCCTCGATGGAGGGATTTCTGGAGCATCGACTCGACTGCATGGACTGGAGATCACAAGGTAAGTCTAATGGCAGCGATACCGAGAAACTACTGACTTGGAGCATAGATCAGTGACACTGTCTTGTTTCCAGCATCTGGCATGCTTCTTATGGCTATCGAGGCCGCTCAAGAGATGGTTCCATCAGACCGTGCTGTGTTTGGGTATAACATCAAGAAAGCTGAGTTTATGACCCCTATCATTGTGCCAGAAACCTGGGAAGATCGGCTCGAGACACAAGTCCGCCTGCGAGTTGTCGACAAGCAACAAACTGCAAAGTTCGATGTCAGCATCTTCACGTACTCGCGCAATGAGTGGGTCGAGTGCTTCACTGCAAGCATTTCGGTCGAGTATCAGGACAACAAGAGGAACGGAGAGCGACGAGTGAACCACGAGCACATCCGGGGTCAGTATCAGGAGTTCACCAAGACATGCACATCTTCTGTCGACTCTAGCGTCTTCTATCATGATGCCGCTGATGTTGGACTGCAATATGGTGATTGGTTCCAGCTCATGCGCAACATCAAGTGGAATGGTAGGACCTTAGCGGTGGCGCGCGTTGATCTGTTACACTCAAGGCTCAACACCACGAGCCTTGTTCATCCAGCCGTGCTGGACCAAGCGTTTCAAGTTCTTCGAGCCAGCTCCGGTCAACAACCTGCAGCCAATGTCCCCGTAAGACTCGAAAACGCTTGGTTTTCCGCCAAAGCATGGACGACACCTTCGGTTCAGTGGATGTCTGAAGCGACGCCAACTGTCCATGGCTACGGGGAACAGGGCAAGGTGATTGCTTTGAGCGAGGATGGGGAGGTTCTCTGCTGTATTGAACGTGCAGTTACATCAGCTGTCTCAGGTGGAATAACGCATAAGAAAAAGAAGCTGGTGTACTCCATCCAGTGGAAGCCGCAGTTTAGCATGCTTGATCCCAACCAACTCGGTCGATTATGCACCGCTAACGCCGTGCTGAAAGATGACAGCGCTATCCTGGAGAATCACTCGAAGCTTTGCCATACGCTGGAGATCGTAGCTGCTCGTGTACTGAAGCGTATCGATAATTCCAAAGTTCCAGCAGATCTGCAACGCCATGTCGAGTGGATGGAACACCACGTTAGCAAGTTGTCAGCCGATCATCAGGATGAAGCACTGGGGATCAGTGAAGAGGAGCTCGAGTCTCGCCTCGCTGAGGTTGACTCCGTCCTCCCAGCGTGGAAGCTATACACAACCTGTGCACGGAAGCTACCCGAGATTCTGTCAGGAGAGCTAGACCCTTTGCAGGTAGTCTTTGAGTCAGATCAGGCCGATGTCTTTTACTCAGACCTCTTCCGGAACCTCTGCGTAGATGGTCAACTAAGCTATCTGCTTGACTTGGCGTCACACGAGAACCCAGCTTTGAGAGTTCTCGAGGTCGGTGCTGGAACAGGTGGTATGACGGGACATGTCATCTCAGCTCTGCAAGAACGTGAGAAACGGACTGGAGGACTGGCCTTCTCAGAGTACACATATACCGACATATCGCCCGCTTTCTTTGAGACTGCAAGTCAAAGATGGCCAGATCTCAAGTCTCAGGGCCGCATTACTTTCAAGACACTCGATTTGGACCGAAGTATCGATAGTCAAGGCTTCGAACCTGAGTCTTATGACTTGGTCATTGCAGCGAGTGTGCTCCACGCAACCCCATACCTGGAAGGCACTATACGCAATGTTCGCAAAGCTCTAAAACCAGGTGGTCGCCTCATCTTACTCGAGGTTATCAACCCCGATGATATCGCCACCAACTTCATGGCTGGCCTCGTGCCGGGCTGGTGGGTGGCTCGCGAGGATTGGAGACCCCATTCTGCTGCTATTCCAGAGCATCTATGGGACAAGTGCCTCAAGGACAATGGCTTCTCGGGCAATGACTTGGTGATTCGAGACTACCAAGATGACCAGTGTCACATTATGAGTGTTATTGTCACCACAGCTAGTGAACTTGAGCAAGCGGTTGATAAAAAGGCAAGCAAAGGCCGTCTTGTCATCCTCATCAGTGACGAGGCGTCAACGAAAGAGAGGGAGCTTGCAGATCGGGTCCGCGAACGAGTGGATCCGGACCTAGAGCGTCATACAACCGGGAATCCATTCTCACTGGGCTCAGTCCAGAAGGAACTTGCGAATTTAACAAGTGATGATCTTGTCATCTGCCTCGCCGAAGCTGGAGACAAACCTCTCCTCTCAAATCTCTCGGAAGAACAGTTCAGCAGTCTTCAGCTCTTGATCAGCAAAGTCTCCAACCTCCTATGGGTCACTTCACCAAATAACAGGAGCCCGGAGGGTCCAGACTATAGTGTTGCTCAGGGCTTCTTCCGCTCAATACGTGCCGAGCAGCCTGATACTCACATCGTCACACTAGCAATAGACGGCGAGATGGCTCAGGCTTCACAGGCAGGCTTCATCTTTGAGGTCTACAATGCAGCATTCGAGACTGAAACGCCTTCAGAGGAAGTCGAGTACATCGTTCGAGATGGTGCCATCACTACCGGCCGGGCGGTTCGAGATATCAGCACTGATACCGCTTTACGATCGCTTGTTTCGAAGCAGCTGCAACAGAAGTCGTGGGCCGAGGGGCCAGCGTTGAAACTTTGTATCAGCCAACCAGGATCACTCGACTCACTTCAGTTTGTGGAAGACCAGTCCCACGCTGAGGAACTCGGTCCTCGTGATATCGAGATCGAAGCAAAGGCCTGGGGTCTTACCTCTCATGATCTTGACATTGCCCTTGGTCACCATGACAAGCGAACCGAGGAGTTCGGCAGTGATTGCGTTGGGGCTGTCACTCGTATTGGGAATAGCTGCAGCACTACCATTCGAATAGGAGATCGTGTCGCTATGGTCTCTTCTGGTTGCATGAGGAAGTATCCTCGCGCCAACGAAGCCTGCATCTTCAAGATTCCCCACTCGCTCAGCTTCAAAGATGCGGTCTCGCTCACACTTCCCGGCTTGACTGCCTGCCATTCGGTTCTCAATGTTGCTCGGGTACAGGAGGGTGACAAGGTCTTGATCCACTCGGCTGCAAGCAGTGCAGGTCAGATTGCCGTAAGGCTAGCCCAGACCCTGGGTGCTCAAGTGTTTGCTACTGTGTCGACAGCGGCTGAGAAGCAATCCCTAATTGACACCTTGGGCTTGACCGCAGACCATATCTTTGACAGCAACTCCACATCTCTTACTCAAGATGTCAAGAGAGTCAGTGAGGGAGCAGGTGTTGATGTGCTACTCGACTTTTCTCAGGATACACTACGCACACCACTGTCTTGCGTTACTGATGGGGGATGTGTCGTCAGCCCTCATATTCGGGACAAGTCAGAAATCTCTACCATGGCCGTCGAGATCATGTCAAGAAATTTCATCTTCTCGTCCATTGACATTTTGCGTCTGAAGCCTAAGGTGTTGAGTCAACTGGCGGAAACAATGATGCAGCTCCTAGCGGAGAATAACATCCAGCTACCCCAACCACTGCCAGCCTTCAGGGTATCCGGTATCGAAGACGGCTTCAAGCAACTGCAAGAAGAGAATAACATCGAGCGTGTGATAGTAACTGCAGGACCAGGAAATGTAGTTCCGGTAAGTTAATCCCAACCTGTTACCAAAATTATGACCTAACTCATATCGTCACAGCAATTTGTTCAGGACCGCCGCCCATGGACGTTCGATGGTAATTCCGCCTATTTAGTAGCTGGTGGATCTGGAGGTCTCGGTCGAGCCATTATCAGATGGATGGCTGATAGGGGTGCTAAACACCTGATTGTCCCCTCTCGATCTGGTGCAACATCTCAAGCAGCAGCTCATTTGGTGGCAGAGCTGACATCCCGCGGAGTCAACATCGTTGCTCCAAAGTGCGATGTGTCTGTCACCGAAGATGTGGCTGCCATGCTGGAAGAATGTTCTCGGACCATGCCCCCTATCAAGGGCTGCATCAACGCCGCAATGGTTCTGCAAGACGCCATATTCCAGAGCAACATGATATTCCAGCAGTGGGAACTGACCATGCGGTCCAAGATCAACACCTCCAAGAACTTGCATGAGCTTCTTCCCAAGGATCTCGACTTCTTTATTCTGCTGTCCTCTCTGGCTGGTGTCGTTGGGCAGATGGCGAGCGCAAACTATGCCGGTGGCTGTGCATACCAAGATGCCCTAGCCAAGTATCGGAGAGCGCAGGGCCAGAATGCACTGTCCCTTGATATCGGATGGATGAGCAACATTGGCATTATTGCTCAGAAAGAGGCGTATCAGCGTCAGAGGGAGACGTCAAATGATATGCAGCCGATCGATGACAAGGAGTTACTTGCTTTGCTGACTCTATGTTGCGATCCTAACAATCCAATCGAGTTACCGCCAATATCCGAGGGACAAGTCCTCTTCGGTCTACGAACACCCGCCGATATCCTTGCTGAGGGCCAGCAACCACCAGCTCTGCTCGAAAGACCACTACTCAGTGCATTCTCATTCTTAGCGGGCAACAACAATACACCAACTCAACCCGTTGACCACGCCGAGAACGCGAGAGAAGTATTCCAAAAGTCCTCAGATGCTGGAGAGCGGCAGCACGTTGTCATACGCGCCATTGCTGCTAAACTTGCGCGAGCCATGTCCATTTCGCCTGATGATGTTGAGCCAAGCAAGCCACTGTCTTTATACGGAGTAGACTCGCTGATGGCGGTGGAGCTGAGAAATTGGATAAATAAGGAGTTTAGCTCTACGGTGGCTGTGTTTGATATCATTGGCAGCATATCTATTGCTGGGGCTGCAGTGGTCGTCGAAAAGCGAAGCTCGATTTGAACAGCCCTTTCAGCTTAGAATAGTCGAAGCTGAGGGCATGAGTCTATTCTTGAATTGAACGAGGCGCAAAAAAGAAGAGCTACACTTCAACGCCAGTAGTGTTATATAATTTATTGATATCAGATTGTTAATCTCTATGTGAGCTCAAGTTTGGAATCTCGCCCTGTCCAACTGTCCTCGCTCCATCTTTCCAGTAGGCTTCTCACTTAGCAATAACAAGCTGGCCATTTGGCGCATGGTTGATGGTGATGTTGGGTCCGCTGTTGGCAAAGTCAATGCGCAGCGGATTTCTCATCCGAGTGACATCCACTAACTGACCGACTGGCAAGCTTTGACCAAAGGAGATATAGAAGGCGTTGGATGGCTTGATCTGGTACTGATTTCCAGGCTCAGGTCTGAAAGTAGCGATGGGAACAGTGCTACCGCCATCGGGTGAACCAGCCACGCCGACGAAGAAGTTATCTAAAAGAAAAGCCAAAGTCAGCTACTTGTGATTGGGGGGATGTTTAGTGCTCACTCTCGGTGGCAGTCTGGAGGGTAAAGTCGTTGCCAGTATCGATCTCAAAGGCATTAACGAACGCAGACTGCGGTGCCGGATTTTTATCGAACGAAATGGACCGCTCAAAAATAACTACCGCATTCAGAGTCGTTCCGGGGTTCTGACTACCATCGTCTGACTGTGTACCAAGGTTCACTGGCCTTGTCTGGGCGACCTGGACTTTAGTGCCCTCCTTGGGACTGCCCCTCCAGGAGCCGACGATGCCGTAGTAGGTCTTCCAGATCTCGAACTCGGTCTGACCTCCATCGGGACAGCCCTCACCAACCTGGTAGACGTTTGTCCAAACGTTGCTGCTGGAGGTACCTGTCACCTCGGGCTTGTCGGCCACGAGGTTGTAGTTTTGGGTGCTGCCCGTGTTGTTATTGATACGGATGGTGTATCTGTTGACCATTTTGGCGGTTTCTTAGCAGAGTGATGATGAAGGTTTCGAAGAAGGAGGTTTTGGCTATAAGTGAGACTCACAATATGGAGATTCCTAAGTGTGCGGAACGGAAATGCCCTTTTATACTACTTCTTGGCCAACTGCGAAGACTTAAGAAACCGTACTGGTGCAAGGCACTAGGTATTGTGCTGAGGCGATCCAGACACTATTCACCATAGGTGGCTGGCTGAATTGGTTGCGAGCTAGTTCGAACCATCGCTAACTACGCCCAAAGTGGAGTGGAAAGGTCACCAACGCGAAGCTGAAAGCTGATATCCCTTAAGCTAGTAACCAGACTATTTGCTTCGTATAAACTACAGTCTAACCCCTCATTTAGTCAACTTTCGTCCATTCCCTCTCACTCTGCAGAATCTCCCCTTTCCATCTACAGCAATCCCCCAAATATGAAAACACCTCTTCTAGACACGCACGTGGCTCCAACTTCGTCCTGGTCGACGAATGACAAGCCGCGCAACATCACAATCACAAACTCCACAGGCAGCACGCAGAGCTACGCCCTATTCGCCGACACGCCAAAGATCACACCTGGTATACCAGTGATCAGCAACAACATCATCCTAGTCCTGCGAGGCATAGCTAGTGCCTCTGGCCAAGCGTACTTTACGCTTCCCAAGTCTCCCTTCTACGCTGTATGCGGGACAAGCTACGGTGGTGAGTCTACGGTCGAGACTACCGTCGAAGTTCTGGATTCGAGACCTGTTGAAGTTGGGCATAAGGCGGATGACCAGACGTTGGTGCCGGGTACGACGCTGGAGCTAGTTATCAGGAGGGGAACGCCCAATTTTGCGACCAGGCCTGATATTGTCAATTCCGGTCATGAAGGATGTTTCTGTATTCGAACCAGCAATGAGTTTACGCATAGTCAAGCACGTGCAGGTAAGTCTAGATCCCAACCCCTCACTCATCCCCTGCTAACACTTCCAGGGGATTTTGTCGTCGGCGTATCGCTTTTCAAGAAACTATCACGCTACTTCGGACCATTTGCTACGTTTAGGCCTGCGCCTGGGGCTGAGTATCAGATCCAGCCGCTAAACCGTTTCTATCTCGCAGTTGGAGATTACGATGTGCGCTCGCCTACGCCAAAGGGGCTCGAGACGAGGAGTTGTTTGATTGACTTTAATGTTCTGGAGTTGGATAATGTGCAGGTTCATCATACGGAGACTGGTCGGTTGTTTGTAAAGTCGGACTTTAATGAGGATTGAGGGGGGGAATGGCTGCATGGGCCCGAGATCATGGGACGGGCGGCTGAGATGTCTTCGCGCTAAACGCAGTCTTTGCAGCCAGCCACAAATTTCAGCTGTGTCAATTAAGTACTTGGTGAACCGGTTTGGGTAATGTTAGCACATCAAGGCACCATAAACGACTGAGCGACATACAAGCTGCACCAGTGTTTTCCGAAAAGGAACGGCCTGGCCCCGAGATCTCAGATAGCGTGATTGAAAGTTTCACACTATCGATCAGTATTTGAAACATGCATAGCGTCTTGTCAGCTGTGAATGGCTGGTTTTAGTTCCGCGCAGGCGCTATCCCGATTATCTAGGGATCATCCCCCGCTCCCGTGTAATGGTGTCTATCTTAGCGCAACGGAACGGTCTGGAGCTCAAGACTAGTTAGTAGACTAGTCATCCCGTGAACAAGCAAGCACAGAAAGCCTTGGTCTTGATCTTTTCCGCTGTGGGAAGCCGGACGGGATCTCCGCGATCGCCCCGCTGCTAGTCTCTCAAGGTGCACAATTCTCGAGATGTGACCCGCCAGCTTGGGAGCGGCTTGGAGTGAAAAGGCAGATTATTCATAGACTAATTATTTCTCTCTCTCTTGAGGCTGGTGTGATATGGCGGGTGTTTGATGCTGGTGACCCGATTTTATGTATATGTAGGTACTCTCTGTGTCTATTTTGCTTTTCGTATCACGAGCGGGAGTTATCTTTGTTACTCTTATGCTGAGGCGAAAGTAACTCGATTAGCGGTTGAGACTTGTGGTTGAGAACTTAAATCGGCAGACAGAAGTTAGTGACTCGATTAGTATTTAATTAAAGGATTAGTTTTTGTAAATCATCGTTTTCTCGAGTCTATAGTAGTAGATAGTCTAAAAGATGAATCATCACACCTAAACTGGACAAGAAGCGAACTAATTTTGTTGTGCTGTTTGCTCAACATAACAGGGCTCGGTGACAACCATGCAGTCTGACTTTCCAGATGCAAAAGTGGCTTTCGAATCATAAGTCTTGTCACCGCTATTAGCATAGTATCCTCTAGACTCCACAGGGATCTTACCGAAACAGTGTGTAGTGTCAGCCTATTTGCCTCCACGGCATTGGAAGTACGGGTTACAGCCACGGGTATATCCGTTATCAGCTTGGTTCGCAGCTTTGGGAGGAGCCTTCAGTCCTTCGTAGCTAATATGTCCGCTATCAGGGGCGGCAACAGGCAGTGCCACTGCGCCTGAGATCATGGCGAGAAAGGTAAGAGTGAAGAACTTCATGTCGAAAAGAGAGACTTGGGGTGAGTTATTGAAAGGAATTGCGTGAGTACGAAGGAGACAGACTCGGGGATAAGAGCGATATTAAATAGCCTTTCTGACGTCGTATTGCGCTTAAGATGACAGCGGGACCGTTGAACCTTATAAGGCTTGACAGCTATGCGTGTGGTCTCGGGAACGAGATATTGAGTTTTGACATATTGCTATTACGAGTCATGTCTTGAAAAAGTTATTTCAGCTCAACGGTTATAAGTGCCGAAGTTCATAGCAATGTCCGTGCATCGTGGTTGGTCCAGTGGTGGCTATGTAACATAGCCTCAACGTGTATGGCCTGATTCATTATTAAGTTATATTCATCATCACTGCCGAGTATTCAATTACCTGATCAACTTTCGATATCCACTATCTCCACTCCATGTTCCAGTTGAATTATCTCCCGACTCGTCGTCAGCATCTGAAGGTTCTCGCAAATACCCTCCGTCGGCGACCCCAATTTCTTCATCAACCGCAGCGCAGGAAGCCGAATACCTAAATCAGGGCACTTCATTATCGTAAAGAAGAGCATGGGGGTATAAGCAAGTTCGAAGCTAGACTGCTTAGTGGACCTTTCACTTTGCCAGCTCGCTAGTTGGAGCACCTGGCGAAATGTCCCCATGTGCTCCTCGTATCGGAAGTCGGCACTTAACTCCAGATAAGAGAGTTTGAGTCGCATAAACAATGATCTCTCTTGAGCTTGGTATAGTAGAGATATCGTATCGACTTGAAGCTTTTCGAATAACGTTTGCCAGGTTTGAAGATGAGTGCCGACTGTGTTGTACTCTTCTGTCATATCGAAGATGACTCCGCGATGTCTCATGTGGCAGAGTCGCACCACTCGGTTGAAGATATCGTCCATCATGTATTGCGCGTCTTCCATGCAATAAAACTTGGTCGGTATCATATATGTCAAGGCTGGCATGCTCTCGCTCTCAATGTCCTCAGGACCGAAAAGCATGGGCACGGCGGTCATACGTCTAAAGACAGGCATCAAATACCGTCGCGCCCAAGGATTGCTGCACTTTTCCATGATCGCAAGGCCATGTTGACAATGCTGTAGTGCAATCTTGTTATTCGCAAGAAGGTACTCGACGCAGATAAACAAGATACACACAAGCAATACCAAAGGCTCACTGTGAATCGTCTTGAGACGCTGAATAGCCTGTGTATAATGCTGCAACGCGAATCTCTCCGTATACGGCGCGACACTCTTCCCCTCAGAAGACTCAAACAACGAGCTTATCGATAAGATGGTATGTTTCACAACAGCCTCCGACTCGCTGAGCTGCATCACAAGATGGGTCCAGAAGTAGCCATCCCTAGCGCTCGACAGCCGCGGTGAGATAACACTGTGGAAGTACCCAAGCGCCCTCCGCTCCTCAAGCGGCAGTAAAGATTGCGAATTGACAGTAGCGACGCGCGGCAATAGCATCCGACCTTGCGCCACATCTCGCGGGTTGATCTTCTGCATAAGCGCGTAGCCGTCACATTTCCGACCAGTGCTTGTGCAGCGATGACAAGCGGGTTTTTTCTCATCGCATTTGACTCTTCGAATTCTAGACCAATGTCTATTAGAGCGCGGGAACTAGTGTTTCAGTGGTTGAAGATTGTGCTTACTTGCATGTTAGACAGCCTGTCTTTACCTTGCAGTGCGCTTGTCGCATGTTTCTTTTTATGAGCTGATGATGCTTGCTTGGCGTAAGCACGACGGAGAATTGTTAAACGAGGACGCCAATAATATGGTGGTCTAGACGCGTTGGAAAGGATCCTGGGCTTGCTTTTAAGGAATGCGGTTTTCGCTTGAGGTTTTTCGGCGGGTTCGGCGCTGGTAGGAATATCATCCTTGATCAGAAGACTCGGTAAAATTGAAGACAGTTGAGATCGACGGGTGAGCTTGACCATTTTGGGGGTTAGGTGTTTCAAAATGCGAGCATGCCAATAAGAAGGGTTCGCTTGACTTTGTATGGGCCTGAGCAAGGATATGTATATCCGAGGCGCTGGATCGCATGCTCCAGGGTAGGTGGAAAGCTTGGGAAAATCGATACAACTTCATGTGACAGCACTTGGCCAAACACTTAATTTTCGTATCTTAAGCTAAGCAAAAACAAAGTAACGACCTCTTGACAGCCTAGTTATCATACTATTACAACAGTTGACACACAGCCTTGGCCACTGAGATGATTTGCCATATGCCAAGCCAGCCCGTCAACTGCTTTCCCTCTCAATTCGTCTTCGTCTTCGTCACAATTCTTTAATTTAATTTCTCCAGTGCCTACTTTCCGATATTCGGGACTTGAGCTATTCCTTTCTCCAGCGGAGATCTCACTTAGTAGGATTCCAACCATGATGTCATACCCTTGAGAGTACATCTTGCACCCAAGAAACAGAAAGCGGATAGTATCTCCGATTACCAGTTCGGGAGCATCTTCCGATGCCGTCAAGATATCCGGAAATGCTACACATTCCATTGATAGGTTCATATCTGTCTCTAGAAGTGAGTTATTGAGGGGATGCATCCGAAAAGGCGTCCCATCATCGGGGCTGGGATCTAGCTTCGAGACCGATACATCGAACAGAATGCCACTGACGGTCAACGTTGCAGAAGAAACACTACCATAAGGGTTTGGGGTCGCTAGCATATGATGTACGTCAACTACTTTTGTCTGCGGCAATGGGCATAGGTGATAGAGGTCGTGAATAAGCATAGGTCCTATGACAGAGGCCCAGGACCACGTCGGCGCGTAGTATGCTTCGTGTCTCGAAGTCGGCCCCTTTCCCACATGCCAGCAAATGCTCGTTTCAAGTTCATCCTTCCAAATACCGGAGATATACTGTGTCTTGATAAAAGGAGCGAGTGCAGCAGCCACGCCCGAGATAGCAGGAAGCCGATCTGTCTCGCGGGTGATGGCACGGCTGGTGAATGGACCGATTATATCCAGCCAGACAATGAAAGGCTCCAGGATCCGCGGGGCATGTATAGGGTCTTTCCCTGATATCAAGGCTTCTAGGTTGATGAGCCTGAGCGACTCTTTGTGTGCTTGCGATCCGGGACGACACTCGCAGAGGCGAGCCGTACGACAATGCCAGACTAGCTCGTGAGCGGTAAACCGGAGGATTCTGCGGGATAGCACATGCTCTTGTAAAGTCCATGCTCTCTTCTCAAGCGGGTTTGGTTCACGGCACCATGGACCATCGCCGATGCTGTCCTGCCAATGGCACTGCGAATCCCACGGCCTGGCGAAGACCTCAACCTCTTCAACCTTTTCGTCATTCTTTGAGACAGTTGGGAATGACTTTCGAAGGCTGAAAGGCCGTGGGTGAAAGAGCCCTTCGCTACTATCATGTGCTCCGGCGGCAGCGATAGTGAGATACGCATTCTGATAAACATCGCACATCTTGGGAGACTCAACGGCCCAATCGTGCTCATCATCTTGGATGATGCAGAGTGAGTCTATCCATAGGTACTCAATTTTCAGTCTCCGACAAACAATGATCGCCTCTTGGAATGTCTTTGGAAACCGGGTGAAGTCGATGCTGTGGCAAAACTCAGTGAAGCTAGCTTTGGTGGTCTTAAGAGGCATAGCATCACCCCAGCAGTGGCTGAGAGCAATGTATCGGCCGCGGTCGTCGGGGCTGGGTATAAACAGATGAGGCTCTATGTCTTTATCTCCAAAAGAGACGAGACGGCTCGGAAAGGGCCGATCCTCGCTCTCCACTTTGCAGTCATCGTGTTCATTGACACAATCTCGGATCCAGCCTCGTATCATATCCCAGGTTTCCGGCGAGGTAACATCATGCTGAACATGTGTTCCCGCTCCAATCACTTTCCAAGGAGGGTCAATTCCTTAGCCATGTTAGCAAGCTATTGGTACCCTTGGTGGCTGTTCTCTTACCTGGTAAGCAGTATAGTTCATAGGTGGCATAGAACTTCTCTTCCATGTAAGCATAGCGAGCAATTAGCTCCATCCTTAGAGCTCCGTCTCGACCCCACAAGTAATCAGCCAGGAGATCATCGGACTCTTCGAACCAACGCTGACCGATAGAGCGATTGCTGTAGTTCATTTCCTGGATGTTCTGCCACGACATATTGAAAAGTGGGTACATTGAGGCGGTAGCGTCCCTGAAAAGAGTACAGACTCTGCACCTCAATGTGGCTCTCTTGCAAACCCACGCAAAGTCCATATTGTGATAAGGATAATTGGTATCATGGAACCCAATAACAGGCATTATATCTAGGCAGACAGCGCAGATAACGGTGTCAATCGACGGGTCATCTTCCATCTCAATGCGTTGGAAGAAAGCCTGTAAGCGCTGTACATCTTTCCGCACGGTTTGCAAATAATGGTGAAACTCCTTGAAAGGGGTTCTTGGCATCTTCAGGACTGCGATATCGAGGTTGCTGATCGCTCGGTCGAGATAGAAGGTCTCCATAGCGAAGGACTGGTTGACATATGCTGTAGCCATGAGACACCCCAGTAGCGCATACACATTATGGTACCCCGGCTTATCTGGCACATCAGCTTCCCATGGCTCGCTTTGGGTCAGTGGCTTAAATATCTCGATGTTGAAGATAAGATCATCCAAATTGGCACCACTAGAGACCTTGTGAGCCATTTGCATTACTGTCGAAGCGTCTAGCACACGCGCGGCCATGTTAAGGGCTATGAAGCAGCAATAAGAGGCTTGATCTGGCTTATTTTTGGTCTCTGCTCCTTCTTCCGGTACCAAAGTCTCCTTTGAGTTTAGGTTCTGCACATCTAAGCCAGTGTCCTCTTCATGATCCGCGGGGTCTTCGCAGGCAGAGGCGGCAGCCATGAAAGCTGCCTGAACTGCTTTATAGCATCTCTCCTGAAGTTCGGAAAGATCTATTGCCTGATCGCTGAGGTATCCGAACCGTATAGACCGCTCCGCTGTCATCGGTTCTGTTGCCCTGATGATCTCGATGGCGTGTTCTCGTATAAGATCATATTCGTTGACCATGGAGGGAAGCTTATCAAGCTGCAGAATCTCATTATCCCCGTGTGCTAGGAAAACGCTTTGAGAATTCTCGATGCCTGGTTCATCTGTTTCGAGGACGACCTCGCGTCTCGCAAGATAGATATGACATCCCGTGTAGTATGAGATTCTCCCCACATCGTCGCTCTCATCATCGTTATCCATAGACTCCTCTGTGTTACTGCGTATCAGCTGAGACTCTAGGCAGACTTCATCTTCAATGTCCAATCGGTCTAGATGGTCTGCCAGGTTGTCTCTATCAGTAGTTTCTGCGTCTGTCAACATAATGATGGTATCCGGTCTCGCGCTGTAGGAATTTGTCAAAGTAAATAGTTAGCCGTAATCTTGCACACATAGACGACACATTTCATTATTTCAGAAGCGGGGAGATCATTCAGGTCATCAAATTGTCATCAATGCCAAGACCGCCAGCTTTCAGCTTAGATATTTTTAGCAACAATTTGCCGCCCGCAAAGACGTGGTGAAAGAAAACAGGCATATAATTGGACGGTTCCTGTCAATCATGTAGATAAACAGCTACTCGATATAAGATGATCCTGCTTCACTGACACGACTTCTAATTCCAGCCTTTGAGTTAAGGCAATGTCTGCCAAGACAGCAGCCGACGAGGTAGTAGAATACGCTACCGCTGAACGTTGACTTTGAGAAGTCAACATGTACCTTGCCGCCAGTTATCTTGCTCCCCGTTGATGTGCGGGAAGTATCGTCTGGTCTAAGATTTCATCCTAGACCTATCCTAAACCCTTTTAAAGCAGACATGTTCCTCGACTACTGAACCCATACTGATACAATATGTATTCTAGTTTACTGATATAATGCAGCGCCTATTATACAGCCTGATAGTCTCAAAATACTCCACAAAACTAATTAACCAAACATCCAATCTTCTAAACAGTCTGACTCAAATCCTTCATCAACTGAAACGCTCCAGGAGTCTCAACCCACGAAGCAAGACAATACCCAATCATCAGACAAGCTTCCTCCTTCGTCTCATGTGAGTACATCCCAGGTCTTTGAGATGCGGCTGACACTGGACTGCTCAACATCAAGCGCCAGAAGTGAGGGTTATACTCGTTCACAGATCTGTAAAGTTTGATAATCTGGTCCTTAACCTGTTTGATGAGCTTAGACAGATGTTCTGTGCTACCCAGGAGGATATCAGAACGCGATGCCACAGCACTGCCGACAAGCTCACCGCGGATGAGTCCCACGATCTCCGGGGGAATGGTACCAGTAAGAGCTCGTGCGGTGTTTTGAGCAGACTGCAGGTCAAGCAGAATTCTCACTTTGATCAACGTGACAGCCGCAACGTGGCCTAGGCTGAGATATTTCCCGTTTGACCAAGTCTCCAGTGGTTCCTCCAAAACATCCGCGTTCCTGATATCGAGATATGGTTGATCCATATCGCCCCAATCATACTTTGACTCCGAGCCGGTGGTCGCGTACCACTTGACGAAATCGTAGGCTTCCTGATCCCTGTTGAGGCGGATGTACAAATGCGGCACAAGATCCCTCACACCCATGTTGTCGCCCCGACAAAGACGAAGCATATCAAGAAGATGGTCCAAGGCCTCTTGAACCGCGTCAATCTTACCGCCCGGCGCGCCATAAACCTGGAGCAACACGTCGACCATATGGTATCGCGCACGCATATACGCACGAGTCTCATGAATACCCCAAAAATGCCCAACGCCATTCTCAAAGATATTCGGAGGCGTAAACATATCTCCAGGGTGGTCACGAAGCTCCTGCTCCTCCTTCTCTACCGCCTTGCGTGACTTTTTGATGATGGTACAGCCATTTTTGTGATGGCTTCGGTCGGCTGTTTGATGGGATGCTCCGCAGTAGTATACCGCCTTGCAGCTTGAGCAGCGCTTGAGGAGATCCGTGTCTGCCTCGCTACAGGTTGCTAACTCGCAGACTCGAGGAGTGAGCTCGCGCGGTTCTGGCAATGGCATGACGCGTTGTGGTGTGCTTTTTTGCTTTTTGCTTTTTTGGGTTTGATCTGGAGGCGGGGGAAGTGAAAATTGATGATTTGGCTATGACATAAGAATGAAACAGTTTTAAAAGGAAAATTATCTGTGGCTTGAGGCTGTAGGTGACATCAGAGTGATAAACACCTGGTTATAAGGCATGAAATGGGGTTACTTTCAGACGGCGATGATATAATTGATCGGATGCTTGAGGCAAGGGAGGGGCATCACCAGATCCGCACGTGACCAGCAGGTAGATCGGCTCGGTAGATAGGATAAAGTTAAGCCACGCGTGTTGTGATCGGCCGTATAGACTTTTTCAGCAGACATTTTCAACTTGCCAGCTAGCTTTTCATCGTAAGATTGAGTATTTGTCCTTCTATTATGATCTCATACAAGGCCAGGATGTCTGAGATATGAGAAATACACAGCCAATTCTGCCTCGTCTTATCATAGCTCTATCACCCTATTACCGGTCTATATCCATCCGTGAGATCCGCTCCTCTCGAAAATATGTCACAATAAAATAAAAACCGAAAACAAGAGAGCCGATTGCATGTTGCCATTCATTCATTATGAATTCTCAAAATCTGCACTCACGACAACGCTCTCAGCCATTTGATGCTGGTGGTCTATAGCCCTGCTCTCGCGCAACCACGGCCTTTTAGACCCTTGCTTCCTGCTCCACCTTCTCAAAAACGGGGCTATGATTGTGCTCAATGATACCAGCAATTCCGGTTCGTCTTGATTGTTGGGTCGAATCACTCGTACGAGTAATGGAGCGTCGATTTTCCCTATGAGATACGTCTCTGAGTCTTTCAAAGTCCAACTTGTCTGTTGTGCTACTATTCCCTGCGTGACTATGCGATCATGGCACAGTGATACAGCCGTCGACAAGAGGCCTGTTGTGTTCATCCATTGCTCTTTCGGCCCCCGGCATTTGAGGAGGTCTGTTTCGAAGCACCTCGTCGCCACGTAAGCGAAAGTCGCTACGTCCTCGGAGTCAGCGAGGATTCGGGCCCAGAAACTCTCCTTTTCGATCGGGATCTTGAAGCATTGGACTGCCAGTCCTTGAGGGATGCAACCGACGACAAAGTTCTCGCCCTTCCTATCCACACCTGTGTCTTGCAATAGAAACAGGACAGCGATAGCGAGCGCCTCAAACTCTGCTTGCAGTTCACGGTCTAGCCTTTGATAATGTGCTCTGAAGTCTTCTTGTCGCAATATCTCCAGGATGTCGCAGCCCTGAAGCTTCTCCCACAAACGAGGCTTGGTGGCAAGGTCTGCTACATAAGCGGGTAGGACATCTGCGAGGAGCTCTCGTAGTCGCACCCGTCGGGCGATGCCAGTACAAAAGCTAACCTGGACAGCGGAGGGCCCTTCTAAATCGGTGATGGAAAGGGATCTCTTGGCAAGGATGTTGGACTTCTTGGTCTGACCGAGCCTCTTCACCCACGTCTGGGCGAAGTTCAATATCCCCACAGCGCTTTGCCCGCCCTGCAAACCAAACCCTACCTGCCTTTCAGCTACTTCCCAGTATGTTGGGAATGTCCCTAGCTCCTTCAACCAGGGAATAGACCTCCGAACTTGTTCTTGCGGAGTTATTTTGCAGGTTTGGTTTATCGAGACTCTTGAGCCGATGAACATTTTTGCATGGCGAGGGAAGGTTGAAGGGATGTCGGTGTTGTCTCCTGATACAGGGCTCCAGTGAAGAACAGACAATTGGTGGCCTTCTGTTTCTGTCGAGATGGAAGTAATCAGGCCACCACCAACTGATATTGCATGGAGGTTTTCCGTGTCATCCCTGGGCATGATGAAATCCCCAGGACCCCATGTGTCGAGCAAATCTTCAGGGCATGCCTTCAAGTCCAACTCCTTATCACAATCTGAAAACACCCTCGACCTTTCGAAGTTGTCAAAGTACTGAAAGGCAAAGACTCGGCTCCGAAGCATCTCACCAAAGCAGCTCAGATTCACGGGAGTCGCAAGTATACATGGTCCAGTAAAAGATGGGCCCCAAATCTGGTTTCCTATGAGCAATATGCGCTTCAATGGAGTGTCCAGGAAGAAGGGCCCAAAGGGCTCGCAATGACCTTGTGCGTAAAGAGCAAAGGCGAGAGAAAGAAACTGGGCCCTCAGTGAGTCGCGAAGTGGTGGATTCAAACCCTTGATAGTGGCTTCTGACTTTGTGAGTGATACCAGGGGTCCAGGTTCCGATGCAAAGTCAGGGTAGATTCGTTCCAGCTCAACACAGGACTCCTGTCTTGCAAGAAAGCTAAATGAATCACAGCAACCGCCGACCTCCTGAAGGACACCGACGGCCCTGTGCAGATGCTGCATAACATTTGGAACAGCTTGAGCTGACTGGCTAGTCATCAGGGAGACGATTGCAGTCGAGTTGGCGTTTTCAAAGAGAACAGACCCAAACTGGAGGTTGTGCGACCCGTCGGGCATAGGACTTACGCCGCCGATACCGCACCAGTATTCAACAGCCTCCCGAATGGAGTTGTCGCGGTCAGTTCCGATGCTCATCAGACCCTGACTTGAATGCAAGAAGGCTGCCCGCATTGTCTCATCCTCCTTGCTTGAATGGAGACATCTTGGGATGTGAAAGTCGTGAAAGTATGACCCAGCATCGTGCACGTTAATCTTGGAGTATATCCATGGCCCATGCTGCGCTCTTTCCAGTAGTTCATCAGCAATTTCGTCTGCCGAAAGACCTAATGCTTTCAACTCCAGCAGCCATGAATAGTCGCCAACGGCAACTTTGTCAAGGGAGTTTTCCAAGATATAATGGACTCTCTGATAGTCAACGCCAAGAAGTGCAATCTTGAGAGGTCTAGTCCATTGATCAATTTCGTCTTGGTCAATTTCGCCTTCGTCAATACAGGACTCAGGAACATTGGAGGAGACGTCATTCGGGTCATCAAATATGGAAAGCTCGGTGGAAAGGATAGTAGTCGCGTCGTTGATTTGAGGTCCGATTTCGTTAAACGGCAGGCCAAAGTACAATGAACCCAAAGCCTTATCGATCACAGACTGCTTGATCTCTGCAGATGACCAAGGGTTGGCAGCAGATGAGCTGAGAAGTTGTTGAAGTATTCTCTGCGCCTCCGGTAGAGAAGCAGCTATTTCAACATATGGCGGGGGCGCTGGTGTGGCAGGGAAACACGTATGCCATATGACGTTCCACTTTGCGATACTGCCAGACACCATATAAACCGCTGACTTGAGGTCATCGAATTCCTTGGGCACTAAGACCCCCGTCTCCTCAATGGTAGCTGGCCGTTTGCTTGCTCGACAGGACCTTGTATGTTCCCGGAGCCTCCCCTCAGCACCTGGACCATGAAGTACCTGGCGGCACCATGTGCAGGAAACACATATCATGTTTGGCGCAATACTTGGATCCGATTCAGGGACAACGTCTCTCAGCACATGCCTTCTTGCGATGTGCTGGATGACATATGAAAAAGCATGCAGTCGAGACCCTCGACATGTCTGATACCGAGTTGGATCATATTTTACAAAGGGGCATTCGAAGGATGGGCGGGCTGGGCTATCAAGCTTGGGATATCTTGGGGCGGCACCTTTCTCGCTGTCTAAGCTGTCAAAGCTGTATTCGCTATCGCGGCGAAAAGCGCGGTGTTGGCCCTCACCCACCGGGCCCAACCCCGCTTGCTGCGGGACTTGGGGCGGATGATTTCCTAGGTTGACACAATTTAAGCACGAGAATACACCTGGGCAGATGTCTACAGAGCTACCTACCCTCTTCGTCGCCGCCTGGGCCTTGCTGGAAGCTCATATTGCCAAACAGCTTACTAGAAATTTGCAATGTTGATGATGGGTTTTGGCGGCGATCAGCCTGGGGAGAGTGGTTTATTTCAAGTTGACGGGGACGTTTGTTGGCTTATTTTCCGTTAGGCAGCGAGGTTGTTTTGGCTCTTGCATTCGCTTGCACGCATGCTCTTCGCTCTCATTCGATGAAAGTCATGCAGCCAAGGTCAGGCGTCATTAGTGGTTCGCCAGCTCTGCCTTGAACTCAAAGGCCAATCGTACCAACAGGATCCATTAGATGCTGTTCTTGCATCATTCGAATCTGGAGGTGAATTTCTCATTATCGACGCCATAAAGAACACGTGCATTCGTTTATCATGATCTTAGTGTTCTAAAATTCACTGGCGACGGAACTGAGGGAGGGTTTGTGGGCGCTTGGCTAACCAGTAATCAGCCTGGCTGAAGCGCTGCCACTCCCTTGCGGGGTAGTCAGCAGGGAAGTAGGACCCGGATAGTAGGAAACATTGTCTGCCTCAACCCTTCTGTTTGTTTCTGCTAAATTATCATCTCTACAAAAACTTTCATTTTCTTTTCGATCATATATTTCCCATACAGATTTCCCGTATAATGAGTCTAGAAGTTGACTATCGACAAGAATACGATGCACTACAGCGTGCTTTGGCTGAGCAAGTTGTTGGTACCAGTCTGTGCAGCGACTGCCAGGCTGCAAAAATACTAGAGCGATTGAAGCCATTTGAATCTTCTGCTGAACCCCCTCATCCCACCAGAATTCTCCGGTTCAACTCCATGACGGATCTCGCCCTTAGGAGTAGTTGTCCTTTCTGCCGATTTCTGTGGAGGGTCATTCGTGACGGAAACAAGAACTGCTGCGCCAGTTGCCAGGCGGGCATCCAAATCCCCCAGGATGGACAACCAATGACCAGCAATCCAGAATCAACCCCAAAAGGACTTCGGATTTGGCTCTCGCTGCGGCAGCAGGAGGATTTGGGCTGGATCGAAACACGAATCAATGGTCAGAAAGTCAGTCGTCACATCGCCTTTGGCGGAATTCAATCCGTTCACCCTAAGTATGCAGATTGCCAGCGGATCAAAACATGGTTGGAAACGTGCCGTGAGAAACATCGATCTTGTAACGAGCAGCAATTACTCTCCAGTCACGGCTTGAATGGGCACTCAAGGTCATGTCTAAGATTGATTGATGTCGAGTCTCGCCTGATTGTGCAAACGCTGCATTGCGTACCCTTCATCACTCTCTCCTATGTCTGGGGAGACGCGGCCTCACGTACCTTTGAGGAAAAAGCGCTGGGATCCGAGTCGTATCATGTGAGCGACGACGTATCTCCAATGGATAGCCAGCCAATTGCTCTTCTCGAAGGAAGGCTTCCTCAAACTTTCGAAGACGCTATCGGTTTCACGAAGCGTCTAGGAGAGCGATACATCTGGATTGACGCTTTATGCATTCCCCAAGACGAACCTGACATCAAAGCACAGCAAATCTCACAGATGGACCAGATCTACTCCAGCAGTATCTGCACCATAGTATCGCTCGAGTCAGGTGTCGACGGAGGACTACCAGGATCCAGTTACAAATCGCCCAGAAATGTCGACCAATATTTCGAACAGTTACCTGGAGGCTTGAAAATAAGTACCTCGTTGATGAGCCTCAGGCTGATCATGGAAAGTTCTCCCTGGGAAACGCGAGCTTGGACGATGCAAGAATATTTGCTTTCCAGAAGAATATTGTTGTTCGGCAAGCAACAGGTCTTTTTTGTTTGCGGCGAGATGACCACGAAAGAAAGTTGGGCCCGACCGCATACTAAGGCAAACGACCTTGATGATGACCCCGAAGGTCATGATGAATGGGCAGAGTATGATCTCCCACTGCCGATAGCAACCCAACGACACAGTTTGAGGCATACATACCAGAGTTGTGCCACTCTTTACTCTCATCGCAACCTTACCTTTCCTAGCGACCGCTTCCGGGCTTTTGAGGGCTTACAAGCTCGGCTGTCTAAACTACACCAGGTCGAGTTTATCCATGCTATGCCCATCGATGAAGAGAACTTCCTTAAAGCGCTGCTCTGGAGGCACGAATCCACGAATCCTACTCTGATGAGCGACTTGAATTCTCCTTCATCGACTCTCGGGCAATGGCCACACTGGACCTGGCTCAGTTATCCTGGAGGAGTCGCCTACAATCCATTTTTGTACTGGACTCATCGTCGAAGCTATGCCAAGGACCTCGAGCTTCCTAACCCCAAGGCATGGTATCAAGGACCAAATGGGAAGTTCTACTCATTAACGAGTACGCCGACGTTGGGCAGTGGCGATGGAAGTTCCCCTTCAAACTCAGTTGCTGATATGGCAAGCGTACGAGTGATTAAATTATCTGGACTGGCCTTGGACATTGATATTACGCAGTGGCGACGTCAAGTAATAGATCCATCAATTGAGGTGTGGCGCAACCATGATTTCTCCACCGCTCGGGGCTCAATCACCTTTCATATAGGAATGGTGTTTGATGTTCAGCAAGACGGTAAGCATAACCTCCCAGAAGGTACTCGATACATTCGCCTTCTGCGCCTTAACGCAAGGGATCGACCAAAGATACCCCGGGCTTTAGTCCAGAATAGGCCACATCAGGTCCTCAAGCCCAATTCAAATACAAATGAAAGCGGGTCAAGTGAAGAGACTCAATTCTCGTCTGCGATAGACTGGATCAGCCGCAGTGATGGCCCGGGTGAGATGGAGACGGACTCTGCTCTTCTTGTTTTGGGGATTACGCCCCCTGAGATTGTCACCAGAAGGCTTGGTATTGCATACGTTAGAATGATGGACTTCCTGGTTGCCGGTGCTGTAGTAAAGGAAGTACTTTTGGGAGACTAGATGCCTGCATCTGGGGCATTGACCTCAACCAACTTGCGCGGTAGCAGATAGTTTAAAGATGGGCAGTTAGATAAAGGCTATTGTCCGCTGAGACTCATCTTCAAGAATTAGTAACAGTTGAACTTTTCTGAAGATCCTCCGTCTCTATCAAAGCATTTTCGGCTTATTTCCGAGTATCGGAAAATCGGAAACCAAACCGAGTTGCTTTTGATCCATTGCCTCGACGTGATAGGCTTCTCTTGTCTTGGCTTTATTTTGAAGTTAGTGCTGGACATCATCCGAGGGAACTAAGCTTATTCTATCTCACTGATGGTGTGCAGTGCTCTAACCCCGGCTTCAAACCCCGCACACTCATTCCACTCAATCCCTTGTTACCCCAGATTACCCCGGAATCGGTTATTGCAGGTTGGACAGTCAGTTGAATCCGAGGCGCGGGGTAGTTGATCCTGGGAGATTGTTGTGTGACTCCCTGGCTCCATAGTAGATAAGAAGGAGTTGGCTCTGCTATAAAAAGAGAGGTCATGGCAGATCCTAGCCCCATTCTTGCATCTCCATATCTAGACCGTTCAAGTCAATATCTCGAGATCATTTCTCCATCATCGACAGCGGCTTCCTTACCTACTTACGAACACCAACCTCTTTCCCGTCATGTCGGACAAGCTCAACGAAGTTGGCGGTCCGAGGATCAGCCAGGATGAGAACCCCAAGAGCGAACAGCAAGCGTTCGACCCGATACTCGAGAAAAGGGTCATTCGAAAGGTTGACCGAAACCTTGTCCCGATCCTCTTCTTACTCTTTCTTTGCGCATTCATAGATAGGTGAGACCTCCTCCAGATACCCTCAGGCATCATCCCTAAATATGATCTGATTTGCAGAATCAACATCGGAAATGCTCGAATCCAGGGCTTAGAAGCCGACCTCAACATGTCGGGTGAAGATTACAACATCGCGCTATTCACCTTCTTCATCCTCTACATCCTCCTCGAAGTACCGTGCAATATCCTACTAAAGAACATGCGACCGTCGCTGTTTCTATCGGCCATCATGACAGGTTGGGGGATCGTCACGATCTGCCAAGGTCTCACACAATCATTCGCTGGACTCATTGTATGCCGCGTTATAATTGGTGGTCTCGAGGCTGGCTTCTTTCCGGCGTGCGTGTATCTCCTCAGCATGTACTACTGCCGACACGAGTTACAGTGGCGCTTCAACCTCTTCTTCTCAGCCAGTATCGTCGCTGGAGCATTCAGTGGTCTGTTGGCTTATGCTATCGCTCACATGGACGGGATTGCTGGGTATGGTGGTTGGAGATGGATCTTCATCATCGAAGGTGCCGCTACCGTTGTTATCGCAATCTGGAGCTACTGGATGATTCCAGATTGGCCCGAGACTGCTAAGTTCCTCAACGATGAAGAACGAGCGCTGCTTGTCGACCGTCTTGCGGCGGATAAAAAGGACACTCACATGAATACGTGGGACAAGAGAACAGCGAAGAGAATTTTCTCAGACATAAAGATTTATCTCGGGTAAGTCACTAACCTCACAAGTGGACCTTTTCCTAACGCTTATAGTATCTTGATGTACATGGGTATCGTCACTACCAGTTACTCAGGCTCCTTCTTCACCCCAACTATCCTCAAACAGCTGGGCTGGACGTCTATCCGGGCTCAAATCATGTCGATCCCCATTTTTATATTCGCAACCGTGTGTGCACTTGTTGCCGCTATCGCGAGCGACAAGACAAAGCATCGTTCAGGCTTTATCCTTGGAGGCTGCCTTTTCACGACGGTTGGATATGTCATTCTGCTCAACATGATGTCTGTCAGTGTCGGGATACGCTACATGGCCCTCTTCTTTATCGTCGCCGGTGGGTATATCGCGCAGCCAATTGTCTTGGTCTGGGTGAGCAACAACATGGCAGGCCATTACAAGTTGGGTGTAGCTTCTGCAATGCAGGTTGGTTTCGGCAATATTGGTGGAATCATTGCTAGGTAGGTTCCGATCTTCAATTCGAGGCGACGTCACTAATATTTACACAGCAATATCTTCGTCACAACTCAAGCGCCCACATACCCTCTGGGATTCGGCTTAGGTCTTGGTCTTGTCTGGCTTTGTGGACTCAGCTCGCTTGTCTTTTTGCTTTATATCAGACGCGAGAATAGGTTAAGAGATGAGGGTAAAAGGGACCACAGATACAACTTACCAGAGGATGAGAGGAATAACTTGGGAGATGACCATCCAAGCTTTCGCTTTACATATTAGATACTGGTCTAAATCATAATCGCCAAATGTTTTTTGCTGGGAGAGCCACGATTGTGGATGACACAATGCGATAGGATGAAGAGGGCAAAGCTGCGGAGGAGAAATCGAGCTCTGATTTGAGGCAGGGATAGGAAGAAAACTCAGGACCTTAATCTTAAATAACATAAAGACTTAGGTTAGCTTACCTGAGCTTAGGATATCCTGTACTAAGTTTATTTCAATATTGTATATTAAGGTCTGATGTTCTTTGCTCCCTGAGGAGGCCTTAGGTTGAACTATCAACTTGTGGCTATTATTATTATTATGCCCGTGAACATAAACCTGAACACCTGTATTTTTGCTCGTGGAGACTGATTCCCTGTTAGCCCCGGTTTAACCGGATATCGGTAAAAACTCAGGGGTTCAGGTGTATTTCTCATTGCGATCTACTGTTGCCTCTAGCCAATTAAACCATCTGTTAGCGTCGCATTTATGCAGGCCCCTTGTTTTAGTGTAGCTGAATCTGCCTTGTGATTCCGGTGGAGGCAGGCAGTGCTTATCCGTATTCACCAGAAGAAATACAACAGTTCACCCCACTTCACCCTTCTTCTCCATTTTTGTTATTGCCGAGTTTGCTGCCATGGATCCTTTATCCGTCTCGGCGTCCGTTGTAGGGCTTTTAGGCGCCGGAGCCCAGATCACATCATGTCTTTGGACGTTCGCGGCCAACGCTAGGGATGCCCCACAACTTGCACGCCATCTCGTGGTTGAGGTAGCCGACATCACTGCGGCACTTGGGTCGCTTCAGGTCTACGTGTGCGGACAGGCTCAAGCCCCAGGTGGCCGAGGGGCATTGATTCTGTTGGAACATGTTCTTACTACACTGACAGGTTGCGTTACTACGTTCTCGGATCTCCAGAGCCTTATGGACCAGCTGAATCTGAGCCCTGACATGGGGACTATTGATAAGATGAAATGGGCTCGACAAGAGTCCAATATCACTGCTATTGTCCAGCGCCTCCAAAATCACAAGTCTTCGCTGACGTTGATGTTGACCGTTTTGCAGTGGTGAGTTTTCTTCTACCATATCTGAGTCTTTTTGGCTGTACTAAGTAAGAAGTGAAACTATGAAAGAAGCTCAAGGCTCAACTCGCCATCTCTGCAAGCTTGTGGAGGAATTGCTGCAAAGCAACCAGGATCTGGCCAATCGTATCAGAGGCCTTGAGCGAGAGGGCTCTATCATTGCAGAATCTAGGATGGACAATGTCTCTACTCTTCGACAGACACGAGGATCAATGTCTCTTTCCTTCATCGATACCCAGGCATCCGCCATCGAATTCACATTCGATCACGATCTCCAGGCATCTCGAGTGTACAACCGCGCCATAGGTCGACAATCTATGTCGTCTCTCACAAGCACTGCCTTGTACACGACTGCGCTGTCTCTTTTCTCTAACCTGAGTCTATCTCAAGTGTCCAACATCTCTCTCTACGCCTTGCCTGTTTACTCTAATGATCTGAGTAACAGTGAGTGCTATATCTTTGGCAAGGAAGGCACTCTGGTAAAGTCTGATAGCTCTCAGGCTCCGAAACCTTCCCCCTCACAGCAAAGGGCACAAGATATGCCAGATAATATCTTTCCGCCACTAAACAAAGCTCAGATACCTTCACGGCTACTAGGACGCTTTGCGAGAAGACGTAAGACTCCACTGGTGAGCGCACCAGAGAATCCTTACCATGTTACTCATGTTGGATATGACGACTCGACAGAGCAGTTTACTGTAGGTTAGAACCTTTTGCTTTACAATATATGTGCTATCGGTATCTATATTGAACCGGCTAACGATATTCAGGGTCTACCTAAAGAGTGGCAGAGGTTAATTGATGAAACCCCGTTGCTAACGCAACCTCGGGAGTCACAGATGGTTGACATACTGCAATTTCATAAGGAAAGCACAGAGAGGAGCCCCCCTAGACCCCAATAACTGAGATCCTCTGTATTCTGTAAATATCATGAGGTATCCTTTGTAAGACATGTCATTTTTATTGCCAATGCGCAATTATTATTAACAAGTAATCTCAATAACTCTTACCCACAGATATAATGCTTAACAACATCATGGTCCACAGCTCCACAGCCAATCTTTTTTCCATAATCTTTGCCCGAACACTTTCCGTAAAGAGACCCGTCCCCTCGATAAATGGCAAAGTCATCCGTGCCACAGTACGCAGCGTGATCTAAATCCATATCAGCAATTATGTCTAGGCATGCAAATTTAAAACTAACACTCAGTATTATCGCCAGGCAGTCTAAACTTCATAGAGCACAGGCTCACAGTCGAATATCCCATCTCTACTGCGCTCTTCACACTGCAGGCCGATTGGCCTTCCCACCACGCAATGTGGTGCTTCTCGCGATCGTAAAGCTTTTCCTGTTGACCGAGGCTGATGGCTGCGTGAGCTTGCGAGCATAGTGCTGCTATTGAAAGTTGTCCGAAACGCATTCTAGGCACCTAGTAGAGAACGAAGTGAAGTATAGACAAATTCGATTTGAAGTGTTTGGTCTGCCAAGTTTTATTTTCGTGGCATAATTATTGCCTCTTTATACATAGCCTCGTTTCGTATGTCCAGTACCTCTCAGGCTATAAGTTACATAAGAAGCGTTTTACTACCGACAGCGACGATGTTAGCAGCCATTAGTAATCTATGCCGAGCATGTTGAATGTCAGCATATAGTACGGCTTACTGAGGAAACCGAGAGATTAGTAGGCTCCATTTACAGAGGATGTATGTCTTGTAAGCCGCGCATATTTTTCCACCAATAGGCGATAGTAGTTTTCGGTATCGGGCTCGCTGACTGATTTGCCTAAGTCGACCTTGGTAGCTTGAGTTCTGTATAGCAAAACTACCTTTACACATACAAATCAAATATCTATAAATATTCAATAAAGTGATCAGAGAACAGAGAGAATATCGACCAAACAGCCAACACAGACTTCTCTGGTATCGTCTTTACCATAATCAACATGCGTGCCAACCTCTTCTTACTCTCAACCCTCATTTCCCAAGCTTTCGCGGCGAAGATCAGCGTCGGCCAACAGCAATCCGGAGGCAAGAACTACCATATTGTCTGGTGGGAGGGCGAGACACCTTGTGATGGACTAGGCCACATCCTAGGTAGCGTCGACCAAAGTCTATGCTCTTTCAACTTCCAACTTCAGAACCAGGGCTCAATCTGTAAGAATTGCAAGCTCAGACCTTTTGCCGAACTATGGACTAACTATGCTTGTTGACCACTTTGCTTATTGTGGTACCGAAGACCTGGCTGTCTATAGACTTGATGGGTCTTTATACGGGAAATGCTCGTCGAAAGACTATAACAAGAAACTTACATGCCAGGACACTCATGATGTTATTAAGCATTATGTCTGTGGCTAGAGTAAAGGTGCTGGGGAGTGGGGAGGGAAGATATGCAATTATGGAACAAATCCCATAATACGATTAAGTTTATATTATATTAAATGATAAACTATATGTAGACTAAAGAGAGTATGGACAATGTCATTCTTAAAGAGGCAATCTAAATATATAATAGCTACGAAGTCTAACTCTTGGTTATAAAGCTGCAACTATGTCTTCTGGTCTGCTGCTATGTAGGTCCCTATTGCCCTGGCCAAACAAACGAGTAGAAAGTAAGACCATAATCGTTACTCTGGAAAAGATAGTACGTAGCGCCAGCCTCATAGGTGGTCCACCGCTCCGGCTTCGTTTTCACTTCTCTACCTTGATAGTCAAAACAAACGAGGTCTCTTTTCCAATACAACTCCACCTCGACCGCCCCTGGGGAAGTTCCAGAGCTGGACGCAGCTTGCTGGTAAGTGGCATGTGCCCCCATCGAGCTCGACTGCCCAAAACTAGACTGACCTCCAGTCGTGGCAGAATTGTCGTCATACCCTTTTTCCTTGATGATCAAGTTACCGCTGGCGTCTTTGCCGATGAGCGGGTAGGGACTGTAGTCGGTGTGTCTCCCCACACGCCCATGAACATCGCATTGGTAACAGACAACCCAGCTGTAACAGTTGGGGTCTTGGAGCTCTGGGATATAGTGAGCCGTAGAGCCGCAGACCTTAATCCTCTTCTGGCAACCTCTGGCACCGCACTCCTCATAAGTGTGGGTGCCATTTACATGATTGCAAACCTTGCAGATTCCCGATAAACTCGACGTCTCCATTCTTCTGAGCTAGAAGGTATTGAAAAAGGTATGCTTCTTAGACTAAAGTAAGCCCTGGGAGTCCCGCTGCAGCATAGAGGCCGGGAACTTACCTTTAAAAGTAAAGAAAAGCGAACGAGATTCAAAGCTTTGGATGATAATCCATTGTCTAATGTTAACCACATGGAGCTCTAATTATAACCCTTTTATAGTTAAGATCAGTTTCATGCCTAGTGACTCCATTTATCCTTACTGGCGTTCTTCTGTTCGGCAATTGCCTATTTAAGAGCAAAGTCGGGCCAATATCCAACTCTTCGTGTCATACGCGTCACCTTGGCGGCAAAAGTCCATCTTTGATTAGAGCTAGATAGGCCATATCGCTAAACCGACCGTGAAGTGTAAAAAGTCCCAGGCAGCAAGAACCAATACCTAGCCTAATCCTAACTACTGGTTGTTGGTTGTTGGGTTGTATTCCTTTGACAATGCATATAGTCATTTAGCCGCATATACGACGTTTAATTGCATATGACTACATGCGTTCCACTTTCTTTTCCAAGAGACAAAGTAACCTACTCGCCTTGCATTTCATCCATCCACCTTCACATCGCTAAGGATCAGGTTTGGTTACCTTGAATAATGGCCCCTGATCCTCTGCGACTCGATGACTTCCTGTTTCGCATTTTCTATGAAAAAGGCTACAATACCTGGTCAGATTTACTAAAGCAGGCGACTGAGGATCCCGACATTCCTTCAGATGATCCACGGGTCGAGCATCTCTTCCCTCATCACCCTTACTTTCCTGTCGGTGTTGAGCTAGATAGTACTGGGTTGCTAACAGCCACATCAACGTGGGTCCCTGGGAGAGGATCCTGCGATTTGCCGCCCTTCGATCAGCCTTTTCAAATTTCGCCCCGTGTTGCTACGCCGACCAGATTGCTTACCTCGACCAAGTTGCCTCTCCCAGCATCTACCTGGTTCAAGCAAAGTGACAATCATCTCGCAGTCCTCGTTCTCGCATGGGCGTATGTTTTATCCGCGCGATGGTCCGAGATCTTCTCTCAAGCATTGCCACTGGAGTACACTGACAGCCAGGCTGAGTGGTTAGACGCGCCACCCTGCGACAATACAGAAGCAGTGGTAGATGTTGGAAACGTCAGCCACGACGCTGCACGGTGGTGGGCAGCTGTGCTTTCGCCTGGCCAAGGCTGGAAGGCTTCTATGGTGTGTGGACGCTATAAATTCATGTCTCCTTGGTCATCGACACTGGAATCACTTCCTACCATCCGATTATTCAGCGCCTCGAGGAGTGGAACGCCAAGTCACCAACGCTGCCCCCATTTTGAGACGGCAGTTCAATATATTTCGGATTACTGTGCACTCCATTCCCTTCATGATCAAAACCGTGTTGCTATTGCGACTGCCCTCATGCTCCCGTTAGCCAACCATGACAGGATAAGTGTCATACTTCCGGTACCGCGAATGCGTATTGCACCTTCGCCAATCAGTTCAAGCCCGGAATCGACACACGAACCAATCTATGGGCGGGATATCCGGCAGTTCGATAGACTACTCACCCTTTCCTGCAACCCTCTTGGAGTAAAGTCCATCCTTGGCAGTATATTCTACGAGTCTAGCATTCTATGCAATACCTGTGGGCCATGGTTGCAAGGCGCTGCCACTTTCCTCCAGTCAGGGTTGATACCAGACCTAGATGTTCTGAGTCGGATGTTTTCTCTTCGAAGCCCCCATCTGAGCTTTCTGTGGCTTGGTGCCATCATTGCTGGCTTGCACAAAGGTTTTTTGAGTGGCCCAGGAGGACTTCTCGGACTCAACAGGATCGATATTCATGAAGCTGCTTGGACTGGTACCCTTATATCCTTCATTCAGGATCATGTTCCTCGACAACCAGAAGATACTACTTCAATCTCACGCAGGAATGAGTTCACCCTGGCTTTCCTTACCCAGGGGGTAGCCAGATATAGATACCCACCAATCTTTCCATATGCGCCCCTTGGCTCAACGGCTGTTGGAGAGCTAGACCTCGATATTCGTCTTCACATGGCATGCCCCGGTGGACATGCACTGAAGTTCTCCAAGATCACCTGGCCCTGTGCGGGAGGAAAGAAGGAAGTCTACGAAGCAGCCACCTTGACCACAATTACTCGCCCTTCATCAAAGCCAAGTCAAGCTGTAGCTCCTAGGCTGGCGGACTATAGCGGATTGGACCCAGACAGAGATATTTCAGAGCGAGTTACGCGAAACATATTCACTTGGATGCGAGAGATGGATGGCTTTCCAGTCAGCGAACGGAAGATATATAAGCATGAATGGCTGGATGATGGGGACTCTGGTGATCACGACAGAAACTGTGCTGAAGGAGACGGTGGTTCTACAATGGGTTGTGACTTGAATGTAACGGTTGGCGGCTGGATCTCTGGTGTTATGACCGCTCGCTGCAACTCTCTGTAGGATCTCATTTACCATATTGGCGTAAGCTTGTGGACAACAGATACTGGCATTAATTTAACAAGATACTAAGATAGACCAAGCGATCATTTGTCTATAAACAGGAACTCAGCAATAAAGTTATATATCTAGATTAATGTTAAAGTAGATATATTTATTATATCAATAGAAATAGAATATATTAATTTGGTACCTGTTCTTTAACGAGCTTTAGAATATCTAATAACCTTTAGAAGATATAACCTTAGCTAAATATACTATAATATTGCCTGTCGGGAATCTTTGCGCTATTAATGAGACCAATGCCTACGTTCTTATAAGCTTAGAGAGCCTGCATACAAACGTGTGACCAACTCCTTAATGCAACTCACGTAGCCTCCTGCCGAGCAGCTATGCAGCGCAGTTTCTCCTTCGTAATCCCTATAGTTAGGGTCGGTATTGTGTTCCAGAAGAACTCTTACTGCCAGAGCATGGCCATTCATGGCGGCTCTGCAAAGAGGTGCATAGCCGTGCTCAGGCGCTATGTTGGGGTCGGCGTTGAATCTCAGAAGCCTCTTCACACCCTGAACATGTCCCTTTCCGCCAGCCTTCGAGAGAGGTGTGTTGCGGTGTTTACCGCATGGTACGTTAGGGTCAGCTCCATGTTTGAGTAATAGGCTAAAGAGGCTGTCACTACCCTCTTCCTCTAGATCAAGAAAGGGTGTTATGAGAAGGGCGGTTCTCCCACATTCTTTGCTTTAGTCATCCCAAGGTAATCTTCAATTCGGATTCACATTATTCTTCGCCTTTTCAAGCAACTCGGGTGTAACAGCAACTGCTTTGTTGCCATTTAGGCATACTCGCAAGAAAGGAGTGACGCCTGCTTTGTGTGGCTCATAAACGATGAAATCTTTACTAGAGTCCAGCAGCGTTCTTACGATATCTAAGTTATTTTTGATCTCATCGTTTTCGCAAAGGGAAGTAAGCCATTTCCATTCTTCAGATTTGGATCCGCTCCAGCATCAAGAAGAGTCTTTATCACATCCACGTGAGCGCTTTCGATCGCAATGTGCAACGCAATGTCGCCAGAACTCGGGTCTATCCAGTTGAGAAGTATTTTGTCTGCTAATATCGCAAGCTTTACGATGTCCATCCAACTATGGTGTACAGTCAGATGAAATAGAGCCGCGGTGATGGTCGCACGATTGTGGTCTAAAAGAAGTTTCATAAGGCTTTGATGGCCACTTGTTGCGACAATAATCACTGCCGTTTGACCGAGCAGCACGTAGTCTCAGTTCGCCATCTTGTTTAAGGTTTGTGAAGGAGGAGGAGGAGACGCACGCTGACTTTGGGCTAGAATTGCCTCAATACACGTGACTATCTTTGCTACGAAAGACAACCAACAACCAACACATGGCAAAAGTTTAGTGGTTTAATTAATCCTTGCCAAAACGCACAGTCAGGCGGATGATTCATCCTACAAGCATTGCTGCCCTACATTTCCACGCTCATTCGCCGCTCAGCGGATCCCCCATCAGTCAAGTGGACAGGCGCGAGCACCCATCTCACACAACCTCCCTCATGAAGCGCCTCGTAGTAAGTCCCTCCCCAAAGATCATCTCTCTTTGCACCCCGACATTCAAATCTCTCCAAGGCAGTCTTGCAGCTATCCTCCAGTAAAAGGTCACTCTTGGCCTTGCACCTCTCATCCGTGAAGTTCCAGAGCGGAGGGGTAGCCCAGCAGACCGAGATGTCTACACCGTGCGTGCCGTCTGTTAGAAATGCCTAGAAATCCTGAGAAATGATGTTGAGGTTCATTCAATTAAATGAGTTTATTTCATTCTAGAATAGAATTCGGTGTTGTTGCAGTTGAACGTACCGAGCAGAAGAGTACGAGATGTTGAGATACTCCAGGCGCATGCTAAGTAGCCCTCTTCTCAAGCATGGCTTCTACTCTGAGCCTTGAACCACGCCCTATAGCATCCTCCACAACTCGAACACGCTCGAAAGCCACATGAACTGACTCCAATCCAATAGCACCCAGAGACTTCAAGTCATTCTGAAATGCATCTACGGCCATCGGATAAGAACGTCCATCGACTCCCCAAACAAGCCTCTTCTCAGTCGTTTTGTACTTTTGTTCTAGTGCCTGGCTCTGCCACTTGTGACTCCAAACACTTGCGATAGCACTTTCTCCATTCCAGTCTGTTTGGCCATCTATCCATCCAAACATTGGTGGTTTCTTGTAACAGAGTGGGTTGGGAATTCCGGTCGCTGTCGTGTGAACAAAGTTTCTTGATTTTCCAGATGGCCGTTTGAGTCTCGTGAGTGATAGACGCCGACCAGTATACAGTGAAAATCTCGACGTTAGAAGTGTATCCAATAGCGAATATGTTGCCGGTAAATATAATGATCTTGGTCTCCGGCTGCACGTTGTTGGTTGTCAGATTGGCCATTAACTGCTGATGCTCGGGGGACAATTTGAACTTCTCCCATTCCTTCTCTGTCTGCCAACCAACGGCGAGAAAATACTGTTGATCGAACTCAATGATGGGACCGAAATAAGTTTGGCGGATCGAATCTGGGCCCCATGGGTTAAGTGGTGTGAAGATTGACTGCTCAGGTTTAGAATCATAATGAAACTTTGTCCATGTCGTGATGCCGTTTTTTTGAGCCCACTCAGAGGCGCTTTGAACACGAAAAGGCTCTTGTGTTGTGGCCATGTTTTTTTCTTGAAGGGATAAACTTAGGGAAGATGAATTGTGTATTTATCCAAGGATATAAATGGGGGTAAGTTGGCTTTATTTTTTATGCTCGTTTTGATCACTCTAGGTGTCACAAGTCAGGGTGGAGACCAACAAGGTTCAAGACCCCTGCAATGTGATTAACAGCGCTAAGTGCGGCCAAGCCCGTGGGCTGATGATGCCTGTAGGTCCACAAAGTACAGACTGCTATAAACTAACAAGACATGTATCTGTATTGATGTTGAAGTAAGCGTGTTTATCAGATAGGTAGGCAGAGATAAAGCCTGTTGATTGAGCACCTAGACTTTGAAGAGCTCTGAAATGTCTGACAACCTAAACAAGACATAATTCAAGCCAAACATGCCATGATACACCGAGTTCTAAATGCCAACTTCACATCCGAATCGAATCCTTGGCACGGATCATGGCCGAGCTTCTTCGCAGGTGCCCTTATTTGGGTCGGCTCTACAACCCCATCAGTCAAGTCTCAATCCAGGACCACGTAAGACTCACCTAAAAGTCCAAACCCATGCATCCATGGCCCCTCCACGAGAGCAACGATTGATGACATTATGGAACCCCTTAACGCAGAGATCGGGATCAAGACCCCAGGCAGTAAGGAACTCGTTGTTTCCGACCGAGAACTCAATTCTTTGCGTGGGAGACTGCTGAATGCACTTCTTGACAATTTTGCCACCCTGAATCCAACGGCGGTCGAAAACAGCGCCGTCGCCTATGCAAACGTCGAGGGCATGCTGACGTGCAACCTCGCGGTCTTCCCATTTGGCGCCGCTACGGAAGCACCCTGCTGAGACGGGGTTGATATATAGACCGATCAAGGCCACGAGGAGATTCAAGGACTTCATTCTGATAGACTTTGTTGGGTTACTTTGTTCGAAATGAAGAGCGGAGAGTATAAATATATAGGTAAAGAGTACTCATTACCCCTCACTGGGCTGGACGAGATGACTGTGAGGAAAAAGTCAAGACAGGCTGATGGCGTTGGGCGGAAAAGCTTATTAGAGATTCGGCCGTAATCAAGAATAGCTTTTCAATCTATAGATGACGGCTAGGGGAGGAAAGAAATCTCAGCACCTTGACCCTAAGGGATGAAAATACTAGGTAAATTTAGCCTAAGCTTAGGGTGCCCTTTGCTAAGTTTATTTTAACACCTTATATTAAGGGTTGGTGTTTTCTTGCCTCTTGAGGGATGGCTGCCTATAAGGTTAAGCTTTAGGCTGCGAACACAGATAATGAATGACAACACGATGTTTTTTGTCCCGATATAAGCTTTAACCCAGAAGCTTTCACAATGAAAATAGCGAGGTATCGTTTTTACCAACACCCGAAGAAGATCGCCATAGCCTAGGTATCATGATTCACGTGTTGGCCCTCGTCTATCCAACTCCTTAACCCGTCAGTGTTCACAATCTCGCTCCTGTCGAGGTACGACAGCACTTTTGTGAACTCCTGGATGTACTCCGAAACCCGGCGGGAGAGTTGTCTATCCATCTCAAATGGGCAGTTCAGCAGGGAACTCGCAATGCTGCGGACTTTGTAGATCTATCACAAGGCCTTAGTACGTGGTGACGAGAAGATGAGGCGCGACTTACGAGATATAGACCGTTGGGCTCTAGGTAAGCATGGGGAATACTGTGGAGGATGTGCAGAAGTTGGCGGGCTACATCTTCGCGATCCCTCCAATTTTGCTTTAGCTGCGTCGTGACGTAGGAGTCGTCTCCTTCTCGGTCCTTCATCTCTTGCAAAGCAACATCCATCTTATCAAGCAGAAAGTTCTGCAGCCACAAGTGGCTGACGTGTAGGTTGGCTCTGGTACTTTCATTCTGCAAATGCTCAATATTTGCGTCACCAAAAGCACCTTGACGCCTATCACTGCTGTCAAAAGGTTGGTAGTTATCACCCGGTCCCCACTGGCGCATATGCGTCGGCAAGCCATCAAGTATATACCGTAATTGATCAAGAAGATCTCTCAACTTTGACAGACGCTCTTCTGGGGATCTGCCAAAGCCGCAATTGCAACCATCATTGACCATGGACTCTCGCATACCCAGGAGAAATGCGCGAGATGCCATGATGAAGACCGTTGTGGAGTGAAACGGCGCGTCGTCTGCTGATTCGGTGTTGTTTGGTAGCCCAACCGATGGTGTCGATGGAAGCTGGCCCACAATTCCTGTCTCGGTTATGTTCTCGTCGATGATGTTGAGAGGCTCCAATGCAGCAAAATTGACATCTCGGATGGTATAGTTGTCGAGATATGTCAAGTAATTGCATCTACCAGGCTGTATCTTGGAGTGTCTGCCTTTTTGTCAGTCAAGATCAGTATTCGACGGTGGTGCGCTTACGCAAAGGTGTAGAGCTGCAGCCAGAACGACTTCTTCCGTAATTGGGTTTCAATCGGATTCAAGCCCTCGTACTCAGACACAATATGCATACCTAATAGTCTTGCAAGCTGCATCGACTCTGCCTCAAACATCCGACTCTGGTTGATCTGTCCAACTTGAAATGCTCCGATCGAGAGACAATATGCAGTAGCCCACTTCCGATGGCTGATATGATCCCAGTAGTCCGCGGGCCGAAGACGAATGCACATCTGAGAGCAGTGACTGATCGTAGCTGTGCGAGTACCGAAGTGAGCTGCCAGAGCATGATAACTGTCAAACTTCGATGGCAGCAAGCCGACAGTCAACGAAGCTATTGAGACGAAGAGCAGTAGAGTGTCAAGGTCGGTGACATCCTTATTGGTAGCCAAGTCGGCGCGGAACGTGGGAAGGTGAACAACAGGGACAAGCGGGTATATATGGTCGATGTAGTCAGTCATTATGGTCATGAACAAGCTCCTGGGGCATATTTCATCCGTTTGGAACGGATGCTCGAATAACTCGACATTCTGAGGCGGGTTGAAGTGCGCGACATGGTTGTGAATAGGTGGACGACTTGGTGACGGCGCGTTTGGCGACGATCCAAATGTCAGCGTCAGATCAGAATTACCAAGAGATGTCGGAACTTCTGTATGGAGTGTCTCTTCTTCCTCGTAGTGGGTTGGACTCTCGACATGTAACTCTGGAGAGATGACAGCAGGTGGCTGAGTCCTGATAGTTGTTAGCCAGGTCTTCATGTGACGCGACGTACCAGCATACCTTCTTCTCTTCGGTCCTCGAGGCCTCGTCGGTATGTCAAAACTACATTGAATATGCAACCTCGAGCATCCAACGCAATGCGCCGCTGTTCCTCCCCCATCCCTCGGAAACACGCACTTCCTCCGCCGAGCACGACACGCATCGCATGCCCTGGTACTCAATTGTCTCGTCTTTTCTCCGCGAGCTGTGATCGACTCATCGGCTTCATTGTCGGTTGATAGCAGTGAAGTGCTGGGGTCTGCCATGGCAGGTAACCAGTCAGTCGGGTCAGTTTCTGGGGTTGATGAGGCGGAGAAATACAGACTGCGGAGTTAATCAAGACCCCCTGGAATGGTCAGTGAGCGTCATGTGCAACTTGGATTTTTTTGTTAGTTCGTTTTTGTCGGAGCCGCAATTGTACGCTTAAAGCGGTGGAGAATTTCCGAGGATTCGGTCCAAGGGACGATGTTCTCCGATCAGATTAATCGACGTGTAAATTCAAGCTATCCAAGTCTGGAATATTGAGAAGCCATGAACCTTTAATTTGGTGCAATTACTCTGGGGTTATAACTCACTCGATTGTCTTGTTCCCACTAACTGAGTGAGTGGATGAACTAACTACCTACGAAGGAGTGTTGTCATATGACACAGCCCTAACACAGATTCAAAACAAAATTTAGGCTCGCGGCAGAAAGATTTAAATATAAATGAATTTCTAGGTTATTACTTCCTGCATTAGAACATCAGTCACTGAAAGGCGGCAGAATTAAAAAATAGCAGTTTATATTATGTAGGGTAGTTGACTTTTGTTATGTCCGAAGTCCCCGCCACGTCAACGCGTTCTGCACCGTAAACGTCTCCTCCAGAAACTTACATCTACTACTCATACCCACTAACACTGTATACTCCCCTGCGTCACTGCACCAATAATCCTCCCTCTCGTTCCAATAACTCGTCGCGCGTAGCACATCCAGCTCAATCTCAGCCCTGCCAACTGCTCCTACGTCTAGATTGATCTTGGCAAAGCCCTTGAGCTCTTTGCTAGACCTCGTGGTCGTGTCAAGAGCAGAAGCAGTAAGAGGTGTTGGGTGAGGCGGTTTCACGTAGACTTGCACGACCGCGGCGCCGGAACACATGCCAGTGTTGCTCACGCTCACACTCACTGTCAACTTGTCTTCGGACTCCCCATTCCTTTCGACGCGGAGATCAGAGAGCTCAAAAGTAGTGTAAGACAAACCATGCCCAAATGGGAACAAGGGTTCAATGTCAAGCGTGTCGTACCAACGATAGCCGACATGCACGTCTTCGCTGTACAGCACGCGACCGCCCTCTGATCGGAAGCTCAAAGCACTAGGGTTATCTGCCACGCGTCGGGGCATCGTGATTGGCAGTTTGCCCGACTGGAACTGTTAGCAAAATAATATGACGAGACTGGGATTGACTTACCGGGTTCACAGCACCGAATAACACATCAGCGATTCCATTACCAGCCTCATTACCACCAAACCACGCTTGCGCAATGGTACTAGCCTCATCAACCCACGGCATCGAAACAGGCGTACCACTCTGTATTAGCACTACTGTATTAGGATTTGCTTGCAAGACAGCAGAGATCAAATCATCGCTGCCAGGAGGAAGAGACATGTTTGCGCGATCTTGACCTTCACTCTCCCACTCTCCACTTGTCCCAACGCAGAGAACGACTTGATCAACGCTCTTGGCCAACTCAACAGCGTCTTGGAGTGCCTGTCGTGGCTCAAGTCTGGGACAGCCTCCGAGACGCATACCGCCTTGGCCGAAGTCGACTACTCCAGAGACTTTCAGATCGGAGGTCTTGTCGCAGCCCCAGCGCACGACGACGTTGTAACTCTTACCGCCCTTAAGAAGCTTGCTTCCTGTTTTCTCGATGGTGCCGCAGCCGAGGAACGAACTACCTGGCTTTTGGTCGGTGACATTTGAGACGACTAGCTCGCCATCGATGAAGAGCTCACCAGTACCGTGGACGCACAGACCAAAGTCCCATTCTCCGGACTTTTCTGGGGACAAGACACCCTCCATCTCAGCGTACCAAATCTGCTCAAGTGCGGGGTGTTCGTAATCCACAAACCAGATATTTGAGTCATCAAGGATTCTTGTCTCGAGGACCTTGCGTGTATCTGGTCCGGAACTGGGAGGGGGATCGTTGTAAATGCGAAGAGTGAATCCTTGATGTTGTTGGTCGACCGTCTTCAACAACTCGCCTATTTGAGGCAGTGATCGATGACCATAAAGACCCTTGGTGAAAGAAACGTCTTTCGCAATACCCTTGATGCCCTCCAATGGAGAAACAGTATGGTACGCTCGAAGACTTGCACTTCCACCTCCACAATAAGTGCTGATATCCGCATTAGGCCCAATGGCTGCTACTTTTTTCGTGGGATCTAGCGGGAGAACTCCCTTGTCATTCTTGAGCAACACCACCGACTCAGCAGCAGCTTCTCGCAAAAGACGGGTATTTTCTTCGCTCTGAAGCTGAGTCTCTGGCGCATTTGGAGGTATGCTTGTGTTTTCGATAGAATGCTTGACCAGCTTCAAGATGTTTCTCACACGCTCATCTAGCGTTGACCTCTTGATCTTGTTCGACGTAACGGCGTGCACCAGAGTCTCACCGCGCCATCTCGTTGGACCTGGCATTTCGAGGTCTTGCCCCGCGTTGATCGCCTCAGTGGTACTGTACGTGCCGAACCAGTCGCTCACAACCAGCCCGTCCCAATTCCACTCATCACGCAAGATATCCTGCAACAAGTGATGATTATCAGGCGCATGAGTCCCGTTGACCTTATTATACGCCGTCATAAACACCCTCGGACTCGCCATCTCAACAGCAATCATAAACGGCATAAGATACACCTCCCTCAACGCCCTTTCCGTAACCTGTACATCAACAGCCATCCTCGCACTCTCCATATCATTACAAGCAAAATGCTTCATCGTAGCAGAAACACCATTCTTCTGCACACCACGTACATAATGCCCTGCCAGAATACCCGAGAGGATAGGATCTTCGGAAAACGACTCAAAGCCTCTTCCGCCCAACGGTCCTCTCTGGATATTGACCGTGGGACCGAGAAGGACATGTGCACCTTTGGCGTGAGCTTCGTCGGAGAGTAATTGCCCAAGACGGTGGATTAAATCAGTGTTCCATGTTGCGCCGAGGGCGGTGCCGCAGGGGAGGCAGGATGATGGGGTGCTGTCGAAGAAGTGAGTTCCTCGTACGCCGTTAGGGCCGTCTGAGAGGCGGATTGGGGGTATTGAGAGGCGTTCAATTGATGCTGTGTGCCACCAACCGACTCCTGTTTGAATCAGTCAGTAAACTGCAATGGATAGTAAGGCGCTTCGGTCTCACTTACCTGCTGTGAGCTGGACCTTTTCTTCAAGGGTCAGTTGCTGTATGAGGGCCTCGACATCCATTCTGGGATACCTCATCTCAATTGCTCGTGGTTGACAGTGATGATGTGATGGATGATTGACAAGGCAAGGACTCTAGCTTGTACGGAAATGCGATTTACTAACCAAAAATGACCGTGAGCTATATAGTTCATGAGCATGATCGCGATCTAGCATTCTCATCCTCATGCTCCATCATGAGACCTAATTCTCCGCCAAACTCACAGCTAATCCACATTTTCTCCAAAAAACAGCACTGATGATCACGCAAGATATCCACCTCCGGATTGATGTCTTGCATGATGCGTCAAATATTTCTCCTCAAACCTCCCCGAAATCATCTGCCGCGTGCCCTCGCGGGGGCAAGAAAACAGCGAACCTTAATATAGGGTGCCAAAATAAACTCCTCAAAAGTTATCCTAAGCTTATACTATGTTACCTAAGTCTTATTTATGATCGAGGTTCCGTGTTTTCTCTCCTCCCCTAGCGTGTTTTACAAGGGGCGGAGAAATACATCCCCACCAAACCATTTCAACATACCTAAGCTAAATCTCAATTCTCCGCCTCACAGCAAGCTTCTCCAAATTTGTTACGTGAAATCCCCACTAGCAAATCTCCGCAATGTGACATCGCCCTCGTAATTTTCTAGTGGTATGGGGAGACGCGAAAACGTCTGATTCCCCATGGGCAGCATTTACTCTGGGGTTTTGACAGAGCTTAGTGTGCCATGTGACATTTTAATGGCGTGGAGTATTTTGGTGGATTTTTTTCGTTCGTCAAAGACGCGTATAGGAGGAGTATATAGACTTGCATACGTCCCCAGCATATGGTGAATGATCGACACAGGCTTTTGACAACAGTCTTCAACTATCTCTGGGATTTGATCCTCGATATTTCTTTTTCTTTATACTTCACGTTAATCAAAGTGTCTTCGAATACCTGCAGCCACGATGGGTAACGCCGCTGAGGTTGGCCATGGGCCGTCCCATCAACCATGGTACAAGACAAGCCACTTGATCAAGCTCAACTCCATCATCCTCTCCCTCGTCCTCTTCTGTAAGTCTTCATCCTCAACACCCAACTCTCTCACTAACCCCTCCCCAGCCTCAGCAAACGGCTACGACGGCGGACTCATGGGCTCTATCCTCGCCCTCAACACCTGGAACACATTCATGCACCACCCAACGGGCGCATATCTCGGCTGGATGACAGCAATCTACTGGCTCGGCAACGGCCTCAGCACCCCCCTCGCAGCATGGTGCTCCAACCGCTACGGCCGCAAACCCGGTCTCTACGCAGGCTACTTCTTCCTCATAATCGGCGTGGGCATGCAAGCCGGCGCACCCAACGAAAAAGCCTTCACCTACGCACGACTCTTCATCGGTTTCGCTGCTGGTTTCTTGGGAAACTCTGCGCCTGTTCTTATCAATGAGATTGCGTATCCTTCGCATAGAGCTATTGCGAGTGCGTTGTTCATGTGTGGGTGGTATGTTGGCGGCACGATCTGTGGATGGGTTACTTTTGCGTGCCGTGTTATTCCTAATGATTGGTCCTGGCGCATTCCTGTCCTGCTGCAGATTTTCTTGCCACTTTGTGCGCTGCCCGGCTTCCTTATGGCGCCGGAGAGTCCGAGATGGTATGTTAGTGTTGGACGATTGGAGGAGGCGACGGAGGTTATTGCGAGGTATCATGCTGGCGGGAACAGGGATGATCCGATTGTGAGCACGCAGATGATGGAGATTGAGGCTGCGATCACCGCGGAAAAGGATGCAGCGAATGGTGCGTCTTATCTTGACATGTTCAAGACCAAGGGAAACCGACATCGACTTTTTATCTCGGTCACGCTTGGTTTTGTGGCTCAGTGGGCGGGCAATGGAGTTGTTTCGTACTATCTGCCTCTTGTCTTGACCTCGGTCGGTCTCAAGACTACAACGGAGCAGACTCTTATCTCTGCATGTCTCAATGTCTGGAATCTTCTGTGGGCTACTGCTGCAGCAGTCAGTGTTGATCGCCTTGGTCGACGATTCCTTTTCTTGACTTCAGCAACTGTCATGTTCTTGTCATTCGTTGTCGTCACTGCACTCAGCGCATCGTTCGCCAAATCTGGTGCTTCATCAGTGGGATTGGCTGTTGTGCCATTCCTATTCATCTTCTTTGCAGGATATGACGTCGGATTGTAAGTTTCACTCATGTCTCGACGTGGTCACAGCTAACATATTTTTAGAACACCGTTCCTTGTCGCTTATCCTTGCGAGATCTGGCAATTCTCTCTCCGATCTCGGGGTCTTACGGTTGCTTGGTGCACAACCGTCGCGTCAATCTTCTTCAACAGCTTCGTCAACGCCATTGCTCTCGACGCGATTCAATGGCGGTACTACATTGTATTCGCCGTGATTCTGTTCATTTTCATCTTCGTCGTCTACTTTACATACCCCGAAACACGTGGACATACCCTGGAGCAAATGGCGGTTATCTTTGATGGCGAAGATGCAGTGCCGTCTCAGGCGGTTGCCCTGGAAAAGACTGATGTTGAGGAGAAGGAATAACGACTGGAATGTAGAGATAAGATAAGAGCAGTTAGTAATCAAAACAAGCATCGTCGATCGGTCGATCTAATGATATGATCGGCGATTGATTGGTCGAAAGTGAATCTGACGTTTAGGCTGCCGCTGCTATCAATGACGTCAGGGTGAAAGAATGTATCATGTGCCCCAGTCCCGTCTCGTCGTAAGCTTGATTTGAATGTTCTCAAAAGGGCCTCTCTCCTCTGCCTTTCCCCTCTTCTTCTGTATCAACATTCTCTCTCAACCAAACCACTTAACCAACATCAAAAAGTGATTGTCAAAATGTTCAACAACGCTGTCTTCGCTTTCCTCCAGCTCTGGCTTGCTACACTTGCCTTTGCAGCTCCCATCGCTGACGAGGTCACCGTCACTGGTGCTGAGCCCTGGCACTACGGAACTGGTGGTGGTATTATCGGTTTCATCGTTTTGGTTCTCGACATTCTTGTCTGGAGTACGTATTTCTACGTCCCCCGCTGTTTAAATAATGCTAACGAAGTGACAGTCGAGGTCCTCCAGTCGAACCGCCCCGTCTCCCACAAGATCCTCTGGTGTCTTGTTGTCTTCCTCTTCCCCATCGTCGGAATGATCGTCTACTACCTCTTCTCTAACCGCAAGTCTCACATGCGCAACTCTGACTACACCCCTGTTCCCTAAATGCATCGCGCATCAATTGACAACAGTCACGCGACACACTGCAACAACACGACAAATGAACAAATGGGGCTGGGGAATGACGTACGAACGAGGCAGTGGGAATACGGAAGTGGAAACGGGAAGCAAATACATCAGATAGCGTCTTGTTTTTATTGCAATGAATTGACGAAACATTTACTTGGGGGCTTCGAAGTACGCCTTGCGATTGTGACAATACGGCCGCGACCATGGCTGTGTCATTCAGCCCGGCCAACATCAACTAAATTGACTTTCTGCCTGTCTCAATTCCCTGCTTGACCGTGGAAACAATGCATTTTCTGCCTTGAATGACTAATTATCCCAGTTTATTACACTTGCTTGCACGACCAACTGCATATATGCACGTCTACGCGCGCGACAAGTGAAACACCAGCATGGCGAAGCATTTCAGCCGGCCGTTGAATGAGGCCCAACACAATGTACTTAGCTACGCCAGAATCCATGCAAACACCCAACAACAGTTACACACAAACAATCGCAATTTTATTTTACCACCCACGGCGCTTCTCAATACACAATGCCACCCAATAGACGTGAGATTCAGCGACAGCTGATGGAAAAATACAACATCATTTTTGATGGGCCAATTGACTCAATCGCCAATCCTCAGTGGCCGAGCAATTGCAACACCATCTTTGACCACATTCGGCGTCTGGGTAAAACCGATTACCCAGAATACCGTGAGAGCATAACAGCAGATTCCGCGCGGTTCCCATGGAGGCACCAGGTTCAGCGGCGCGTGAAACGAATTACAGAGAGCGCCAAACGCTGCTTGAAGAGCAGGAAGAATGAAAGCGGATGGCGTCTAGCGCTCGAGTCCGAAGTCATGGCCCGATTCTCTGTAGAGATCGCGTGGTAAGCTTCGTCGAGCTCTTCATTCTTGGCAAGTTTACTGATTATTGCACAAGTCGGAATTGCCGTGGCCGACTTTGGCGCTCTGAACAAGAAGCCGACCCAAGCACTCAAGCGGCTGAGGAGGGTGATGCCAATTCTCTCAGGGCTCGACAGAGGAAACGCAAGCCCTGCACATGTAATCCCAACGACTTGTCACGAGACATGTAAGCGTATTGCATAGCATTCATGACTTTGAACTAACATTCCTTTCTATAGACAAGAGCAGGGAATTAGCCCCTTGTTCGACGATAGAGCTGAAGAAGGGATAGTCTACTCCAGTGAATTGCGAGCGGAGCTCCCGAAGCGCGAGCATCGCCCTGATCGTGTTTATGGACTCCATGTTACCGAAAGACTTTCTCGGCTACTCAGCTACGCCGAGGATGTCAGGAGTAGTCCGTTTAGGCTTGACGGGGATCCTCTTGTGTTTCCCTTTCTCGTCATTGAGGCCAAATCCGAGAAGAGCACTGATAGTTTCACCAATAACCAGGTTCAGACTGCCTTCGCTATTCGAGAGCTCCTGTCCATACAGCACGAACTATCGCAGGCTACCAATGAAAGGAGAGAATGGGATGGAGGTCCACTTGTTTGGTTTCTATCCTATAGAGGCGAGGAGTGGAGAGTATCCGCCGCCTTCATCCATACAACCGCCGAAAAGATATTTTATGTAAGTGTTGCGAATATGGGTCACGATCATGGGCTAACCTGGCTTATAGAGAGTCGTTCTTCTTTGGAGTGGCTGTGTCGACTCGCTGGGTGGAGCACTTCAACTTCTCCTCATCATCGACTATATTGCTGACTGGGCGCGGGATATCTACCGTGAGGGCATTGTACACAGCCTGCAAAAGTTTGCACCCCATGATTCAGAAAGCTTGAGACGCGATGTTGACATCCCCTCAAAGGCTGGCAATGTTGCACGGTGGATTGCCAGTAACCTCAGCAACAGTGACAACGCAACGAGTCAGCCCATCGGAGACCCTCTGCGCAAATTCGACAGCGAAGCAGGAGTTTTTCGAGACGCTAGATTTGTCCGGTCCCATTGCATTGGTGTAGCTATCACACACCACAATGTAGAGCCGTTCCTGAGAACAGCCACGACGAACAGGGAGACAAGCGACCTGATATTCTCCCTTTTAGGGAATTTAATAGGACCCTGTCTCGTCAAGGGCCAGATGCTCAACGACTTGGAACTCCTGTGGACAGATACTGACCGCAGTCTGTCTGACATACTACACCCAGAAGATGTCTTCTACGTTGTTTTTGCTGCAACATTTCATCTCAGCCCGAGTTGGGAGCCAGTGAGAGAACTCACCTATCTAGCAGTCTCACAAAAGCTTGTTCAAGACTCCGTCCAATCCTCGCCAGACTCACTTCCAAGTATCGTACTCTTTGAAACAGCACCTATGATTGAGACATTGGAAGGATTCCGAGGTCTTCTGCATCTATCAGCCGAGGATAACTTGGCTGCCTGTCTCTACAACCTTTGTATTCAAGTTGACACAGAACCCAGCGCTCGAGATTCCGAAATTAACTTCGTCTGGAAGAAACTACCGACTTTTGCGACAAACGATAATCGAGCTGCAAAGAAGCCGAGAGTTCTTCGTGCTTGCTCCCGGCCTGGAGCAAGTAGATTCGTGCATAAACTCTACTCCAGGTACAGGATTGGAAGGAACGAACCAACCGTGTCATTCTTTCGTGTATCGTCGGCAATGGATCAGTTGGCTACTGCAGAAGATTTGCGAAAGCGACCTCAGCTTCTAGATGAGACGATCTGGCCATGGAGAAAGGATAAAGAATGGAAATCTGCGAGGGCATCAACCAGGGAGTTCTTGATTGCCAGGAAAGCTGCTGAGGTCACGTACTTTCAAGCAGAGCTGTGCATATTTATCCTCGATGTGTCACTGGCTGTGAAAGGCATCCCACGGACTCTGTTTTCATGCCCACCGGAGACTCACGTACTTATGTTCAAATACGGAGACGATCCCGACGCTACTGATCGGTGGAGATCAACGTTGTATTCATAAGCTGAGGGTAGAAAAAGTTGGAACTTTGCTGTTCATACCTCAGACAACGTAATGCGCCTTGGAGGTCATCTTGAAAGGTTTCGTAATGAGTTAAGGCAATATCGGGGGTTCGGGTTACGTACCAAGTGGAAAGAAATTACAACAGGTTGGGCCCAAGATCAGAATATTAACTCACTAGACTTGGCATCCACCCGGCCTTTCACACGACGTTCAGACCAAGCCTCACTGAGCAGCATGCTGCTCAGTATAGGAGACGATGAAAATGAGCGGCCGCTCCAAAGGCCTACAATATCCGATGACTTCATGGTTATTAAGGAGGAAGATGGTGTCACGCCGAGCACAGTGGGTCCCTCGGAGAGGACGATCAGACGGGCATACAGACCAGACGGAGCTGAGAGGATGCAGCATCAAGAAAACCTACCTGGCAGCGATACTGGTGATGACTCTCCCAGTATGTCAGAGCGACGAAGAGGGAAAAGGCCAATGAGGGCGGTGGATGAGTCTGACGAGGCTGAATCTTCAGCACATGCAGAACGACGAGCTCGCCAGGAGCGGGATGTTACCCAACGGTTTAATAGTGACTTTCTTTCCGATGAGGAGTTGGAAAAAGTGTTGGCAAATGGAACGCTTCCCTGAAGTGCCGAGTGGTGGTGCTGTGATATTTCTCTCGTATTTTGGATTTCCCGGTTATGATAATATAAATTACGTCTGTGTCAAAATAACTCATCCTAGACCTCGCTGAGATCGCCGGGTTTCCATATTCATCACAAGAACTGACTGATGAAGACTTTGAGTTTTCTCCGGAAAGGCCTTTCAGGAGGCGGCTATACCATTACTCTCTCAGGGAAGCTCTGGTAGGCGGCAAGAAGGAGACGAATCTGCTTCCACAGCAAGAGTTTATAGTAATCGAGGACGACGAAGAAACAGAAGTGGATTTGAGAAAGCCCCAGGCTACTAGTGTCAAGGCTGGTGAATCCGAGTCTGGATCTAACCATGGATAACTGCGGCCTATAAGGTTAAGCTTTAAAGATACCGCCAAAGCCGGCACTGAAGCCGAGAAGGAGGTGAAGCGTGACAGCAGTCTTAGTATGCCAGAAGACAGGGGAAAGAAAAGACCTATTGTTGCTCTTGAGCGAGGTGATGAGGTTGAAGCTTGAGCTCATCTTGCTCGAAAGACTAGACACCGAGATTTATTAGGTGAGATGACCTGTAGGCAGTCAGCTGTCGATACGGAATTGGAGAAAGCTCAGATAGACTTGGGTGTAGCATTTTGTTGATAGACTTGAGGAGGAAGTAACATGCAAGGGATTCGACATACGTTGACATATCTCCTCGCCTATGGCTAACTATTAATTGAATCGGTGGAATGACCATCAGTCTACGAATAAAACACCCTCCAGAGACACCGTCTCAATATGACTCAAGTCGGAAAAGAGGCTTTAAGTAATGGCCATTCTTATTGACATTTAATAGATCTTCGTTACAAATCTGCCCTTGCATCTTCTCCAGCCCATGCCCTTCTAATGACTTCGCGGATAAGATCTCGATCAATCTCCCTGGGATTAGCATAAGACTTACTGACAGCAATATCAGCTGCCTTATCAATGTCCTCCTCTTTAAACCCAATGGACTTCAAGCTCCGAGGAACACCCAGCTTGTTGAGCAGTGTGTTAAGACCGCGTAGAGCATCTCCCTGGCTGTCTGGAAGCACTCCAGCCAAAGCCTTCATGGCCTGTGGAACCTTGGGAGCGTTGTAAGCCAATGCGTGCGGGAGAACAATCGTATGTGTCTCGGCGTGGGGCAGGTTGAAAGAGCCACCAAGTGTATGGCAAAGCTTGTGATGCAGAGACATTCCAACGCTACCTAAGCAAGTTCCGCAGAGCCAAGCGCCATATTGGCAAGTCGATCGTGCCACGATGGAATCGGGATCGTTGAGTAGCTCGTATGATCCGTTTGCGAGAGACCTCACACCTTCGACGGCCATTAGACTAACGATAGGGTTCAAGTTGGGAGCGTAGAGCGCTTCGACGCCATGCGCGATAGCGTTGATGATGCTGGTGAGCGACATGGGAAGTGGAAGCGAGAGGGTCAAGTCGACGTCGTATATAACAGTTTTAGGCAAGATTTCCATCTGTGTCTTGGTCGTCTTAATGCCATCAACAGTTTCACCGAGAATTGGCGTCACCTCACTACCAGCGTACGTTGTCGGGATAGAAATATGGTAGATGCCCTTACGGAAGCTGATCGCCTTGCCGAGCCCGGTGGTACTTCCGCCCCCAATAGATACAAGAACGTCGGGGTTATTAGCCTGGCAAAACGCGAGGGCCTTCTCGGTGACATTCAAGGGAGTGTGCATGGTGGCTTCAGAGAAGATCCAACTGGCTTCCACGTGCGACTCGAGAATATCAGTGATTTGTTTGGCTTGGTTAATTTGATAGGGTGTCGATAGGACGAGGGCCCGACGGAAACCAAGTTGCTGAAGGCATTCCGGAAGTTGACGGATTGAACCCTGTCCAAAGATGATCTTGTGAGGCAAAGGGCTGTACACAAAGGGCTCCATTTTGATTGAGCTAGTTTGCTCTTGGGAATATAGTAAGATATCGTTATCGTTATAAATATTGTGTTCTTCTCCTGTAGAAGTACTAAGCTTTCTTTGCTTTGTCTTGGTTCCGGACTTCCGGACTTCCGGTCCCTGACCCGACCCGGCCTTCGGCGTTGGGATTTCACAGGTGCGCCTTGGTGGGGACGGCCGAATAAACCAAGTTTGACCCCGCTAATGAAGGAACTTCCGAGGTAGTCGGGTTACATGGCGGATATTTGCTTGGTCAAGACCTAGTCTTCCCCGCCTTTCATCCCGTATATGGAAGAACTGTCGTAACAATCGTTTCGCGATCTGTTAAGATTCGGGCTATGGGTACATTCCCCAACGGCAAGGAAATATAGGTCTATTGGATAAATACATCACTGTGATAGGTCCGAAGCAAATCTTGATGTGAGATGCGCTTGAATTAGCAATACAGCAATAGACTATTATTATCATTATACCTTATTAATATAATAAGGATTCTTATCTTTCTGGATTAAGTGAAAGACTACTTTACTCTATGTAAGAGCTTAATAAGACTTCAGTAAGTTAAAAAAAAAAAAAAAGCTAAAATACAGTCTTGCAAACCCTAGTTACTATCTCGATAAGATGGCTATGTTTATGTTCGATCTACTATATCATGGATTGACAGAGTCTTTAGATCATCTAGTCCACGTCCATTTCCATATATACCATGGTACATTCTTTCTTGCAGTCCCACATTCCTACTGGGACAGTCCCGCTCCATGCGGTGCGGAAACCTCTTCTTTGATAATATGCCTCGTTGTTTAGTTCCCTGATAGCCATCAATACCAACTTTGATTTGGCTGTGCCGTGGATCTTTCCTTCAGGCGCTCTGATCTCTACGCCTGCCATAGTATCCTTCTGTCGATTGAGGTCAATTCCCTGCAGCGCGATGTTGGTTGCTGAGCCTGACAGTCCTAGCTCACGGATCAGAACTGCATTGTCTGCAGTGATATTTCGCACCCTCGGACCGCTTGAATCACTGACCACCAACCACTTGATCTCGCTCAACACTTGAGCACCCAGCCCAGCAGCCTGAAAACGAGGCGACACAGCAAACGCAGTGACTTCGAACTTTTGCACCTCTTCTGCTCTCCGCTTAGTCGCTGCACCGCTGGATCCTCGGTTTTCTACCTGACTTTCCCATTCACTGCCACTTCGATTCTTGCTCCATTGCGCGTATGTTTCAACATCCCCCTCACCAAAATCCTTCACACTACCCGTTGCAAGCACTTCGCATAATTGTGGCTATTGATCTGCTCCATCCGAAGTGACACGGACCAGCACGATGGTAAAGCCGTCAGCACCAATGATATCTGCTAGTTGTGCTGGATCTGCCATGCGAAGATGGCTGGTCCCAAAGATCTCGGGATATGCACAATACGTTGCAGTATACGAGTCATTCAGGACCTTCTGGATGGCTTTGAGGAGAGGAAGATTGGATGGGGTAGGCGTCACATGTTCGGGGAGCAGTAGAATTGGAATAATAGCTTGCATTTTGACGTCTCGGGAGATAAGAATATAGTAGTTGTTTTAAAAGCTTTCGTTTCTGTGCAGCAGAGACACCCCTTATTTTATTAACAGTGTGTTCGGTCTAGAGTTTATCCGTTAGAACTATTTTCAGCAGGTTATCTGCATTGGCTGTAGGAGTATTGTAAAAACGTTAAATTGTTATATATAAAGTAATTAAGTTAATTATTAAAATCTCTATATATTACATTCTATTAATTAAATATATATATTAAAATTTCGTATTCAAGTTTCCTTACTAGATTATAGACTTTATTATTAACTTTCTAAAATGAAGATCCTTCACGGTTTCGGCAGAATGCTTTTCCAGGGTACTTCTGGAGCTATAGGTTAACCGTTACATTCAGGTATCTAAATGACTCCAATTCCACTGAGGTCTTTGGATAGTCTCAAATAGTCAGAATGGCGCCGAGTACATAATAGCTTACTGATTCATAGCTGACTTGTAATTAATTCAATCCCATTAATCGTAGCGCGTCACCGGTTGTGGACAGCCTGAATGGGTTCAAAGAGCTCTCGGCTGCATCAGCTAACGACAACACTTTGCTTCTCGATGCTGTCTTTGGCGTTAAGGAGCAGCAGCCAGTTGTTCGTTACAAGGCTTAAAGGGAACAGTGCAGGACAAATGTAGATAAAAGAACCCAAGATAAAAGGTTCCAGGCGGCAATTATAAGTATACGTCTTGATGTTATCGCAATGATTAGACTGCACTAGGCGAGTAGTGGTTATGTGCACGGTCGGAAGTTTATTACCCCGCGCTAGAAGGAGGCCCCTCGGATACTCCCAAGGTGTCGAAACTCCGCGTTATAAACTCATCATTTTGATCCTGTTCATTCACTTTCCATCCAGTATATCGTAGCGTAGTCTCAACCCGCAATGGCTACAGATATGTTGCGGGGCTTCACTCGCCAATTTATCGAGACCGCAGATGGTGTTTCCATTTTTGTCCGCACCAAGATTGATTCGGGAAAACCCCCTCTTCTCCTCCTCCACGGGTTCCCTCAGACACACGTCGAGTATCACCATATCGTACACCCCCTGGTCCCCCACTTTAGTGTTATCCTCTTAGATCTTCGTGGATATGGCCAGTCAGCTACCGTTCCTAGCACCAACGGATCCGGCTATTCCAAGCGGCTGATGGCCAACGATTGCATATCTGTCATGTCCCAGCTAGGATACAATAAGTTTCTCCTCGTCGGACACGATCGCGGTGCCAGAGTTGCTTATCGCCTTGCCTTTGATCATCCTGAGGCAATCTTGAGACTGGTTGTAATCGACATTATCCCGACTGCAGCCATGTTCCAAGGTTTTGGGGACGTGACGGCTGGACTGAAAGCCTACCACTGGCTATTCCTCGCTCAGCCAGACCCTTTCCCCGAAAAGGTGATTAAAGGCGCCGATAATGGCAAGCACTACTTGGAACATACCCTAGCGAGTTGGACGAGGAACAGGACCCTTGACGACTTTGATGAGAGGGCACTCGAGGAGTATAGAAAGGCGTACTGCAACGAAGCAAGAATTCATAGCACGTGCGAGGATTACAGAGCTGGAGCGTTCCTGGACAAGGTCTACGATGAAAAGGATCTGCAGGAGGGGAATAAGATACAAGCTCCCATGTTGGCGATCTGGGGCAATGCAGGAGTATCTGCCGAGTCTTTGCAAAACAAGTCGGAAGGGCCCCTTGAAATCTGGCAGAAGTATGCCCGAAATGTGCGTGGCAAGGCGTTGGAGTGCGGGCACTTTATTCCTGAAGAGGACCCAGAAGGTCTAACTGAGGTTCTGATACCCTTTCTCCTCGAGCAGTAGTCAAGAGACTTAACATCTTATCGCTCTTGAAGAATGCTTATAACGATGGATTGATAGCGCAAAGGAAACGACTCTATTCAAGTAACGAAACTCTTCTACCGGCCTCCCCACGCCACGAGTTCGTCATGGCATCTCTCCCATCCGTCAAAATACGGAAACCTATAGTCTCCTCCAAGTTTTGATTTCGCTGATCGAGCGAGATACTCAAGAATCATGTTTCCCCATAACCAGGTCAATGCCCCCTCGCCCGGATGTGTACCGTCTTCATACCAGCTCCCCATAAGACTAATGATACGACCCCATTCAAACACCTCATGTCCATACTGCTGTGCCAAAGCGCGTCCAACACGGTCCATCTCAACGACCATGATATCCCCCGACCCAGTCTTTTGGTGATATGTCAAACTTCGCCACATCATTGGCGTGTCTGGGAATTCTTTGATGAGCATCTCGGCATACTTCTTCGTGCGGGCTAAGAAGAAGTGGAGTTCATCCCAGACCATCTTTCTGTGTCTTCCGTTGAGGGTGGCGTTCTGTCCTTCATGGAGCTTCTGTCCACCGACTTGGAACCCTCGTTGATCCCAGAGGCCGTTCTGCCACAGTATCAGATCGGGTCTTCCGTTGGGACCCTGAATATCTCGCTCATGTGGCTGCCAGAGCTCTTCCCAGCGCCGCTCAAAGGGGATGATACGCATCTCCTTGTACCAGAACCAATCGGGCCTGTAGGTAAAGCCACCCGCAGAGTGGAAGGCAGTGAAGGTAAGGTTGAATGCTGGGATATGGCAGACACCCATGGGCCACTTCTCTATCGGATGGAGCTTGGGGAAGGCCATGTCGTGGCCAAACTCGTGGCAGACATACCTAGCTGCTCGCCTGTCGATAGAGTCGCCAAATGATACGACGCGACGGCCCCAGAGCCATCCAAACTCAGCGTCGTCTTTCATCCTGTGATAGTCCTCTGAAGTTGCGTTCGTGACATGCGCCATCGCTTCCTTTCGACGCTTGTTCTCTTTCACCGCTAGCTTCATCCATTCTATAGGTATATCTGATCCTTTAAAGAATGTTCGCGGGACGTCTGTATCGTTGAAGATAAGGTCTCCTCCCTCGTGGGGATACTCTGCAGTTTCGGGATCATCAGAGTTGAGAAACTTGTCTGTGAATGGCAGCCATCGTGTCTCTCGGTATCGCTCTGTTTCTGCGGGGACGTAGAGATAGCCAGGGCGGCGATAGGGGTCTTTGCAGTTGCCGAACTTTCCGTCTTTGGGGTCGGCTTCGGCTGTAGTTTGTGGAGCGGAACTGTTCGTCGCGAGTGGTTAGCGACATCCAGGACCATTTATATAAGTTGGTACTCACTCGCTGCAGAACTCTGCTGCTTTTGCATGTGCGTAGTCCAAAGGCGATTTGATCGAGTCGGTATAAAATGCGAAAAGAAGGAATAACAGAAAGACAATGCCTGTCGATAGAAACCACAGCTTGTATGCTGGACCCACAGTAGCCACAGCCATTGTGACGGATAATGTGTTCTCACAAGAGGAACAGACGGACAAGCCTCAATATTATGAGGACAGGGCATCCGTTCAAATAGCTAAATGATCGACGCAAGGGATGAAACAACCTTCTTTTTAGAGCCAGGTATTGGAATGGAGATAAGCAGGGCTGAATCATTATTTCCCGCCCACCAACGCCACTAGACCGACAACCTAATCCATTCCTCTACAAAAGGGTAACGGTGTCTTTGGGCTGATAATCATATTGGATGGACAAAGGATGAGCAATGCGCCACCAGTACTCGCCTGAAACAGTCAACTTACCCCTTGAAAAACGTTGTCGCTTGTGATCTACGACCCCTTGCAGGAACTCCGACCCTGACAGTATGGGATACACGCTAATTGGCCACACTGGGAATGCATGCCCCTTGTGGCTTACAGCATGGAAAGTCGACATCCCTTTTGGTCCAAATGGATAATAAGTGTTTAATTCCGGCACCGCAATTGAAATACAATACTTCTATCGAGATAAGACATATAAATACCTGTGCCAGTCGTCTTTGTAATGATTATTCTACTTCCATGATACACACAAGCTCCCCAAGGAGCAGGCCTCGAATTCTCGTCCTCATCCAGCGGCACGATATCCCTTGCCGTCGTACGTCCTCCAACTGATCTTCACAGTCATTTTCGCGATCTTTGACTCTTACGATGGAGCGATTGAGACTCTTCTTGGCCGCCCGCATACGTGCATCCATCACCCATGTATCACGAAGCCTCCGCAAAGCCCCCTAGCAGACAGATCCATCGTCCTTGCTAGAATCCTTCAGCTCCTGGTAGACTGTCTGCGCAACATCGACGCAAGCTTCATCGCCGACTTCCCAGAGCGGTCCAACCACATGCCTAAACCAAGCTAGCCGGCATGCACTGATCAAGTGCAGATTCTCATCTAACAGGCGTTTGTCTTTGATCTTGCTTGTTCCGCAAGCTGAGAGTTATGCCAGGAATGGTGGATGGTCGCGCAGTCTAAGTTTCAACAGATCAGAAACTGCCTCGATCGCCAGGTTGAGATCAGAGGACCTCCCTGTCTTCATGAATCGTTTCTGGAGGACTAAACATAGAACGGAAAGATAGAACGGTCTACCAGAAGTATCGTCTTGCGACAGTTCCACGGCCTTCGCCGCTGATCTGACCATTTCTTCTAACTCAGAGGCATTATTTAAAAGTCACAATGCTATCTTCTAAGCAGAGCGAAAGGCAGCACAGGTGCCAAAGTAGGTTGGGGCTGTCTGGTGGAACGAGGGCATCTAGACTAAACTCCAAGCATTTATTTGACCTGAGAGCCTGGGCCTGCATACTGGTGGATCTGTCACTTACTCTTGAATCCATTCCCTTTGTTTCCATGACCCTAGTTCCGACATGGAAGGAGACTCACTTTTTACGCAACGCAAACGCACTAGGGTCTAAAACCCCAGTCATGCAGTCAGACTTTAAATCACATGAACCGCCGATCACCTCCATTAATCACCGACTAGGTGAGATTAAGCATAAAACAGTGGCTGGCTATTGGCGCACGTTTGGTGCGGCTGAAGTGATCTCCAGGAATATGCCTTGAATCCGCATGACCGGCGGAAATTTCCTCCTTTATTATTTAGCTTACCTTGCCCATCGTTTGCGCGATTCACTATCTCTTGGTCTTTTTATCCTTCGAGGACCGTGTCTTGCTTGTATGCCATAGCCAAGATGGCATGTCTCGCAATCCTTCGTTTCCAGCTTTTGATTATTGTGCTTCTTTCAAATGTGCTCTATGTGCAGGGGCGTCGAGGCGGAGGAGGCGGCAGCGACGACAACGGTGGATCAAACGGCGGTGGAGGAAGCAGTAACGGTGACAGCGGCGGTGGTAACAGTGCTCCTAGCCCAGAGGAAGAAGCGCGCAGTAACCCATGCCGGATGGAAATTGGTCATACCAATCCAATATGGCTGCATCGCTGGATTGGCACGTACTACAACGGAACAGTAGTAAGTTTACAGAGGTTTCCTTATCTAGAGGTCAGAGCATGCTGTTGTTATCTAACACTTGAGATAGGAAATTTCGCTCGAGCTCGATCGTTGCAACGGTACCTGCCAGAAATCAGAGATTAAGGCCAACTGGGAGCTGACAGGCGTGTTGGCTATACTAGATCCTTTTCATTCCGCTGCAGGGAATTCAAGACCTTATATCCCACGTCCCAAAAACCCCTTTCTTGGCGTACTCTATGGCTGGCCCAAGGACACCAACCAGTCCGAGCTCCTCGCACAACGGGACGATACATTCCTCCCGCCGCCCGTTAACCTCGCCATGGAAACCGTATCAGACTTCCACTACAACGAAGTCATGTATGGGCTCGATCCGTCCGATACTGTGAGCCGGAGTAACCCAACCTGCCGTGTGCAGAACGTCACCAGTACGGATGACGGATACCAATTTGAATGCTCATATGATGGGCTTGGAGTCTACAGAGCAACTGACAGCAGCCAGTTCTCATCTCCGGTACTCAACTCCAACGGAAGCAATCACCTTGTGGTAGAACCTGCCAACAACACTATGCTCTCGGGAAGCTTTGATCCTCATTCGGCTGAGTTCGAATGGAAGGGTCCCTTTCACGCGTTTGCTGGAACATTTGGTAAAGATTCCATAAGGAAGTCTTACTCAACCGATCGCAACCGTATAAACGAAGATGAAACGGCTTATACTGGTGATTTTACAGTTCGCTTTAGAGGTACAGTGGACCTAGAGCATAGCCATGAAATGGTAGTTAAGAGCGGGCGTGATGTGAGCTGGGAAAAGGATGAAGAAAAGGTTAAAGATATTACTTATTGCTCTGCAGCCTCTGGAAGATTGTCTTTCCAGCTATGGGGGCTCGGTTTATTTCTGTCTTTACTTTTAGTAGTTTAAACTTGAAAGATTTATAGTCTCTTGTATTAACTAGATTCGTATGCGAGACATCGTTGGGCAAAGCCAAGACCAAAGACAGATATTAGCAGGAATATGGGCATAGAGATGGTGATGTCAATAGATTCAATCTTCCAAAGAAGCTTCTCGATGTCAGTGGGGAATGGTATTTGTGCCGTTCAAAGATAAATGCCGCCGTATAGACCCGAGAGAACGAGGAGAAGGACCAGCAGGATGGGGTTGTCGATAATGAAGCTAGGAATCTGCTCTTAGTCAACCCGGCTTTCTACTGAGTACTGAACGGTTCCGGCAGATCGCAAAAACGCGTTGTGGAAGTTTTGATCCTGGTATCGAGCTCTTTGGTGAGTGTTATGGAAGTTTAAATAAATATTTTATACTCAATTAAAATAGACTGCTCAGTTTAGCACTTAATTTTTAAAATAATCAACTGATATAGAACTTGGTATAGGGTAACTAAGTCAGTATGCTCCTATTGTTGACCTAAAGTATTTATTATCAGTTGTGTGTAGAATGAGATAAGATAAGATAAGGCGATAAGATAGAACCATGATCTTTCATTATAAATAAGACTGCTTCCTCCCAGCGTATGAATCAAAGCCACTCTGGTATTCTGATAGGTTTAGGGACATTGCAGAGATATAATATAATAAAGATATAGTATTAAGACGTGAACACAGCGTTACGAGCCACAGTCAAGCTCTATTGCTAGGGTGTATAGGACAACACTGCAACAGTATCATTCGCACTGACATACAAGAGACAGATTTCCGTTGCCGATGCTGGCTGAACAATAAGCGACCGCATTTGCTTGCAAGAGCCGGGGCCAAGGTCCTCGAATACAGGCCAGTCGGGGGTCGTTGTTGCTTGGAGCTTGGTGAGATCCACGTTCGTCCTCCTAAGATCGCTTGATTGTCCAATCCACCATATGGAACACTGATTTGTTTCCATGGAATAAGCTGCTATACCAGTCCCTCCTAAAACCGACTGAGCTATGGTAACAGGTAGCTGTATGTTTTGAGGTGAATCACCACCATAAACAAGAGACATTTCGATGCTATTCTGTGCCGTAGTCCATATAACCGCAATCTCCTTTGTGCTTACGCTGTTTACGCTGAAGGAAGCCAATCCACCCCCAGGCGCCGCATTGCCAGATGACGGAACTGTGAATTGGGACATCCAACCCAAATTACCGACCGAGGAGGCGTTGGGCCAACTAGCACCGACAACTGCACCACTTGGAGAAACACAGAACAGATAGACACTACTGCCGACAGACAGGACAGACAGCTGAGTAGTAGCGCTTGCTGTTTTCTGAGGAAGCGCATCCAACACAGCCTTCTGCCAGCCCGAGCTAGCAAGCCATCTGCAGTATGCGACGGCGCCATAAGGGTCGACCCAGAAAAGGATCGCTCCAGTGTTGCCCTCTAGTACCAGACCTGTCATGGAACCACCATTGGTTGTTGAAGCTGTACCGGCTACGTTGAAGGGAATTGCTTCGCCAGCTCCAGTCCCGGGAGACGCCCATCCGTTACCGTTATAAACCTTTCCATCAATAGCCCCAGTTTCTGTGATCCACCAAACCTGTTGATTGGTAGGGGTGATGGATATTGAAGCTAGACAAGATCCTGTGTTAGAAATTGTCGACGCGCCGGCGAACCCCCATAGGTCCGTGTTGGGAAACCAAGTTGTCTCAATGGCTCCTTCAGCGGTTCCCCACCAGACCTCCAAATTGCTTGTGCCATGCACGGGCAGGCTAGTCATAGTACAGTTGGGGGATATAGGGGGTGCACCCTTGATCGAGTAAGGAGTCATTTGACTGGACTGGGGAATGGTAAAAGTGGTGGTAACAGGAGCAGCCCACAGGCCCGGTGAAATGGCAGCACATTGGATGGTGACCGTAAGGCCTGGCGAGAACATATTATTGGCTTGGGCCATGGTGAAGGTGGCAGTAACATCCGGACTTTCAACTATTATTGTAATCGGATGCTCGCCCGGAATGATTAGTGCAACTTGTTGTCCAGTTGCGCCCATCCCAGCAATATATGTCCAGGTGACTTCAACAGAACCGAGAGAATTGAAACTGGCCGAAGCGGGGCTGGTTAAAGGCGATGAAGTGATTACAGGAAACTGCCAAGGATCACTTGGAGCACCCGTATCCCAAGATGCATCTAGAGAAGCAACCGTCAGTTGGCCTTGTTGAGAAGCCGAAGTCAATGCCAGTGGCATCACCAAGGTTCCCGTATTCGAATTGGCTGGAAAGATTGGGGCTCCGTTTCCGATTCTGGTTGGGGATGTAGATGGGGGTGTGATGAGGTCGACCACTATGCCTTTTGGCCAGAGAGAGAAGCCGCTGGGATAGGTAATGAATAGATTCAACTGCTGGGTACCAACGTCATAGTAAGTCGCTGAATTGATCGCGGGAGTTGGGAGATTGGGGTTCGTGTTTGACATTGTGTTTTGCAAACAGCAAGCGGGTATGTAACAGAGTAAATAGTAAATAGATTTGTTTTGCTCGAAATGTCTCAACGAGGCGCAGAAGCTCGGGTAGTGGAGATGCTTGCGTTATCAGACTTTTATCACTGTTGCTGGATGCAACACTGTTTTTATAACATGTCGGCGCCCGCAGCTTGCTTGCCAGGTGACTCCCCATCTGCCGCTCACATGCCCAATATTTCAAGCCTCCAAGCCATAAATCTGTGTCTCCTACATAATCACATAGCTATCGAAACGCTAGTCTTATTATTGAGTTCTCGACTCTCGTGCATGTCTCAGATTCGATGAATGGCGAACCGGAACACTCCCGACTACGCGCTAGAGGGGACTGCAGCCAATGAAAATTCGTTAGTGTGGAATTTCAGCTCTGCCTTTAACCGCCATAGTCTCTGAACGAGAACAGGTCATCGCTGGTGCTCATACCTTAGATAAGCTCAGGTAGTTAATAAGACTCTATTCATACATTGGTGTTCATATAAAGCAAAGCTTGGCTTTGAAGGATTGTGAATCTTTGGTTTATTTCTCACCCTGCTACTTATGATATTTACTGAGTAGTAGCTTAGCGTATGCTGCTGCTGTTGCAGCTGCATATTCATGCCAGTCGTCGTTCTTGTTCCCATCACAGTAATCGCTAATGCCCCGAACTACCAGGTAAGGCATTGTGTTGGCAATACCGGCAGCCTCCATCTCGAAGCACTTTACATCATGCTTCGCCGCGATCTCATCTCGGAACACTGCACGCTTGATGACCTTATTGCCTGATGCAATCTTTCCATAGTGGACTTTGACCCCAGAATTCGTTCGTTGCTCTCGCTCTCTAAAATGACTGCAAGACTGATGTACCGATCGACATGCTGAGCAGCACTGATCAAAAATCTCTCGTTCGTGCCCTGGATGGCAGTAATGAGCCATACCTTCCTTAGCGGTGATCTCGCCCAGGTAGCGGTCAATTGAGCTGCGTATGAGAACTGGGTCGGAGCACAGCGAGCTGACGAGGTTTTCCACATCACTTGGCGAGCTTTGCAGAACACGGTCTTTGATTTGGAAGTCCGCTTCTGTCTCACTTCCAAAGTCATACTGGACCACAGAGTTCCCTACAACCACATCGCCGAGCCGTATATCGTGCTTTGCTGAAGGCACGCCTCCACCGATGCCAACCAGGAGACACAACGACGGATTGTAGCTGCGACTCATATCCTTCGCAGTCGATGCGGCATGATTTGTTCCCATTTTAGGAAGGCACGTAGCCACAACGTTATGGTGAGCAATCTTGCCAGTAAAGTAGTAGTTCGCGTCGCCCTCGACTTTCTTGTATTTTTCCAGTGTCACATCGAATGTCGCTCTGACTGCCGCTAGCTCATGTGGTAACGCACATATGATACCCACATAACTGTCGGGAGAGTTGGCTTCGATTGGAAAAGTAGTAGTTGCCGTCTTCTGCTTCTTCCTTGATGGCTCAGCAGAACTATCTTGCGACCTCGACCTCTGCCGATCCGGAGTTTCGACCTGGGATCTCGACATAGAGGAACCAATACCGCTATCGGACGATAAACCGATGCTTTTTTCGATTGTTCTTGGGAAGTAAAGGGCTTCAATGTCTCGCCGTTTCTTAGGAACACCGATATCATCCCAGAACCATGGAAACAGAGAGTGATGGCCAAATATCAGAGCACCCTCATTGTTGTCTGGTATTTTGCTCTTCCTTGATTCTAGAGACTCAGCCAAGTTCAAGGGAAAGCATACCTGGACTGGCTCGCAACGGTGGCGTCCACCCATCTGTTGACCCAGTTGATCACATTTGCAAAAGTCAGACCCAGGCGTTGCAGAATGCCATATCAAATTGTCGCCAAGTCGTAGATGGCCATCGCCACAGTTCCCATGCTCTTTCAACACCTTATGGAGATCAGAAACGAGTGTTGCAATATAGTATTTCCCTTTCGGTAGGGTAGTCCATCGCCTGCAGGTCTTTTGTGGCCGGATGATCTCTCCAAAGCCTTGTCCAAAAAGGGTCACAGCTTTGATAGCTCGGATAAAGTCAACCCACTCTTTCCCCAGTGTTTCTAGGGTAGTTTGTCGTGCATGGAAAGTCCTGAAGTTGCTGACTACATCCTCGAAATCCCAGCCTTCCAGGTACTTTCGGGACCTGCCACTGAGCCTGTCTGTGGTTTTTGAATGGCCTTGCAGGTCGACGAAGTACTCGAATATACTGCACAACTCTTTGATCTTGTCGCCAACGGTAGTTTGCATGTTTTCCTCACCGTACAGTAGAAGTTTCTGGTACTTTCTGTCATTCAGTATCTGGACGACTGATGGGCTACGGCCTTGGTGTGCCGTCTCGGAGCAATGCTTTCCGAACAACAAGGCAGAGCGGGAATCTCCGTTCATATCAGGTGCGATGCATTCTTCCACAGCGTGTAGCAGAGCAGTAGCACCATTGATGAGCCATCCTCGCTTCTCTTTCTCGTCCCAAAGAAGGAAGAATTGTGCTTCTAATAGCCTGAGTCGGTAGTCATAGTCCACTGAACCTATTGATGGGGCTGTGTCCTCCGACACAGGAAAGTAGTTGGATATTCTTGGAATAGGACGTTCTCTCTTATAAGCTTCCCCAGCAAGAGCCGCACCCTTTTCACATTTCGGAAGCATTGAGCAAGCGACTTGTGTACGGGATGAATTGAATAAACCTGACGTGACATTGAAGTTAGTAACAAAACCACAAGTAGACAAGGGAAAATCTCATACCAAGAAGAGACTCAGCTGCTGAGCACCACCCTAGAATGTGCCGAAAATGTTCCAGGTCCTTCATACTCCCTGTGTATCGCTCTTCAGTCATGTCATCAGGGAAGTGAGACAATCGACCGCCATCCGTTCGGTGGATAAGATGCCAGTATTGGATATCACTGCAACGGCGAGTAGGAACTAGCATCGTGCAATACCCCTTGATGTAAAACCTATCGCCAAATGTGTGTATCTGATGGGTTTGAGCAAGGCCAGCCATGATGTCGAGGCTGGCTTCTAGTCCAACATTCCATTCTTTCCGCCGAGGGATAGGGTAGCCCCTCACGAGGGTGGGACTCTTGAAAAGAGACTGCCAACATTGGCCGTTCGTATTGTGATTTCCCTCAACCGTCTCCACGTCGAAATATATTCTGAAATCAACGCCATGCGCAGGTTGAGAGTTAGACTGGAATGATGGCAAATCTTCTGGTATGACGATGATGTCTGGTGTGCAGCATATGAGTCCATTCTCATCTGGCCGCTCTCGGAAAGCGGCCCCCAACCAGGCAAGCTGTTCTCCTATTTCCGCAACTGTAGCGGCCATTCCGTTGACCTCTGCTATCAACGCATAAGTCTCTACTCTCATTTTGAGGGTGGTTCCATCTGGATACGACACTGACAAAAGTTAATAAAGCCAGTCATTGAAGGCTGTAGAATCGAGGTGGTTGAACGCCTACCGGTCTGTGGAGCTCCAGGCCTCAACATTAAACAGTCTCTCAACACCTCAAGGATGTATGGTCCAGTGGAAGGCCAAGTTTGGGATAGGTATTGACCGCATGTAGCAGCCTGCACGTCATAACAAGATCCTGTCAAGGCTATAACCCCGTCGAATACTTCATGTGGATGCCTTGAGTATTTCTGCCTCTCAAAGAACTGAAATAGCTTACACTCAAGCTCAATGGAAACGTTGTATGTCGGGGTAAGACTTTTCCTACTGATAGATCGAGGGGGTGGAAGAGCTGCTAGTATCCCTTCGCCGATTGACTGTATGGCGTATGGCTCAATTGGAGTCAGGTGAAACTCTTTGAGTAGTCGAGACAATAGCCACTCAAAGGCTGTGGTTTGAAGAATTGAGCTCTCTTCAATTGATACGGGCTCTGGCTCTGTGGAAGTTGGTTCCGGGCTTGCCTGATGGTTTTGTTCGTTCTCCTGACATCCTGATGGAGACTCAACACGCTTGAACCATTCGTCAAGGAAACCACGGCGATCTATTGTGTCGTCGGACGTCGAAGGCTGGGAGGTTTCTGGTAAACCTTCGGGGTCTCGGTTGAATTGGATATTCTCGAATGTCTCAGCGATTTCTCTAAGCCATATCTTGTCAGGACAGCCAACTCAGCCTGGGCGATGTAGCCTGTGTTCTCAAAGCATTGAGCTTATTGACTTACCTTCTATACTTATGGACAAATGCCATGGCCTTTCTGTTCAAAGGGGGCTGAGTCTGTTGACCGACCTGCAGAGCAAAAGCTTTTAGTAAAGGAGGGAGAATAGTAGAAATCCGAGTCTGTGTTGCTTTGTCGGCAGATAGACCTCTAGTATGACTAGCCAAATGGCGTGCAAATGTTTCGATATAGTTATCCGATTCAAGAGAAGTCAAGCTTGATGTTGTAGAGTATTCAGTGCTTGCGTCGTCCTTGTTGTTGTCTACCGCACGATGGTCATGAATGAAGTTTGCATGGGTGGACACATAACCGGAATCAGTCTGAGGCGCATCTAATGTTGCTTGGACTTCCTTGTGGGTAGCAGAAGCTGCTCGAAGATCGGATGCATCGTTTGCTCCTTTCTTTCCGGTCTCCAACAGTTGTTGTGGCGTTGTTCCAGCCTTATCCGCTCGAGTCTCTTTGGTCTGATTCTGAATATCGTCTCGATATCGAGTTAAATTTGATATGATGGGAAGCAATGCGCTTTCAATGGTCTCCCAATTTATATCAAACACTTTCTTCCATGCTATACTTATATCGTTAGAGCCCCTTAAAGGTTGCATAGTTGGAATTAGAAACTAGCCTAGATCTTCAAAGCATTCCAAGGTGATTCGATGGAAAGTCATGATTTCTTTATAAATAAGAGCAAGTCCTTTTGCCCTACGTGGCATGGCACGTTGGAAGAAGTCTTCATAATGCTTGAGAAGAGGAAGTGCCTCCCCAACCTTCTCATACAAGCCAACAAGCTTGTCAAAAGCCTCTGCAGAAGAGCTGGATGAACTTGCTGTCTATACGCTAGAGTCAGCTCGCAGACTTACAGAGGTAGTAGATAGGTTACCTCTAGGAGGAATTTCATTGGTCCCTAGGATAATGTAAGTATAAATAACACACATTGTGTAAAAGGAGCCTACCCAGATAAATGGCATGATCTCATCGCCCTCATAGAACAAAGAAGCCACATCGCCATACTGCTTAGTGGCCTCAAGGAAAGGCGCCAAGCGATTCAAATTCTGCAGTTGGCGACGCGCATGCTGTCTTGCCTATATTTCCGAAATGCTGTCTTTTAGCGTATTCAGCGTCGTGGCCCTGAAGTTTTTCAGGTCTTTTTTGCTTCTCAAATTTTGCTTGAACTGCTCAAGCACTGTGTAAATGTCAGGTGATTGAGAATCATCCATTTTCGAAAAAAGACCAAATGAAGCCAAGACAATGTAATAACCGATTTCCGCTCGATCGAGGAAAAAGTAGATAGCGAAAGATAAATAAAATCAGGTGATAAGCGACGACGGCAGAATCCCAAGACCTGCCATAGAATCTGAGTAGGATGGAGCGGGGTTGTAGATACCTTGTATCTAAATAGTGACAGACCGACAGAGTAATGTCTCTTTCACTTGATTGGTAGAGTGCATGTTGTTAAGCGCCATGATGGAGGAGCTGAAAATAGGTATATTTCTAAATATAGATAAGGCTAATTGCTGCCTAAAGCAAAGCGGGGTAAGATATGAAGTCTCTTTGGGGTTTCAATGCTATATAGACTCCTTTAACCCAACTTAGTATCGTATCTACTGACTTTAGCTTCAATTCCTTTGCTAGCTGTACCTGAGAACTCACTCAAACGGCTACGCACCTCAGATAAGCATGAACGAAACGCGTTTGGTTGAGGCAAGACATCGAGAACTATGGGCGGACACGAAAGCGAGGAGAATATGCTTTGGATGCGTAAGTTTGTTTACAGAATAAGAAGAATGAATATTCTTTTAACAGATTCCTGTTGCCAAAATTAGATCATTCAACAGAATGCACAATTAAGTAGCGACTCTTTTCCACGAGAATCCTTACTGCTCCTCGATATCGTACAGCAAGGACAATCCTTCGCATTGGCCTACAACGACTCGACTTTCGCGAAGTTAAGCAATAAATCATGCACACTCATATCCTCCCTCCTTTCAAAGCATCAACTCCATATCCTAGCATACGTCCCTAGTGAAACAGGTATTTGGGAAGGAGATCTTCGGGACGTGCAAATTGGCTCCCAGCTTCCAATAGAGCTCAATATCTATGGAAGTCGTCAACAGGCTGGGTCTGTTGGTCGAATTCTATCAAAAGCCAGCACATATCTTCAATTTCCCCTATGTGGGCTAGAGGGCTTGGAGTACTATAACCCGCACTTTTTCAGAATGGAAGGATACCCGCAGCAAGCATCGATACCCGCCTCCGCAACCCCTCGCATGGACACCTCAGTGAACCTGACGCTAAACGCCCAGGGCCTAGAGCCCCCATTGAGCATGGATCTGGGGCCTCAGAAGACCTTCTGCACCTACGTGGAGTCGAAACTAGTCAAAGGTGTGAATGGACACGGTGAAACAGTCGCCTACGTACCTGGTGCAGATTTGGAGAGTTACTGGTCGCAGGCGAATGTCAATTACATTCTGGACTCGCACGACCGGCCTATCTACGAGAGCGCCATTTACATTGCGAAGAAACTGCGCCACATCTTGTCTACTCTGGTGTATACTGGTCACACGCAAGGGATTTCTTGGTTCTGCCAACATGTCAGGAAATTGAGCGACCATCACCTTCCATTTAGCGTACAGGAGCTTCCCAAGAACTGCGCTTGGTCTAAGGACTTTCTGGAACACCAATGGATGTTTTGCCCCTTTTGGCTTACACCTGATACTATCTTCAAGCGTACCTTGCACTCTAAGTATATTCTACCTGTAGTGTATGAGAAGTGTCTTACAGACTCTGTTCGTCCATCTGACGCCGTCACTCTGTGGCGAGTACACATGCAGCCTGAAGGCGCACTGCCGTTGTCAAATGTCAGGGTCCACACCTTTTGCCCAAACTAGCTTTACCTTTGTGCTAACTATACGCTTAGGCCGATACCGCCGTCTTCAAAATCTACAAAGGTGCAAGCGCACAGCGCCTGTATAAGGCTGAGGCAGAAGCATACAGTCAGCTCCTTCGCTTCAATAATGAGGTGTATATCACGAAGTCCCTAGCGGCATTCTCATTCGAAGGCATTGAGAAGTCGATTATTGTTCTTGAAGACACTGAGGGAGGATCTTTGCTGGAATATCTAAGAAGCACGAATACTCCTGTTACACTAAGCGAGTATTGTTTACTTTGGTCGCGTCTTTTGAATTTGTTCGATGCGCTTTATGTACTTGATAACATATATAGGGCCACGACTTCGTCGAATCCGTCCCTGTCGGAGTAAGATTTCCCGCAGCATACGAAGCTTGGGATCCTTATAACTAACATGCATGGTCTAGGGTCCATCAAGATGTCCAACTAAGCAACATCTTGGTATTCCCTCAGAAGGACAAAGGCTCACGATTTGACGTCAATTTCAAGCTAGCTGACTTCGGATTGACCAAGTCCCGAGGAGCATTCTCAGCTGAAGTTAGCCGGTATAGTAAGAAGACCTCTGACACTGCTTGGGTACAAACTAATGGCGACAAAGCATCCCCCGAGTCTTACTCAAAGGACCTTTTTCAGGGCCGACACAGGACTGAGATCTCGGAGGCTTGCGACATTTGGTCGCTGGGCGCTGTTTTCAGCGAGATTCTCGTTTGGTCTATAATGGGTGAAAGTGGTCGCGAAGACTATCGCGTCAAGAGACAAGAAGAGATCTCAAACAAGCCACATCCCAGAGCAGCAAATATCAGAGCATCAAAACACGATGCTTGTTTCCATGACGGGACCTCAAGGCTAACCGCTGTCGATGAGTTTCATGACCATGTCCTCCAACATAGAAGAGCAACCGACCACATATCGCCATATATGAGCCAGCTTATCGTTGAGTACATGCTCACAGATCGCCCTCGTCGACTTAACCCCATGCAAGCGAAAGTAAGAGCTGATAAATGGATCAGAATGGCACTGAATGGTCAATGGGAATATATACCTGCGTCTCCTCTTTCGTTTACCAATGGAACACTGCCCGTGACTTCCACCCCCATATCTACATCCACTCCAATACCGCCCATTCAAGAACTCGCGACACTAGACCCCACAATAGGACCGGCCCCAATTTCACCAAAGCCCAAGACTCGGCATGAACCTTTCACCGAGTGCCCGCCTCCAGAAATATCACCCACACTAGAGAATAATACCTTAACGGTAACTGAAGAAGCTGCTGCAGTCGCTTTGGTGACCGTGGACCAGGTATATTAGTTATTGGAGCGAAAAAGCCGAAATTCATCATTTTCTAGCCTACTGGGTGTGGAAGCAGACAAGGGGGCTGAAATCATGGATCTGTCTGGATTTCAAGAAGTGTACGGCAAACTTGCGGAAGCCGAAAAGCGAGATCAGGTAAGTGGTTATCTGGCCAATTTTTGTCCGCTGGTTACTAAGCTTGATACTCAGATAATACTCGTGGATAACTTTAGTTCTATGGACGAACACAAACCCAAGATTAAGCAGTTCGGTAGGGTCATTAGCTATATCGTTAAGGGTAGTGACCCTACTGGCATAGAAGTCTTTGCCGCCTCGGAAACTGAAAAGTCTCAGATTTGCACTACGTCTACTGATGTTGAGAATGCCATTGAGAAAATGAAGACTGCAAAAGGGAGGTGTAATATGAAAAAGGCTCTCGACGATATTTTAACCCAAGTCTTGAGGCCTAGGCAGTTTAGACCGACAAGTATTTATATTTATACTGATGGAGTCTGGGAGCCAAGCAATGATGGGGTTGAACATTCAATCAATCGGGCGATTGACTTCCTTGATCATTACGGATTGAAGTCATCAGCTCTGATGTTGCAGTTTATCAATTTTGGGAGTCATGTTGAAGGGATAGCGAAGCTGGATGTTCTTGATAATAAGTGCTGGAGATCAACTGCCACGGACTTTTAGTGACTTAACTATAGCCCCTGACCTTGATAACACGATCAATTAACTGACTATTACTGTAGTGATATTGTTGATGTTAAGCACTGCGACGACCATATTCCGTCTATCGTTATTGGAAGCGTCTCGAGATGTCATGATAAAGAAACATAGACAGACTTTCTTATCCTCATTTAGTCTTTTTAAAAGATGTTATAACAGGGGGCTTGCCATATGATCTCATGAGCTTGCGTCAAAAGCATGACCTCGACCACGAACCATTCCAATTTCTACGCGGCATGGATGCCGTCTTTGACCCGGAGCTAAAACGTCTCGATGACCCAGCACTTCGCCACATTGAAGTTCATGTACGAGGAAGTATGTGGAACATCGCAAGGCGACAAGTGGCGGTTGAGATGAATAGCAGTCTTGCTGGTAAGTACTGGGATAGGGTCAGACTTTCCTTTGCTCCTCTCGTCTTCCCACTCCTTGAGACAAATGACTACGTCTTGTGGAGCATTGAGAACAACCCAAAAACAACAGATACTGCATCAAAGATTGCGCTGCTGTTCTATTCTTCGACTCTCTTGCCCACCTATCCAGTTTTGGGCATGCTTCTAAAACTCAATATCATCAGTCCCGATATGCGTGTTAATCTCATGCCGGACTGCGGTATATTCTGGTCTAAAGAAGTATACGTTTCAAGCACAGCCAGTGAGAGCCACTCTATTTGGCAGTACTTCCTCGCTTAGGAGTTTTATACCTGGTTGGATCATGATGAGTATAATGTTACTCGTCGTTTTGTAGGCATAGTCGAGCGGTTTCTTCGAATCGGCGCTGACCATAGGTTTCGATTTTCTACCCTGGTCGTTCACTATCCCACGAAGCCAAACCTAGAATGTGAGACAGAAGATACTTTCACTTTTGGGAACCCCAATGAACCAGAGACCCTCTCTTTCAGACGTAAATGGCGACATGCCAGCTACTATTTGGATGACCGGGACGAAATTGACGATGTTGTTGGTCTCGACACCACATTTTCCAAGGTAGAAACTTGGCTAAGGGAACCGAACGGGGCTCGTCGCGAGATATCGTTCTTAGGTTGGATCCGAGCTATAAGCGATTTCCCAGGCAAAGATGATGTGCTGAAACTGGTGGAGGAGAGGGCTCACGACTGGCAGGGCCTTCGCAATGAGCAAGACAACGGGCCATTAGATGACCAGAACTTTGCTAAGAGTACTACTTCAAGCAAGTCCAAAGAAGCTGTATCTCTCGATGCAGAGCCAACAGGACTTTCCCAGGAATACATAACCCTCAATTGGTTAAATCTACTTGCTGTTATGCTAGGTAAGTCTTTTTATATAAACTTACTTTCTTCTATATTTTAAAATTAAAACTGCTAATTAATTACTTATAAACAAGGATCTATTATAATTGTCTTAAGCTATATAACTATATAACTATATAATAAATAGATGCATCATTTAAGATATTTAGTTAAAACTCCGAGCTAGTGGGTAGGTGCCTAGAGACTAAGGAGATACCGAATTAGGCATGCCCGTTAGTTACTCCGCTCCGCCTAACGTGCCCCACTTTGTCTTCCGGTGGAACAAATTACCGTAAAGGGAAACGAAAGCTCGCTGTCACAACTGCCAATGGCCGTTCTCGTATGAGACTTGGAGAATTTGCTATATAATGTGTGTGACCCCGAGGAAATAACAAATATATCATTCAATCCTCACTCCTCCTGAAAACAGAGTCATTCTCCAGAAACCACACATTTGCATAATCGTCATGAGTTCCAACACCAACGAGATCACAGTCACTCTTCGACAAATTGCCAAGATGATCGACCACTCTCTTCTGCACCCCACCATGACAGACGCCGACATTCTCCAAGGCCTTGCCATCGCCAAAAAGTACGGCGTCGCTGCAGCCTGCGTCAAACCCTATGCAATCTCCATGGCAAAGCAGGAACTTCAAGGCAGTGATGTCTTGATCTGCCCCGTCATTGGTTTCCCTCATGGAAACAGCAGCACTTCCGTCAAGGTCTTCGAAGCTGATGTTGCTACCGCTGTTGGCGGCAACGAGATCGACATGGTCATCAATATCGGCAAGGCACTCGGCGGTGACTGGAATTACGTTGCTGACGAGATTTGTCAAGTCAACGACGTAGTCGTCAAGCGGGGAGCTATTCTTAAAGTCATTTTTGAAAATGACTACCTGGATGAGGAACACATTGTACGGCTTTGCAAGATCTGCTCTGACATTGGAGTGGCTTTCGTCAAGACTTCGACTGGCTATGGTTTTGTGAAGCAGGAGAACGGGATGTATAATTACAAGGGCGCTACTATTCCTCATCTCAAGATCATGGTAGAGGGATCTGGCAAGAGTGTCCAGGTCAAAGCGGCTGGCGGTGTTCGCACCCTCGACGATTTGCTGCATGTTATGTCGCTAGGCGTTACGCGTATTGGCGCTACAGCTACAGCTGCGATTATGGAAGAAGCGGTTAAGAGGGGAATCACGGACCAGCCTACTAAGGTTACGTTCAAGCCCATGGCTGACAGCTCAGTCGGAGGATACTGAGAATATTCGGAAGGAAACGGAAGTGCTTGGCATGAAGATGTAAAATACGTGGTGGCACATAAATAGTAGTTACTCGGCCGAATGCGCCGGCTCCGATGGATTAGGTCACGGAATTACTATAAGCAGTTCTCCGACAGAAAAAGAGTTAACACCGAACATTTCCCCGTAATCATCATCGTAACAATCTCTTCCCTAGCCACGGCATCTAGCAATCGTAATGAAGACCCATCGGCGCAAAGTGACTAAGGCTTGCGAGAGATGTCGTAAGCAAAAGCTCAAAGTGAGCACACCCCTAAGAATGGTGGATCAATTGACTAAATGCGATAGTGTGATATCGAGCGCCCATGCACCTTATGCTCACGAGCAAATGTTGAATGCATCAAATCGGAAAGTTCAAGATGGAGACCCTATGAAAGTACGTCAAGGCAAGCAGCGACAACGGAAAATTCAGTCAGAGGTCAATCGGGAGTTACTGTTGGATCTGTTATCGAATCAGCCTGGAACTCCAGTTCGACTGTGAAGCTAGTTGAAGAGGTGTGTAAAGGAAAGGCACGGCCCTGTACTATCTCATTACTAACTCATAGTTCAAGGCATTTCAGCAGCATGATGCTTCTTCACCTGAAGGTGTCGAATTCTCGGCTCTACGATCGGAGACTTGGGCTCGATCAAAAGCCACTACCGAAGATGTACCTGATGATATTGTTCAGCCGCACATCCCTGAGCGTTCCAGAGACATCCAACTACAACGGAATGACATGAAGGCCGCGCCATCCACCGCCGAGAAGGAACTCATGTCTTTATTACCCGAACTTGAGCCTGCGACTCTCTTAATCGACAACTATTTTGATCGGATCCACTGGTTCATATTAGTCTTTCACCAAGATGATTTCAGAAGAAAGTTCCAGGATCTTTATAATAACAGCACCGTTTCTTCAGGTCCCAATGCTCCATCGACAGGTAAAGGCTTTCTAGCCGTTCTCTTGGCTGTTTTCGTGACCAGCTTGCATCACATCGGTACGCAAGAAAGCAAGCTAAAGTCCTACAATGTTGATCCGAGAGAATTGGAGGAGATGATACTAGCCTCCCTCAAGTCGAGGTTCTTGGACGTTATCTCAAAAGGCTCTCTTGAAGCGGTGCAATTCTGTGTTTTGCTAGCAAGTTATTACCTGTACCACGGTGAACCCGGTTTGGCTTGGCCACTATCTGGGTCAGGGCTGCGAATTGCTCAAGCACTCGACCTTCATCGGAAAACGACACCTGAAGGTCATAGTGGCCAAGCCCTGAATGAGCAAATACAAGATCGGAAACGCGCCTGGTGGGCTGTCTACGAGATCGATACTTTCTGCTCAATGCTTTATGGATTCCCCCTCGGCTTTTCGGACAGCGATTGCAATGTCGAGGCACTAGATCCATATGATGAATACTCTAAATCAACTAAAGAGTCACGCCAGGCGACAGGATCCACGCTGTTGTTCTACAAATTCTCCATGTCAAAGTTGTCGGCTATTGTGAAGTCCGCATTAGTTGACCTGTACGGCACTAGTCATGATAACCGAAAAAGAACAAACAACCCAAAAGGGCTTTTCGACAAGGTGAGGGCTTTAAACGAGAGTCTCCAAGATTGGTATAGAAGCTTGGTCCCGAAGCTCAGATTTGTTGGTCCTGACTCTTTGTCGGAAGGTCAGGTTTCGCATGACCGTGAAAGAACTGGACGAGAATTTGAAGATCATCTGTTCCGCCTACAAGCGCTGTCTCTCAAGCTGGCGTACGAAAATGCGAGGATCATGATCCACAGACCTCTTCTGTCATTTAGAATGGCCAGGTCGGCCCCCACAAATACTACCACTTCGGAGACTGACCAATTTCGGCTGGCGAGGCAAGAGTGTAGGGAGGCTGCACTGCAGATATCAAATGTAGCTTCAACCCCGTATCTCCTGGAGGCCTCTGAGACATACGCCATAGCTGTTGTGTCACTGCACCTCTTGACTGCGGGCGTGACACTCTGTATCTCGATGACCCTTGATCCTTTGATCCCCAGCTCGGCTGAGGCAAGATCTGGGTTACGACAGCTAATTCAGGTGCAGACTTTTCTCAAGGATAAATCGATTGTTGCCGCACAGAGTCTGGATATCACGAAAAGATTGATGGGTCTTGTGATGGCAAAAGCAGGCAACAATACGCTAGAGGCTGAGAATCTGCCTGGTGCATATCCAGAGCTCACTCAGAGAGACCGAATGGAAAGTCAACGTACGGATCTTACGGGAACATCTTCCGGGCAAACGCCTATGCCACCGCTAGCGGCTATAATGAACAACGGCAGCATAACTGATACACTCAGCATGGACTTTGCAGATCACGACATGGATATATACGCCAAGACTTCATTGAATGACACTCTCTTGGAATATGAGCAAGGTGAGCTTTGTCGGCTTCCACTGATTGAATCGCTAGGTATCATAAATCCTAACTATTGGAACAGCGGCTAGTCGTGTATTCGCTGGTGATATCACATATGATCCAAGTGACTCGATTCTGGACAATCCGTTCTTGGAACAAAATCAAGGCTGGATATGGAGTTGGAACTTTCTGGACTAGGTGAGGAAGTATCTGAACAGTGATTCTTCGACGGTGGGGATTACAGTTGGCTGTCTGAGAACGCATTGGGCACAGGGTTCACTATGAAAGCGCATGGATATTTAGGCTACGGTGCAGGAATCATGCACAATCATAGGTGAGATTCACATTGGAATTTCAGCAAACATTGGGATTGGACAGTATAAAAGAATGAAGAAGACAACGATCTATATCAGAGAATAAGCCCTAGATACAATACCTTCACCAAGAGAGGACCTGCAGAAAGCTTCCGTGATCTAAAATTACTTCGGCACCGCAGCATCCTTTTTAACGGCAAAGGGATAATCCACATAACCCTCGACATCGCTGCTGTAGAACGTCTTCCTCTCATAAGGGTTCAGTTCCAAGCCTTCCTTGATTCGATACACCAAGTCCGGATTCGCCAAGAAGTTTCTTCCAAACATGACCATAATCTCCTTATCGGGATGCTCTTTGTCAACGAGCCTCTCCGCCTCTTTCAATTTATACCCGCCAGCAATGAGAAAAGGCCCCTTCCAGAGATCATACGCAAAGTCGAGTTTCTCACCGCTGCTATCTTGACAGTCTTGGCTGCCGGAGATACGCGACTCGATCAAGTGAAGATAGGTTAGCTTCAGACGGCTGGCCTTGTTGATTATGTCTGTGAATTGAGGAATTGGGTCTTTCATGCGCATGCTCTGGAAGGTACTCCATGGACTGAGACGGATGCCAACTCGCTCAGGGCCGATGGCTTGGACAACGCGTTCCAGGATCTCAGTGATGAGTCGGGATCTGTTCTCAATGCTGCCTCCATACTCGTCGTTGCGCTGGTTGCTGACATCTTGGAGGAATTGGTCGAGCAGGTAGCCATTGGCTCCATGGATCTCAACACCATCGAAGCCGGCTTTGATCGCATTTTCGGACGCAGTCACGAAGGTCTCGACCATTTCATGAATCTCGTCCAAGGTCATTGCTCGCGGTTGGGCGGGGCTGCCTTCAATCGGAATTGCACTGGGTCCGATAATGTCGATTCCTTCATCCTTCGCAACTTCTACAGTTGCAGCACGACCCATCGCGAACAACTGTACAAAGATGTAACTGCCCTTGCGGTGCACTTCATCTGTGATGTCTTTCCAGGCTGAGACCTGCTCTTGGTTCCAGATTCCAGGCGTTCTAGCAAAACCTCCACCTGCAGCAGGGGAGACAAGAGTACCCTCGGTAATAATAAGGGTACCTGGGATGGAAGCGCGTTGACTGTAGTATTCCTTCATAAGGGCGTTGGGGACGCGGTCAATGCTTGCGCGGAGGCGTGTAAGAGGGGCCATTCCAATGCGATGTTGGACTGTAACGTTGCCGATTTTCATGGGCAGGAAAAGGCGTGACTCTGACATGGTGATTGTGGTTGATTGAAGTGGCATCGACTGCAGTTGATATAGGTTCAAAGCTTTTCACTGGAATAGTGATTGGGTGAACTTCGTCTGTCGTCCGTCCATCTTGCTCTCTTTATACTGGCCAGTTCGGACTGATGACATACAAGAGTTTGCAAAGAACCCATCGGAAGATTACGAGCTGATAAATCTACCATGAAAAAGAGGATATTATGAAGCAAATTCCGTTGAATCGGTGACACTTGGACCTCGTGCTATCAAGGCGCAGACCTGTCAAGATATGGAAATGAGGTTGTCCTCGATGCGGCAACGACATACTTCCGAAATAGGAAACGAGATGTTGCCCAAGTCGGTCTAGCTGATCTACAGTAGGGGAAATGTGGATCTTGCGGTCGACGATTTCTAAGCAGCGTCAAGCTTACGGTGAGACGGACGCGAACGCAGAGAGAGACGAGGCCATTGAATGGCGCCATAATAATTGCCACAAACGCATACTCGGAGCGCTGCAAGGACCCAATTCAAGACGAAAAACAGTAGGTTGTGCAGTCAACCACTGCAGTTTACGTACTGACCATGGTTAGTGGCACACTTTCAGTTCGTTACTGTGCAGGCGAGGCCTGATAAGACCAGTGATAAGGCTGCCAAGCGCCTCGCTCGATCACATGCCGTGAAGCAGGCACTGCAGAAAAAGCGACAACTAAAACAGGAATCCATGCAACACTTTTCCGTGCGAACCATAGAAGATGAACCAGAGCAAACGAGAAGTATATGCCGGAGGCAATGCTCCAAGCGCACTATCCCGTCGCCTGCTTCGCTGTCTGCAAGCCTACTTGATCCATTCCAAAGCCTTGCGGTGGACTGCAAACGGCTACAGATCTTGCTGAACGATTGTTAGTTCTCTGATCCGACCCCAAGCATGTTACTAAGGTATCCCAGTTAATGCGCGCCAAGCTCCCGAGCCTGTCTTCAGCATCGAGGATGGCTTTCAGAACTTCCAATCAGTGTTCCGATCTGGACTCGTTGATCCGGCTCTGTTAAATGCCGTGATGCTCTCCTTGGCCTTCACTGCAAATGGCGGAATCATCAATAAAGAATGCCTTGAATACCAAGGTCAAGCGATCCACCATATTCGTGAAAGAATAATTATGCCCGATAAGGTTGTATCCGAGTCAACTATCGGCGCCATACTCTTATTAGTCGGTGTTGAGGTAAGATCGCGGCGTCACTCACTTGAAAGTATGCTCGTACTCTTACTAACTTAACAGGCACGCCTTGGCACAACTTCGCAAGTTCAGCTTCACATGGGCGCAATCCAGTACCTCCTTAATGCATGTGAACCAGTCGTTGTGAATCTGACTCAAGGCATCAAGCGCGCCATATTCTGGTACGCTAATCTATGACCTCACTTGCTCAGAAACGCCCTCTTACTCTTCGACAGGCAGGACTTGAACTCATCAATCATGGTGGGCTCAAAACGCATAGTCGATCACACCACTTTCACCGAGCTCCGATGGCAACGAGATTCAATAGCTCCAGACTTCTTTGAGCTACCTTCAGGGTTCCAAGTTCGCTCACATCTGTTCAGCCAAGAATTCCTGGATATAGTCAGAGACATCCACGCTCTCCAGTGCATCAGGAACATCTATCAACGTACCGGCCGCCCAGTCTCAACGGTAAACATCAACAGCCACACAGCATCCATACAGTCCCGGCTCCAAGCTCTTCCAAACACTTGCCCGATATCCAAGGCTTGCCATCTCGCAGCATACATGTGCTCCGTAATGCTATGCTGCAAAGTCTGGTGCGCTTTAGTGATTCCCGTAGGTCCTTCATTCACGCCGTTGGGAACGTTTGCTAACTTGCAAGTCCAATATTACTGCGCAACTGCTAAAAGAAATTGAAAAAGTCCGTTATGAGCCCTTATGGGACGAGCATGCGTACTTGCTGCTTTGGCTGATATGTATCGGCGGAGTATTTGCTCCAGACGGGCCTGTCCGTTCAGGTTACACCGCACTTTTGCGTTCGACGGGTTTCGAAAGACCCAGCCTTCACTGTTCGTGGTCTGATGCAAACGACATATTGAACCAGTTCATCTGGTCGGACTTGGCCTTTGGATCTTCTGTTAGGAAATTTCTAGAAGAGAGCTCAATGCACGTCATGTAAAATAGATTGATTGAAAAGCAATCTTATTACCGAAATATTTGCCCATTCTTCTGGAAAAGACCTTATCCACACCAAAATGGACTGTTAATCAGTGCATGCATTTTGGGTGACAATCTTAACAGATTGCTAAGCAAGCCATTAACGTTATGAGGGGCCATTTGCTCAGCATGACGTCACTGTGCCTCTTTTGACGTCTTCGATATCTCAGCAATCGAATTCTATAAGTCCTCTCAATTGAACTCTTCTCAGAAACAACTCTATGATCATTAAACACATATCAAACAATTGATCTGAACGAATTTACGAAAATGGCTGCAAAGAGCGTCTTTATGTAAGGTCCCTACGCTCCCAATGTCACCGTAAGCTGACGCTGACCCCTCGCTTAGTACTGGCACCACCGGTTTCATTGGAGGTGATGCATTCTACGCATTGCATAAAGCGCATCCTGATTGGAAGTATACCATCCTTGTCCGAAGTGAGGATAAAGGAAAGGATGTGCAGAAGCAATATCCTGATGTGAAGTTGGCGATTGGATCGTTGGATGACTCCAAGGTCATTGAGAAGGCTGCTTCTGAAGCCGACATTGTCATTCGTAAGTGAAATGAGATTCTTCTTGTACGTTTGAGATACTGATGGATGCAGATACCGCTGAAAGTTCCGATCACCAAGGCGCTGCCAAGGCTATCGCTGCTGGCCTGCGATCTACTCACTCGAGCTCGAATCCCGGTTACTGGATTCACATCAGCGGCACAGGCATTCTCTGCTGGTATGACATGGACAACAAGCGCTATGGAGAAGCTCCTCTTCCTGAACAAGCCTACAACGATCTGGAGGGAGTCGACAAGGTCACTTCTCTGCCCGACACTGCTTTCCACCGTGATGTCGACAAGATTGTTCTCGGCGAAGCTGCCAAGGATCCCAGTGCAGTAAAGGTCGCCATCGTCTGCCCTCCTACCATCTACGGAACCGGCCGAGGACCCGCCAACCAGCGAAGTCGCCAAATCCCAGGGTTGACAGAGACCACTCTCGAGAAGGGCTTTGGCCCCATCATCGGCGCTGGCGAGACAGAATGGGATAACGTGCACGTCCATGATCTCTCCAACCTACTTGTTCTCTTATCTGAGCGCGCAGCCTCATCTGAGAAGCAGTCCGACGAACAGGAAATCTGGGGTCCGAAGGGTTACTTCTTTGCTGAGAACGGCAAACATAAATGGAGCCAGATCTCAGCTCTTATTGCCAAGGAGGCTAAGAAGCAGGGCGTTATTGACAGCGATGAGACCAAGGTTCTTGATGTTGATGAGGCGCAGAAGAAGTTGGGATTCCAGGCTCTTTCGTGGGGATTGAACAGTCGTGGTGAGGCAAAGCGGGCGAGGAAGTTTCTTGGCTGGAAGCCGGTGGGCGAGAGCCTGGAGGAGTGGATTCCTGAGTCGGTCCAGATTGAAGCGAAGCGATTGAACAAAGCCTAAATCGCAGATATGTGACATCTTGCAGTTGGGTCATGCGACTCACGCTCAGGTCAGAAGTAATAAAAAGAAGACACCTATAAAATTAATATGGTACCCGCCATTCCCAAGTGTCTCCCTTGCGTTAAGCGCTGTCATTCTCGCGTTGATTATTTCCGACCTTCTGATCTTTGAGCTTTTGTGGAACTTGTCTATCTTGGATAATTGTGTAGGCAGTTGGTATACTGCCTGAGCTAATAAGAGTGGTATTTCGAGTTGATGGACCTGACAGCTGATGCTTAGATCTCGCGCCTCACCCGATGTATAAAGTCAGCAGTGGACAGTCATAGCAGGTAGGTGGTCACCGTGGGAGCGCCAAAATATTCTCAGCACATTGTCTTAGTGGAGGTCTTACTGGTAAACGTTTCCGTCCTTTCTCACGCCGAGAAATTGCGGCGGCCGCCTACGAGATTTGTTTATCAATTATGAGGATTTTACTCCGAAGACAGGTATGGAGACATGCGTGTCTCAACACCAGTGTGAGCGGTGACAACGTCGACCGAGTACCAATCACTACCTGCTCAAGCTGCTATCCCTAGCAATTGGCAGTCTGAGACAAGCCTGAGTGGCGACATTTACCATAGATCAATCGTTAGATACGCATGTCTCAAGTCCACGCTCTCCTTATTCGTCCACTTAACGAATCTCTACTGTGTGAAAATTTATGCCGCGTCCTCCAATATCATTTCCACCTTCCAACGATTCAGGCTTTGAAACTGCAATTGTGCATGCAGTTTGTATTTTTTCTCAAGTGTATTTATGGGTGTATTACTTTGGGATTTTCACTCGCTTTGAAGATGGAAAGGATACCCATAACTTGTCACGACATCTTGCTGCAGATCAGGTCTAGGTTTTTGCATGTTTCTTGCCGAAGGCCTAGACCAAAAAAGAATGTACGTGCCGCCGACAGCTACTATCAAAGATCCAGATCTCGCCTTTGCAGGGTTTCTGAGACATCTTGCTCGGACGGGATGTGACTCCGGACCCCACATGCATCAGTCATGGCGTTGAGGATACAGGACGTCGCTGTGAGCTATCACTCTATGGCTGTACAAACAGCAGCTGAGTGAGTTTTACCTAACCATTGAGAAATTACCATTTAGATGAGGCTTTCCTAATCTGTCCTCGGGCTTCTCTTATAACCGTGGGCCGATTGGTTCATCTAGTTCCCTGCAAACCTATGGATTAATGCCCATCTTCAGTAACGGCATGCATGCTCAGCCGCTCCGGTATCACGCAAAGCCTTCCCCGAATCACTAATTGAATCAGCTGCTTCCGCCAGAACGCCATATCGCCGAAATGGGAGGGAAAGACATCCTCATTTGGATCATTGGGGATTCCGTCTGGCCGGACGGAAATCTTGACACTCTAGATCTGAATGCATCTCGTCACGAGAGGTCTAAGACTTTTCCTATCACAGCTCCATGAACGAGATTATCGTACGATGTGATACTGTCTGGACATCCATCGAGATCTACGTGCGTTGTTGTAGTAGAGGTTAACTTAGAGGCCATGACTATAAAGAAGGACTAATCTTCTCGTTCGATCAAACATTCTCACCTTCTCATTCAATAACATCTTTCCACATTCAGCACCCTCAACATCCCAATATCACTTGTCTACCATCTACTTGAGTCACCATGTCAAACCCTCTTATCGGACTTGGGCAGGTCTTTACTGCAGCACCGCTCTCATCCGACAACATCGACACTGATCCTCTTCTCCAGAGTGTTAAGAATGGCCTCGCTGGCGGTGAAGGCACGTCTGATTACTTCAACGTCATCAACAGCATGTCTCAGGTTTATCAGCAGCTCAAGGACAACGGCCGCAATGCATGGGTCAAGGGGACCGATGCCAACGGCCTGCCCGTCTATTATGTTGAGAGCACTGATACCTTGACCAACAAGAACTTCTTTGCCAAGATCAGTGTTGACGGTCTCAACTTTGATGTTAATAACAACGTCAAGACTAACGGTACGACTACTGTCATCAATGGCATTACGTACCAAGGTGTTGGGCTTATGAATTACACATCTGGTTGGAACACCTATAACTTCTCTACTACTTCTTGGTGGCTGGGCGTCGGCATCAGTGGTGCCATTGCCTTCAACGGAATCATCAGCGCTCTCTCAAATGCTATCCAGGCTGTCGCCAATGCTCAGGCAGATGCGATTCAAGATATTGCTAATGATCCGGCGGCTGAGGATGGTGGAGAAGCTGAAGAGGAGGAGGAGGGTGAGGAGAATGCGAGCGGTGACGAAAGCATCAGCACTGAAGCCGGCGATGATGTTGCGATCCTCGAAGCTGTAAGTTGGCGACCAACGTTATACAACTGATATCTCACTAAGTATTACTACAGGAAGAGGGTGCTGTGGCATGGGGCGATGTTTTCCTGGGAGCAGGTATCGTTCTGGCAGTACTCTTTGTGGTTTTGTCCTTCGTCCTGCATGACTCGTTCCAATACGTGAGAGTCTGGAACTTGACCAGGTATAAGCTTGTCTGGGTCATCCAGTTTGACAAACATCAGAACACGGACGAGGGTCAGCTCGTCATTGGTCCTGTTCATTTCAATCCTGACAATAGTATTGCGGCTTATGAGCCGTTCCTCCCTCTGAATAGCCAACCAGCACCTCCTGGTGTCATTCCTCCACCTTCGGCGCAGTTTGCAGACATGAACATCAACTCCAGCAGCCAGTATGCTGGTATTGGGTACGTTCTACAGTATCAGCTTCAGGACCCCACATCTGGTGAGGTGGCTTACACCGGCACCGCGTATTTCGATATTCCCTTCGATGGCGACAACTCTACAAACGTCACCTTTGACTCTGTCACGGATCTTCAGGCTTGGTATGACGACAACTCTGGCAACAATCAGAGCACTGTGGCCAGTACCACCACCTCAGATGGAAAGGTCACCTTCTTCACCACCTTTGACTACCTGAGTGGCCAGCATGTAGTTCCCCAGTCATCCGGAGGGTCTCCGACAACTCAGTATTACTACCAATCACTTGTTGCTTTTGTGGAAAATGATCTCCCTTCGGCGTTGCAGACTGCACCAGAGTCCCTTCCAACTCAGCTGTTTCAGGTGAATCCGCTGAAGGGCATCCACCCCAAGATCCGAAGACGTGTGTTCGGACGTCGCGGAAAGACTGCCAAGGCTAAAAAGGTCTAGATGGCATTAGTTTCGAGGCTTGTGGAAAGGTCTCCCGGACTTTCCTTCTCGACAAGTGCTTTCTTGAGTTTCCGGTATCATACAGCAATGCTCCCAGTAGCATGCAATGTGCTCCTCGTGAGCGAAGCTTCACTTCTTCGGCCTCTATGGCCCCATTTCGATTATCCTTAAGAAATAAGATATATGAATGATCTATCTCCATACTCGACCACCTTACTCGTGATCCTTAACCACGGACTAGAAAGGCAAATCAGTCCAGCATTCAGTACTGATTTGTCAGTCTTGGGTCATGAAGTCTTGCTATAGCTAAAATTTGCATTGCATATAAAGGTCGTGTATCTATTTCATGTATGGCTGAATATGTAATACAGTAATGGATTTTGAAGAAGAAAGAGATAAAGGTGTATACAGAAGGCTAAAGATAACAAACTATCTATCTTACACTAGTCCTACCGATTACTCCAAGGTCCGGACTAATATCGGTTTCAAATTTACCAGTGAGTACCCTTTGAAACCAAGGTCCCAAGACTACCACTCACAAACAACCATAGGCACATGCTGAATCTGCGCAGACTTGTCAAGATCGCGGCAATAAGTGACCTTCTGTCTGTCCGCATGTTCCCTGCATGAATGCGCCTGATCACCACACCACAAGGCTCCTGGGTTTCCAGTGCCATCGTTCTTGTACTGGCAGTCTCCATCTTGAGTCTTGACATCGTATGTGCCACCAGGAAAGTAGGTGCCCCTCAGAGCATCGACTGAAAAGGTAGCAATAGATACGTCGGCATGAGTGGCGAGAGCGGGATTCAGCGCACATTGCGATGCAGTCCCAAAGTCGGTGGAGTAGAATAGCCAGTTCATTGTGTCGTAGAAGTCTTTGTCATTCGGGACTCCGTGGCGCTTGTTCTCGAGGATGATGTTGAGTGCCTTGGTGGGACCTGCGGGAGGCGCCGGCTGCTCGGGCGAAGAATCATCGTCGTCTTCGTCTCTCTTCTCATAGGCTGCGTTGGGAGTGCCGAACATGCCCTCAAAGTACTTCTCGGTCGCATACCATGCGTAGCTATCAGCTGCAAAGAGAGGAATCAGTTAGTGCCAGACCTTGTACAACTTGTTGCCTGCTGCCTACCATTCTTGGCCGTACGAGCGCGCCAGTTCTTGTTTCTGGCGAGTCTTTCCACCATTCTGATCCCATAAGCCTTGGCATTTGAGTCGTCGTTGAGAAGTTGATCGATGACAACAACTTGAGAATTCCGTCAGTATTTGTAGCTTAATTATCATTGCGACAAGAACCACTCACCGTCATTCGTCGATGTCTCTGCCAGCGCGGTAAGATGTGTCAGCTCGTGAAGCAGGATTTTACCCTTGCCGACCATGAGATTAGGGTTCTTTCTGTCCCCCTCTGGCGCCTTTCGGAGATTGTCAACTATCTCCCCCAGAAACTCTTGACCGGGTGCCCAAAATGGATCGCAGAGAACAATGGTAGACTTCTCAATGGTCGCCTCGGTGGAAAATGCATAGGCACCGATAGAACCAGATGAAGACTGAATCACATTTTTACATGTAACTTGGTCATTTACTCCCCTGTGGTCCTGGTAGATATCTTGGCAAGAAATCTGCATCTTGCGACCATTCTTACTCAGTTCCTCGATATTGTGGAAAATAGCTGTCGACTGGTTAGCTCATGACTTTCGTAGCTTGCGACAAGAAGGGGAGGTTCTCACTGTATATACGGGATATATCCTCGAACCTTAGGTTGATGTCATCTCCAAAGATTCTAGCCTCGATCGTGCCGGGAGGATTAAACTGTTTTGAAACGCCGACAAGCGTGACCACATCGGCCCAGGCCTTCTCGATGTCCTGGCGTTGAGAATCACTGCAAGCATCAAAGCTGACGAAGGGCGTGTCGCCAGGGACATTTTGGCGTGGCTGGATTCCTACTGGCTTGGCGAGAGTGGTGGAAGGTAAACCGAGGAGTAAAAGGCCAATGGCCGCCATTCGGGTTATGGTAGAAGCCATGGGTTAAAGTCTTGAAAATGATTGAATGTAGGGAAGCTGAAGTAGTTGGCTGATAAGGCTTATTGCTAGAGGTAATGCGATGTCTTATATTACTCTACTCGGCTGTATGGCCTCGTTTTCTGTCCATTTAAAAACGATTTTGCCATTGCCGCAAGAAGTGGAGTTTGCGCAAAGGATTTTAATTAAAGGATTTCTAATAAAGGATCTGCACAGCCGAGTTATGTGCGCAGTCAGCAGTCTATAGAATGAATGAATCTAGGTTTCTTAAAGAAGCTTAACTATCCGTGCTTCAATGCAGATTAAACGGAATTCCGTTTAGATCGGAGATTTTAGACATGGATATTCCTGTATAATTAAAGTGGAATTGGGGTCCTTTTAATAGAAAGGATTCGAATGGTGGTCAAATAATTTAACTAGATGGGGCTGAGTAATTATAAAACAGGGCTTAGCGATTACTAACAGGATCTTTTGAGCCCAATGGCTCGAGGCACCTTGTTCATCCCTAGCAGTCTGCCTTGTTTTGCAAAAACTGTGCTATAAATGTGTATAATTAAATTTAAGCTTAGACTGTAAGGCTCACTACTGTAGTTGGATGTTTTTTTTACTAGCTAAGCCGAGATAGGACTTGCGAACCTGGCTCCTCCCAGGCTTGAGTCTTGGGGTCACGCGTGTAAGCCTTACATTCTTTGCTCACTGGGTCTTACCCTCAATAGCAACAGACCAGATTTGCTGAACACATCGAGCCCAGCTTCAAAAGCGCCCTGGATCCATCCATGAGTAAAGCTAGCCTGCTCACCCGCAAAGAATACCCTATTCTCCCAATCAGGCTTCTGCATGGTATCCAAGAACTTGGTCTTCTGCATCGGACGGAAGTAGCAAAATGCGCTTCCGCCAGCCAGTTCATCCGCTGGGAAGACCTGAGATGCCCAAGCTTCGAGCAAGTCTAGCGACTTGGCTCCGGGGAAGATCCTGTTCAGGTTCTCAGCGGCGATTTGAATTCGGCGGTCTGGGGAGAGAGATCCGAGGATAGTGGCATCCTGCTCGAAAGTGTATGCTGCCATGATGACACCGCGGTTTGAATGTTTGAACTGAGTGTTGTCTTTTGTCTTGGGGAACATGGTGTAACGGATAGGAAGGTCGCTGGGGAGACCACCGTTTAGACCTTGGCCGTGCTTAGTGAAGACCTCTTCCCACCATCTCTTCTTGTACTGAAGAAGAATCTTGGTTACTTCAACGTAACGAACGTCTCGAACTGCCATTTCCTGCATGGGAATAAAGGGCTTGGACTTTGCAATTGTTCGCTGCACAGTGTACGGGATCGCGAGGATAAGATAGTCAGAGGAGATGGATTTCTTCAGGCTGTTGGCTGTGACTTCGTAGGTCACCTTGAACGGAGCCTGCAGAGAATTTGGTGGTCAGATTGTTCATGGACACCTATCTCCGTAATAAAGTGACTAACTTTTTTTTTCTCTTGCTAGAGACGAAGGCGTTAGGGACAACATCCATCCCCTCTTAAAGCTACTTCATGCTCACCTACTCACCGCCTTTGTTACTTGACAAAAACGCACCCTTGAACAATTTCTAAAGCTAATTAATAGCTTCAATAATTTCAATTAATTATTTACCATATAAAATCTCTCTTAGTATATCCAAGATCCCAAAACCAAGCATTCTGAAACCTATTGAAGCCCGTAATAATCCAGTTATATCCACCTTCACGATGCGTAGGGCAATGTGTTATCTGGCCCATAGATAATAAACCCCAACATACTTTCTCACTCTTGTGCTCAGCTCTGAGAAGCAGCCAGGAGAGCATCTGCGGCAATACAAATATGAAAAAGTACAACATACCAAGGGTAATCCTTCTCCCATTGCTTCGCTTCTTTTGAAACAGAAAACGGATGGAACCTATCAGGAACCAAAAGTATCCAACAAGCCCCCTCAAATAGAACGCTATGAAATATACATCGGGGAATCTCCAGAAGATTGGGCGAAGAAGACCCATCTTATACAGCCCTCTGCGGCTATGCCACCAAGGAGCTGTCCCGAAAACATGCTCGTAACATTGAGAATACTCTTGTTTGTAGGGGCCGAAAATAGAAAATATTCGTTCGACGTGGGTCTCGAAACCACTACATCCACCTGTCCTGATTGGCAAGTCACCAGCTAGGATATCCTGACAACGACCCTCTTCGCGGTATTGGGGATGTGCCTCGCAAAACTCTCTCTCACTGAGAAGAAGTTGATAATGCGCCAGTCGTGCAGAGTCAATTGCATATTTCAACGATGCAGCCGCGCATGTAATTGTGAAAATCGTCAACAGAGCCTTGAGGATGAGTATGTGTTTTTTCTTGAGAGCTTCATAAGCGGCATGGCCCAAACTGAGAACTTGACCGATCATTCCTGTATCATAGTTCAATTGGTCAGGCAGGCCCTGGAATATGCCCGTGACAGCGTTAAAGAGGGAGTCCATGATGGGGATGACATAGAAGTCAGGAAAAAGAGGTCAATGTTTAGGAATTCTTCTTGCTCATGATTTTAAAATTCATGGCCTTTATATATTAATCTTCTAGCGCCACAACGTGACCTTCATATGATCAGCTCAGCCCCTACTGAATCACCAACTACAATTGAGATGCCATGGCACAAAATACACACTGCCTCCACAGACCAAACTCTGTGGTCTGAACCTTTGCGACTATGTTTGTCACATGAACGCTATAGCTACTCTGCCTTTACCTGAAAGGGAAATACAATAACTTGGGAATCAGTAAGAATCATCTAGGGTAAGCCACAACTACGTCACTAAAATTCCCAAAAGACAAAACCTCCGACAGCCTGCGGAAGGACATCATGTGGCAGAAGCAAATCCGCCAATCAGAGGTGGCCAGGTCAGCCCGGATGATAAGCAAGAAAATTAGCATAGCTGCTTTACCTTTGTTTGTGCAATGCAGCAATGCTAAGCTGGGACGGAACACCTCCGCCTGGGTAGACCTGGTTAAGCAGACAGAGTATGAATGAAGTTACCCTATATTTTTACAGCATTACAAGGATGACTAATAAGTCAGGCGACATCGGTGAAGGTCATGCCAATTAAGCGTACGAGTTAGCTATAACTAACTCACCAGTCATCTGCCATATTCTTCCCTTTTTCGCATCCATGATCTGAGAATTCGGCAACTCAATGCCCGGAGTAAAGACCTCCGACCGTTCACCCGCTGCCGGTCCAATGCCCCCATCGGCTCCGTTTGCCCCGAACCAGAAACATTGGTCACGCTCACGTGCGGGGACTCACCATCTAACCAACTCGAGCGCAAAGACCCCACGGCACATTAACGAATCTGGGGTAGATCCGGGGTAAAAACGCGCAGCGGGCATCGGCCCAAGTCTCTCCCCCACAAGCAAGCAAGTTTTGGGGTTTGATGAATGGTACGAGTTCCTCGGTTCATCTACCGGAGAGGGAAATGTCACTGTCAACTTGGTTCCAACCCCACAAAGTCAGATTGGATAGATATAAAGAGACTGTGGAGATCTTCAAAACGAAACACAAACACCAGACTCAACCATCTTTACTTCCACTTGAGTCAAGTCTGCTTATCTTCAAGATGTCGAAGCAAGTTGCCGAAGAAACTCACCTCCCCGACGCTGACGCCAATGACTTCCAGGGTCTCGTCCTCGCCGATGTCATCCCCCGCGATCGTAAGCCATGGTACTCCGACTGGACATTATGGAAACTCAACCTCCTTCTCCTCAGCGGTCTCTTGACTCAGACCGCCACCGGTTTTGACGCGAGTATGCTGAATGGAGCGCAGTCACTACCGCAATGGCAGTCATATTTCGGCGAACCAAAGGGAACGCGTCTTGGCGCTATGACGTTTGGACCCAATGGTGGTGTTCTCATTTCGATCCTTATTTCATCCCAACTTTGCGATTGGCTTGGACGAAGAGTGCCCATTCTCATCGGATCGGTTACTATCATTGTTGGCGCGATTGTTCAGACTTGCTCGTACAACTATGGCATGTTTGTGGCCTCGCGCTTCATCATCGGTTTCGGTCTCGGTATTGTTTCCACTGCGGCGCCTCCTCTCCTCTCCGAAGTTACATACCCGACGCATCGCGGAAAGATGACTTCTTTCATGATGGTCTCCTGGCCACTTGGTGCTATCATCGCTGCTTGGGTCACATACGGAAGCTTCCAGATGCAGAGCTCTTGGGCATGGCGTCTTCCCAGTCTTCTGCAGGGCGCTTTTTCTGTTGTTCAGGCTTCGTTGGTCATGTTTGCGCCTGAATCGCCTCGATGGTTGATCTACAAGGGTCGATACCAGGAAGCGAAGGACATTCTCGTCAAGTGGCATGGTTACGGAGACCCCAACTCGAGACTTGCACGATTCGAAATGGCCGAGATTGCAGCGACTCTTGAGATTGAGAAGGTCCAAAAGAAGTCGCGCTGGGCTGAGTGGATCTCTACTCGCGGTAACTGGCATCGATTCTTTCTGGCTCTGTACATCCCCGCCATGTTGCAGTGGTCGGGCAATGCCCTCACCTCGTACTATCTCTCCAAGGTCCTCAACTCGATCAACATTACCGACCACAAGACCCAGCTTCTTCTCAACGCCGGTCTCCAAATTTGGGGCTTTCTCTCGGCTGTTGTCTTTGCCACAATGATTGACAAGTTTGGTCGGCGCAGACTCTTCCTCGTCGGTATGTCAGGTATGGGGGTATCCTACATCATCTGGACAATCTGCTCTGCCCGCAACCAACAGGAGAACTTTGAACACATCGGCTACGCTGGTGCAGTTTTGGCCATGATCTTTGTCTTTTCGTTCTGGTATCACGCCTGTTCTCCCATTGGAGCCACCTATATCATGGAGGTCACACCGTACTCGCTCCGTGCAAAGGCATCTATGCTGTACCAGCTCACCGGTAATTTAGCGGGTGTTTACAACGCTTTCGCCAACCCTGTTGCGATGGAGGCTATTGCTTGGAAGTACTACATAGTTTGGTGTGTTGCTATTGCTGTTCACTTGACTTTGATCTTCTTCTTCTTCCCCGAGACCAAGGGCTATTCTCTTGAGGAGGTGGCAGAGATCTTTGATGGACCTGATGCTCCCGTCGGTGCGAATGCGATTGGGCAGAAGAAGATGGACGACATGGCGATGCATAAGGAATGAGAGGCAAAGGACTTGAGGGATTTATGCACTGACCTTGATCCTAAATGATGAAAAGTTTAGGTAACTTATACAAGTTTATGATGGGTTTAGGTTCGTAGAGACATGAGGTAGAAAGGAAGTGAATTGACTATTACGAGCTACTGTACTAGCCCAGTGACTACCAACGCCACAGTTGTCCTATTGACACTGAGACTACCCAAAATCCAATAAGTTACGCAAGGAAAGGTTACAAAAGAAAAGTTCCACACAGATAAAGACTCCGTCGTCTCTCGCCTAACTATACTACGAGTTGCCATTAAAGCGCCTCAGCTGTAGTAGGAAAGAAAAGTGCATTGTTAAGACAGCTCACAACAGCGTCGCCGCTACCCTGAAGAACGCTCAAGCAATCAGCCGCGTCTCCTTCTCCGAACGGCCCAAGAGCACTGTTGCAAGCGTCAAGGTTCAAGGCAAGTTGAACGGCATTCTGCCCAGCGAGGCTGGAACAAGCCGCTGGGAGTGTCGAGATACACGTTCCAGAGAGGGCATTGTTAAGACAGTTAACGACCACTGAGCCGGAGGTGAAGAGGCCGATACCAGAGGTAGTGCAAGATGCCACGGTACCTGTGTTGTAGTCGCCGAGGGCTGTTCTACAAGCAGGAGCAGCTAAAGCGATAGCGACGGAACCAGTCAAACTGCCAATGCTCTGGCAAGCGTCAGGTAGTGTGAAGCACGCCGGCTGAGGGGTTGGTGTAGGCGTTGGGGTGGCAGTAGTCGTAGGCTCATCGCAGTATGGAAGGCCAGTGACGGTACTCGAGCCGGATGAAATACCAAAAGCGATCTCAAGACACTCAACGATGCTTGTACCTGTTGTAGAGCCAGTGATGTCACCGGTGGACAGACATGTAAGGGCACTTCCAGCGGCAAAGGGACCGAGAGCAACAGCACAAACGGCGACATCGGCAACAAGCTCAAGACCATTGGTATTTGCCAGATCTGTACAAGAATCGGGAAGGGTTGTGATACAACGCTCTTCCAAGGCATCGACGACACAGTTGAAGATACTCAAACCGGAAGAGCCAACGATGGGGGTGGTCGCGAGACAGGAGGCAACGTTACCAATGGCATAGGGGCCGAGGGCGGTAGTACAGAGAGCGAGGACAGGGATGAGAGCTAGACCGTTGGTAGTCTCGAGTTCTGCACAGGCAGCGGGGAGAGCCACGGCACAGGAACCTGAAACGTTTGGCGAAGGGATACACTCGGTTGCAGAGGAGGTCTGGGGCTCAGAAGTGGTTGGGCTGGCGGATGTTGGGGCTTCGGTCGTAGCAGGCTCAGCAGATGTCTCTGCGGCGGATGAGGTGGGCTCGGTGCTTGTCTCTGGTGCGGCTGAAGAGGACTCGGGAGCAGATGTCTCAGGGGCGGTGGAAGAAGCAGCAGAAGAAGTCTCTGCGGCGGATGAGGTGGGCTCGACGCTGGTCTCGGGGGCAGCAGAGGAGGACTCGGGAGCAGATGTCGCGACAGGGGCTGAAGACGTATCGGCTGCGCTACTGGTAGAATCAGTGTCGGCAGAAGATGTCTCAGCGGGCTCGGAGGACGTGGCTGGGGCAGATGAACTCTCAGCCGCTGAGGAACTGGCTGGAACATCACTGGAAGTCTCGGCAGGAGAATCAGAAGACGTCTCAGCGGGTACGGAGGAGGAGGAGGTAACGGGGGCATCCGAGGTAGCTGGTGAAGACGACTCCACGACGGGCGAAGAAGTAGTACTAGCGACAGCCTCGGAGCTGCTGGTAGGTTCGGTACCAGCTGAAGAAGTCTCAGCTGCGTCAGAAGATGTGGCAGGTGCAGAGTCTGAAGAGCTGCTAACACCAGTATCGCTGGATGTCTCGACGGGGACATCAGAAGAAGTCTCAGGGGTATCCGACGTTGCGGGAGAAGAAGTGGCACTGGCACCAGAGTCATCGGAAGTGCTGGTGGGCCCAGAACCGGATGAAGATGACTCAGGTATATCGGAGGAGGTTGCAGCAGCAGATGAGCCAGCGTCGCTTGAGGTCTCCGCAGGTACATCAGCTGTAGATGAAGACTCTCCAGCGGGGGCTGATGAGGACTCAGTGTCGGCTGATGAAGTTGGCGAAGCATCAGAGGTAGACGAGGCACCGGCATCTGAAGAGCTACCAGCGCCAGAATCACTGGACGTTTGTACAGGGGAACCCGATGTAGCAGAGGATCCATCGGTTGGCGCAGCAGTAGAGCTGGCGGGAGAGTCGCTGGTCGAGGCACCTGAGGAAGTCTCGGGAACGTCAGAGGTAGCAGCGCCGGAGGAGGCACCGTCATCAGATGAAGTGTTTACACCAGCCTCACTGGAAGTCTCGGCAGGGGCATCGGAAGTGGCCGAAGACTCAGCACCAGCCGATGTAGTAGCTTCAGCGCCGGAGGTTGATGAGGTACCAGCATCGGAAGAGCTGTTGGCGCTATCACCAGTGGAAGTCTCGGCAGGGCCATTTGAAGTAGCAGAAGACTGCTCGGATGCTGCAGATGTGGGGGCAGTGGAAGCATCACTGGAAGCGCCTGAGCTGGCGGCGGCACCTGAGGAAGTCTCAGGGGCGCCGGAGGTAGCAGGTCCAGAAGAGGTCTTTGAGGCAACGCCTGAGGTACCGGAAAACTCACCAGCATCAGACGAAGACTCAGCGGGAGGAGCAGATGTGTTAACGCCAGAGCTAGAAGAAGCATCAGGCCCTGATGATGTAGTGGCGGCACCCGAGTCAGAAGATGAAACACCGGTGGTCTCAGAACCGGGACCGGAGGTCTCAGCGGGGATACCAGAGGACTCTCCAGCAGCAGCAGAAGAAGACTCTCCTGGGTTGGCGGAGCTCTCGGAAGGAGTGCCGGAAGTGGAAGAGCCACCAGATCCTGAAGAATTGTTTGAAGGCTCTTCGGCGGAACTAGAAGTCTCTGTACCAGCTCCCGATGAGGTAGTAGCGGCACCTGAGTCAGAGGTTGAGGAAGCGCCGGTTGCAGGAGAACTAGAGGTATCTGGGCCTGATGAAATGTCAGTGATCTCTTCAGAAGAAGAAGATGAACTAGAGATTTGTGTAATAAATCCTGATGAGGTGAAAGTCATGAAGGTAGGTCCAGTGGTGCTAGCAGATGTGGCTCCGAATCCAGTTGAGGATGTCTCTAGGCCTGACTGAGATGAAGTGAGTTCAGTGGGAGCACCAGTTGAAGCCTCGACTCCAGTTGAGGTGGTCTCTGAACCAGAGTCGGACGATGAAGGCTCAGTGGAAGCTTCAGCTGACGTGGTCTCTGAGCCCGAACCGGTGGAAGCCTCAGTGGCAATTCCGGTAGAGGCACCGGATCCAGTAGATGCAGTCTCTGAGCCAGAACTAGATGAAGCTCCTGATCCAGTTGAAGTCGACTCTGCACCGGGTTCAGTGGAGGTTGCCTCTGCACTGGATCCAGTTGAAGCAGTCTCTGAGACAGAGCCAGTGGAGGTTGTATCTGAGCCTGAGCCAGATGAAGCTCCTGACCCAGTCGAAGTAGTCTCTGCACCAGATCCAGTTGAAGCAGTCTCTACACCAGAGCCAGATGACGCCTCAGTTGTAAGCCCAGTAGAAGAAGCTTCTGTGTCGATAGAGGTACCACTGGTAGAGACAGGGACTCCAGTGCTGACAGTCTCTGAAGCTGAAGCCGAAGAAGATGCACCTGGTCCAGAGGATGAAGTGGCACCAGTAGGCTCAGAGGTACCAGAGCCTCCAGATGAGGCCTCAGGTCCAGCGGATGAAGTCTCAGAGCTGAGGTCTGACGAAGAGGCTGCAGAGGGAACTCCAGTTGAAGATCCTTCAGATCCCTCAGATACACTGGTAGTCGAAGCGACGGCGCCGGTAGTGCCTGACTCGCCAGCATCAGCCGAAGAGGAAGCAGCTGATTCCACCGGGGTGGTCTCCGAACCTGAGTCAGATGATGTAGCACCAGAGGAGGCTCCTGTTGAAGATCCTTCAAAATCGCTAGAGGCAGTGGTGGTAAAGGCAGGGGCACCGGTGCTTGATTCCTCGACAATTGTCGAGGAAGCACCCGAGGTTTCCAAGCCAGTACCAGGTGAAGTAGCGCCAGTAGGGATTCCTGTTGAAGAGCCTCCAGAGCCATCGGACGTACCAGCTGTAGTAGCTGAGGCACCAGTGCTTGACTCCTCTCCAGCGGCGGTTGAAGAAGCACCCGATCCTGCTGAGGAGGTCTCAGCACTGCCATCAGAGGATGTAGCAGCAGAGGGGATACCAGTTGAAGATTCTTCAGAGCCATCAGTGTTTGTAGAGGTAGGGGCACCAGTGTCAGTCTCTGTGAGTGAAGCAGATGAAGCACCTGAATTGGCTCCAGATGTCTCGGTACCGGAGGCGGATGATGCTTGACCAGTGGGAACTCCAGTCGTGGATCCTTCAAAGGCACCCGAGGTGCTGCTTGCAGTACCCGCGGTATCAGTGTTGCCAGTCTCCGTAAGCGGAGCAGAGGAACCACCAGTTGCCGCTGAAGATGTTCCAGCGCCAGAGCCCGATGATGTCTCGCCGGTAGGAGCTCCCGTTGCAGATGCATCAGAAGTACTACCGGTAGCGCCAGTGTTGCCATCTGTCTCCGAAACTGATACCGGAGAAGTGCCTGATGCAGCTCCAGAAGTCTCACTACCAGAAGTCTCAGTGCCAGAGCCAGATGAGGCAGGCCCAGTAGGAACTCCTGTTGAGGATCCCTCAGAGACAGCTAAGGTGCTACTTTCACCGCCAGGTCCAGCAGTGCTAGAAGCGCCACTAATACTACTAGTCTCTGATGGGGAATCTGAAGAAGTGCCCGATCCAGCTCCAGAAGTCTCGACTCCGGAAGACTCAGCACCAAAGCCAGAGGTGGTAGCACCAGTGGGAGCTCCTGATCCAGTTGAAGATCCGTCAGAGGCATCAGAGGTACTGCTTACAGTCTCAATACCGCCAGTGTTTCCATCGGTCGAGGTATCTGAGGAAGCACCTGATGGAGCCGCGCTAGACTCTGAACCTGATCCAGAGGACGAAGCTGAGGGAGCTCCAGTGGAGGAGACTTCAAAGCCACCAGAAGTGGTGCTTGCAGAGCCTGGCGAACCGGTGTTAGCATTGGTTGCAGTATCCGAAGAAGACCCTGATGCGATTGGGGATGTCTCTGAGCCAGACTGCGAGGATGAAGCTCCAGTAGGAAGTCCAGTAGATGATCCTTCAAAACCACCAGATGTAGTGCTTCCGGATTCAGAGACACCAGTGTTACCAGTAGTCTCCGGCCCTAGAGTTGAAGAAGCACCTGATCCGTCTGAAGATGTCTCTGCGCCAGTGCCAGATGTGGCAATAGTGGGAAGTGTTGAAGATCCACCAGAGCCGTCAGAGGTGCCAGTAGACTCGAAGCCGCCAGTGTTGCCATCAGTGAAGGTATCTGAAGATGCACCGGATGCGGATGAAGTGGCCTTCTGACCAGTTACAGAGGAGGAAGCTCCTGAAAGGACCTCAGTAGAAGTTATTCCAGAGTCACCGGAAGATGAAGCTGAGGGAGCTTCAGTGGAGGATCCTTCAAAGCCACCAGAACTGGTACTTCCAGAACCAGGATCGCCAGTATTGCCATTGGTCTCAGATGCAGTACCTGATCCAAACGAAGACGTCTCTGAACCGGGCTCGGAGGATACAGCTCCAGAGGAAATCTCCGTCGACGATGGGCCATAGGTCACAATAACTGTGGCTGTGCAGTCAGGTGATCGCATATCTTGTCCGTCTCGACGCATGAGGATCGGGCAGCCGGACGGAAGAGGCAGCGTAGTTGTCCCAGGAGTCGGACCAGTAGTTGTCATAGTAGTGAAAGGCCCGGTAAATTGACCCTGTGTGACAGAAGTGGTGCTCGTGGAGCCAGTGGCAGCGGTGTTGCCAGTCTCTGTAGCTGGGACCGATGAGGTATCAGAACCCTGTTGTGACGCGGCGCCGGAGGTGCTTGAAGCTCCATCAGAGCTTCCCGTGGCAAAGGATGACTGACTACCAGCACCAGAGGTTGACTCTGTGCCCGATGGAGAACCAGTAGACTCGCCAAGGCCAGTGTCGGTGCCACCAGAGCTACCAGTGTTGCCGTTGGTAGAGGAACCGGAAGCTTCTGAGCTCTGTTGGGATACCGTACCAGAGGTACCCGGGCCTCCAGCACCAGACGTCTCTTGACTCTGCGACCCAGAGGTTGGCGGTGATCCTGAAGCAGCAGTAGTGGTCAAAGATCCATCGTTGCCAGTAAAGGTAGTGCTTGGAGACTCAGTACCAACGGTGCCACCGCTGGTCTCGGTATCCGAAGTTGAGGACGCAGAGGAAGCACTTGAACTCTCCTGGGATACGGGACCCGAGGTACTGAAGGCAGACTCGGAGCTACCAGTAACAGAAGCTGACAAGTCACCCGATGACACTCCAGTATAGGAAGTGCTGCTCGCAGAGCCAGAGTTGCCATCGGTGAAGGAATCAGAGGTAGAGGATGGAGAAGAAGAAACATCTGAACTTTGCTGGGAGGGGGAATCGGAAGTGCTTGAAGCGCCAGAGTCGGAGCTTCCGGGGGAAGACGTTGACTGACCTTGAGAACCATCAGAGGTTGATGAAACACCTGAGCCATCGCTAGTTCCGGTGGCTCCAGGGGATACTGTCGAAACACGCGTGGGCTCGATCACGATCACGGTACCGATAGGATCCGTTCCAGATGGTGCCAGAGTTATACTTGTTTCAATGGGCCCACTACCTGTGATGGTGGTGTAGGGACCAGTGAAGGTAGAACCAGGTGCTGAAGTCGAGGGCTCGAGGATAATGACAGTGCCGATGGTATCTGTGCCTGACGGGGGAAGTGTCAAGGTAGATGCACCAGTAGCGGTACCTGTGTTGACGCCAGTGATAGTAGTGAAAGGCCCAGTAAATGTCGAGGCAGGAGCTGAAGTCGAAGGTTCAAGAACAATGACAGTTCCGATGGTGTCAGTTCCTGTTGGGGGCAGAGTGATGGTGGATACCCCTGTGCCTGTACCTGTGTTGATACCAGTGATCGTGGTGAAAGGACCGGTGAACGACGAAGCAGGGACTGATGTTGATGGCTCGAGTACAATCACGGTTCCAATGGTATCGGTTCCTGATGGTGGGAGAGTGACTGTTGAGGCTCCTGTGGCGGTACCCGGGCTGACACCAGTTATAGTGGTGAATGGACCAGTGAATGTTGACGCAGGTGCTGATGTTGAAGGTTCCAACACAATGACTGTACCGATGGTGTCTGTTCCAGATGGAGGGAGTGTGATGGTCGAGGCTCCCGTCGCAGTACCCGTGTTGACACCAGTGATGGTAGTGTAAGGTCCAGTGAAAGCGGGAGCTGAAGTTGAGGGCTCCAACACAATAACGGTGCCGATAGTGTCAGTTCCAGAGGGCGGCAAGGTGACGGTCTGGGCTCCCGTAGCTGTGCCTGTATTCACGCCAGTGATAGTGGTGAATGGGCCTGTGAACGTGGTTGGGGTAGCAGCAGTAGATGGCTCCAGGACAATCACGGTGCCGATCGTATCTGTACCAGAAGGCGGCAGAGTGACGGTCTGAGCTCCAGTCGCTGTACCAGTGTTCACGCCTGTGATGGTCGTGAAGGGTCCGGTGAAAGTGGTAGGTGCAGCTGAAGTTGAAGGCTCCAAGACGATAACAGTACCGATAGTATCCGTGCCAGAAGGAGGCAGGGTCAGAGTTGAAGGGGCAGTTGCTGTTCCAGTGTTGACGCCTGTAATGGTAGTGAAGGGGCCCGTAAAGGTTGTTGGGACTGCAGAAGTAGAAGGCTCTAGGATGATGACAGTGCCGACTGTATCCGTACCACTAGGAGGGAGGGTCAACGTGGAAGCGCCAGTAGCTGTGCCAGTGTTGACGCCGGTTATCGTTGTGAAGGGACCGGTAAAGGTTGTACGAGTGGAAGGCTCCAAAACGATGACCGTGCCAATAGTGTCGGTGCCTGAGGGAGGCAGAGTGATGGTAGAAGCACCAGTTGCAGTTCCGGTGTTGACACCCGTGATAGTGGTGAATGGTCCGGTGAAAGGCCCAGTGGCACTGGCGCTGGTTGAAGGCTCAAGTACGATCACAGTACCAATGGTATCAGTACCGGAAGGAGGTAGAGTAACTGTAGAAGATCCAATGCCAGTGTTGACGCCAGTGATGGTGGTGAAAGGACCCGTGAAGGTTGTGCGTGTTGAGGGCTCGAGAACAATCACAGTACCGACCGAGTCAGTGCCAGTGGGGGGAAGAGTCACAGTTGAGGCACCAGTTGCAGTCCCAGTGTTCACGCCGGTGATGGTAGTGAAAGGTCCTGTGAAAGTCTTGGTTGTCGAGGGCTCTAAGACGATCACCGTACCGATAGTATCGGTACCAGAAGGAGGGAGGGTGACTGTAGAAGAACCAGTGCCAGTATTCACGCCAGTAATTGTTGTAAAAGGACCAGTGAAGGTCTTGGTCGTGGATGGTTCCAGTACAATGACAGTACCGACCGTGTCGGTGCCTGAAGGCGGGAGTGTCACTGTAGAGGCGCCAGTACCTGTGTTGACACCAGTGATGGTAGTGAAAGGACCAGTAAAGGTTGTGCTTGAAGGAGGACCAATCACGATAACAGTACCGCTTGGGCCACCACCTGAGGGAGGAAGGGTGACGGTGGTCGGGATGGGACCGGCTCCTGTGATGGTGGTAAAGGGACCAGTGAAAGTGCTTGAAGGCTTAGTGGAAGAGGGCTCAAGAATGACAACAGTTCCAGTTGAGTCGGTACCAGAGGGTGCCAAAGTGAGAGTCGCAACACCAGTGCCGGTGTTGATACCGGTGATGGTGGTGAAAGGGCCTGTGAAGCTAGAGGCAGGAGCAGTAACTGAAGGCTCGAGGATGACAACCGTGCCGGTTGGGTCAGAGCCAGATGGGGCCAGTGTAAGTGTTGCAGTTAGACTTCCTGAGTTGACGCCGGTGATTGTGGTGAAGGGGCCAGTGAAGGTGCTTCGCGGTCCAGTTGTGCTGGGCTCAAGGACGATGACAGTACCTACTGAGCCTGTACCAGAAGGAGGAAGAGTAACAGTCGTGCCTGATGAGCCGGTGTTCACTCCAGTGATGGTTGTGAAGGGACCAGTGAAGGTAGTTGGCTTCGATGTCCCACTGGGTTCGAGGACGATGACAGTGCCGGTGGGATCTGAACCTGAAGGGGGAAGGGTAACAGTTGAAGCGGCGGTGCCGGAATTGACGCCTGTGATTGTGGTGAAGGAACCTGTGAAGGTCGTCCGCTGCGCAGTTGTGCTTGGCTCAAGGACAATGACCGTGCCGACACTATCAGTGCCTGAGGGGGGAAGTGTGACTGTAGTTCCAGTAGAACCAGTGTTGACTCCAGTGATAGTAGTGAAAGGGCCTGTGAAGGTGGTCTTCTGAGTACTGGTGCTAGGCTCGAGGACAATGACAGTGCCGATAGAGCCTGTGCCAGAGGGAGGGAGTGTCACGGTCGTACCAGCCGAACCAGTGTTGATACCAGTAATGGTGGTGAACGGACCAGTGAAGGTACCCTTCGAAGTGGCAGAGTTGGGGTTGGGGACACCAGAGGAAGCATGTCCAGATCCAGGTGATGTGTTTGTAGGTCCAATAACGATAACAGTGCCAGTGCCATCCGTGCCAGATGGTAGGATAGTGAGAGTCGTTGCCGGAGACTTACCTGTGTTAGTGGAGGAGGGCTTGGAACCATGAGATGTTGGATCAATCACAATGACAGTTCCAGTGCCACCAGTACCAGAAGGAGGGAGTGTCACAGTAGTAGCCTGAGATCCCGGTCCATCAGCCGTGATAGTCGTATACGGACCAGTGAAAGTCTTGCTTTGGCTACCAGAGGGGACAACCACGATGACAGTTCCGCTGGGGTCATTGCCCCCAGGGGGAAGAGTCAAAGTGGTTGGGTGACTTCCTGCAGGCCCATTGTTTGTAATAGTCGTATACGGGCCAGTGAAGGCAGGACGTGTAACACCGGAACCACCGGAGCCACCCGATGGGTTGACTATGATAACGGTTCCAGTGTGATCATTGCCAGACGGGGCTCGGGTGATCGTAGTGGGGTTCGATCCGGGGTCGTTACTAGTGATGGTCGTATAGGGACCAGTAAAGTACGGTTCCGCGTTCCTAAATGCAAGCCATCAGAACTAGTCTTCTTCAAGCTCGATTAATGGATAAACTTACCCAGTGATGTACCTAGTTGAAGTCTTCGTGATAGTAAACGCAGTGACCAAGGTAGTAGGAGCACCAGTGATAGGAATCGTAGTCCCATCAATAGTAAGCACCGTATTACTAGGAAACACAGCACTGATACTGACAGGCTGAAGCCCAACGATAACCTCAGGCTGGACCTTGACGATAGAGACACCATCGGGGCACTCTTCCGTAGGTCGAGCTTGGGTAGTTGAGCCCAGGAGCAAAAGCTCAGGGATAAAACGACGAAGACGCATTGTCAAAGCGAAAGACACCCAAAACGATTGTTGTAACAAAGGGATGAAGAAAGAGAGTGTTGGTGATGGATATCGAGTCTTCTAACTGCAGAAGACTCTGATATTTATGGATAAGGTTCTGAATAAGGGGATGGAGTACATCACGAATGACTTCCCCAAAGCGAACATATAACTGAGAGTGGCATGTTCAAGCTAGCTACTAAGGTTTGTCTTGTTGAGTTATTCTCTAAGCATCTGGGCAAGGGCGAAGACATACCGTCAGGAATGCAAAGATACTAAAGAGTTCAAGTGAAGTTATTTCCAGCCCACCTCGCTTAGAAGCTATATCGACGATAAATCAACCGTATTCGTTATCCTCTCGCTTCATAACGCCACTAAATTCCTAGAATGTCATGATGTTATCCTTTTCAAATATCCCTCTGTCTGCTTTAGGCATCGTAAGGTCTTGGGATGGTGTTGAGGGGGAACCCTTTCTGGTTGACTCGTTGGTGATGATTCGGAAGGCCCTGAAGTATAAGCCATATTAACTCTGCCCTAGCTAAGACAGAGTCGTTACCCGCGGGATCTGAATGGGTGAAAGTGGATATAACGGGAGTTTGATAGGGCGCGAGGGGTTGTGAGGGAGAGGTTGTGTAACGATCCACGTTGGTAGGAAGGGCATTGCCGAGACAGACCTTCTACTTCCGGTTATGATTTTCAGCTGGGTGTGCCCGTTGGCAGTTCCAATCATTGTCTAGAATAGACGAGTTGCAAACCCAATCCGGATAGTTGGTTCAGAAAGACATCAGTTTTCACTTTACTCCTGCGGGGACTGCAAGTCGTGATGGTATCATGAACCAATGCAGGGGACATTCCAGCGAGTCTTGGAGGTGTAAGCGATGTGATTAACTTTGCTTTTATTTTCAAGGGGGGGCTAGATCAAGACTGAAGGGGATCGCGTGCCGGATTTGATGTGATTGTTGTTGAGAAGACTTCACGAGTGCGTGGTCCGTAGAAATGGTTAGAGACATGCCAACGCGAAAAACATAAATACTCCAACCATCTTGTCAGAGCTAGAGAGCACCAACGCACATATCATCGCTTCACTCGTTAATCATGTTGTTCACTCCGCTCATTCTTCTCCTTCCCGCTGTTAGTCATGCCTCTTGGTTGCCCATCAGGTTGCCCATCAGGCGAGGACAGCCTTCGATCCCCGAAGACTGTACCGTGACGAGCACTCTTTCCCCTATCACTATGACCAGCATCTATCCTACCTCTACCATTGGGCCCCATGGTTCCGACTCTGGTTCTGGTGGTTCCCATGGTTCTGGTGGCTCTGGCTCTGGCTCTGGCTCTGGTGGCTCAGGTCACGGTCATGTGACAGACGGCGGCTCACTCGTCTACACCACCGCCCTCCCAACCCTCGGCCCCAATGGTCCAGGTGTACATACTTATACCATCACCGCCCCCTGCGCCTCGTCTCACTGCCAGAGACCTGCCCCCACCGAGTGTCCTCCTGGTTTCACCACCACGGCCGTTATCTGCCACGTCTGTGGCGAGCACCCAGTGACCACTACTTTGACTCTGCCTATCGAGTCAGCCACAGCTGCTCAGGGGTCTCACGGTGGGGCCGCCAAGTCTGGCTCTACTCTGACTTCGGTTGTCACGGCCGTAGTTCACAAAACCGTCGCGCCTGTTTCTCCTGCTGAGAGCGTGTACCCGTGGATTTCTCGCGGTGGTCCTCAATTGCCCGATGCCGAGAAACCGTCTCAGGTCCCTGGTGCCACTGTTGGTTCAGATTCTAAGCATGATGGTGCTGGAAAAGGCGACGAATTACCCGACGCGCCTAAGAACACCGGCGCTCCCGAATCGCCGGCTGGTGCGGGCGCTAGTTCTCACAGTACCACTGTGGATGCACCCAACGGAGCCTCTACTGCAGCGGGTAATGAAGCCGGGCACGGAGACGGAGCCGGAGATGAAGCGGGATCGGAATCGGCATCTCCTTCTGATGACGCTAGTCCCTCAGCCGTTGTCGTTACTGGCCGCGCACCCGACAACAAGGTGAACAAATCTGTTGTCCTCAAAGCCTTCCTCTTTGCTACAATGGTCTTGTGTCCTCTCTACATCTAGTCAGAGGGGTGAGTCAGAATGTGGGGTTTCTCTTCTCATAATAAATCGAGCTTTAAGAATTTTACTGTGCCCCTTGTACCTATGCATCCAAGACATGCAGGAGATCGATCTATTAGTTCATCCTTACTTAATACAATTCATCCACTTTTGTTTTGTCGACCAAAGTCATCTTGAAGCCCCGCGATTGGTCGAGTGTTTTAAGCGGCTGAAGTTGAATGTCTCGGCATCGGGTGGGGGGCTCCATTTGGAGGCTCCCCAGGGAATGAAAGAAAAACCAGGACCTTAGCCCTAAGGGATGAAAATCTTAGGTAAATTTAGCCTAAGTTTAGGGGAGTCTTTACTAAGTTTATTTTGACACCCCATATTTAAAGATCGGTGTTTTCTTGCCCCCTGAGGGGCTCCTCCAGCTGAACAGGGGTTTACAACGGCGCCAACGATATGCTAGCCTGTTTTGTCAGCTGTCAACTACAGGGCTAACGGCTCAACTGTCTTACTGATGACGACGTCGATATCAGCCACACTTTAATACTGTTGGTTGTCTCGTAAATTGCAACAATATGATTGAGACCAATATTACATTCATTGGCAGTCGATAATTGACTATTTCTTTCTTTGCCCGGAATTATCCCTCCATCATCTCTCCATTTTGTATCTCCCCCATCAAAGCATCATACCACGCATCAAGAGCCTCATCAATATTGAATCCACCGCCATCCAAGAACTCATTCACCTGGTTAACATACGCTTCTACGCCATCACCCATCGAGAACATAATATCATCGCTAGGGTTAAAAATAAGTCCTTGTGACATTGTGCCAGGGGAGATCGAGTTCATAGCCCCTGGACTAATGCTGGTGAAAATCGTCTTGGCGTAAACGTTGTTTCTCACAGCCCGGAACAAGTCTTTGTACTTTGCCAAATACGGTGCCCTCATGTGAATGATCCCTCGGTCGATCAGGTCTAGGCACATGTCAGTGTCGTTAAAGTGTCGATGGGGCCTCGGGGAGTTATCGCCAGTCTGTGGTAGGGCCATCGCTTGCCTGCAGGACAAGCATGTCAGTCACATTCCAGGGTTCAGCTCGTTTAGCTCGTTTAGCCTACCAGTCGCAGTACAGAGCTGCTAGTCCGACAAGGATTATATCGTGCAGTTGTCTAAAACATCGACAGATAGCAGAAATGCCATATTCGCCCTCGATTTTGGACCAGTGACTGATTGCAGTCGATGCGGCCTTTGAGCAGTAAGACGCCATTTGGCGTGATGGTACCATGAATGTCGGTGACGGTCTGTGTAGTAGAAGTTGCAAGAGACAGTACTCAATCTTCATCTCAGAGTACTCTCGGGATGGCTTCAGTCCCATTGCCTCCAATTGCTGCTCCCAGAGTTCAAGGTCTCGCCGGATTTGATCCGAAGTCGCACAAATCTGCTGGAATGTAGTATCCATCGCCGTGCCGCTTGGCCCTCTCGCTATGTAGATCGACTCAAGGATGCGACCACCAATTCTCCGCAACGCAATCATGTGACGAACAACCTCAACATTATGTTTGTGGAGAACTGGGGCCATGGAACTCTCAAGGGGTGTAAGTGCATCGAATGTGGCTGGTTTGGGTAACATGGTGTGGACTGCGTGGTCCCGAATGGATAAGACTCGACCTGTCAGGGTCGCAACTTGTCTAGGTTGCGAGGTCAGTCGAGTCAGAACTCTCGATTGGGCGAGACAACTAACCGCTCCAGGTTGTATGCACACCACCACGTCCTATTCCGGATCTCCAATTCTTCAGCTGTGAAGCCCCAGTCTTTGTTGTGGCGGTGGAGTCCTGCTTCAATGGCAGCCGACATGATGTACCGGCTGACCTGCCAGAGGTCATTATTGTGGCTGCTGTGGGACGAGTCTAGCATCCATATCGCCAGAAGCAGCACTGCCTGTATCCCGAAGAGGTCTCTTGGGTGGTCACTAAAGTTATTGAAGAAGCGCAATGCGGTTTGGAAGTATGCATTGGAGTCGTTGAGGTCCATCATGGCTGGGGACTGCGCATCCTTCGTGGTGAGTTGACAGCTTGCTAGTGCTAGAATAGCAAACACAGTAAACTTCTCATGGTCGCTACACTGCCTGGGACCCTCGTAGATACGCTGAAAGACCCTTCTCAAATGCGGAAGCTGTAAAAACGGCCACCAAATATGTACCCTAGAGATGTAGATGTTGAGCAGAGTCCGTGCGATAGGCTGGGGCGGAAGTGCTGCAGTTGCTTCACAAAGGGGCTGTTCAAGACCACTTCCCTGGCTCCCGGAATCCCACGAGGGAACAAGATTAAGTTGTTTGAAGAAGATCCTCGCAAATGTCGATCCGGCCGCGCTGCCGACTGAAGCAGTAGATCAAAGATCAGCAGGGTCTTCAATTGATCAACAAAATCGATCTTCACTTACCATACTTGCTGCCTGAGTACAGATCTGATCCTCCCGTTGTGAGGAAACCCACCTCTTCAGCCTCCTTCTGCAGATCAGCACGGGGCTCCGGATTCACGTCCGATGGTTCTGGGTCTGGTTCGGGAACGGTCTCATTGGGTGTTGGGACCAGTCTCAGTCTTGCTTCGAGGTCATTGATCCTGTCTTGGAGAGCTTTTACTACTGTGTATGGATAGGATACACAGTCTGTAATATTACAGGCTTCATTTTGTCGTGCGCATGCTGTACACTGCGGAACTCTCAGGTCGCACTTAGACTCGGTGTCAGCCGAGGATCTCGAATGAGTATACTATTGCCTGGAGACAAACTCACTTTGACCTTACGTGACCGACATCGACTGCATGCTTTTGAAACAGAAGGTTGAAGAGTTGAGAGCATGAAACATTATTGTTTAGGGTACTGATATTCTTTTGTCTGTTTCCTCTTCAAGTGGATGAATGAATGACGGCCAAGTCTAAATGTCTCGCACCCATCCGAAAATAGTGGAGACATAATGGTTGACGCCATCACGGATCGGAATTATGCAGCTACCGAGCAGACCGTTATCTGGGCGTTATCCGTTATCGCATGGGCGATAAGCTTGTAAAAGTATCTCAATCATCAAACAGACCCAGTACCTCTTACTCTCGTGCATGTCAAGGCCCAACGCAGAACAATACTTGTATACCAATTGAAGTTCAAGTCATGTGGATTATTTTCTTTCTCACCCCATTTATTTCCCATTTGTAAGTAATTTCTCCCTGTCGGGTCATCAGCACGCTTATTCCAGAGCAAACATCGTTGTTTTAAAACAATGTACAGGGTAGCCTCTGGCTGAACCGACTACGGGGCCAGGGCACCACTGAAGTATGCCGCAACTTCATACTCCGTACGTCTCTGGCTTCTGACGCCTGGCCCTTTTCCATATACACCGCCCTATAAATAATTGTGGCTATAGGGGTGCCACCAAAAAATTAGCCAAGTTCCACCGAAGGTACTGTATCATAAAATTAAATTTATGAACTCGCGAAACTACGCACGCGAACATGACGCGTCTCATTGGCCAGTTCACGAATCACGATTGAGCAGGGTAAGATTGTGCATATCATCAATTAGCTAGATTTCATTTGCCCTGGAGAAAACTTTGTCTCTTCTAGTAAGTGTATCGGAAGTTGGGATTCTGCCAATCCGTCTTGTCGCTCCTTTCCGCCTCCAGTCCAATATCAGTGTCGTCATGAGCCTTGCCATATTGCTTGTTGCGCCTCCTGTTCTCGATACCGCAGAGAACATAGTACGCCAGACCGGTGGTAGCCATCAAGGCAAATGCGAAAAGCATAGAGCCGATGCCAAGGACATACGTGGGTGCTTGTCTATCAAGGAAAAACTGAGGTCCGACAATATTGCCAACGGCTGTAAGTGTCAGTCAGAGGGTGAAAACTGAGGAAGTGCGCTGGTACATACCGTAGACAATCGCGATGGAGATACCCATAAAACTCTTTTTTGTCGCACCAGCAGTATTCGAGGACGAGAGACTGAGCAGGAAGACCCAGGGGACATTATAGAATCCCATGAGGTAGACACCCGCCAGAGACGCGTCGCGTTGGGTTGCAACGTCGAGTGAGTGAACCATAACCGCTCCAACAAGACCCATAAGCGCACCCAAGATCCAGAAGATACATCGCAAATTGGGGATGAAGAACGCGATAGTTGTCAGAATAGCCTGGCTGATCATGGCAACTGCTGCCTGAGGAGTCGCCATGAGAACGGTCTTGGTCTTGCTAAACCCATACCCAGCGATGATGAGAGGGTTAAAGTTTGTGATGCCTGCGTTGGCGAGGGCATAGCCAAAGACGCCGAGCCAGATGCAGTAACACTTGGGGTCCCGGAGAGCCTCAAAGATCTGAGCAGTTTGGAATTTCTAGAGCCATGTAAGCCTCAGATCATCTAATGGGGAATGTGTTGCTGCATACCTTCTTTGACTCGATACCGGTCTGATTGGGCGCGAGGCGAATCATGGCGAGCTTCTTTTCCTCTTCGGTGAAGAACCATGCTTTCGAGGGAGTATCGGGAAGGCCGAAGAAGACAAGAGCTCCGGCGAGGATGGTGCAAGATCCATAGATTAAAAAGATGTACTGTCACTTCTCGTCAGCATAGAAACATCGCCTGAAAGGACGTTTACTGACCTTCCAAGTGGATAGCGATCCATTGATCTGCCCAATCGCATAAGACAGGATACCTCCAAATACACCGGCGAAAGTGTTGTACCAGAACGCTGTTCTCAAAGGCTGCTCGTTCCTCAAATACCACATCGAGTTGATGATCATCATGCAAGGCAACACAGCAGCTTCGAAAACACCCAGGAGGAATCTGATAGTCGCTAGGCCCGCGAAGTTATGGCAAAGTGCCATGAAGCATAGAGCGATACCCCATAGCGTGAGGCAGCCACCCACATACTTGCCGATAGGAATCTTGGTCATTAACCAAAGGTTGGGGAATTCCATGGCGAGGTATCCGAAGTAGAAGATGCTGCTGAGCCAACTGTACTCTTGGGGCTTGAGGTGGGCATCTTCCTTGATACCGAAGATGGCAGCATATCCGAGTGCATTCTTGGATCTGTCAGCAGGCAATTGGCAGAATTTGAGTATTCAGACGTACCTTATCCAGGAAAGCAAGTGTCATAGACAGAACAGCGAGCGGCATGACCACCAGATCTGTCTTGAGGAGGAGTCGCTTTGATTGAGCCTTGGTCAACTCAAGAACCTCATCGTGCTCGCGATCAGAAGCAACGGATTGAGCCATATCCTTGGCCTGGCCTTGCTCAGTCTTGGGAGTCTGCGACATGATGCAAAATTTTCGAGGATGTCCAAGTCTAGAAGCGAGATGGGAAGTCCCTCGACGATCTTTAGATGCTTCGCATGGCCGTCTTTAAGTTTCTTGAGATTGACAATGCTACAAAAGTTAGTCTACCACTTCCCCGGGTTTAGCGGGGCCAAATTTCGCTGCAACGGGGAGTTTATCGCTGCAGTTGTTAGGCTTCGGTGTACAACGAGACGCTCGGTCACCACCGAGCTCACTACTCGGACGCTACCGAGGGGACTTTACTGCTTTGAGGAGCTCTAGCCTATCAACCCGCCTTGTTATCTGGGGTTGGGCATGATAAGCAGCGAACCAGATTGAATGCCGATGACGATTGGGGAGCCTTGCGATCACGTCAAGTTACAGTGGGTAGTTGGCCGATTTTTGATAACAGACTTACTACGTATGAAACAGTCGTCAGGAGAGAAAACTCTGCATCAGGCGGCAGAAATAAATGCATTAAAGACTATACTAAATTGATCCTAAAGTTTTGATGAATTATCCCAAGTTTAGAAAACTCTTATCGCGTTGTATTGAAGTCCGAGGCTTTGTACAGACGCGAGTAGTGAGCAGATGATCCAAGCCTTATCGGCTGCTGCATTTGCGCGAGTCAGCTCGGTCACGACCGAATTTGCCGTCCGGTGGACACCGAGCTACCTCCACGGTCCGAAGATCTAACCTGAGCCTTATTGAAATTCTCGGAGATATAATATTTGACTGAATTGAACCATTCCATCCTGATATCACGAAATCGAAGCCCCATATACAATTTTCAACAAGAGCAAATATGACCAACACGAAGCAGGGAAGCCATGGAGGTTCGACGCACAGCTCAGTGCCGAATGCGAAGAATGCTTCTATCAAGGTAAGCTGTCTCACAAAGCATGCGCATAATAGTTAGTGACGGAGATTTAGGTTGGAATTCGTGATGGCGTCATTGGCGAGTTCAATCTGGTACCTCGAGCGGAAGCTGTAGTCTCAGTATTTGACTCAAATTTCTTGATCGGCGATGGCATCTGGGTAGGTTCTACTGCGCGAAAATGACTACCAAATGACTAACACTGGCCAAGGAAGGCATTCGTGCAAACAAGGGCCGAGTTCAGTTTGCTAAAGAGCACATAAACCGTCTCTTCCAGTCCGCAAAGGCCATGTACATGGACCTCGGCCTGTCAAAAGGCGACCTCCTCGACCTCATTCACAAGACCCTAGATGCCAATGACATGGGAGATGATGAACATGTTCACATTAGACTTGTCGTTAGTCGTGGCTTGAAAGCTACACCCTACCAAAACCCAAAGGTCAACATTGGTCTTCCTCTCATCGTCATCATTCCCGAGTCTAAGGCTGTTGATCCCAACTCCAAGTCAAGAGGACTCAGACTCGCGACAACATGGGTCCGTCGTGGCCCGCCCGATGTCAAGGACGAGCAGTGGAATCACATCTCAAAAGCCACTGATGTACAAGCTTGCATCCATGCGAACGTGATGAACGTCGACGAGGCGCTCATGCTTGACCTACGCGGCTTTGTCAAGACATGCAACTCAGTCAACTTCTTCATCGTTCGTGGTGATGAAGTCTGGGCCCCTACCAAGGATAACCAGATGCAAGGGATTACCCGCCAAAAGACCATTGATGTTTGCCGAGCGAATGGCATCACTGTTCGAGAGCTCGACTTTACTCTCACCGAGACATATGGGGCAGATGAGGCTTTCTGTACAGGGACTTTCCCCTCCCAAATTCACGTTACTGAGATTGATGGGCGAGTAATTGGTGATGGGAAGAGAGGCCCTTTGACGGAGAGGATACAGCAATTGTACTCGGAGCTTGTGCGGAAGGACGTGGAGAGATCAAGGGACGAGATCAAGGCGGAAGTGGTTAGTCCACGAGATTTGTCGTTCTTGAAGTCAAAACTATAACTATAATGTTACTGGAACGACTATTATTAATCCCTGATCACTTCAAAAACAGTCTTTCCCAACCCCCCTTTTCCTTTATAAGTCTGATCGCAAGCTTCGCGAACTGCCTTAATATCTCTCATATCTATCTTGGCCCCAACTACCGGCTTCACCTTTCCACTTTCCACATAGCCTGTAAGCTTATCCAGATCCTCTCGGTTCGGATCCAGGAAGTGATACATATATGTGACGCCCCATCGCCATGCCCGGAGTCTGCGTATCGCATCCGCTGCATCAAGGAATACGCGCCCAGCAAATGGAATTCGAGGGTTATCCGGTTGTCGCATTACGCTTGAAGCCTGGAGAGTTGAAGCAGATGGAGCCGTAGAAATTGAAACAATCATGCCGGTTGATGGAACCATGAGTGAGAGAAACTCCATGGCTTGCCCGGTAGTATCGAAGCAAAAGTCAACGGACTTTGCAGGAATGGCATCCGATACCTTTTGCTTGGTGTAATCGATGACTATGTTGTCAGTCAGTCAAATCTCGATGTTTGAGCTTATGACTTACTCTGATCTACCGTGCCTTCGCCAAGAAGCTGTGCAACTTTGGGAATTTTGGAGGTCGAGACTGTGGTGATGACTTTGCCGGCGTGAAAGACGTTCTTGGCTAATTGGCATGCGATGGCTCCTGTCCCGCTCACTGCCGACAAGCATTAGTATTCGTGTCGATGATAGAAGTGATTTATAACTTACAGCCCGCAGGGATAAAGACTGTCTTGTCCTCCAGCGAGCCCTTGTACTGCCCGAGAACCTGCAGTGCCGTGACTCCAGCTAGTGGCAGAGATGCGGCATCGGCAAAGGAGAGACTCTTAGGCTTCAAAGATACATAGTGATCTGGGCACTTTGCAAATTCACTCCAGGCACCTGTTTCATGATGTCAGTAGTCTGTTTGACCTCTCACGAACCACGCCCGCATACCTCTCCCAGCTTCTGGCAACCTTGTATAGACTTCGTCGCCAACTTTCAGTCTTGTCACACCTTTCCCGACTTCCACGACGACACCAGCCGCGTCATATCCAAGTTTATATGGGAATCTTAACAACGGTGTTATCAGACTGCGTGTCGTTTCACCCTCAATTGAGACAACTTACTCTTCCTTTATCGCCATCTTGAACACGCCAGCAGCCTTCTTGACATCGACTGGATTGATGCTCGCTGCATGGACTTTGATGAGTACATCTTTATCTTCTGTGATCGCTGGCTTTGATACTGTCGAAAGTTCATAGCCACTTGGGCTAGTATAGCTCGGCGCTGTGATTGAGAGCATCTCTGTTGACATGATTGCAGATATGAGCTTCAGGCAATGAAAGAGGATATCTATCAGAGATATACTCCTTTTGAGTAGAGCTCGGAGACATTATAGATAAGTCATCTGGAAATTCCATTGAAGGTCAGCTCTCGCCACTCATGATTGGTAAGGAAAACCAACTGTTTTCGTTTACAGGCGAGATCTCAGGCCTCGGCTGAATCCACTAGCCTAATTTCGGGGCCGGGATTGACACCTTGCTCCAACTCCGGTGGAGGAAATTTCGATTTGTGGCGCTAATACTTGTGACAATTAATGAGCCGTCGGGCAGAATTCACTCCGCCAGCACCAATTTTATTAACAGCGCCTTAAGGACCAAATGTTTCTTGTCCAAACAGCCCTCAGCATTCGGCGTAGGAATCGAATTGGAATTAACCACCTGGTATTCAATTGTTCGTCTTACAAAACGCCCGAAAACAATAGTCTAACTGTCCGAGTTATTCAACAAAATAATCTATCAGCATTATATCCTTAATTGACCTTCCTCGCTAGACCCCACCTCGTCGGCATATCTCGAGAAGCTTCCAATAACAATATTTGGAACATGATCGTCACAGTGCTTGGTGTCGACAATATCGCTAAGCAGAGTGTTAGCTATACCTTGGGAGTTGATGTATCGGTAGTACTTACTAGCTCTCTGTCTCTACCTCTCTTACACACTTATTATCCAGAAACTTCAGCCGGCCAGTCCCCTCGGTATCACTACCGAATTGGACGAACTGAAACATCAGCGTCGAAGACGGTTGCTTGCACTTGATGAGGTAGTCGATAGCCCGCTTGATAGAAAACTTGACCTGATCGGCACCAGGTTCCCAGACCCCATCAGTATAGATATAGATGCTTGTGGGTTTGACCTTTCTTCCAACAAGCACCCGGTCGAGTATTGTGTCCAGACAGCCCCTCATGTTACAGGTCCCATCGACGGTCGGCATTTTGTTGATGGCTTTCTCGATCTGCGAACTAGTTTTGCATATCCGTGGCTTCTTGGCGATTTCTGATGCGGCGTAGAGCTCCATGCCGTCCTCGTCAACAGCCTTGGCAACGTAACTGATGACCCTCGCCGTCTTAACCACCTTTGGCTTATGCTGCCCCATCGATCTGAAGTTATCAATGAGCATGATCTAGAGACTCGCGATTAGCGGGTTTTACACGGTAACAGTTGGAAACAAACCTGGTCCCTGCCTCTCGCCATCGCGATCTTGATCCGAGCCTCTTCCATACCGGGGAGCTTCATTATCTCTTTGGCCTTATCTGGTCTCATGCCGATTGAAGTGGGGAAGGAGGAGATGTTGGTCTTCTCCATCATTCGATACACCTCATCCACAGTAACCTTAACAACTGCCTGCGGAGGGTTTGGTGTCTTCATCTGAACATGACCGTTGGCCATTGGTGGAGACGTAAATTGAGTAACGGATGGCGCTGGTGACGAAGGTCCCGCGGTAGACTGATCGAGGGAAGTCCTGGGGGAAGCACAGAAGTGATTGGCCTGTTGTTGAATTGGCAGCCCAAGGTTGCTAACCCGGGAAACGCGTGGTAGAGATGGATTAGGCACAGTTTGCCGCCTACTCGGAGATGTATGGCGTGCCTGCGGAGGCTTGCCACTCGAAACCGCCTGGTCGTTGTCGAGTGAATCTTCTTTCATGTTCTTGATCTCTCTCTCTGCTCGGATCCTAATGTTCATCGCGGTCAACCTCTCGTCTACGCCAGTGAGCATGTAATCCAGTATGACTTTGCTCATATAAGGCGAGATTCTGTCACTGCCTCTTTTGTCCTGAAGCGCTAATTTATGAGACTCCTCAACAGCGGCAAGACGGTCCACTCCATCATGGAAACAGGCGTCATGATCACGTTCCTTCATGTGACGCTGAGAAGAAATCTCTGCTCGCCTTCGGCGGCGGTACTCTTCACGACCTGGCTCACCGCAAATCGACCAAACGAGAACGTCGCTGAACACAGCGCCCAGTGCCCATATGTCTGCCGTTGGTGGGAGATCAGTTCGGACAGTGTTTTGAACCGAAAAGTTTGCGAAGCTCTCTGGAGAAACTAGACTTATGGTTAGCTTTGACAATGGATGTTTAGCAGCACGTACTGTACATCCGGTTGCCCCTATTCTCTGTTGCCAATTTTCCTCCCGAAGCTGAAACTCTCCCGATCTCCGCCAATCCAAAGTCTGTAAGTTTAAACTTCACGTCAAAGCGGGAGTCCTTGTCCTTTTCGGGGAAAACCAGGATGTTTGCTGGCTGAATGTCTTGGTGGACCCTACAACACGTCAGTATATGTCCATCTCCTTAGTCTACGGCCTCCACCTACCCTGCAAGGAACCAGACTGGAGCCCCATCCGGTCGGTAGAGATCGTGTAGAACATTTAGAGCATCCAGAAGATGGAGCAGCCTACTCCACAATAATCGGAACTCGTTCGGGCTGACAGGTGGAAGTGTGTTTTGGAAGAAGTCCTTGAGGGATCCTCCGGCTGCATACTCAAGAACTATGATGTACTTCCTCTTTCCCTGGAATGAGAAGGAAGCAAGGTGCTTAGTGATATACTTGTTGTTCTTTCTGCGGAGCTTCAGGTAAACATCTGTCTCGGCTTTATAGAGGTCTTCTGTCCCAGCACCCTCGTAGACCTTGAACACAACTGGCTGGTCTTCTAGTGCCGTTAGGCTTCCTCCAGAGTGTACCTGCACCTCCCATAGCGTGGCTGTATCGCGTCCGCCGCGTCTCTGGGTGAGTTGCCTCTTATAAGTGACAGGCAAAATGGTCTTGGGATGCACGACACGACTGAAAATCTTGTCTGGTGGAAAGAACAGAGGTATGAACATCCACTGCTCTCGTAGGAAGTCGCTGGCCCATTGGCAAGTCGGGGGGAAACAAGTCTCATCGAAGGGTAATCGGCTGTCATCAAGACCCTTCACATGAGAACACAACCACTCAATTTCTTGCGACCGGCCAATGTGAGTCAGAATGGAGAATACACGAGGAAAGTCGCTGATGATCATATCTGGACTTGATGCGACTGGAGGCTGTTGAGAGTTCAAGATGATATCGACACGTCGTTCTGTCCAGTAGTTGTCCAAAGCGGATGGTATAACGTAGGGGACCTTCTCACCATCGCCATTGATTCCCTCACGTAGGTTTTCGGCGATGTGTTGGTGGAAGTGATCCATGGTTTGTGTGAGCATCTTGCCTCTGTATGTGACGTGTGACGAATATTGAGTGGTACTGATGGATAGGAATTCGGAAATAAGAGACTAGACGTATTTGCCACTTTTAAGGTGCGTGTAGCGAAAGGCAAAGTAGATGGAACGTAATGGTGCCCCAAATGAGAGGGTGAGACTCACTGATTGGGGGTCTGGGATCAAGTTATAGGTCACGGGATGGTGGGTGAAGGCAGGCAGCCGTCGCCATTTAGCACTTAGATGTACCTGCTGCGCCTTAATTACTTGCCTTGCCCTGACTTAGGTGCAAAATGCCTTACACAAACGTGGCGATGAAGAAGGTGATATCATTTTAGTTGCCTACTGAATGATATGCTTCTGTTCATGAGCCACAGAGACCCTTACAGGTCCAAACGGTTGAAGGCGCCCACTGACGAACTATTTACGCTGTGTCCAATTGACAGTACCATTCTTAAGCTCTGGTCAACCCTGTGAGCCGCCTTGCGGTATGTCTCAGAAGAAGATAAGATATTGGTGGGCAAGACCAGGCAATAAGGCGTCAGGTTGCATTGCGGCTGATGAAGAGCGAAGCAGGGGTTGATTGATCATTCTGTCTGTATGTGGGTCTTCTACGCCCCTTAAAACTGTGGTGGGCAGATGATATTGTACTGTAAATATTGTACTATATGTATGCTGGCACTGTGCGTGTTATGATATGAAATGGTATGCCCATCCACCATCCTAGCCATCTCAGCTCGGGGAGGTGCTCAAGTCAGACGCTCCCCAAAGACTCCTCTTTCGAGCGCTTTAGTGCTCTACCAGAGAGGAACTTGAATAGGAACATCCACAAGATGAAAGTAATACACATGAGAGGGAAGCATATGGCAGCAAAGAGCTTGAAAGCTCCCGGATGGAAAGTCACCGCATCCCGGACATCCGTGGCAGCCTGATTGATCTCGACAAGCCCACTCTGGAAGAAAGCCTTGGCATGGGTCAGCGAAAAGCCTTACAAAGCAAGAAAATATCGCAAGGCACTTACAGCTACAAATGTCCCAGGCAGAAATGCCAATGTGACGCAGGTGATAACATGCATCGAGATTGTCTCCTTCTCTGTCTTATAAGCGATCCGCTCCATCTTCTCCGATTGCGTGTGCGAGCTCTCTGTAAAGATGCGGCTGACCTGCACGCTGCGGTACTGTAAGATGCCATCGAACTGATTGAGAGAGGAATGATCAGCGGGTGAGGGTGGGCTGCGGGTTCTGCAAGACCTTACCAGATCCTTGCCCTGCTGCAGGCAAGATAACAGTGATTCTACCTGGGTGATCCGTATCTCTAGATTCTTTCTGATACGCTCCACGCGGCGAGAAAACGAAGCCAGTTCATTCTTGCATGCTTCCTTGATCAGACCCGGGAAGTTAGTACGACTTGCTAGATCCTCATAGTGCTCGATGATATCTCGAAGAGCTTGGCGATTCAACTGCATCACCAGGCGGAAACTCTCCAACTGGTCCGCCAAGAAATGCAAGTGCTGGACCTCCCTGAACGAAAATGTCTCAAGGACCATCAGGCTCTCAAGCTGCTTAGCAAGTCCGGCGTCCTCCTTATTCGCTGGCAGCCCCGCTTTGTTGGGCGCCACAGGTTGCACAACAGATGAGCATGTTCCCTTCTCACTGGCTGGAGAAAAGCATGACATGAGGGGTTTCTGAGCCCATCGAGCCAGGGCGCTTGGGCTTTCTGTTACTTCCGTCTTGTTCGTCAAGATGCGCTTGAGAGTTGTTAATCGCAAGTTAGGGTCCTTGTCGATCCGGGCTGTCTTGGCCTTTTTCAGTACCTTTCGGATCTCAATCTCAAAGTGATTGATGCATTTCCGCCATGACTCGTCACACCACTCGAGATGAATCAGATGTGTCAGCAGAGTGGCTGAAAAAGACCCTGGTAAGTCCTTGGCTGCAGCGGAGCTGAGTGATGTATCCTCTGCCATCACCTTTTTCATCCTCTCCTGCATGACACTATTGGTCTTGATATTCAGCCAAAATGTCTTTCCCTGACCAAAGTCGTATTTATGGTGGACCGCCATTTGCCGAATGTTCCAAACGACTTGCCCTCCATCATCAGTTGATTCCTCAGCCGACCGCAGCAAATACTGCACAGTATGCTCTCGACCTGACCGGCCGAGCTCTGGAATCTTTGTGATCTTGTCCTCGGGCGCGTCAAGGGTATCGTAGCTGTTAAACCCTGTCATATGGTAGTCAAGAGGTTCGCTACTGACACCAAAGGACGACAAAAAGTCCACAAAGCTCGCTCCGACTTGATAAAAAGAAGATAAGAGAGAATAACTCTCCCGCGAGCAGTTCAAACGATCGCGCGATGAGTCTGATTCAATGAAGCTGTAGGTCTTAGCCTGTGTCTATTTCGGCCCGCTAGAGGCGCTGTACTTACACCATACAAAACTGGGGATCCTTTCGGTTCTGCTGCAAGTGCTCTCGTAGATCAGTGGGGCTCTCTACCACTTGCTCACTGTATCCTGGGAGGCCATTAGATACTGCGAAAGCAACTCCACGAGCTGGTGAAATGGAAAAGATAACATACCCTTTAGAGCATCGCTTTGTTCTATTATATGTATATCTTCCTGTTTCCCATCAAACAGCCTTGTTTTTGGTGCTTCAAGAAACAACCGGTAACTGTTGAGAATCTCTGCCCTCTGACATGGGTTCAGTAAGTTACAGGGGTATGAGTCCCATTGTTCACAGTGCTGCTTCAGTAGATCATATGCATCCATTGTTCGAAGAAGGAGGTGTTGCAAGAGGCTTGAGAAAGGAGTTTGATGAGAAGCATTTTAATCGCAGAGGACATCAAAGCAGCTATTATACGGTTCAAGGCATTTTGATTGTCGTTTATTTGAGCGGGAAAAGCTAGCCCCCCAGCCACTAACATTGCTTAAATCGACACACTGTAACTGTATCCCGGATGCTTCGACAGTCCACAGCCCTATTTACGTGCACCCACAAAGTGACCTCAATTCTTCTTCTTCTTCTTTGTGCGCAGGTCACAAATTTCCAAGATGTCATCCTGTTTCAGCAACCGTCAGCTCAAAGTCCACTTCCAAGCCACGTGAAACGAACTTCACTCAGTTCCTTGTTATCTGGTAGGGTAAACACATATTCTCCGTCTTTAGACTGGCATTTGAGACAATGTTTAGCGCGCTTCTGTGCACTTGGTGGTCAGGTAGATAAGGCTCACTTCGACAATGATCGTGTCATCCTTGAACTTGCGCCGTAGCCAAGCCTGCAGGACCCTGCCAGAAAGCCGGTAGTCGGGGAAACTAGCTTCTGTCATGATCGCTCTCGTGTATGGGGCGTAAGGCAGATTTGTCTGGGTAAGGTAGGTCTGGTAACGCACAATACCCAGCCGCTCCAGGACTTTAAATGCCTCGGGCGCAGCTCACAGTGACTGGTAGGCTTGAAAGTCCAAGGGATTTTCCGCAGAGCCGCATTTGCGATTCCCATTGTAGTTAGTCTTGGGCGCTGGGCAGACGTTGGTGATCCATATGGCTTAGTGCAGACTATCACATTCTTACCTGCAGCATAAGCCAATTGAACCTCAACACTGGGCACCCTCTCCGTGAAGAGTGCGCGAAAGCGCTTCAAGAGCGGTGAAGTGTCTAGAGTGTTACTGCCGCCTGTGTTGACCGTGAACACCAGCCCAACAATACCGGTAATCTGCTAAGATGCTTATTAAAAACATAAAGTATATTATAGTTTACAATTAAAATACTAAATAAAGTTATATTATAGTATTAATTTTAAGACTATTATAGTATATTACTAAATAATAATTTTATTTAAATAATATTAAGCTTCTATAAATATTAGAAATTAAGTTTTAAGCAATAAATATAATATTATTTAATATATTGCCTCTCTTTATTATTTACTCTTTATTTCCTGTTCTTAGACTCTCTGCCTTAACCCCAAGCTCAGCTAAAAACTCAATATTACCGCTCTTATATATATCACTAACTTTCCTTGCTTTCTCCAAGAGTCTCGCTCTACTAGTAAGACTCAGATCTACCCCAAGTCCGGCAAAAATGTCATTAGATACCAGAGATACTGTTGTCAAGCCTTTTCTTCTTGCTTGTTGTATCAGATGGGCAAGAGTGATAATGAGAACTTGGTCTATAGAAAGGGAGTAATCCGGAAAGAAATTGCACAGGATTTCTTGCTCTTCAGATGGAATAAGCCCCAACAAAGAAAAGACACGGTCCCTCTGGTCGCCGCATCTTGATTGTCTGTGGTGCTCGAGCAGATCTTGCAGCGATGGCGATAACGATGGGCTCAAACGAACACGTAGTCTGCGTGTCTCTAAAAGAGCTAGAGCGGGAAATGAATATGGCTCCTCTTCATAAAGATCGTAGGTCTTGCCCATACTCCATAGCGATAAATATGCAAAAGGCGAAGCTCTGATTTCCTCGTAGAGCAGAGACTCAAAGTCGGGCAAACCTATGTGGTTCTCGCCGCAATAAAGCCGGACATTGTCGTTGAGCAGGAACTCCTGGACAACCCAGAATCGTGTCCAGTAGGGACGGCTGGCTAATTCAAGTATATGTCCGCTCCAACTGAATCCGCCATGATTCAAAGATGAGTCCCGAATGAGCGACAACGCCCCAATCTCATGAGGGAGGCCAAGCCAAACAGAAACAAAAGCAGCTTCAGAGTATGTCTGACCTATGTACCTGACCTGAGTGCTGCGCTCGTCGTCGTCGTTTTGGTTGATGCAGATGGCATCCACCCAGATACGAGAGGAGCTGAATGCCGCAGAGTAGCCCAGGTAGTAAAGACAATTCCATAGATCAGGTCTAACTTTAAATGAATGACCATTTAAGTAGATTGTTTTGGACTGACTGCCGGTACCCCAGGTGTAGGATACAGCCGTATATGGGCGCGCACAATTTCGTGGGATAGTGACAAGCTCGAAAGATAGGTCGCGAGAAGTGGATTCTGATGGACGGAGTAGTCGAAGCTGGTCAGACTTGATGTTTTTTCGATATGTGAAGCTCATTTGTTGTGATGCCAGAAAATGGTTCGATTGTTTACAATTCAAAGAGGAGTGTGTGCATCTGCAGTGGAGAGTTGTTGTTGAAAGCTTATTCTGGCAGATAGATCTTAAGAGTTAGTAAGTTCTGTAACTATAGGATATTATATAAGCCCAGTACCAGGCATTTCCTTACCAGTTTCAGCTGCGAACTATTTGGTGAATAGATAAACAATATACGCAAACTCACTTGGAAAGTAATTGTCTTGTCATTGAACCTCTTCTGCAGTCGACAAGCCTCAAAAACGGCTGGTAGGAGGTCCTAATAGGGCTAGCTGGTCTCAGACATATCTGATCCGGTGACTTTGCGCGTAAGGCAGACTGAACTTTGACAATACGCGAGGCAGAATGAACGATTTCCAACCCATCACTCGCTTTAAACCACCGCGGCGGAGTCTTTGACTACCCTGAAAATACAGGGCAATGCTGGGGCAGAGCCTCAATTAGGGAGCAGAGGGTGACATTGAAAAGTGGACGTTGATGGTGTTGGTGACATATGGGTGTCGACGCGCAGCAGAAATGCCTATCACAATGTCACCTGCAGCTGTGGCCAATTGGACTTCGACACAAAACACCCCTCGCATAACAAATGCACAGAGATGCTCACAGAGCGGTCAGGATTTATAAACCCCGGTCGACCAGGGTGAACAGCCTAGGGAAGACAAGAAACCACAGGGCCCTAATCTTGAGCGACAAAAGGGTTCAGGTACATTATAATAACTTTGGAGGGGACGCCCTTACTGGATTTGTTCTGACATTTCATCCAAATAAAGATTTCCAAGCGAACAACGAAAGCTTGCAGTATAGGTTTTTTTGTGGCTTGAAACTGCAACGGTGATTGGAGTAATGGCTGAGGCAAGGCAGAATGGCTAGGCGATGTTCAGCCTTCAGCCGCACGAGATGGCAAATAACGCGTTTGAGGCAGCGCTACCACGAAGTTCCGTCAAGTCTCGAAGGACGGTGTGAAGAGTCTGGCAGAGCTGACTTTGAGCTTCACCGAGTTCACTGCAAGTCATTCCAGCTGCAGCTGTATCAGTCTTTGTCTAGACAGAGCCTTGTCCCCTGTAGATAGTGAAATGTCAACCCCGCAGGCCAAAAACGGGGCCGTACCGTTCCGTCGTCTCAGCTTTGATGACGGAGAGAACCAAATGTTTACGTCTGACCGGGCACCTCTAGTCCCACAGCTTCCCGACTTCGCTGAACATCATGAATATGGTGCGTCCTCTATCAGGCAATTATCGTTCATTGCTGAACCGAGACAGGCACAGAACTGCAGCCCGTCGCAAGGCATGATCCTGTATTGCCCGTCGCTGACAACGTCTCCGAGTCTCAAATCCACGTGTCAATCCCCTCAGACCTTGCGGATGCCGCTGGCCTCGATATCAACTCAACAGAAGAACTGAATATTCATGAGATGGCTCATCTGACATGTAAGTCTTCCGACCTCGCACGAAACACACGTTCAAAGTAATTGATGCGTGGCGTCTCATAGATACAGCTATTTCAACAGACCCTCAACAGTTCTATGAGAAACATAATTTGCGACCCAAGCAACTGAAGCTCCCTCGCCATACTGAGATCCTAGTCGGTATTACAGTTTACAACGAACCAAAACACCTACTCCGTCGTACTTTGCTGAGTGTTGTAGAGAACATCTGGCGTCTAACTGTCCGTCCAATGTCAAAAACCTGGGGAAAGGACTCATGGAAAAAGTTCGCGGTTTGTATCCTCATTGATGGTCTTGAGTCGGTGGATCCTGGAGTCCTTGACGTACTCACTACCATTGGGCTCTACCAGAATGGATTGTGCAAAAAGACGACAGAGAAGGGGGAAGAAGTTACGGGACACCTTGTAAGTATGCCCTACTATGCGAGCCTTGATTTACGTCTAACAAGGAGCGACTTTGCTTTAAAGTTTGAGTTTTCGTCTCATTTGGCAACCCACCTAGGTTGTGAGGATTATGCATATCGCGGACATGAATCCCCCAATCTTGTGCCGCGCTCGATGAAATTTCCAGTACAGTTGATGCTTCTCATGAAGGCCTCAAACTGCGGCAAGCTCAACTCGTACCGGTGGCTTTACAACGGATTTGCCAAAGTTCTGGAACCTAACATCACTGTTCATCTCGACGTAGGTACGAAACTGGGAAAGCAGGCGCTCTACAAGCTCTGGAGGGAATTTGATCTTGAGCCTATGCTTGCCGCAGCCTGTGGAGAGATATCCTGCTCTTTGGGCGGAAATTGGATGAACATTCTCAATCCCATTGTCGCGGCTCAGAACTTTGAGTACAAGGTTGGATTCCAGCTCGATAGGACGTTTGAGTCTGCGACAGGCTTTTTGTCACTCCTACCCGGGGCATGTTCTGCTTATAGGTACGTGTAATCACAGCATCGACTGTCGCGATAGGATGCCGACTGATATTCACTATCTAGATACGTGGGTAGTGCTGGCAAACCACTCGAAGATATGCTTCTCGGCGACCCAACATGGATCCAAGGCCATAACCTTCGCCCGTCCCTGTCACCTGTCAATCTCAATCGCCACCTTGCAGACGATAGAGTAATTTGCTTCAGGATAATTAGTAAACCAAAGACTCGCTGGCTCTTAAAATATGTCCCAGTCACCGCCACCACTGACATCCCCATGACGACGACAGATTTCATCAACCAGAGGCGACGATGGCTCAATGGGGCTTTCTTCTCGACTATCTATGTCTTGAAGAGATGCGGACACTTGTGGAGGTCTGACCACACACGAATGCGCAAGGTGGCTTTTTTCATCCCTCTCCTTCATAGTGTTCTGGCTCTTGTCCTGGCTTGGTTCTCGCTCGCGGCATTTCTACTCACGACATTCACGATTAATAGCATCTCTGGAGATCCTCCGAAGGATGCACCGACTGGTGGATTCCCGTTCGGAAAGGCAACGCCGATCGTCAACGCGGTCATCCAGATAGTGTATTTGGCGACTGTCTTATTCCAGTTTATACTTGCCCTTGGAAGCCGCCCAAGAAACCATCGAATCAGTTACATCATCTCATTCGCCATTTTCGGGCTCATCCAAGCGTACCTAATCATGAATCTGGTATATCTTGTAAAGAGGGTCGCAGATTACAAGGCCGACGATACTGGGTCGAGCAACTATGCCTATATAGGGGAGTTCTATGCCGACATTGGCCAAAGCACCATCATCGTCGCCGGGTTCTCCGTTTTCGGTGTCTATATCCTCAGTGCTCTCTTGGCACTTGACCCATGGCATCTCCTCACGTCTTTCGCGCAATTTCTCTTCATATCGTCGTCCTACGTCAACATTCTGAACATTTACGCCTTCAGCAACACACATGATGTCAGCTGGGGGAGAAAAGGTCGACACCAGGACACCGAAGCTGGCCAGAGACTAGAAGGCCCAAGACGGGCAACTATTGAACGGCGATTTACCTTCTCTGACCAGGATCCAAACATTCGATCTGCAGCGACTCAGCGTGATGAAACTCCTGAAGCGAGAAACAGAGAGTATCAAGAGGCATTGGCTCGAGTAGAAGCTGAAGACGAGACAACAAATCGCGAGAAGAAACGCCCCCAGGTTCTCGCAGTAGCAGATGCCATGATGGAGTTTCGCACGATTCTACTCGCATCATACATATTCTCGAACATCTTCGTTTGTCTCATTGTCTTAAACGACAGTCTAAAGATCTTGTGGTGGCTTGGAGACTCATACTGGCATAAAGTCTGGTTCTTCCGTATATGGCTGTGGGCAAACTCGATCAGCTTTCTCATTAGGTTCGCTGGTTGTTTATGGTATCATGTGGTCCGGGTGTTCAGTGGGCTCTTCCGTGGTACCCTTATGTAAGATAAGGCTTTATATAATTCGCTATCCGGGCTAGGGGAGGAAATAAAACTCGGGACCTTAAGCCTAAGTGATAAAAAGATTTAGGTAACTTAGTCTAGATTTAGGATAAGCTTGGGATACCTTTTCTAGAACTTATTTTATCACCCTAGATTTAGGTCTCGTGCTTTCTTGCTCCCTAAGGTCGGGGTCTGGGAAATGTTACGGCTATCCTTTCTTTCTATTGCATATGTCGTCTCTATTTAGAAGGCGGATCGAGTTCGAGCTTCCTATATTGAGTTAGTAGAGGGATTCCAATTTCATTATAAGTCGCACGGGAAGGGAGAAATGGAAACATACTGAGATCTTTCGTTCGACTTCCGTCACACGGAGGCCAAGCTCTCCCGCAATTTGTTGCTTTTTCTCTACTGGGAGCAGTCTGAACCTCTCACAGAGGTCTCCGTCTATGACACCCTTAGCCGGGACGTAATAGCCACGATACATCAGGTGGTCGCGGCCGACAAGTGATTGGTCTTCAGAACGCATTTGCGCCTCTAGCGCCAGGAAGAAGTCGGCGTCCTCGCGCGTGACGAAGGGAATGAGCACGCCGATAGTGCCCTGCAAGCCGCTCCAGAGGATGACATCCTGGCCACCCACGACGAGGCTGGTCTTGGTGATGCTAGTCGGTATATCTTGGGTAAAGAAATGGGCCACTGGGTCGAATCTTGTTGGTGCCCCATGCAGATGCTGCTGGGCATTGGTGAGGCGAATTCCACCATGTTTTGCCTCCTGACTTGCTTTGCTGGGACATCGAACAATCCAGAGGTTACCGAATTTATCACCCCCAGCCACTGATTCGGAGTCAATCATCGCCGTACAGGTTGTCAAGCGTGCAACTGTATCATCAACCAAAGGAATTAGCTTCTGACACTCATGATCGAAAATAACCATCGTCGCGCCCTGCTGGATATCCCCGACGACGATACGGTTGCCCTGAGTGTTTAGAGAGACAATCAGTTGCGGCGCCACCTCAACTTGGACCTTTTGAAGCAACTGCTTCAAGCCCAGATCATAGATTCGCAAGTCCTTGCCAATCCCTGCGGCCAGCCGGCCTTGGAAAGCCTTAAGCGCCATCGGGGGCTCCTCTACTTTGGTCTTGTAAATGAACTCCAGCCGTCTCCCCTTCTCCTGAAAGCGGTACACATGGATGTAACCCTCTCAGAACTGCCTGGGATTAAGGATCATGTCCTTCCCAGTTCCAACAAGCAGGAAGCTCTCACCATCCTGACAAGTGAATGGAACCACCGCCACACTCATAGCAGCCTCGTTGCCTTCAATTTCGATCTTCTGGAGCAACTTTTCGCTGATGGGATCGATAACATTTATGCATGAGGCCCATCAGCCATGACCACGCGGATAACCAAACGGATCCGGTGGGAGTAGTTTGGTATCTCCGTTAGCTTGGCTTTTAGCTGCCGCCAGTAGCTGTGTGCGCAGTTCAGGATTCAGCGCGTTGTTTTCCGCTTCGATTGTGTAGAAGTAAGGCTCGTGAGGGTGCTTAACCAAATGCCGGGGTGTATAGGTCAGAGGTAGAGATCTTCGGACCATGTTATCAGATAGATTCTCAATGGAGAATATGCTAAAGGCTAGGTTAGCAACGCAATGAGCGAGACTGCCCGTACGGCTATGTATAGTAAGGCTAGAAGATATGTAGGAAGGGAGGACATACCGAAGGAAGTTAGCGCCAATCAGGATGACGCCCTCCTCGCACTGTTCACTGCTAAAGTTACATGCCGACTCTAGCTCATCGCAATCAAGAGGCGTCATGGTGAATCCTCTTTTAGGGTCGGTATACCCCAGCCAAGGTTTAGAGCTAAGGGCCAAAACGCAGCTTTGCCCTTTGACTCTGACCTGGAAGAGCTTAATAGCCATGAGACCCAGAAATCTCGTCTGCGTGTCTGATAGCTCTCCTGTGATTTCATCTAGTCTGGTTCGCAAATAGACGCCAGAGCTGAGGCCTATGTGCAGGTACAGTCCTGTGCTACTGGATAAGGGGTCTTCCATCGCTATGATGCTTAACGACGAGGGTGCCGCAGTCAGGACTTGTATAGACTTGCTCTCGAGAGTGGAATTTGGGTCTAGGCTTAGGATTCGAACTGTACAATCTTCGCACCCTACCGCCAATACGGGGCTTCGGATCTGCCCTTCAGGGACCGGCCCCAAGCTGAGACACGTTACTGTGCTAGACAAGCTTTTCTTGTCGTTGTACTCAGCAAGCGATCCATCTCTGTCTACTTCGAAATAGACAACTTCCCCAGAGCTCAACGCTACTACGATCTGTTGCTCATTTGTAGCAACAGCAACAATACTTCGATGTTGGGGGATAGGCCAATCGTTGATTTCCCCGGCACGGATATGTCGTATCCCTTTAGGGTGTATTTGTACTAGCCCGTCGTCCCCGATTTGCTGTACGGCGAGGGTGGTCACAGAGGTGAGAAAGCCGGAATCACTCACTTGCTGGACTTCATCTCCGACACTCATGACGAACGTGTTATCGGATGAGGTCAAGATGATATATGCGTCGCACTTGTCTTGTCGCGTCAATTTCGTGGCCCAGACACCAGAGACTGTCCCTGGTAGCTCAGATGTCGCAACCTCGTTACCTTGCCCTCGGTCGGGTCGGGACGACAGAGGCTCAGAATTGAGCCAGATACCGTGAGAATTTGCTGCTCCTTGGTCCCAGAGAAATGACCGACGATGGCCTGTGAAATCGCCGTGGGAGGGTGGAGCGAAAGAGAGTACAGAAACATATTCGATGTAGTGGCCATAGTAGCTATTGTGAAAGATCAGGGTGGAATAAGTGTGTAGTCATTCGGGAGAAATCAACGCTAAGCAGAGAGACATATAATCATTCACGGCGGTAGGCAATGCCTGCTGGTGTTGTTGCTGCCTTGACGGTGTGCGGTGCGGAGGTAGTAAGGCCATCCATGCGCGGATAAATTAAATCACGTGGGGTCAACGGTGAATGGTCCCTCCAATCTCAGGATTACTACAACCAACAACCATCAGATTACTCTGAACAGACAAACAAAGCCACTTCCAGTCGCACATATCGGACAGTTATATTCTTCTTCTTTCCGCGAAACGTTATTGAAAGATTGTCTTAGAGGCACGCCATGGGCGACTGGCTGATTGGTTTAGGCACCAACCGACGTCCAACAAGTTCGCCCAAGAGCACTCACTGAGAACCTTTCTCTTCAACATCAGAAGGAAATACAGAGATCATAATGAACAAAGGCAGGTGCTACGATATCGCTCTCTGGCAAGTCCACGATACTGAGAATGACTGCGATTTGATCATCCGATCTAATTCTGGCCATGTATTCTACTGTCATATCTGTCCCCACCAATTCGCTCAATCTCTTGGCGTCACAGTACAGTACTTTAAATGTCTACAACTCTTGAGATCCGGAGAAGTCCAAATTAACGATTTCTACGAGGAGGATGCTTTTGAGTGGCTTTTAGGTTGCTTTGAGCCTTTGATTACCAACCTGGCATCATCGACAGACCTTGATATCGTTGCAGAGCCGACGTTAGCTGATTACTTCTTTCCCAAAAAAGGCTTTGTCTGTAGCTTAATAGCCTTGGATGGCAAGCTGATGCCCCAAGAACTGGAGACAAAGAATCACGGGTGGAGTAGCCCGATCGTCAGATTCGATGCCAATTTCCTGCGGGATCTCAATACTTGGACGGAATGCTACAGACCATCACAAGTTGAGATTTGCTACGCTGGACCAGACGAGAGTTTGATCAAGCCACCCAAGTGCACCACTGTCACTGGTAAAGATGGGGAGACTATCACCTGCTTCTTCAAGAAGTTTGGACTCTCCTTTGGTTCACGACACGCGAGACAAGAACTTAGCACATTGAAGAATATCGTCGAAGCCCAAATACCCCAACCTCCCGAAGCATACATCTGTCGTCTCATAGGCGTGGTTCGGCAAGGCGATGGATTGCTTGGATTCCTAACAAGGGTGTATTGTCTAAGGCCAGAGCTGCAGCGAGTCCTCTGGAGTTGAGAAATCGATGGGCTTCTCAGATCCAGAGATCAGTAGATCTTCTACACAATAAGGGCACCGTATGGGGTGACGCCAAAGCAGAGAATGTTCTCATAGATCAGAATGATGATGCTTGGCTTGTTGACTTTGGAGGGGGTTACACTGTGGGCTGGGTAGATGAGGATAAGACAGGGAAACTGGAAGGCGACTGCCAGGGTCTTGTGAAGATTATTAATATGTTGGTATAGCCCGAGTATCTAGGGGAGGGCCTTCCTATGTAGTTGGGGAACTGGTATATTGATCAAGGCCTTCTAAAGATCAAGTGACTTCAACGAAGGTCTTGTTCTCAACGACTAACAATAAAAGCCATGATGAAGCGATTGCAATGGGAACGCAAGATTAACAAATAGTCTTTCTACCTCCGTTTCCTCCATAGGGTATTGCATCCCCTATTCTTCGTATAATCAGTATGCATATATTGAAGCCCTGAAGAGTAATGGTTTCGGCACAAAGGATCAGAGCAAGTCTCTGGTACACCACAAGGTCCAGCATACGAATAGGACTCTGGGCTGATTGCATGGAACCAACTATGTCCCGGAATGTTGTGTCCTGGAGCATTTGGTGTCAACATTCGTCGACAGTCAAACTTATGGCACTCGTAGTCTTTCGAGCAATCGTCAAAATAAATTGATACTCTCTGGCCTCCAATTAGCTCATCGTGTACCCTTGCGCTTTTCCCGTCAAGTTCCCGTGCCATTTTCACTACACCAATTGGCAAGATATGGTTTCGATGCAGAGATCCGCCCTTTTCACCATTTCGTTGGAAGTAGGTTTCATCGAGATCTTCCATTGAGTGAAATCCGGATGATAGGAAAAGAAAGCAGTTGGCTTTGCTCCCTTCAGCCCTAGCGCGAGGTAGCTGTAGATCGTTCTTGTCATGAAAATGGTGGCTAGAATGGTTGCAGACTCTCTTAAACTCCGTTCTAGCATCCTTGGCGTAGGAAAGAGGTGCTTGCATCTCGTCCCAAGAGAATACTTCATGTGAGCAGATGCGAATGTAGCCTGTCCTGGCGATGCATACCCGGTCTGATTCCTTTCGAGCCTCTTCACTAGAGAAGCAGAGCGTTGGATGCTCAACTCTGCAAGCACAACAATACATCCAGTCTTGGCTACTCCGCGCTGCAAACTTGCAGCTCAGGGAGGCACCTTTTCGTCGCCGAGACTTAAACTCGGGTCGACACGTCTTGCAAATCCGTTCCATCCTAATGAGGCGTCCTAGTCCCCTGACGTCTGTGGCTGAGTTTCTCACCTTCTCTTCGAAGCAGTGGAGCGAATAAGTCGATGGTTTGATGCGCGTCCATTTCCCGCGGAAGCCCCCTGAACACCATTCGCAGCAGCCGCTATCGGAGAAGACATGGGATAGAAACATATTGTCTCTCATGAGGCCTCTAAACTTTTGGGAAACCTGGCGGAGAACGAAAAAGGCAAATAGTGAGCGCTTATCGGATCCCTCATACAGGATTCTGATGATGATCAAGAGGATCTCATCGGGGAGGTTCAAAAGGCGACTGTCTTGTTCGGCAACCTCTCGCGTTTTCCCCAATTCGTTTGATACACTTCGATCTATAACTTCTTGAACAATGCTCATGTTCCAATCCTCGTCGTTTAGCTCGTCGGCAATATCATGGATATCCAATTCTGGGACCGTATCCGTAGTGCTTGTGCAGATCTGCACGATCCCATGGGTGCCTTGGACCGTCGTCTCAAGGGGCACTTCGATGGCAGGGCTTACTTGAGACAAAATTAGAGCTAAATCATTCAAGAAGCTGATCAAACATACTTGAAGAATCGGGGTATTGACGCGTCTGTCGGCAGAACAATTGGGACAGCCACTGCATCAACATTTTGACGTATTTTACCCAGTGGCTTTGAAAGTTCGTTATGTGGGGTAGAGGATTGTCAGGACAGAGGGGAGAGAGCAAAGAGATGACTCTTTTATACTCGCCAAGCCGACCCTGAATGTTATTTGAGTTGAAAGTCCCCACAGCTGATGAGACCTGTGGCTGTGAGCTTATTCCGGCAGAGAGAACCTAGCTGATGGCTCACATCACGCGCCTCACACACGACCCTGAATGAAGTTTTGTGGCGAAAGGTTAAACTTCTATAGCTTTTGGTTTATTGGAATCTCTGTTACGCACAAGGTTTGGCGTTCGGACAATTGGTATCTGGTGGCGAACCAGATGTGTGGTGAAGAGCTTAATCCGCACATGAAAACTTAGTTATTGTCTCTTCTACATTTAACTGCATTTGCACCGTGCTTGAGACTCCTAATACGCCATTGTCATAGCTACTTAGTCTGTCTCAACGTGGTGCCAACACAACCGCCAAGATGAGATCTACTACTATCGGCCTCATCTTCGACATTTTTCTCTTCACGTTTCACGGAGCGATTGATGTCAGCTCCAGCGCCCAAAGCCTCACCATGTCCTCGACAACCCTCCGATAGTGATGATCGCAAGTATGAGGGCCGCGCGATTGAATGGTGGTTCAACAAAGCTTGCGATGTTGTCGAGGGTCCTGGCTATTTTCTCCCAAGCGGCCAATACCTGGGCGAGCTGTCTCTCCACACGCTGGACAGCGTCCAAGAATTCATCCGACAACTCTTCGTGCTGGGGAGCCTCAGAGCCAGAGCTCATGGTTCATTCTCTTCATTGCCAGGTTCCATATCGACCGTCCAGCTGTTGACATCGCCAAAGGACGAGCTTAGGGTTAGGGGCTCCAGGCTTTTCAAGACGCGAATGGCAATTGGAGCAAGAAAAGCTCAGACCCTAAATTTATTCGATTTAGATGATGTTTGATAAATCAGCCTAAAGTTGCCTAAACCTCTTCAAATCTTAGGCCTAAGACCCTAAGGCTCGTCTAAGTTATGATGGTCATAAAGGCTATCCTGCCACATACCGCTACTGCAAATAACACATCTGGCTCACCAAACCAGTCTTAGAGCTATTGGTGCTCGGCTTCGCTCAGGGCAATCTCAGACCGCTTGGCCATGAAGTTGAAACAGTTCTTGATGCGTGGCTTGAAGATCGTAATGATGGTGAAAATGGCGAGTAGGATGCCCGAGCCAGGAAATGGTGGTTTGACAGATGTGGCATACTGAAGATCCCAGACATCTTGTCCCAAACTGCCAGGATTTCGATAAGCAGTTGCTTAACGCGCTGGAAGACCTGGAGTAACTCCGTCATTATAGCTTCTATGTTGCCATGTTCATCGGTGTCGGAGTGAATGCTGTGCATCCAGGGAGAGAGAGTCATAGAGCTGAGAGCAGGACATGTGAATAGAGTTGCATAATGTTCGCTGTAGCTTGAAGGGGGAGTTGTTGTCGAAAGCGCAGTGTGACTGAGATCTTGGGCAACAGAGCGGGTATCAATCGCTCCGAAACTGGCGAAGAGGGCAAGGATACCAGCCAAGATGGGGCTAATGGTAGACAATGAGCGACGTTAGCAACCGCGAAGAGGGGAGAATGGGAAACACACTCGCGTCTCGGGTTCTCTAAGCGGACTTTCTAATCAGCATCATTCTCCCAGTAGCCTCATTACTGCTGTACGGTTTATGTCTAAGTTGTGAGCTAGATCTGTTGTTTGCAGTTGAGACTTGTGGCTAAGAGCTTATTCCAGCAGACAGAACTTGGTTGATGATTTTATCAGAGGTCTATTTATGCAGGGTTGTCATGTTACTTGAGGTCATCATGAGCTTCTTCATTAATATTGTATGATCTTGTGTCTAGGCTAATGCATTCCTAATCCGGGCTTCATGAGTATCTTTTGATCTTCTCCTGAGCGTTTCAAATGTCATAAATACTCCCTCTCATCGCTTAAACACAAGTGAGATCAGCAGTCTCCTGGTCGAAAGTGCATCGATCGGTATGAGTAAAGGAGAGCTGCATCAGTCAGTCAAAGGGCCCATGCTTCAGAGATAAACGAATTGTGACTTACGTTGATGAGGCCACCATCGCCCTCGGTAAAGAACTGGTTAGGTGCAGCAATGTACATGCACTCGTAATCAGTGTTGAGGATTCCAAGTCTGAACTCGACAGACGACTGTCCGTCAATGTTGGCGGGATCAGCGACCGAGAACGCTTTGTTATAGCAGGCAGCGGCCTGGAAGCGCTCGGGGTCGGGGTTGTTTGCCATCATGGCCTCGGTGGTTTGAACGGTGAAAGCTTCGCGGCCGGCGTCGAAGTTGGAAATGTCACCGATGAAAGCGGCTGCAGCGCTGACAGCTTCGCTGACGATGGCAGAGACGGCCGCGGTACCAGCCGCGGTCAGGATAGCAATCGTGACGGGCTCACGCTTGCTAAGAACGTGACCAGTGCTCTTGGCGGTGTCTCTGGTCTGGAGAGTAGTGGTATGGAGGCCGTTCTCAGCTGGGATGACTGCGCCGTTGACAATGGCAGAGCATCCAGCGACGGCGGCGACGACTTTAGTGAAAGAAGGCATTTTTAAAGCTGTAAATGGAGGGTAAGTCACGGACTTGGTGTAAATTGGAAAGTTGGAGTAAAGAGCTTGGAAGAAAGAGATGAAGTTGTAATGGATGAAACTGCGCAGCAGATTGTGATGAAGCGAACCGAGTTGATGAGTTGAGTTGATTGAAGAAAGGTAACTCGGGAAACTTGGATACTTTATAGTCTTTTTCTTTCTTCTCGTCTCTGTATTCTTAGATGCTATCCCCATTTCCTCGCCTCGTCTCATGCTGTACAGGTATCGGCATGACCGAGCTATGAGACAGGTGACTAATAACTCCACCTTCATGAACCGTGTGTTTGATAAGCTTAAACTTTATTTCATCGATCCTTACAAACTAGATGTCATCTTTCAATCAAGCGATTTACTATAAAGCACGTCTCATCTGTTTGACTCCAACCCCGCAGGCATCACGGGGACAATAAGGCTGTCAAGTCTCAAACGTGCTATAAACAGGGTATCCGAGTCATGAACCTCCCGGGTAAATAATGGACCATGGGAATTGTCGGCAAAGCCCCGTGTTAGTCAAGCTGAGCCAATCATATGGCATTAACCAGAGGTATGCCCCGTTATTCCTTCGGCATCAAATGCTCCCATGTTAACGTCTGACGTATTTCCAGGGTCCTCAAGACCAGGGTAAGCCGAAACCAAGTTCAAACACCCTGGAAAATGTCAGTCAGTTCATCCCAACTAGGCAGCGTAACATTTCCAACATGTCCAGAATAGTTTCCATACCTCACTACTCTCAAAAAAGCGAACAGTTCGTATATCTCACGCACTGGCCACGTCGAGGTCTAGACCTACTGCCAAGCTCGGGGAGACCAAGTTCCGAAAGCAGCTGAACAAATCCAGGGTAATAGTGCAGCCCCTCTCTGTTATGTCTTTCTATTATCCGGTATGGCTGGTCAATGCAAGTGGTCTAAGAATAAACGGTCCGGTGGACGTGAATAGCTTCAGGCGATCTGCTTTTAGAAGAGTCAGTTTTATGTTCGAAGGTATTACGTAAATATCAGCAGAGGGTCGTTGTTAGAGATTTCTCCTAGCTGTAGGATCTTTTTTAAAATGCAGCGCCTTCAGTAAGTAGTATTAATACATCATAGAAAATAGGTACGTGAATATCCGCGGATATCTCAATTTGCAACATGATAAGACACAGTTGCTTCAAGCAGCCGAGTTCTTCAAGCACAATACCCTATAGCTACCCAAAGAAAAATTGTTACGCCCCAAGTTAACCTGTACCTATGACCTGAATAATTCCTGTTATTGACTGTATCAGCCCGAAGATGATCGCCAGGAACACAGCCGTTATCAAGGCCCATCTGGCCCACCACAGAGACTCTTCTCTGTCATCGTACCACAGTCGCTTGAAGCTCCAATCGGTCGGATTCTTGGCGATCTCCAGTATGTATGCCAGTCTCTGGTGCCAGACTGGATAATCCTGGAACAGTCGAGTAACCTCCTTCACTTCCCACGAGTCTTTATTTATGAGACGAGTCAGGCAACTTTCAGGATCTTCCTGGCTTAGGAACCGTTTGTTGTAATCTTGAAGGGTAACAGGACCTCCGTTCTTCGTTGGGAAGAATAGCAGTATAGAGCACATTGTTTCGGTTATGAAATTCCGGCTGAAGAGCTCTAACGTCCTGTTCGTTCGTCAGCACTATTCTCACTCAACGGCTGAGCGTGGGAAGTGAACATACATGGCTTCAGATTGCTCTAAATATTTGAGGGCTTCAATGTGGCGGAATAGAAGTACCATTTTTCCCTGAATTGTGAGATGCTCAGTAATGTAATCGGTCCAGCCGATTTCCAGGCCAGCTTTCTTCTCGAGGTCAACGGCATTGAACCATAGGGGGTAGCGATCGGCCATGTTGAAATCGCTCAACAGGCGACCGTTCTGAAAGTTCTTCAAAACGTCAAAAAGGCTTTGATTCCGTAGGAACGGGAGTTGATTCGGCGGAACATATACACGGCTGTCGCAGAATTTGACCCTGATCATGAGGAACAATCTGATCATTATGGTGATGATTCTGTCAATCTCATCATCGGGAATCGAGACAGGTAACACAACTCGAACCTTTGCCCAGAGATTGGTACGACTCGCGTTGGCGTTGCTGTAGATGATGTCTCGAATAACTATGAAATGGTAGAAAGTAAGGTTTGTGTTCACTGGCATACGCTGTTCTCGTCGAAGGAACTCGAAATAGCCAAATGTGTCTCCAGGCTCGAGTTTCTTTTCCGAGTACCATATTCGCTCAATAATTCCTGTTCTTTCATTCTCGTTCAAAGACTTGGAGGTGTCACAAAAGCGAATTCCTTGCCAGTGTGAACTTTCCATCACAATCGCCAGTGGAAGGAGATGTCAGGTAAAATTGTAGGCCGCTTGAAGCTCAGAAAAATCTCAGAAATCCCAGTGTGGATTCCAGAGACTACTGACGGCCGCTGCCTGGGGCTGAAGGATCTAACTGTAAGAAGCAGGTGTATTGGTGTTGTACCACCCACCTTTTAGGGCAATGTAAAAATGAGGCCTGACACCCCCGCATCTCCGCCGGTCTGAGTGAGGAGACGCTGGATATGAGGTATTCAAGTCTCAGTTGCCTTGAGTTTCCTTGATGAAATAAGAGGTAGCTTGCCTCTTCAAGAGGGTATAAAGTCCGCCGCATTGTTCCCATCGCTGTCGAAGTAGGCCTATTGCCACAAGATTCGAAACCAATTCTGCAACACCCCGCAACTACTGCACCATCATGAGCACTTTCGAGGCGCTGATGGAACCAGCCATATGGCGTCACTCCGTGCTCTCTCTGCTGTCCGCCAACACGCTTTATAATTATAGAGAGCGTGAGACACCTAAGAGGTTCAATCCTGATCCGAGACTTACAGCCTTCCACATATACACAAATGACAAGCCACCGAGACCACGTATCCAGCCTCTACATAACGGCAATATAAAAGATGGCCACTCTTGGGCCTTCAAGTTTGATGATTCATGGAGGTCTGTAATACATTCAGGGGACAGTGATATAAGAGGATTGCGATTAAGTTATGAGGGTGGCGCATGTTTTACATGGGACGATAACAAAGCCATATTTTGCGATTTATTGGTGAACAAGTTCACAAAGGCTATTTTGAATCCCAACTCCCATCCCACAGGAGTCGCGCCATTATGGGTCTTGCGTAGTTTCTTCATAGGGCCTGATACCAGTCGTTGTCCTCCTTACATCACAGTCATGTGCTCGAAGGAGAGCCTTTCTAGACATCTCGTGGACTGCATCCGCCAAAGACTTCAGAGCTCACAGATGGAACACCCCAACGACTGGGGAGTAACTCGGCTACCGAATGTCCACGTGTCCGAGTTTGGATCCGTAACTGGAAGCCCAAGCAGAAGCTCCGAGGAGCCTCCTCAACATGAAGAGAAAGACAACAGTGCACGGGAAATCAAAATACACATCACTGAGACGGGTCTCCCATCCACCATCCCTAACGATACAACTCGCCAATTCTGGGACAAACAACAACATAGGTCCGGTATAAGATTGAGGATTTCTGAGGACTCAATAGTATACAAACTGGCAACTATCGGCGGTCTTGTTCAAGTTGGAGAAGACACCTATGGACTGACAGTAGCCCACGTATTTTCTTCAGAATACAGTGCGCCAAGGTCTGATGTTGAAGAACAACAACAAATTCCCGAAACGGCCCCCAATCAAGACTCCGAAGCAAGGATGGGTGATAACAGTACGCTGAATGGCCGGTGGCGTAACCCATTCAGTCAGAGCATGGTCTTCGACTGGGCGTTGGTAGAGATGCCGTCCATTGAAACTTATAGCCCAGGTCTTGAGGAGTGGGAGGATGTCAATCTTGTGGAAACCACTAGTGGTGACTTCCGTCCCGTTCTAGTGGTCCCAGAGATGCCAATTACCGGCACACCGGTCGTACTAGCCACCCCTGGGACTGCCCTCTGTCTTCGGGGTGTTATTACCGGCGAAGACGCCTTCATAAATATGCCAGGCTCACCCAACCCTTACATCACCTGGGTATTGCGGATGGAGCAGCCGTGGCTGATTAGATCAGGGGATAGTGGATCCTGGGCATTCGATATAGGCACCGGCGACCTTCTAGGAATTCTTGTGGCGGGATGTCCTGAGCTACACGAGGCGTATATCATCCCGGCTTACCAAGTATTTGGTGATATCAGCCGTACACTGGGAAAGGATGTCAGACTTCCAAATTGCTATACTATAACAGAGCAGGATCATCAAGAACTGACTCGTTTGGAAAGGACCATTATCGGTTTCAAGGCTGAGCTGGAGCTGAAAAGACATGGAGCTAGTGCCTTTGATTTGGAGAGAATTGAAAAGGGCGCCGCACCCTGTTTCACTCCGGCTCGGGCACTCTTTTCCAACAGCCAACAGGGCTCTCTGGATAGTAAAAGCACATCCTCACGCTGGATTTCTCCATGTGATCTGCAAAGAGAACATATCAGGGCGATGAAAGCATATGCAAATAATTACAAATATAGGCCGGAGTTGTTGGAGTCTTTGAGTCCCGACGACAGACAACTGTGCGAAGACATACTTGGCCGATCACCACTGGAATGCTTCAACTTCGTTCTCAACAATCTTCGAGAGATCTTGCTGAAAGATCGCAATATCGGGGTCCCAGCACTTTTATTGGTGCACTTAATACTCGGAGAACGGAGCCTCATGCTTTCCGAAAGCTATCGCTCAACAGCTGGTTATTATATCTCCAAAGTCATTGAGGACGAAGTGAGATCTTGTGCAAACCATTCTATGGTCACTCATCCTAGGGACAGAGTATCTATCAGTGCAGGACTCCTAAAAGTTCGAAATGAGCTTGAGGACTTGATCTCTTCGAATAAGACACATTGCGAGGCCAGTATTCCTAAAATGGCACCATTTGGTGAGTTACAAAGCCCACTGCGCTTCCGTTCTTGTAATGCTGGTTTCCGTTTGGAGCTAACTCACAACTGTCTCTGATCTAGTAAACATTGACAGACCTAAGTTGCTCGTTGCCGTGTTACTAAATACGTCCGAAAGCCGGATATTAGTTCTCAACTCGAGGATAGAAGGTAGCAGATCTAATATGCACAGAAGATTTCTGTGGCTCCCATGCGTCCAGGTAAATGAGGCCCTGGGGGAGAAACAGAGCTTGAAATCACTTTTGAGTACAGAAATGGGACTTCATACTGTTTCTTGTCATCTGGCTGCGAAGATAGACCTTGAGGAGAGGCCTTCGAGGTTCTGGCTGAAGGGTCACAACGTGTATGTTGATGTGGTTGCCTATCAAATGGTTTTGTCTGAAGATGAGTGGCAATCAGCGCAGGGCTCTCTATACGGAATGAGTGTCAAGAGGGTCAGGTTTCAGTATGCTAAAGACCATGTCTACGGATTACAGGACCAACAGGTACTGTATGCCATGGCGAGGTTAGGGTTTTAAAGAAGGCTTTAGCTTATAGAGTGCATTAAAAGAAGATTTATAATTATATATAAGTAAAGTTTTAATAAATTTCATTATTACTTAAAACTTTATTTTTAATTAATTAAAAGGACTTAAACTTAGATATATAATAAAATAAACCTAAACAAAGAGTCACAAGCATGCCGGATAAACATTATAGCCTGATGCCAGCAATCTGGACCAGACCCCCTCAGGACCCTTCAATAGACCAATCAATAACCATGAGAGGAGATTGACCAACAGCATAAGCTGACGTCACTTAATACGCACGTGAGTGTTGGTTCAGAATGTGGATACTTGCTGCCTACCATTGTACAAACATCCTTGATAAACAATTTCTGTTCACCACCAGCCACAAGCCCCAAACCTCACTCTGGCAATATATCAAAAAGCCGTAACCAACAGCAGCATGACTTTAATTGAGAGTATTCTTGCTGTGATGCCAAATGTCCCATTCCTTCCGCCGGGACCTCCAGTTGACGCGAGCAAGGATGCAAAGAAACCGAAGAGTCCTCTAAACCGCTTCTTGGGAGCACCATCGAAAGAAAAGACGGTAGCCAACCCAGAGGTGCCGGAGAACCGCCATCAATCGTGATGGACTCCTCCGAGACTGCAACATGACTGGCATCACTCGCAATTCGGAAGTTATTGGCTGCTAGGTGCGTGACTTTCTCAGTTTCTCACATGCTTCCAATGATTAAAACCGCTAACGGGTTTCAAAGCACGAATCTCTTGTTGTATAGAGGGCGTTTCGAAACAACGAAGCGATAGACGGTCAAGGATGGTCGGCGCTTAGAGCCCGAGCTGCATATAAGCACAAGAGGGTCCGAAAGTATAGCCTGGTGGAGATACAGATAGAGCAATGAGTAATAATTGAGAAAGTGGCAAGTCATGTGTTCGCTGAGTTGGGTGCTTCTCTGGGTCTGGGGCTTGTTCACTATGGCCGCAACCTTCTACAGCGAGGTGTTTGTTGGTCCAGCTTGAAACGGGCCACGGCCAACACTTCCTTGCACAGCTGATAGCAAATGCAGCCACGAACCTTGTTTTCCACTGTTCGTTTCATCGGTAAATCGATCTCCAATGATAGGCAAATCGATAAACTCTCCAGGCGGCATAGCCCCCTGCCAATCAGGCATAGTCTCTCAGGCGACGCGTAATGATACATCGAGCCTTTAGATGTGACTAGACTGCTCCTGTTCAGTTTACCGGTGACCGGCCGGCTCAGGACAAAGAGAGCAAGTTAGTTTTCATTCCCAAAGACTCTGAAGCTAACCATAATACTAGATGACTTGGTATATACTCATGGGTGAGACTCTGAGGCGTGACCGTAATGAACGATACCTATTTCATAGGCACATTCCAAAGTCCTACTCCGAGAATGACCTCCACTTTCAAGATGAGCTGTGGATGTCGGAAACACAAGTACAGCCTCAACATCCTACCAAGGATGTCAAGTTGAACTGCATCCTAAAGAGTGATTTGACTACAGTGGACAGGTCGCGGTTCAAGGAGGTTGTTGGATTTGATGGGCGGGAATGGTTGAGGGTCGAATACGATCTTGTCATCTCGACTAGAGACGCTGCGATGAAGTTCTGGTTGGAGTTTAATGGCAAAGAGGCAGGTTCTATTCTGGCAACGTACGATTAGTTGGTTCACATTCCTGTTTGACAATTTGTTCATAAAGGTTCATTTCTATTGTTTACAAGTTTATGCTTTCCCAGAATTTGTCTTTTATTAGCGGTATTTAACAGACTGGCCAGCTCATCAAAGTAAACTTCACTTGATAACCAACTTTAGTCGAACAGAGGTCCAGCCCAGTTCTCATTATGCTCCATATGAACATTCAAATGGCCCCATCCTTCTTCCCCTTGAAGCATCTTCTTGATATCGGCGACGACCTCATGCCATCGCGTCTCGTCCGAATCATCGATTACCGAGATGTATATGGTAGCAGGGTTGGCTTTGAGATCTGGAAGCACCCCGTACCGGTGAAGAGCAAGGGTGTTCATCTTTCCTTTGGTCGCTGGAAAGGACATAAGGCACTTACGGACCTTGGGACGGACAGAGTCCCAGGTTGCACTAAGATGCGGGTCGTTGACACAAGTTCAGTAAATCGTCTTAGTAAGTTCTGGGGCGATGATTTCGACGTTGATATCACCGTCCCGGATCGAATATGCCCTTGTCAGCTCAGTCAAGCTCGTGACCATTTCTTTCAAGGCTGCTTCCCAGATATGTGTCTTTTCGGAAGGCCAGGGTGAAACGACGAGGACTATCGGTATCTGACCTCGCATCTGGAAGTGGGTTATGCCGTCCATGCCTTTCAGGAGTCTATGCTTTCCGGCGATTGTGTTTGCCCGTTGAAGAATGGCTTGGGACATCTTTTTCATAGAGTCAGGTAGGCTAGCAACTGACATCTCTAGAGGCTGTGCACGAAGGACTGGCCAAGCGACTCGCTTCCAACCGGTAATGACACGCGGTTCAGTGCTGGTTGAGGTAGAATTTGGGGACGCCATGGTAGAATCCTTAGAATAAATTTGATAATTGATCTTGTGAGAGATGATCGATCAGAAGTGACGACTTTTGAGAGAGAAGGTGAAAAGCGCAGCAATGGTTGCGATGAAGGTATTTTTATACTTATTCTTCAGCAACAAGGTTTAGCAAATTTGTGATTCAGGAGTCTGAACTTTAAGTAGAGCTCCTTACACGGCGTTGAGTCACATCTAAGAGAAGTCAGCAAGTCTGTGGCGTAGGGTTTGGTGGAAGGAGGGGCTGAAAGAAGTCTAAAGCCGTGAAAGAAAGTCAAAGAGCACTTTTCACGGTCGAGAGGGAATTTCTCAGTCCATAGGTAGCAGAACTTCTGGCCTTGGACAATACCAGAACTCGCACGTCCACAGCATGGACAGTCATGTATATTAGGTTTTAGTCCTTTTAATCCTCACTAAGATTACTTATTCTTCATGAGTTTATCACAGCAAAAAGCACTCCATTAACCTTCACGGTGTCGCCACCGTGGCACTTCTGTGACTCAAGCCTCATGATTTGGAAGCGCCACTCGGTGCGACTGATGAGCCCATTCCTACTCTCTACCTCTTGTACGGTGAGCATCATCCTGTAGTGCATTCAGTTTAGTCACTTTGACGATCATCGCTGGACCGTGGGGTTGAAGATCTCCCCGCACAGACCATAATAAGGAACGGAGAATCGTGGGGTATCTAGGGGAGGAAAGAAAACTTAGGACCTTGACCCTAAGTGATAAGATTATTTAGGTAAACCTACTCTAAATTTAGGGGACTCTTTCCTAAGTTTATTTTAACACCCTATATTAAAGTTTAATATTTTCTCGCCCCCCTGAGGGGTATCTTCCGTTCAGGTCTTTTTACTCGCATTCCTGCCTTAGCCGGTTTCATATCAATGTATCCGCGTATAAACCTTCCGAAGCAAAGCTTAATTGAGCATCTGGATAACAGATGCTACCTCCGCATATCCAATTTAGGACATCCACATGGATACCATCTATGCCGAGTTGCCGAGCTCGGCATATGAAGAGGTTGCTTCGGATTCTAATTTTCCACCTCTCTCCAGCTTCATGTAGAGTAGTAAAGCTGCGACCCTTGCCTCGTTGAAGGAACTTTAAGAAGACGGCGATGCTCTCAATAATTAAATGGTTGATTTCTACGTCAACTTCTCTTTAGTCCTCTACAATATGCGCTTCTCAACCATTCTTGGCTCGGTATTGCTTGCAGCGCCTATCCAGGCAGCCAAGCTGTTGATCTGTTCTGATAGTACCACGGCAAACTATGCCACTGGCAATGCCCTACAGGGGTAAGTAGTTCCCTCCCAGTATAGGAACAGCCCTTACTCATTCATCATGGTAGATGGGGCTATTATATCCAAGACTATACAACACTCACTGTCTCGAACCTTGCCAAGAACGGCCGCTCGACTAGATCTTTCATCAACGAAGGCCTATGGAGCGACCTCTTGTCAAAGACATCTTCAGGAGATTTCGTGGTCATCGAGATGGGCCACAACGACGACGGCGATCCTACTACATCTGACCGCGCTACCCTTCCAGGAACCGGCGAAGAAACCGTCACTGTTACCACAGCCACAGGTAGTAAAGAAGTCGTCCACACCTTCGGCTGGTATCTACGCAAGATGATTGCCGACGTCAAGGCCAAGGGTGCAACACCTGTTATCTCCGGTATGGTTAATCGCAACTACTGGACCGGCAACACGCTGCAATCAAAATGGCCTTTTGCAGACTACGCTGAAGCTGTGGCTAAGGCAGCTGGAGTTGAGTATATCAACCATACAAAATATTCCGTGGCGTTATTTCAGGCTATGGGTCCTACCAAGGCCAAGACTTATTATCCTAATGATAATACACATACTAACTGGGATGGTACGAAGTTGAACACACAGACCTTTGTTCACGCTGTTAAGTACAAGTGTGGCGGGACTAGTGTGCTTAAGAAGTATCTGAATGCTGCTGGGAACGCTGTCAAGAGCCCGGCTCAGCAGTCATGCTAGTTTCGTTTGACGGGGGCAACAGGGATGTCACAGATGGATTGTATTGAGTCTTGCCCTATGTATATGGCTCGTATGATGTCAGGCAGCACGTATGCTCGAAAGCAACGGGGGGAGCATCAATGTCAACGTATCGTTTACAACTGGTTCCTCACCCTTCTCTTCTTTACTCCACCAGAGGCTTCTGTTTCTGCAGCATCTTCAAGCTCTCCTGACTTTTCCATCCTCCTGTTGTCATTCCAGTAGTAAAATATCATCCCAGCGACAAGCACAATACTAGCCGCATAGAGACACAATATCTTCAGAAACCCGTTGCGATAGTATGGCGCATCACTCTTCACAAAGATATTCTGCCCGGCTAACCCTCCCACGTTTGACCCTGCAACAGCCAGCGCAAGTCCGATGCAACGGACCTGCGGATCTTCAGTGTTGGTACTAAACCACGCATCATTGAGACTCTGAGATACTGCCACTCCGGAGCCCAGAAGTGTGAGTATAGCGTACTTCATCCAAACGTCGGAGCTCCCAACAACAGCGAATTGAACTCCCGAGAAGACCAGTGAGTACACGCCGCAAAGTAAGCATAAAGGTCCTCGAGATAAGGTCTTATCGCTAACCCACGATACGAGAATGGCCAAGATACACACCCCAAAGTTACTAACGGCTGCGAGAAAGCTCGCAGTAGATGCCCCGAAACCAAGGTTCTTGATGATGGTGGGCGTGTAGAAAACTAACCCTCCTTTGGGCGTGATGGAAATAGCATTGATGCCAAAATGACCCCACATCGGAAAGCTGGTCAAGAGGATGCGCAGTGCGGTCTTGGGACTGATTCCAGAAAGCTTTACCTCCTTGCGTGGATCGTCGAGAATGACGCGCTTAGCCAGGATGTCCCTCTCTTCAGCCGTGAAAAGGTCGAACCACTTGACGCCCGCCAATGGAAGCGTGTTGGTCGTCGAACGAGGCATGATCAAGATGAAAACAAAGGCAACGACCAGCGTGAAGAGACCATCGATGATGAAAAGCCACTGCCATTTCTTCAAACCACTCGTCTCCGGAATTCTGAAGATCAACCCCGCAAGAAGTCCACTCACGCCCGCAGAGCAATAATTCCCAACATACACCAGTGTAGCCCTCATCGCCATCTCCTTCCTCGTATAAAACGAAGCAAGAATTGTTAGCGCAGCAGCTAGATATCCAGCTTCCCACATCCCCAGCAGGAATCGCGTAGCGTAGAAACCCGGTTTATTGTGAACAGCTGCTTGCGCCGTTGCGATTGTTCCCCAAGCCAAAATCTGGATGATGAGCCAAAGCGCTGGTCCGATTTTTGATAGGACCATGTTAAAGGGTATTTCGAACACCACGACGGCTGCGAGCATGAGTTGGTTTCCGGTGTTGACGTTGTCGTTGTTTATGCCGAGATCGTCAGTGAAGGATGTTGTCATTGCGTAGCCCACGTTTCCTCTGTCCAGTTGGAGGGCGAAGAGGCCGAGCATGAGCATTGGTAGGATGGTGAAATCGATCCTGATAAAGATATTAGTGTCATGTCATGATATTAAGGGAAACGACGCACTTTCGTCTCAGCTTGACTTCCGCCTTTTAAGTCCAGTCACAGATTGGTAGTTGGCTTTGTGATTCCTCCACACCAGTTTTCGCAATGGAGGCGTCTGCTTGGGGCGCCATGGCAGCCATGGTAAAAGGCAGGAAGGCAATGAATTGGGGTGTAAGCTACATAGGTTGGGGGAACTTCGTGATTTATAACCCAATGCATTAGGGTCGAATTGCTGAATGCCCCGCTCCACTGACGTGTTGAAGATCCATTAACCTGCCTCGAAATTGAGATGGCTGTTGAAGATCTGCACAATTGTAGTAATAATTGCACTGAATTGGGTTCAGTACGTTATCTGATCGCCGGCTTGCGGCCCGGGCTAACTACTGTAAGCCAGCTGATCCATCTTTGGCATAGTTGCTGTGATCAGCCAACCACCAACTGAGAAGATATTGGAGCATGGCGATCTGGTAGGACCGCGCTGAACATAGATCACTTCAGAGTCGAAGATCAATTTTCGTATAACGTGTCTTTGCCCTGCAGGCAATCTACCCTCAGTTTTCTTGCAGCTTCTTGGGCGCGGCGAACCACGTGACGTTCAGAGCGTCCCCGCTCGTCTCTATCGCTTTCGCAATCTTCACCGTTTACCTAGCCACAGAAGAAATGGCACCTCAGATCCCTACAATCGCGGAAATACGCACATCCACCGAAGTACTCAGCCCTCCTGATGCGTCGGCTACTGTTGTGAAAGTTGGCGAAAGTTTTGCAGTCAATTTCGGCCATAACGTCTCCTCTGAAGAAGCTGAGGCCTTCCAATCCATCTCATCCAACACTGAGGTTCCTGTACCGAAATTCTATGCAACGTTGGTGGAGCCAGATACCGCTATCAACTTCATCGTTATGGAGTATGTCAACGGCAAGAGTCTAGGAGATCTCTGGCCAACCCTTGGAGTTCCCGACAGGCTACAAATTACCAATCAACTTCGTGCTGCTTTACGGGAGTTGTGTAGCCTTGAACCGCCTTCTTATCTGGGCTCTCTCAATCGAAAGCCCTTAAGTGATGGAGTTTTCTGGACCCCGGATCAGAACCCAGCCAAGTTAGGTCCTTTCGAGACCGAGGACGACCTCAATGAAGGGATACTTGAAAGGCTAGCGGAACATGAACCCCGGGCACATCTCACACTGCTACGCACACTCATCACTGCGACGTTGCGAGATCACAAGGTGAAGTTCACACATGGGGATCTGCAACCTAAGAATATCCTTGTCAAAAGCACTGGATTGAATTATCCTCCTTATGAGATCAAAATTATAGACTGGGAGATTTCAGGTTGGTATCCGGAGTACTAGGAATTTTGCAACACTACGATCGCCGGTCGATTTCGGCCGGAATGGCTAGATCTGGTGCAGCGTATCATGCAGGTCTACGTGCCAGAATACCTAATGCTCCAGACAATCCGCAGCCTTCTGTTCTATTAAGCCTCACATTATTAGTCTGGCAGCTCGCTTCGGTAGACAGCAGCATGGTATCACATCAGACCTATATGCTAGTTAACGTATTTATGTATTACCAGGATCATTCCCATACCATCCTGATCTTGTTCTCTTCCTAGATCCCCCAACCTTCGTAAACTGATCGGTCTCGACAATTCTCTTATGCCAGTTCATAACCCAACGCCTGTCAGCGCGATGCGCGTTACGGTCAGCGAGCAGTGGATTGGCCATGTACACACTACACACTAAGTCGGCGGAGGCAATTCTCGTCACACAACTCAGCCGGTTGCTCAATCCTACCCCACATTACCATAACCAATATTATGCAGGCAAGGATGTCAAGGTTCTGACTGGACCACGTATACAATTCGCAAGATTGCATTTTCAACACACCCTGATTATGCAGTCATATCACACAGCCACCACAATGCTCTGGAGCCCGGCGTGAGCAGAATTGAATCAGTCTATTAAGTGAGCGTCGTTTGACATTTCACCAAACTTCGAGACATCTCTTACCGTTACCCATAACTACCATCCTTGAAGTCCGCACCTGTGCACAGTCCTATTTCCAATATGGCCGAAGCTTTCGGCATCGCTGGCAGCGCTTTTGGAACAGTGTCCTTGGGAATCCAACTGTTCACTGAGATATCAAGGTATCTCGATAGTGTTGAGGGCCGGGACGGAGATCTCGAGCGCGCGAAGAATTATGCGCGGGACTTTCAATCATCCTTAGTCGCACTGAGGACATGGGCTTCTAACACGGGTTTTAGCGACACCGACCTTGAAAGAGCGATCAGCCAAGGCCAGGCCAATTGTGCGGGCGCCATCAAGAATTTGTCAGCGACGGTTGCAGAATTGAAAGGCCAGGACCCTATCCCTAACAGTCGCACTTCAAAGGCCAAGGCACTCTATGTTAAACTAAAATATCCATTCAAGAAGCAAAATGTGGAGAACTTGGAGAAGCAATTATTTAATACAATCAGCGTTCTAAAGTTCGCTTTGCTTATTTTGCAAGTGTAAGTGAATACTACTAGTTTAACTTGGTATACATGCTAAGTCTAGCGATCAGAAAGACTAGCACCAGTACTCAAATATCTATTCAAGGTATAGAACAGACGGTGCTCAATATACTAAATCGACTTCCCGAGCCTGCTAGGGATGGAAACGTCGCCGAAACAGCTCCCGAGCCCGCCATATGCTTGCGAGATTCGACGTCTAACACGCCTGTGTCCGGACTTGGGGCAACAAGATACCAAAATGGGACAATGTGGGCGATAAATTCCGTCTGCATCTGCCGAAAGAAATATAAACGGCGCGAACGGCGACAGTGGGGTCCTTTCATCCTCGAAAATGAAATCAGCTTCGCAGACTATCATTCACCTGGATGCCCGCTTTCAACGCATAAACCCCTAAAACAACAAACAAAGGGCACATTGACATTCCCTATCCCTTTTACCAGAGGTCGCTGGAGAAACGCCAGCCAATTTTCGCTATTCTTTAAAGCAGGTACCGGTGGCATGGGTTTCGGTCAAAATCTCGCCTGGGTTGAAACAGTCGACAGAGACCAGTCTCCATCGTTCAAGATTTCAGAGCTGGCGTTTATTCATCGAGACAGTCTTAACGATGAAGACTATGAGGTATTCTTACTGTCGTGTTACAGGCGAATCAAGTGGTGTTTTGCCAACAGAAGAGCGTCAATTACCGATGTGGACCAATTTGGTCGATCGATCGTCGATTATGGAACATCAGGGATCATAGTATGTTCCTTATATATTTCCAACCAGACCTCGAATAACTTTTTTCGACTAGTTAATCTGGGGAAAACCCTGTTTTCCTGCCGAAGCTTTACAGTGGTTCTGTATGCTGTCGCCTTTCATTAATCCAACCACATATCAACAATCAACAACAAAGTATGTCTTTATCAGATCAATGAACGCGTGTATTTGGTGGTATGAATATGACAGAAACAAGATTATTAATTAAAAAACCCCTATAGCTCACCACTTCTTGCGCAAATTTGCCAAAATACTGCAACTCCAAATTCCACAATGTGTGGCGAAGCAATCAGCTCTTTTCTGTCTAGGTATGGTGACTCTGCAGGCCAAGATTGCAAGTCTCCATTCCCTTGGGGCGGCGTTCGGGGGCAGTTTGACTTGGTTAAGCGTTTCCCGCAAATATCCAATTGTGAGTAGTTTACCCTGATATTCAGGGGTCCAATATTGATTAACCTTGATAGATCTCGAATTTGGTCAGCTCAGCAGGCTCATCCTCATGGAAGACCAGGGTAGGGTTGAAGACTTTCTGCGAAGGTATCCATCATCTATGAATGAAGTCAATTATCTTGGTCAGACGCCTGTACACATTACGGTTCAGACTCAGAATGCGACCATCTTGAGCGTGCTTGTCAGTCATGCAGATCCAAAGCTGCTAAACACTAAAGATAATGACGGCTTCTACGCAATCGATCATGCTATCGACGCATTATGTCATTCTCTGAAGCCTGGAAAAGAACCAGGATCGACAGTATGTAACGGCTGCGAAGTTCTCAACGTGCTACTACGTTCTGAATCGGCGATCTTTACAAAGTCTGTCCGACTAGCTATGCAGCTACCGCGTTATCACACCATACCCGTCTGCCTAGAGGGCCAAAAGAACATCATCCGGAGTCTAGCGTCCCGAAGGAAGGAACTGAAAACACTAGCACAGCGCGAGCTGACTCCAGCAGAAAGACAAGACTTGAAATTCTGCGAACCCGGTATACTAGATCAGAACGCGGTCCAGACTCAACAGTTCCTGGAGGCAAATAAATGCCATGTCCCGATTCATTTGAAGGTGTACGACAATGATGACAGCCCTAAGGATTCTGAATCAATTTATCTGCTTATCTGCCACGGCGACGTTGCTGAGTCTGCCCTGCAAGATGGCTTCCTTATGCCAATAACCTTATTTGATGACGTCTTTCGCTCGCTAGCGCAATGGCTGGACTCTAATCATTCTCACCGTCGGCGGTGGCAGGACTTCTTGTTCTCATCATACATTTGTTGGTTGGTTGATCATGGGGGAGACCTCCGCTCCACAGTCCAGACTCCTTGGGGCCGTACAACAGCAGCGCACTACTTCATGGCCTATCTCAGCACGAATCAAAACTCTTTTAACATTGGATGTAGAGTCCCTCTATCTCCAAAAGTCTCAAGTACCATTCTTGAGGAGCACAATATCGACGACTGCCGTTGCCAATGCTCCCCAAAAGGATGTACGCCTGTGACCACATTCCTAGCTGCCATAAATTGTCATCAGGAATGGCTTTGTACTGAGGGAGTTTCAGGAATCCTAAACGATGTCCTCGAACACCTTGCATATCTTTGCAATTTACTAGGTCATGTTGGTTACGACCTAACTAAGGAACATTGGATTGCCAGCGCGGCTGTGCGTCAATCGACGTTTCTTATTCTCGACCTTCGGCATACTTGTTGTTTCTTAGGTGATGGCAATGAAACCAACGCCATTTCTCCATTGTCGACAGCAGATCGCCTCGAAATTGAAGAGGAAGACAGCTCGCGACTGGAGCTACTTGAAAAACTCGTCACGGAATTTGAAAGGGAGCGTGGTAACTATGCTGATCTGCTGTCCTTTGCACGAGAATATTGGGCTCCAAGGATGGAGACTGTTTATGAAGAGATCGAGTCATATGTTCTGACGGAGACTCAGCGACAGGAAGCCGAGGAAGCTGGAGTTGTCTGGGAATGTTATGGTCCGCAACTTGCTGAGAACGAAGAGGAGGTAAGTGAGCTGGAGAAGGTTCTGAGGGAGCTCGATGAAATTGCTACAGATCCTGCAAGACCAAGGCTTGTATAGCTGGGAGATTAAACACGCGCTCTAGATTTATGAATTTATCACCCAGTGAGCTTACAGTGTTGATGCGAACTTAGCCTAAGCGCAGGGCCATGTCATGGAGCGGCAGCAAGAGTAAGGCAAGATGCCAAATGACACAAATCCCAGTGACATGAGTCACTGATGGCGAAAAGACAAGGTATTCAAAGGTTTTACTTGATTTATCCTCCGACATCCTAAACTATCCTCAACTCATCCCAATGCTTCCTGATCTTAGGCTTAGAATCTTTTCCTTCTTACTCGCGCCTGATTCCTGACCTCTTCTCTTTCCTCGCCTATCACATTCACGGCTGCTATAATCTCAAGACTTGCCCGCACTCATTCAACATCTAAGAAAACATCTTTGTATATTTTCTGAAGATTCCCACCCTCATCTTAGTGGATCGGCATCCAAGCTGTCTTTATCCAACTTTCCCTTTTCTCCCACTATGTCTATCGTGGGCTTGAAACAACATCTTCTATGGCTCACAACGTTATCAAGTTGTGATACTGCTGTCGTCTGTGCCTGGCACTGCCAGCTAGACTCCTGTTACCGTGCCCATGACACCACCGCCTAATCCTAAATCTTAGGATCACGTGCCCTGATTTTAACAGACTTCCTCCCCTCAGTATCTCAACTCAGAGAAAGCGCCTCTTATCTTGACTCCTCTGTCGCAAAGAGTACAATATCGCCCTGATCATCCACAGCAGCTCGGCCACTTCAGGACTATCCGCAATTCCGATACTCCTACAGCCCGAAACTCGGGGGTATTCCCAAGACTTCTTTTCAAGAAGCGGCTGTTCGGCGATGCGCCCAAGTTCAACAGCCTGAGAAGTGAGTGTGCTCAGCCCTCTGACATCTTCGCACTAACCAAAGTCGCTCCTCTCTAGCCTCGATATCATGCCTCAAGCATCGTTCCCCTGGATGGGTGCGCGCGTCCTCACCGAAGAAAAGAATGCCACCCTCACCAGTGGACAGGGCGATATCCTCGCAAAGACGGTCGGAAGGCTTGACGGTGGCGGCTACTTTTACAGCAACCAACGACCCAAAGGCGAATGGAAATTTACCAAGGTGTTCAATCGCGGAACACTTCTTTGGGACAAGGACAACTTCTGCCCCGGAGATTCTGTTGATCAGTCAATGCATGTGCACTACTGTGAGGAATCCTACGACTACGGATCTCCAAGGCGTTTATTTATCGGCTATTCGGCGTACACGCTAGAGCCTGTGCTTGCGAGCATCAATCTGGAAACCTTTTATATCAGCGAGGACATGACCGATGACCATCAGACTGGTCTACAATTCGAGGCCACCACGGAAGGCTTTCTGAAGGGGGATGAGGTTATTCTCCATCATTCTCTCACAGTCCCTGGAAACATTCGGGCGCTCAAGCTACTTTTGCTCAGGAAGGACTGGGGCAGAGCTTTCCATGGTGGAGATCTGACTGTCGAAGTCGCAAAGGATCTGGCCTACCAGTCCGCTCGGTCGCTCTACCATCGGCGGGCTCCTGTCACCCTGGCTCGTATCCAGCCAGCGACCACTGCCCAGGTACCGAACTTCAAGAAGTCGGACCTCAAACGATGTGTTATTCCTGACCAGCCCTACGGACCTGAGAACCTTCATCTTCAAGACGTACTTCCTCGTGATGGGAGTATCTGGTTTGAGCGACCTCAATGCTTTGTCTACAAAGCGCCTTATATGTCCAATATGCGGTACTCGAAACGTCTATACCACGACCTTTCCATGTTCGCCAAAGCTCATTCGCACGACAAATTCAATGCCACGGCGATGCTATTCGCTGTACAACTCTGGTGCGACATTGAAGAACACTCGAACAACATGCTTGAACAAGATATCGCAGAGCCACTGCCCTCTGTTTCTCTAGCAGTATTTATCGTCTACTTTGAGCACTGGCTGAAGATTCATGAACATCTTCAGTGTCTCAGCTTCATTCATCCGTTCAGGTTGATTCATCTTTTATACTGGAATGACATTCTCCAGCCATTCAATAGCAAGGAAGCCTTCTACATCAAGGAAAATGCGATCGACTCTCTGCGAGTCCAGCAATATGTACGGGACGCTAAGGCAATTGGCTCTAGAATTCCTGTGACAGAACGCGCTGATCTCTATCCCTTTATGATAAGTGGCAGCAGGATGGTATGTCCCCAGGACATACCTTTCAAATTCCGTCTATATGAGGCTCGTCAAGCCATGGTTGGCATGCCTGATCTTCGAGTTCTCGGCTCACCATCATATCTTCCCACGGACAGCGAGATAATCGAAATTGGCCTGCCAGAGCCCATTGCCCGAATCACCTTTCTCCGAGACACCCCAGACGAACTGGCCTACACCAAAGTTTTCGACGCTACCGAGGCCGGTTTCACATTGCTGTTCGGAGACAGCTTGAAGTCTGGCACCATCTGGACACACGAGTTTCAATCGTATACACCACTGACAGATCTTCCGATTGAAGCATACGTCTATCCAAACATGATTGACGCCTGGTCCCGCCTTCTCGATCGGCGCATGGCTTGGCTTGAGGAGCTTGGTGTACTGGGAAAAGTTCGAGTTCGGACTGGCGACGATGGTTTACCTGGTTATCATGGCATGCCATTGGAGAATGATAGCCGCTACCTCGATGAAGCATACGCGGGTAAAATGGTCAAGCTTGCGCTGGAGGATCCCAGGAACAGACCTGACTCCTGAGCCTCGAAGGTCAAAGGTTGGTGGGACGCTTCACAAAACAAAATCCTTCTTTTGAGGATTAATGAACAGCTGAAATGAATGAGAGTTTATGTCGTGATGAAGCCACAGTGGGGGAGATTGGTATTGTACGAAAGGGACTTTCTTGGGCTCGGGGAAATAGCGAGAATATGTACGCGATGGCGGACATGATCGCAGAGAATCGTGGTTGTGCGAATATTGGATGCGACAGGGAATGTATACCATCATGTTGAGTGAGGCTGGCGATCTGGTAACGATGTCGATATGTACTCCAATCTAGCTATCAAAATGGATGAGATGCAATATCACGACTATATCGGAGACAAGATGAACAATGAAAAGTCAATTGACATTCTATCTTGAATCAGAAGATGGAGTTATCTCCACACGAGAAAACACCTCCAATGCCATCTTTGTTATTAGCAAAGAGATCCAGCAGCTCAGTGATAGCCGCCCATAATCCACCCGCATTCATGAACAGCGTAAGCCCAATCATGACAACATTTCCCACTGTAAGCAGTCCCTTCTGCCACGTTGAGAAATAAAGGCCCTTATTAAGATGTAGCCAGAAAATCGCCGCAAAGCCATATGTAAACCACGGAATCGTCGTCGCAGCCGTAATCGACAGAATCGAGTCAAAGATAGGAATGACGTTTGAGATGACAAAGATCAGAACCCAAAATCCGGTTACGGACAAGATCCATGTGAACCAAGACTTGACGCTGTTGTCGGTGACTTGGTGGGTAGCGCGCATTTGGCGCATCGCGGTCACGTAGACGTACTTACAGCCTGTGTGGCCGATTGAGAGGGCTGTTGCTACGACTGCTGGGAGGATGATTCCATAAGCGACTTTGGCGGGGATGGAGGATGCGGCGGAGAGGACGGGGGATGTGGTGAGATCGCCGGCGAGACAGTACAGGGCGACGGCCATGGCGATGTAGAAGAGGGTGCTGACGATCTCGAGGACTGCGAGGGCGAAACGGAAGTCCTTTGCGGGGTCGCGCATTTCGGCCATATATGAGCTGTCCGCTGTTAGTTTGGTTCAATCAACATCGAGGGGAGAACTTACGGGAATGTGAATGTGCCAGCGTACGAAAACACAACTCTTAAGCACGCATTAAGACCATCGCGAAACGTAGGGTTTCCAACAACCTTAATCTCCTTATGCCACCCCTCCGGCGCAGTCGCAGGTCCCGAAACCGCCAAGCTGATCAAAACGATCAAACAAGCCGCCACAACACTAACAGCGTTAGGAATACCCGCCTTTGAAACAAACTTCATCGTTCGTGGTATCGACAAAACATAACACGCGATACACGCCACAAGGATCCATATCACAGTACACGTCGCATGACTACTAAGCGTATTCAGCGCAACGGATAGCGTGACAGTAGCTGAAGCGACGATAAAGACCACTTGGATCATCATGACGAAGCCGGCAAAGGACTCGAACCATGGGCCGCCGACGATGCGGGTCATCTCGACGATGCTGACGACATTGGGGTGCTTGCGGTAGAATTGGAGGAGCTCGTAGGCTGCGTACCATGATAGTGCGCCGATGCCGAGGATGGCGATTATGCCGGGGACGATTCCGAGGGTTTTTATCGTTGAGGGGAGGGATAAGATTCCGAGACCGAGTTGGTTTGTGAAGAGGATAAGGACGGTATCCCATCGTCCAAGAGTCCTGTAATTCTTCCCGCCTTGATCGAAGATATTACCCTTTTCTTCAGTGCCAGCGGGGACAGCTTGGAAATCGGCTTCATCTTTTGGTGGTTCTGTGTCTGAGGCGCTGGACTCGGGAGGGTGAGATGTCAGTGGTGAAGGCTCAGCAGGCTTTTTTGAGAACTTCATGATGCCCATTGTGAAGTGCTACGATCCTGCGTAGCAACTGACTTCCAATTGTGAGGCGATGGAGATTGAAAGGGGAGAGTGAATTGGGAAAGGAGGTAGAAGGTGAAAAGGAAAAGTCAATCGAAGGTTCGTGGGCAGACCTGACGTTATTAGCGGCCCGTAGTTCTCCATATTATCACCCTTTTATGTTATACCCCAGGCCGAACGACCTCCGATCGGAGGTTGTGGCGGGAGCTATGATGTACATTTTTGGTGGTTCGATGGGGAAAACGTGCTCCGAGGCCCAATTGCAGCTGTAGCATTACAAGACTCAAGAGGATAGCTTGTCGCAGAGACCCCGTGGGGGAAGTGAAGCTGTTCAGTTCATTACGTGATAACCTCGTTTGTAACACAGGATAGGAAGGTCCCTTGATGAGAGATTGAAGGTAGGTAATCTCAAAGATGCTGAGGTTTTGTAGATACCTCCCTGCCGATTGGTCCTCGGCCACCCCGGCAGATCCGCCGGATGGAGCACCGGAACAGTGGGGCCTTTGCCTCCGTCAGCTTTTCAATTTTGCAGCTGGTGGAGCATTACGTATGTCCGAGTATCCGGCCCTGACTCCGTACGGCATTTATTTGCTATTATCTCACCACTATACTCTTTTTCCTGCTTCGGTTAGCATAGCCAATTCGCTGGAATACACTTTTAAGGTTATGTCTGCCTTGAGCTCACTTCAAAAACAACATCTGACAGTGGACCCCCATTACTCGTGTTTATGGTATTTCTTTTACGTAGAAAATGGAGACAAAAAAGCTGGGCATTTACATACGCGAAATCCACATTGTTCCGATCGGAGGTTGACGGTGGAGTTACGTGACATGATGAAAACTGGGATGAAAGAAGAAAAAAATGTTCTATGCCTACGGGCCGCGTGAAGATCCTTGCGTAACGCGCATGGTTGGTGGACTCAAGAGGCGGGTTTATGGTTATTCCTGTAATCTAAATGTCCGAGACCGTTGGAGTTTATGCTGGAGAGGGAAGGTAAGCCGCAAAGAACGAGAGCCGTGGTCGGCGCCCTTTTGATGCCAAGCTTGTCAAGTTTATTGTGAGGCGAGATGGTACGACGTTACCTTGGCGATTTCAGTGATTGTTTCCTTCACGCAGTATGGAATAGTGACTAATGGTCATGTAATCCTCAGCTGTCATCATCACACATATGCTCCTCCATTCACGGAGGTTGCGTGTTGGCAAAGCTGGAGTGCGACCGTAATTGGATGCCTGCAGGGTAGTCTGCGACACTGGCGATTGAGTTTGTTGATCTGATAACCTTATTGCTCATCCTTGTGGCGTTTCATACACTGCAACAGAAAAATGTCACCCTGTTGCAGCATTCTTGACGATGCAACGCTCTTGCATACGCGAATGGTTGTCAGTTTCGGGGATCGATCGCAAGGCCAATGGGAGTGAACCTGTCTGAGTTGGTGAAGCTCACTCCCGAGCAGCCGAGATACTTCATCTCTCCTTTATTATGTTGAAACCCTAAGATACACTAAAATGTTTTATTGCTAACACTTCATTACTCGTTTCTTAATAGTGGTATAAGTGAGCAACCAATCATCAACTCGATTGGTCAATTCTCACAATCCGTCTCTGGGGTCTCGGCCTAAGCCACATACCAATTTAGAGCTGCCGTCATCCGAGTACGACCGCACGACTGTCCCACGGCCAATGACATTGAGCCTCTACTGTTCAAGATTACCAGCTGTTACGTGTCGTATCAAACATGGTGCTTACTATGACGAGTCTATAATGAGAAGAGCTTCCCCGCAGTCGATTATAAGAAGTCAGCATGAGGATATTGAAGAATGAGTTACATCAAGAAGAATTGTTGGTCTCGACATCTACTAAGCTTATACCATATACATTCCTTTAGACATTCCTGATAGCTGTAATTGGATCCCTTGGAAGACTGCTGCCACACGTTCTGAGCCGAGTGCGAATCACTTCCCGCCTCTCTCGATTTCTCACGTCAGCGAATCGCACACTATAAAAAGGTTCTGAGCAGCACGCAAAGGCGATAGCACTTATGAGCTCTATCCTAAATAAAAGGAATATTTAGGTAAATTTAGAGTAGCTTTATGATCCCTTGCTTTTTGTTCCTCAGCTTAGGCTCAGACGATTTCTTGTCCGCTCACAGACCGCAGGACTGGGTATAAATAACCAATCTTGTCAGATAAGCAGACCAAATACCATCATCAACATCAAAATGTCTGAACTTCCAACTTATGAAAAACAACAAGAATGGAGAACCATCCAATCCTTCCTCCCCGACCGTCTACACTTCACATCCTCCCACTCTCCCACCGAAGAAGTATGGCATCACCGCGGCCACGCTCTCCACCTCGACAGATGGCGCAACCCCTCCGCCCGCATCAGACTAATAATGCATCACGGCATGGGCACAAACGGCCGCATGATGTCAATGCTCCTCGGCGTGCCCCTCCACAAAGCAGGTTTCGAACTCGTCGCAATCGACATGCCCGGCTACGGCTGCACGGTTCCGAAAAAGGGCCATGTTTGGGATTATGAGGAGTGGGTTGATATCGCGAGTGAGTTTGTGGATCATGAGTATGAGAGTGATGAACGGCCTATTGCGCTTTATGGATTAAGTGCTGGGGGTGGTTTGACGTTTCATGTTGCGGGGATGAATGAGCGTGTTAGGGGCATCGTGGGGATGTGTTTTATGGATATGAGGATTCAGAGTGTCGCTGACGCTGCGTGTCGGAATCTCTTCATGAGTCGTGTCGGTGCGCCGATGGGGAGGGTTATGCACGCTCTTGGTCTAGGATGGATGTCGATGCCAATGTACATCACCGGCCGAATGTCAACACTCGTTAACAATCCTCAAGCTTTGGCAGCTTGTATGCGCGACAACACCTCTGCTAACGCATGGGTATCTATGAGCTTTTTATCGTCATTTACGACGTATAGGCCGGCTAAGGAACCGAAGGATTTTGATACGTGTCCGATTTTGTTGACGCAGCCGGCTGAGGATAGGTGGACGCCGCTTTGGGTTTCGGAAGCGTTTTTGAGGGATCTTGATAAAGTTCAGGTCAAGACTGTTATGTTGGAGGCGGCGGGACACTATCCGCTTGAGGATCCGGGATTGGGGCAGATGGTTGAGGCGATTGTTGCGTTTTTGAAGGATATCGAGCAAGATGCGTGAGCTGTGATAAGACACTTATGAACTATACTTTGGCCGGAAGCCTGAGAGAAGGAGACCTTGAAAGATTCTGCTTTGTCTTGTTATCTTTTGTTTATCTACAGTATTGTACACCCCGGTCCTATCTCGGTATCTGTGTCATTGCCACCCGAACTACTATCAAAATCTTCTTCACTTGATATCAGTAACCTCACTTTCCTCTGATTATTCTTATCAATATCATCAAAACCCCTCCTGATCATTTTGACATCAGAAAAGTAATTCAAACCTGGGAAATCACTTTGATACTCCACCAGCAACTTTTCAACTTCCTCGCGTCTATAATCACCCAGCGCAGCTAATGACAGCGCAAGAGGCGAAGCCACAGCAGAGGCAGCAATCGGTCGATTAAAGCTAGCAGCTCTTCCAAGTCCAATGCTCTCATCAACATAGCCCCTGGCATCCAAAACAAGAACAGGGTCGCCATCATAGGACCGCAGGATGCGATTCAGAATAGTAGCCATCGTTAGCATGGCTGCGATCGCAGCATGAAAACGGATCCCCATTCTTCTCTGGAGAGACGTTGAGCCTGATGCTTTGGCTTTAGTGACTGCTTCTTCAGCTGCTTTGACAAGTCTAGGGTGCTCTGTCTGGATAAGAGCGTATGTGCACTGGATCTGGTAGAGGTATCGATCTGGATCGCGGATGAAGCAGGATATTTCACCCATTGTTCCGATATTGAGGCTTGCGAAGGATGTGCCGTCTCCTGATTTGAGAGGACGTGCTGCATCGCTTAGGACAGAGAGAGCTTGCCAGAACCAGGGGCCGAGTTGGATGTTGGGATTGCTGAAACTCTCGAGAACCTGGCTGGTGTGAGTACGGCAGAGAAAATAAGTAGAGGGACTTACCACAATGGAGAATATGGTTTGCATGAACGGCTTGTCGGAGGGATTAAATTGGGACTTTTGGATAGCGTTCTGAAGCAAGTACGCGAGGACTTCATGGTGCTTCGAGTTGACACTCCCAACACCAATGCCAGCACCGCCACTCCCAAGCCATTCCTATAAACAACCAAGTCAGACATTGTGCACCACGAGATGGTAGGGAACTTACCTGGCAGATAGATATCAAGTATATCGAATACATATTATCCGCCGAAAACGCCCGCTCCGGATCCCTCATCGCCTCCCTCAACGTCCTCAACGCAAAAACGTACTTATCCAACGCATCAACCTTTGAAACACTCCTATCCTTCAACGGTCCAAAACCCGTCACAAACGCTGTAATAGCCGCATCAAGCGGTTTACTCGACCCAACTTGCCGGGGTAAATCTTTGACGAACCACCCATACGTTGAGATGTCATAGCCTGGGTTATCGAACTCAAGAATATGCACCAATTTACCCGCTACTCGGGTCTTTTCATTACTCAGCGCCGAGGAGGGTGCGGCTACTGTTTTGGTGTGTTTCTTGGCTGCTTGTGTGTTTTCGGACTTGAAGACGAAGCGCTTTACGCCTATTCCTGTGCATTTGAGCTTGAGACGTGTGCAGCGTGCACAGGCTGGTTTAGCCTGATCGCACTGATCTTATCAGCATTGTCAGATACAGCCATTTGATTGTCATGACGTACCTTTTTCTTTTGTTTCCGACATGCGTCGCAGCCTTGAGCTTTAGGAACGCCGGCCATCGCAGGGTTTTACCTCAAATGAACAAGTTTGGTGTTTGGTGCACGTTATCCCCCGCTTACTCTCGCCAAGCAGCTAGAGTGTCTAAGACGCGCGGCTTAATAATTGTTTGTACGAGATGACAGTGATATCTTCTAGCTTCGTACTTCTATCATTTGGATCAATACTATTATAGCACAGATACATAGATGTGAACCAAGATGGCCGCGATCTCCAAACAAACATGAATAAGGTCCTCAAATCAATCTCTCGTTTCACGAGGCCAAGACTTATCCTAACAAATCATGACGACGAATAAGATGAAGCGCAGCGTACACTGCCCCATACTAACCGCTTTCAGCTTGATAGCGCGCATTGATCCCAGTGACCATCTTATTAAGCTTGAATTAGCCTCTTGATCAAATTCCTTGGCTTAAAGCACGGGGTTTGAACTTTGAAGTACGCGTTTCCTCCCTGCATAAAAAATACAAAATGCAAAAAATACCGCGGGGAATAACAAAGCCCCTTCAAGGTTCCCTAACCATAAGATTCTTCGGCACCTCGGCAACTTCCTATTTAGACCTCCTCGTGTTGGTTCTGCTCAAAGCCTCAACCAACGGCTTTAAATGCGGATGATCGGCACTACCGTCCAATAGAATTGTGGGAAATCGTCATGAACACCCCGGCATTTGCACCAAGGTGACGATGGAGGATGGGACACAGCCCCGAAGGATTTCTGTCGCTGTCACATTTCACTAAAAAACCAACGGGATCGTAGTTATGCGGGTGCCTAGTCGTTCAATTCGCCCGGGCAATTTTCACCGCGGACGCCAAGAATGCTTTTAGCATGCCAAGCTCGCTTGGCTCTTTGGGGGGAACGGGGGGAGTCTTTAAGGAGGGTTTTGCTGTTCTTTTGGAACATTCTACGTTCTGTCCCTTTTGAAATTACTGGTAGCCGTTCTTCTGGGGCTTATTCTTAGTTATTTGATTCCAGCTGAGCTTGTTGGGTCTTCAGCTTTGCCTGGTCAGCTTGGTCTCTTATGTTTTGCAGGTGACGCTATTCAGAATGGGCATGGCGCCCCTTAAGCTTGTTGACCTTGTAGTGGGTTATGCTACAGCGGCTGTTGTTTTCACGACGGTGTCGCAGTATATCCCCTCGAGACGACTGGAGCTGTGCTCTGAGATTGTCTGTTGGGCTGTTGTTCCTTTTCTTTTCAGATATACTGCTTTCCCGAACACCCGGCCGTCTTCGCCGTTATTGAGTGACCCGCAGAAACAGCGTCATTCATCGTTGTCACAATGGTTTGTGGCCTTGGGTATCGTGGCGGCTGCTTTTTACAGAGCCGAAAGTACAACTATTGGTCTCTATGTAAGTTTAGCACGGGATACTAAATCTGGTGAGACCGTACTGACCGATGAAGCCTCTTTTGACCCCTCTTCTCCTCACAGTACAGACATACTCTCAGTCGAGCATATTATCTGATCCAGCTCCTACATCACCTCTCATCAGCACCATCAAGGGGACAACACTAGTCGCTGTCCTTTCAGTGTTCTCACTTTCAAATGGAGATCTATTCGGCTCTCTAATATCGGTCATATTAGTGGCTTCTCTCCTGATTGTCTACAGCATCTTCAGTCCTGACTTCAAAGTGAGAATGTTATCGATTTCATCAGTCGACATCGAGACAAATATCAAGGCCATCGCAGGCCGAACAATAGTCCTCCTTCTCATTGCTGCAGCTTTCCAGACTTTGGTCCTCGGACCTCCCAATAGCAATGTCATTCTCGTGCTCTTCGCAGGATTGGTCAAAGCCTTGTCTTGGTTCTTCATCATCCAAGCCGTACGTAGACCTGATAATAACTTTGCACCCAGACACTAACGAACGCAGGCACGACAAACTTCTTGGTGCATAGCCACCACAATAGGAACCTTTGCTCTCGCCTGCGCCAGAAACCCCTTCTTACAAAACTCCCAACTTCAAGCCTTGTCTCACGTCGCAGTCTCGACGCTAACCCTCTATCAAACAACTCAACTCCTCCCCAAACAATCCAAAGGCAAAATTCTCCTCTGGTCCTGCTTATCAGCATCTTTGATTCCATATCTCTACAACGAATCCATGATCCATGACTCAACATCCTCCACGTTCATCTCTCCGTCTCACCCCGTCAAATTATTAACTCAAGAAGCAGCACCAATCTTCGGAAGGAAACTTCTTGACCAATCTCGAACATATCCAGCAGCAGTGAAGGAGTACAAAAAGCGATACGGTCTTGATCCACCACCCGGTTTCGAGGCATGGTTCCAATACGCGCTGAAACATAATTCACCCATCATCGATGAGTTTGACAATATTCACCGCGCCATATCGCCATTTCTGAAACTCAGTGGAAAAGAGGTTTCGGAGATGATGGATAAGGTATATAAAACGCCGCAGAGTGAGGTCTGGCTCTGTGAGTTTTCGGGAAAGACTGCTAGGACAAAGTGTCAGCATCCGAATCGTTTTTACGATCGGCATTACAGCTATATCTTTGATAAGTTGTTGTGGAATTTTCCGGGAGCTTTGCCGGATGTCAAGTTTCTCATCAATCATTTTGATGAGCCGAGAGTTATCATACCACCTCAGGGAGACGCTGTGGGCAAAGCTATCCGACTGACTGATGTGTCGATGAAGTCCACTTGGGACGCTTTGACAACGTCTTGCCCATCACATAAATCCTCTAGGGACGACCGATCTATAGTCGAGACATTTGGACTCCCTTTTGTCAAAGATCACCTCTCCCAGTCAGATTTGTGCAAACATCCTGAATACAAAGATATGCACGGCACTTTCATCAGCCCAAAGACCTTTCATCTCATCGAAGGTTTGGCACCAGTATTATCAACAGGTACATTCTCAACAATGGGCGATATCCTCTTCCCAAGTCCAGCATACGTCGAAGAAGAGTTTCAGTACGACAAGACCCATGATATTCCATGGTCAGAGAAGAAGAACAACCTCTATTGGACCGGTTCGACTACAGGAGGTTACGCTCTCGACGATCAGTGGAGAAACCACCAACGCCAGAGATTCGTTACCTTGGCGCAGAACCTTGAGCAGCAAGAACACACATACCTTACAGAGGAAAACGGCGTGATCAACAGCTTCAAGTCATGGTTCCTAAACAGTCGATTATACGACGTCGGCTTCACAAGAATCTTCCAATGCGACCGCAAATTCTGCCGTGATCAAAAAACATTCTTCCCCGTAAAACCATGGGCCGACAAAGACGCAGCATTCCACTCAAAACTGGCCTTCGACCTCGACGGCAACGGCATAAGCGGTCGCTACTACAAACTCTTATCCTCAAACACACTCCCCCTGAAACAAGCTCTTCTTCGAGAGTGGCATGATGAGCGGTTGGTCCCGTGGGTGCACTACATACCCGTCAGTCAAAGCTTGGAAGAATTACCTGAGCTGGTGAACTACTTGACGTTGAATGAGGCGGGACAGAGGGTGGCGGAGAAGGTGGCGAGACAGGGGAGGGAGTGGATGGGAAAGGCTGTGAGGGAGGTTGATATGACGATTTATACTTGGAGGTTGTTGTTGGAGCTTGCGAGGCTGCAGGATCCGATGAGAAAAGGGGGGGGCTGATTTGCTTTGTCTCGAGGAGTAAAAAAAACTGACGATATTGGTTGAAAGTATTAGAATGGCAATACTAAATTCACTCAAATTTTCTATTGTATACATTAAGCTTAGCTAAAGTGGCCTACCCATGGCAATTGCTGACACCTAAAGCGGAGGTATCGAGTTGCGGACCTCGTTCATCATATCAATCAACTGGTCATCAAGTTGCTGATACAGGTACACATTGTGGTCTGCTTCCAGCAGTGACCTCACACACTCAGCTACATACACGGCTGTGCGTGCTCTCTCCTCAGGCTTGTTCGCAGCAAGAGCCTCGTGCGCTGGCAGAATGGTACTCCGGATCCACTCCTCGCGACACTTGAGCTGCATATGGACAAACGGCTTATACAACCAATCGAACCTCTCGTCGTCGACGTCGAGTCCGATCAACCGGCACATGGTCTTGATGCACAACGACTCGCGTCGCTGCGTGATGCTGTGCGGGTTTTGGGCAAAGTGCTCAAGCTGCTCGAGGTCCCGGGCGTACATCCGTCTTGCGTCCAGGATCTGCTCCATCAGATCAAGAGTCTTGACTTCTCTGTTCAGATCCAGAGTGTAGAGCCAGTCAAAGACACGGCTCCAGGCAAAGTGCGTCGTCGCCGGCTTTCCCTGCAGGATGTGCGTGACCCCGTCGATGAAGCGCTGCGGCGCGACATGCTCTCCTGCCCAGGCGCGGTTGGCAGGCTCAAAGAGCAATTTCATCTCGACGGTGTTGGAGTCTTTGTCGCTGTACGGAAGCGGCTCGAAGGCGTCCGGCTCGAGGGGGAGGTTTGCGCAGGTAGGCAGCCCGTCGACGTCGCTGATCAGCTTATTCGTGTCGACGTCCGGGTTGATACGCGGATTGTCGCGATGGTGGCGGATCCATGCGAGGCGGCGGTTGAGCAGCTGCTTCCAGTAACCCAGCAGGCCGGCATGCATGCAGGCTCTGGCGCCGGTGCCTTGGAGCTTGATAAGGGCAAGCTTGTTGGGTCGTTCGGCCATTATTGATGGTGTGGATAGGACCTTGACTGTAAGTGATGATTATGAAAATATTTAGGGAAATCTTACCCAAGTTTAGGCGACTCTTTGTAAGTTTAGATCAAGTGCTTCCTGATGATGAGTAAAAAGGTGTTGATGTTGAGGTGAGAAAACGGATTGTTTGGATGATGGACTCCGACATGAACAGAAAAAGTAAAGGCAGGTAAGGTATGTCGAGGCGGCTTCTTATACCACATGAAGCTATACAGAAGGTTTCTTATAAAATTATATCACGAAAGTATGTTGTTCTTCTTCAAATCAGGAGACTCATTCTTGTACACTGCCTTTGAGAACTTGAAGTTAATTTGCAATATCTTTTAAGACATCACAAACTTTAACTGTCAATCAATGAGAAGCTTGTCACACGTTGAGGCTGAATAACAGTGCATCATGGGATTCTTGATGCTTGTTCCACGAATGAGCGAATCAGCACCTGCCTTCTTAAGATAAACGACTACCCGCGCATGCCTCTTTTAGTGAGGGTGACATTTCAAAGGACTGACTCTGTGACCACGACAGGTGACAGAGGAGGCGGCTGTGGAAGAGCAAGGACGAAAAAAGGGGGGCAAAACAAACCTCGAGACCTGTACTCTAAAAAACGATAAAGCTTAGGCATGCTCAGCGTAGTGTGTACAAGTTATGACCGGTTCTTTAGACTACAGGATACAGGTTATAACATGATGTTATATTGACAATGAATTAGTTGATATGGTGAATGAGATCTGCAGGGCTGGACCTCTACTTCAAGTGTTGACAAGAGTCAAAGGATCGTGAGGCTATTGGTATATTAGGTGCAGTTAGAATCAGAAAGGCATGATTTGAAGTATAAAGTGCGGAACCCGTATGTGAAATTCATTGCTGCTTGTGTAGGGTAACGTGACGCTCCTCACCATGACCATCCCTATCAGTAATCAACAATTGACCAAGCCAGGGGAGCAAGAGACTCGGGGATATGAAACTAAGCGACAGAACTTCTCAGATCACTTTAGGATAAACTTAGGCATCTTTAGTAGAATTTAGACAAGTTATGACCAGCAATTCTATATCCTGAAGGAGGGCATCAACTAGGTGACCCGCGGACAGGCGAGACTCACGGCTTTCGATCACAAGAATACTTGTCATTATCTGTGTTCGCAGCCTAAAGCTTAACCTTATAGGCCGCCGTCATTCATAGTAAACGCGTAGATTGGTTCCCAGGCCACCGTTCAATGAATTGAACAAGTCTAGCCACACCGTCGAACTAGACATGACCACTTTAGCCCATCATCAAAGCTCTTGTCATTCAGGGGTTTTTATCCGCTGTCAACGGTAGAACCGGTCGGTGGGCGATTAGCACGCAGACTAGCAAGATTTGGCATCTTTGACGTGCGTGAACCCTTTTTCGCTTGCGCATTGTCGATCATGACTGCTTTGACCAATATACCGATCTGGTGGCGATTTCGGTGGCCAAGGCTCTTTTGTTCCGCATTCCTCGGGACATCGGCCAACTTCGTCACTGCTGAAGGAAAACAGGAACTTGTGGGCTACTCCGTAGTAGTTACCGCGATTCTTCGGTAGTGGCGGTGTTTTTGGTCGATAGCGCGGAGGACGCCGCGGTCTGGACTGAAGTGGATGAGGGAGATGATATTGCGGTGCGGTGTAATTCTACGAGATTGTGTTTGGGAGATATGGGTAGTGAGATCGGGTGATGTGAGAAGTGATAGGGCTGATTGAGGTTTGTACCTTGCATAAAGCTATCTTTTGTAATGGATTGTTGCGTATGACAAGACAAACATTTTACACGATTATCAACTCAACTCTACGGATATTTTACATGTGAATTATCCCGTCGGTATTACTTGATGCCTTGAAGCAAATGAGCGAGTTTTCTCCGTGAATGAAGCACATCTCTCGCTCCGACAAATTATAATAAACAAATAGTAATCGTAATTTCCAACTTCCCTCTTCGGAGCAAGAACTCAGATTCACTTTTCACCTTAACTAGCGTCAGTGGAAGATTCCGATTGAGTTGGCCCAATCATGGTAGCTCGATCTTCAGGTACGCGACGCCGCCTAGCCTTCGTCTTCTTTCCCCTGTTTCGTTCTAGCCCGACACCACAACAACTCGTGTTGTTAATCTTCCAGGCACCAGGCTTACCCTAGACGGTGGAGGATTGAAGGATCCATACGTGAAACTGCGATCGTCCTGACGAGAGTAGAAGGAAGAGATTTTCTTATTAGGCGTTTTGGATTGACATGTTGTCGTCGCATCATGAGATGGTAATTGATTGACCGTTTCACGCCTGATTGTGGATATAGTACTCCGTATTTACGACCCAAGCACTCGGGTGCCAGTGACAGTGACTAACCCCCAGCGGAATTACTCCGAAGCACAATAGCGCCGTCCGAAAGGAAGCGGTAATTTGCATCTCCATACCCTTCGAGCCAATTGCGTTGCGTGTATGTGACGCGACGTCTCTTTTATTCCCCAATTAATTGCCTCGGACTGATTTTGGCATTATCCCGAGTGCTTCTCTCTGGTGTCCCGGTCTGTTGGGACTAGACGGGGTCTGTGGCTGGCTGGTAGTGAGCTTTAGTGCAGAGACTACTGGGTCAAGAGTCAAGTAAGTGCACACGGGGATAAAAAAAAGACGAACGGCGTGCAGAGAAGGGCCAGATCTAAAGAGAATCGTGGCGTCATGTCCGAGCACTGCTTTTTGGCACTGACCATTGCGGGAGGGAATTGTCCGCGAGTCTGCCGTGTTGGTGGCCTGCTTGGGTTTGCGTGTTGGTGAAGAAGACGACGTCTAGATTGCAGCGCTAATAACAACAGAGTTTCATTGACAATACCCTGCTATTCAATAACGACGCAAGCCACTTTGTTGCCTCTAAATTACAAAGCTGTGGAAAACGAAAAGCCATTTCCAGTGCGGGCAGATTAACAGCCCCCCTGTAGGTACAGAAACGCCACGAAAACGCCTGGAGATGGGTGCTCAGATACGGGAGGCTCTATGTACGCGGCCGATGCGCACTGATACTAACAATTTGGTGGTGGCCAACAAAAACTACTCGCCAGGCAGATAAGGTAGGTGTGCATGCACAATAGAAATCGAGCACAGTTTATCTCATTGTGTGAGATTGCCTTTCCGTCCCGAGCCGTCGTCTATCGGACATCCAATGTTACATCACCTTTTTTTGTTTGTCTCTTTGAACGTGTGAGACGTCAGAATACGGGATGTGACATGTTCAATTAATCGTGTGTTTCCCTTGCTTCCTGTGGAGTTAAAACGGGGGTTTGGTATTGTTCAATTGCATGGCTTTTGCGGGCGGGACTGAAAGTCTGGCGTCATTCCAGCTGTGAGGGCATTTACGAGGCCATGCAAGTCTCGGGCGTAAAAACGTGACAGTCGGTTCAATTGAGGAGAAGAAGAAAAAAAAAAGCAAAGAGTCTCAGTTACGCATGCGCAACGGTTGCATAATGGTACGATATATCGTTTGTCTTTGAGACAGCTCCCTTACATTGAATCCTTCGCGATATTCACAGCACCACAGTGAGGTTAGGGTTGAAGCAGCAACAGGTGGAGGTCTAAGCAGGGAGATCACCAAAAATACTACAGATCAGATCTGGAATGACAAATAAACAAAGAACCCATAATTCTATCGATCTGATTTCCCCCGGAAACTTAACTTAACTTTATCAGCTCCAGGAACCTGGAATGCGGCACAGCCGCGCGTAAAGCTTAAGATGCATCTCGAGTGCCGTTTGCGAAAAAAAGGCACCAGAGCGTATTTAAATCAGAGTTACAGTAGTTGTGAACAAAGCCCACTTGGCCTCAACGCCTCCAAAGATTAAAAAAAAAAAGTGGTGCAGCAAACGGGAACGGGTCCCGGCTCGTTGGGACTGATGCGTGGAAATTGATTCATCATTTGATTGACTTGCATATTATGGGGAAGAAGGAGGAAAAAAAGCAATATCAATGATGCCATGCATGGATTCATCATAGGGCTAAGAACTCGTTTACGACACGTCTCCTCTCAATGGTTCACGTCAAAGAAGCAAGCAACCTGTATCACAAGGGATGAAAAAACACACACAAATCAAGGTTCAGTTCGTCCAGCGGCCCCTTTCTTTTTTAGGGGCCATGTCTTGATCCGGATCAGAGATGGAGGGAGACATACTTCGGGGCTTGTCTCGTTATGAGTCTAGACTTTGCCAAACTCACTCGGGTACAGGTTTCCCCCCCTGCATTTACCTTACGCACTTGTTCTTCCACGTGGCATTCAGATTTGGGAACTTGTTTATACAGTATCTTGCAGTGTTTATCGCCTGTATCTTGAGCTGGGCTGAGCTCGTGATGGGGACCCTGTATATATTGGTAAGAGGTATAATAAGCAGGGATGGCAGCTTACTGGCATGTTTTATACTGTACGACGCTGTAAATTGTCATTTCATGCGGTATTGACGTGGCTGGAGGTGGCATTTGGTTAATCATCCAGTCAATTCTCTTATTCGGTTATCTCACGATCCATTCATATCTCACAATCACAATGGTAGGTAAGGTAACCGTCTGGTGGAGAGATGACCAGGGGTCCGAGACATCAGCGCACTCGACAAGTAGGTAGCACTCTTCGCATCGCATCGTGACTCAAATGCAAGGGAAGAGCCAAGAAATGCATACATAAACGAACACTTTCCTTTCTTTTTTTTCTGAACCATTTTCTCTTCCTTCGTTTTCTCTCGATTGAAGCGACGTCAAATAATCTCTCAAATCCATGTCCCTGTTCCGCGTTTGGCGTCAGGAACGCTTCTCTGTATTCCCGTGCTCGCCCTCAGCTCTAGCGCCAGAGTCTGTCGCCATGAGGCTTCTGGCTTACAGCGAGTTGACTTTTTTATCCCAGTGCTGCCTCGCAAGCTAAGCTCCCCCCATTGAGCAGATCTTTCCTATAAAGCAAACCCTTGCGTTTAAAAATGTTTCAGGCGAAAGAGTAAAGAGTCACGACCCTGACAGCGATGACCAAGAGAAATATCCATTTTCTGCAGGTTCTCATTTTGATCCCATGGCATCTCACAGGGTTTCTTTGCTTTAATCCCGACGTGATCGTGATGGCCCCCTTGTGCTCTACGCTAGCTACAGGCACTAACAATAGATCTGGACACAGTGTAGCCTCGGCCAGAGCAATACCAGCTGAATTGATGGTGTTGCACTGTGAAATGCGTGACACGGACCCTGTGAAATTTGCTGACGATTGGGGATGAGATGTCCCCTGCACCCCTGCAAAGCTTAATGTGAGCAGGGCCTGCCCCTCGGGTGACGATGTGATTTGTCCCCGGGCTGTGCCTCTGCTATTCTACAGCACTTGAGCAGTAAACGTAAGGTGACCATTTCTTCAGTGCTGAGATTTGAGTGTGCTCAGTTATCGTGGTTGCATTTCGTCCGAGCGTACATGTCTTTATTGCCCGCACTACATACACTTTGGTTTCATGTTTGCGATCTATCCTCTGCATATCTCTCTCCCTACCGCCTTTTTATTCCCACTCGGATCGTTATCTTTCCTTGCAGCTCATGCCTTGAATTGGAAATATCGTACTTGGCCCAGGCGGGCAATACACCCGTTCCCCGTTTCCTTAACGACATCACATCGCGCGTCGCCCAACTTCCCCCCTCACCATCGTAACCAGGGTCCGTGGCACTTGGGTCTTACAGTCAAAGCGTCGATCTGCTCTGCTCTGTAACAGGGGTTCCCCTAGTCTTTCTAGCTCGCCTCGATGGGATGGGGAGCTGACGGATGTGGACCCCCCCGCCGCCCCCTGGGATCTTGGCTTGAAGGCGTAACGCTACTCGTTCAGGCCGGCAGATCCGTTCCGCCTTAGACGACTTCCGTCAACACTCTCTGGGATGGCTAGGATGGATGGATGTATGTACAGTGCGGTACCTGACGGTAGGAATTCTCGACTGGCATGCACCAGACCCGATCTCCTGGTGTGGAACTGGTTCCAAAGCGCCATAAAGGCTGATTGACCTCCCCTCCCCATTTTTAAAGCTAAAACAGCTTTTGGTATCTCGTTTTCCGCCCGCTCTCGCTCAAAGGGAACAAGATCCCCTCTGTCCCCTCCCCCCCAGCTCTTGTTGGCTCCTCTCCCCATTCGTTTTTATATACAAAATAATGACCGCCGTGGGAACCACTCAAGCTGCTGCAGAGAGACACGACAAGGAATACTCTTTCATTGAAGCCCTTGCTCTAGGTCCCCGCGAGTCCTTCTCCCTCGTATCAAAGGAAGCTCTTGGCCTGCCCTCATCCCCGAGCAGTCCTGTCCTCCCCGTCGCCCCATCCATCGCTCAGGTCACCACCGTCACACGACCTAGAACTCCTCCTCAGAAGAAGCAGATCGTCGCTCCTGTGTCCTCGCAGGTCCACGTCGCCAGTCCCATCAAGAGCCCTACCACAGCGCCGTCGCAGAGGAGAGCTCCCAGCGTCACCACCAACACCACCACCCCTACAGCCCCGAGATCGCTCACCAGCAAAAAGAGCAGCGCCATGGCCAACTCGACAAGGGCGCAGAGCGCCTGCCTGGAGCTGTGCCACAAGACCACGGGGCTCGGCGATCGTATTTCCGTGCGCATGCTCGAGTACCTCACCATGGTGACCAAGCAGCCGCACGGCCTCGACACCCTCGCCCACGACTTCCTCGACACGTGCGAAATCCTCTTCTCCATCGAGGCCGGGCTCGGTGAGTGCATCCGCAACCAGCAGACGTTCCCCGGCGACGTCATCTCGGAGCTGAGCAAGAAGTTCCGCGTGACCCAAGCCGACTTCCAGCTGCTGGACCAGATGCTCGGCAAGTTCCTCGAGAACGAGCGCAAGGGCGCCATGGGCCGCATGCGCCGCGGCTGGGGTCGCATCTTTGGCGACAACGACATCGAGAAGATGATCAGCGCCCTTGGACGCACGCGCGAGAGCCTGCGTATGAGTGCGCTCATGTTTCAGTGGAGTCTGGGCAATGAGAAGATTGAGAATGAGCTTGGTATCGGCTACACTGGCCTCGCTGCTGCCCTCGACCGCATGGATACCCGTGCTGGCATGGCGCCGAGATCGAAGCTCTCTGACCACGGCGGGTCGCAGTACAGACCTTCTTCTGCGTCGCAACATCGTGGTGTGGAGGGACACAGCGCCGCCATGTCGATGGCTTCTCAGCCCCCATTGCCCCCTCTTCCCTGGACGGAGCGATCGTCGTCTATGCGCGAGGACACACTCGCTGCGTCACTGCATCAGGCGGATGCTCGTTCATTTACCGGTCATCATCACAACACTGCTAGTTCCATCGCCTCCAATGAGCGGTATCACTCTGGTACCACCGCTACCTTTGACCGCATGAGCACCTTTGACGAACACCACGAGGCACGGTCGCAACACACCGCCGTGTCAGATAGTGAGGTATCGCTTGAGGAGCTCTCGGGTCTGGATCTCAACGGTGGCACAAAGGTCGTGCGACTCAAGGCCGATCCCTTCAGCATGCCCCGCTGGAACCCGAGAAACACCGTCGGCGCCGACGCAGCAAACCTCAAGTCCGCTCTCCTCACCGCCGTGCGCGGCAAGAACCACAAACTCATCGAGCAGCTCCTAGATCGCGGTGTATCCCCCAACACTGGCCCTGAGCATCTCGCTCTCAAGGAAGCTGTTCTCAACAGCGACGCCGAGGCCGTTCGTCTGCTCCTCCTCTTCGGCGCTGATCCCAACGGCACTGATCGTGATGGTGTAACACCGCTCTTTGCCTCGGTGGAAAAGTCTTTCCTGGCTGGTGCCGTTCCTCTGCTCAAGTACGGCGCTGATCCTCGCTTCGCTATGGGCGAGGATAACGAGACTCCCCTCGCCGCTGCTTGTATCGCCAACAAGGTCAACTTTGCTCACCTGCTTCTCATCTACGGCGGTGACCCTAATCAATTGACCGCCACCGGCGAGACACTCCTCAGCAGCGCTATCAACAAGAAGACGCCCAAGAAGTTCATCGATCTCATCCTCGACTATGGCGCTGATCCCGACCTAAAGAGTCGCGAAGGAAAGACTGCCTTGTTTGAGGCCATTCAAAACTCGCGCGTTGATATTGTGCAAAGTCTTCTCGACCACGGCGCGAACCCCAACTTGCCTGGTCCCAAGCACATGCTCTGGCCCGCCACCTACCAGAGCGCCTGTCTGCAAGTCCTCCTCGCCCACGGCGCCGACCCCAAGAAGGCCCCCGGCATCATGGAGCTCGCCGTCAGCGTCAACAACATCGAGTCCGTCAAGGTCCTCCTCAACGCAAAGGTCGACCCCAACCAGAAGAAGGACGGCGTCTACACGCCCCTCTGCACATCCATCCGCGACAACCGCCCTGACATCTTCCACCTCCTCCTCGCCAACAAGGCGGACCCCAACGTCCCCGCCAGCGAGTATCCCGCCTTCAAGTGCATCACGCACAACCGTCTTCACTTCCTCCCGCCCCTTGTCGACGCGGGCGTGAACCTGAGCTCTCCCAAGGGCATTGTCGAGACTGCTGTTAGTGTTAACAACATGGAGGCTCTCACATGGCTGCTGGAGAAGGGCATGAACCCTAATGATAAGAACCCCAAGGGTCACTCACCGTTGACGACTGCTATTCGCGAGAACAGGGTCGAGATGGTGGACTTTTTACTCAGCCACGGTGCTGACCCTAACGTTCGCGGTCAAGACTGGCCCGTGTGTATGGCCGTCCGCAACCCCCCCGTGCTCAAGCGCATCCTCTCTGTGCTCGCTGAGCCCCGCGCCTTCAAGGGCGTGATGGAAATGGCCGTCGTCGCCAACCAGCTCGAGTCCGTCAAGCTCCTCCTCGCAGCCGGTGTATCAGTCGAGGACAAGAACGGCGGTGTCTTCTCACCGCTCACATCCGCCATTCGCGAGGACCGCAAGGACATCGTGTGGTTCCTCATCAACGAGGGCGGCGCCGACATTAACGCGCCCGGCGAGCACCTCCCCGTCGTCAAGGCCCTGCGCCGCTACCGCGGAGACTCGGAGATCCTTGAGTTTCTGCTTGAGCACGGCGCTGATCCTAACAAGGTGTACCGAGGCTGGAACGGTGTCATGCAGGCTGTTGAGAACGGTGATGAGCAGATCCTTCGTCTTCTGGGCGAGAAGGCTGGGTTTGATCTCGATGTGAAGGATGAGCTTGATCGAGATGTCACTGAGATTGCTGCGTCGCGAGGCTGGGAGGAGGCAGTCCAGATTCTGAGGGAGTATGCCATGACAAAATCTGCTTAATTTACTGGGTCATTTGAGTTGTAAGATGATGAATGCTTGGGATTTGGGATGGGGTTGGAGTCTGCGAGATTGCTTTCATGGGAATTGGACTGGATTGGATTGGATGGTTTGCCTGGTCTTGTGGCCTTTATATATATATCCTCTTGTTTACCTTGGGCATTTTCTTTTTCATTTCTTCGTTTTTTGTTCATATCCCACTGGTATAGTACTACCATGTATCTGGTTACATTTTCTTTGTCAATCTATTTGTTGGCGATAATACAGATGAGTTTTGAAGCATCATGGTCCCGATCCGAATGTCTCAATTGAGTGCGCGCAACATGTAATTTAGACTTGTCTATTTACTTAAATGCAATCATCTATAGCCTGTTTCCCATGTTGACATGAACTGATTTAATCTGCGTGTACGCCTCCAATCCCGCCTCACCAAGCTCCCTCCCAATGCCGCTCTGCTTAACACCACCAAACGGCACACGAGGATCGCAATCTTGTGAACTATTAATCCAGACCATGCCCGCCTCAATCGCAGCAGCAACGCGATGAGCCTTTTCCAAATTTGTCGTGAAAGCAGCAGCGCCAAGTCCATACGTCGTATCGTTCGCCAACTCAATCGCCTCCTCCTCCGTCTTGAACGTAGAAACAACAACGACCGGACCAAAGATTTCTTCGCGAAACACTCTCATAGAGGGCTTGACGTCTGTGAAGACAGTGGGAGAAATGTAGAATCCCTTGTCTGAGTCTCCGACTTTTAGAGGGTGACCGCCTGCTGCGACTGTGGCGCCCTCTTTCTTGCCAATGTCGATGTACTCTAGGATCCTCTCGTACTGAACCTTGGATACCTGCGGTCCTTGATACGTTTCCTTGTCCCACTGGTTACCAACTTTGCTAACCGTGTTGAGCGTATCAATAAACTCCTTGATGAATTTCTCGTAAATAGTCTCCTGCACGAGAATTCGCGATGTCGCGGTACAGATCTGTCCTTGGTTCGACATGATGCCGAAGTGCGACCACTTTACAGCCTGATCAAGCTCTGCATCATCAAACACAATCAATGGAGATTTCCCGCCCGTTTCGAGGGTGATGTTTTTGAGTGTCTTTGCAGCGACGCCCATGATGCTAGCTGCTGTGGCTGTTGATCCTGTAAAAGCGATCTTGTCCACCAACGGATGCTGCACCAACGCAGCGCCCGTGTCTTTGCCCAGACCATTGACGATGTTGACTACTCCAGGTGGAAAACCAGCTTCTTTAATAAGTTCACCCAAGACAAGAAGACTTAGGGGCGTTTGTTCAGCTGCCTTGATAACAACTGTATTCCCACAAGCCAACGCAGGGCCCAGCTTCCACGTCGCCATAGACAGAGGATAATTCCACGGAATGATCTGCGCAACAACACCAATCGGCTGACGAATCGTATACGCAAACTTCTTGGGCGTGGTATTAATAGTCTGACCGAATGTCTTATCAGCCCAGCCAGAGTAATACCGAATAACGCCCACAGCCTCAACGAGATCATTCTCCAGTGTCTCGATGTACGTCTTGCCGTTATCCCAGGCGTCAATCGTAGCAAAGAGCTCGCGCTTAGATTCAATCAGATCAGCGAGACGGGCCATGAGTTGGCCTCTGTCTGAGGCGGGGAGGTCTCGCCATGATTCATGGCGCAGTGCGGCCTTGGCTGCTTTGACGGCTTTGTCGATGTCTTCTGAATCTGCGGATTGAACTGTTGCGATTTCTTGTTCGGTGCTGGGCATGTGTTAGTGGGGTGAGTGAGGTATAGAGGGAGGGGTAGGGGACTTACGCGGGGTCGATTGATGTGAGGGTTTTGTTGCTTGATGAGGGGACGAATTCGTTGTTGATGAAGAGGCCGGTTGGTTGAGACCATTTCACTCCGTTGGGAGCTGTGAGTTCAATTGAGGCAGCCATTTTGGTGATGAGATGAGTTGGTTAGTGTTGATGGACTGGGAAGCTTGCAGAAGGCCTCTTGTACTTGAACTCTTGATGAATCTAGTATGATACTGACTGGCTCTCAATCCAATCTGATATAGACCGATGAGAATGGCGATTGTTTCCGTCGTCTTGATCGCGCAGACCTTCTCTTTTTAACTCCCCCTCGCAATCATCTCCACTACCGAGATAGGGAAGTGAAGCCTACAACGACAGCGCTGAACTCCACTAACTAACTACCCCGCATCTCCATCGACCTGCTCACACTGGGCAAAGAATTACATCTCAAGCGACACCTCATATAATGACTCAAAGATAAGATAATGTCTATCAATTATCTCATTAAAGACTAGCTTCCATTCACTTTCGAGTCTCTGCCTCTTCAGCCACAGCTCGCGGAATCTCTTCATCGAGCCCCGTCTCCTTCGGCTTCCAGCCCAAGACTTTAGTGGCGCGACGGGGTTTGCTTCGGGCATTGCTGCCGAAGAATACTGAGCCAGCCGGGAGTGCAGTGTCGACCTCTGGCTTATACAGTTCTTCGACTTCAAGTGTGTCAATTAGTCCCTGGTCCTTTGCTGCTTTGGCGACTCGATCCGAAATATCGGCCCATGTCTAAATTGTTAGCTTTGCCAAATGGTGATGGGACGGGACTTGACTTACCAGCTCGCCAACACCAGGAAGATAAATCCCCTTCTCACCCCAGACATTCTCATCTTCACTTCCCTCCGCACCCTTCTCAGCTAAAAGTGTAAATAATCTCGCGAGGTCAGCGACGTGGACATTTGTCCAGGCTGCTAGACCGCGACCCGCTCTGACGGCATGACCGCGCTCAATCGCGACTTTTGAGAGTGCGGGGATTTGGACGCTGCGCTGCTTAACAGGACCTTGACCTTTGCCGTAGATAATGGGAGGGAGAACGAGAGCTGTCTTGATAGAAGGTGTTTCTTTTGCGATTTTGAGAATGTAGTTGTCTACCACGCGAGAGTCGTGGCTGCGGATGAGATCAAGAATGGAAGAGACGCCATCGAGGTCATCCCAGACTTGGTTGGAGGGTTCACCTGGTTTGAAGGACGGTGAAGACAAGTCCTTGACGGGCAATAAACTCGCACCAGAAATTTGAATCAAATAACCTATTCATCGTCAACACAATCCCTCTCACTCAATTCATCTTGTCTTACCATTTCCCCTCTTCGCCAATCCCCGATGAATCGCCTGCAACGACCCAATATGCTTATTCGACGCAACATCTAAGTTACCCCGCCGTCAGCAACACCACACCACCAAAACATCATGAAACATCACTACTGACTCAGTACAACCAAAGCTTGTGAAGCCTCCTGTTCCACGAGTGTACTATCATCTAGGTCACCCACCACAGTGCGCACTCTCGGATACGCCTTTGCGATGGTCTCAGCTGCGTTGGCGTCGCGCACGAGCGTGGCGATGGTGTACTCGGGATGGGCTTGTGTGAGCTCGTGCAGGAGCTGGCCGCCTACGTAGCCCGATGCGCCGGTGCTGCGAGGGTTAGTAAGCGGAAGGTGAATAGGTTTGGGGTATTACAGAAAGATTGAGGTCATTTTGTGTGTGTTTACTTGGTGTTGGGAGTGCTGTGTTGTGCTGGAGAGGTGCTGCGGCTATGGAGATGGGGTTTTATGGGTGTACGCTGTGTCACGAATATTATTAAGCTGTGCATCACTAAAATTACGACACTGCGGCGATAATGGCGCGTGAATTACTGGATTTTATTTGCATGCGCATCCATTTATCAGCCACTTGAATAATGATGTTATAAATGCGATCAAATGCAGTTGTCGCGGAGACTTGCCTTTTTAGTGTCTCCCGCCCCAGATGAGGAATGCCACATCGCAAAGTGGAGACAGCCGTATCACCAACTACTAGCTGAACGAGAAGCAAAAGGATTGTGAATGGACCTTGTGAGCTCTAGAGGAACAGATTGATGAACGTGGATTCGAACGCACGACCTGCAAAAACGAAGAGTGGCGCAGGGAGGAGACTTTTAGGATTTTAGGTTCGGAGTTTAGAGAGTTATAGGTTATAGGTAGATACCACTGCACCACTCTTCGCCGATGATATACATAGTGCTTTTGGAACATAAGGGTAGGATGTAGAGTCAATATGATGGAATATAAAGGGTATTCCTTTAGAGGTATCACCACTAATTACATCCTCAGCACAGAGGGTTGGATCTCCCATATGTGCTTACTGTTCGGAGACATGAGCACGAGCAGATTGCTTGAGGTAAGCTCATTTCGTCCGCTTATGCTGACCCTGAAAAGAAAGGTCACCTAGAGAATCAGTATACATTTTGGTGCGAGGGGTAAACCTGTAGGCTGTATTTATACTGCTTGGTTAAGGCAGCAATTACGCCACTGAGGCAAATAAACCTTCTCTGATTTTGACCTCTGTGATGCTGGCCTACTATGGGGGCCTCATTGTTTAAGCCTCTGTTTGAAAAGCCAAAGGCTTCATAGCCTTGTACAAGGCTGACGACAAGGGGAAAAAAATACATAATGGTCATCGTTTGCATTCTGGCGGTTCTTGATCACTTTGCTAGCCGTCCGTAGTGTCCTTGGCTAATTCTGTGCAAGATTCCAAGTGCATTGCTTCATCTTGCATGAAGGGCTTATGTATTCTTCGCTTATAGCATACCTCTTGTCTGAATGCTGCAAGACTGACTGCATGCATTCAGCGTTTGAGTGGCCTTGTTGGGAAGTACGAAGAACATATGCTTCATCGAGGGCAGATACTGACAGGCTACATACCCGCAAGTGGACACGACGTAAAGAGGCGTTTGTTCTATAGTTTGAGGTCCATCACCAAGGGGTTTGAGGCTGTGACTCGAAATGTTGCCGTCGTATCTTTATTGGTAGCAGAGCCTAAATCTTCTGTCAAACGGCACGGAAGCAAGGAATAAAAGCAGCTGAAATTAGAACTAGAGAACATTCTGGTACGACCAGAGAGTCGATTCTTATATACGTTAATGAACCGGTCGCCCAGTTCACCGACATTGACTATTCAGTGTTTGACCGAGGCCCAGAGGTCAAGCGTATGTGAACGGAAACAATGAGCTCTTTGGGAGTCTTGGCTTGGTGCTTAAACAAGAGTTTAATGAGGTTTTGCAGAACCATTACATTGAGTATCAGAAGACATTCTTTCCTGGTTCGGCGCTACTAAGTAAGGCTCGCTCTAGACGCCGAGATCCCGATCTTTGTTCGGCCATGCCTATGGAACTGTACTTATTAGTCATCGTGAAAGCTTCTGAAGTAGAAGTATATACTCTAACTAAGACTATGATGTCCTCCTCACTTGTGTTGGCAGCCTGAAACCTAACCTCATAGGCAGCACTCAACTATCCTACAATACTGCTCTGGAACTCTATCTACAAGTGTAGTCCGGTATTATGGTTAGCAATGAATAGCTTGGATTGCTTGTCAAAAATAGATAGATTAATACTCTAGTGTTGATACCAGTAGTTCTCCCTGTTGCTTTGCTAGTGTCAATATTTGCCCGAGAGCTTGATCTTGGTGGCTTCTCCCATTTCAGACCGAGGGAATGACTGATCATACTCCTCTCTTACAGCACGCATACTTACTTATAGTATTGAGTGAAAGTAACCGTGTAAAGAAATTGAGCTGCTGATATAACTACCCGTCATCGCCTTGCACTCCGGCACGTCAACATAGCATCTGCCCTCCAAAGTATCACGGTTATCAGAAATGACTAATGATCAGCCATTCAAAGACGAGGGACTGCCCTTAGACTATCTTATCCCACAAAGGTATAAGCCCGAGAAGACTTCAGGCTCTCCAAATGCCATAATCCAGAACCTTGACTGGCTCAAGCTAACCCCCTAACGTCCCTCGCCACGGCCACTCCGATAAGCGGGCTACCCCACCCCGCGGAAACATTCCCATTTCGCCCTCTCACCAACAACACAATAACACAACCTTCCCCCGGGATCAATCTCCCTCGCGAGAAGAAGCAATCAACCCAAATCGTCTCATTTCATCTCATCTTGATTCTCCACTTTCCTATCCAAGATGCCCAAAAAGGTCGAGCGAACACGCACCTTCACAGGCTGTCGGACATGTCGCTCGCGCCACGCAAAATGCGACGAGGCTCAGCCTGGATGTGGGACTTGTAAACGACTGGGGCTTGCGTGTGGAGGTTATGGAGCACGGCTGTTTTGGATCAGGGATGATGCTGTTCGCCCGGAGCTGCAGCAGAGTCATCGAGGCTCGGAGTATCGGTATCCACTATTCTCCGGTAAGTGCTCCAGTCTGTGTTGGGGACTATGACTGATGAATGTAGAGAGCGAGAGACGGTTGATGAGTGATGAGTTGAAGGGTAGTTTGGGAAAACGAACGGCGTTGGCGTTGTTGGCGGATATTGATTCTGCGTGTGAGAAGAGTGATGTTGGAGATGCGTTGATGAAAGGTCCTTTTGGGGTCTTTCAGTCTGTGGAGGGGGAGTTGACGCTGGATACGATTGAGTGCTCTCCTGATACTAACACTGATAACACATCGACGAGCATGTATGCTGAGACTGATGGGTTCATTGAAGAGATACAGCGAACAGACTGGCCGGATCAGCTACCCGAAGATGACCTGGATATCTTTACAGCTTCATTGGATCCGAGCTTTAACATCAACTCTGAAGAACTGACAGCGGGCGATCAGATGAATATTAATGATTCTATGGCAAACTTCTTTGTCGATGATCCAATGGGCGCTGAAGGCCTCGCACTCTTCAGCCCAGGCTTCATATCCCAAGTCATGGGCAACGACACCACCGCTCAAGAAGAAAGTATCGATCCCAATCTCCAAGCCTCAATGAACGAAGTAGTCCCCTACCCAAGAAACATAACAACCCCCTCTGGCCTCCCCGAAGAAGCAGAGCCGTTACTGCGCCACTACAGACAACACATCGCCGGCCAACGCTCAACAATGCAAGCCAAACGCAAGTCTCCATGGGAAATAATCTTTCTTCCCTGTGCACTTGAAACATTTGCTGAGTTATCGTTATGGAACGAAGCTTCTCATACTCGCTCTTCGATATTTTATACGCTGCTAGCTCATAGTGCGTTGCAACTGCACATGTCAAAGGCGCCGAATTCTTTGGCGGCGGATTGGAAGGAGATTGGGTTGAAGAATCATGAGAGAGCACAGAGTCATCTGAGACAGGCGTTGCAGCATGAGATGTTTGGACCGAGACAGGCGAGTTATAAGGAGCTTTTGATGGCTATTCTTGCAATGGCGATGACTTCGGCAAGTTCCTTATCTCTGAATCTATGATCAAACGCTAATAGAGTCAGTTACACAACGGAGCTCGTGCGTTCCGCATCTTCCTCCTCGATGCAGAACGTCTCATTCGCCTTCGCGGTCTAGCGAACCAAGCCCAGAATCCCTTTAAATCACGGCTTCTGCATCATATGTACACTCATCTTCGTGTAATCGCAGAGAGTATATCCCTCTGGAGTGAGCCTCTTCCGGAAAGCTCTTCAGAGATTCAAGGCCGTGAGCAGTTCCGAACATTTCGCATTACGGAAGAGGGCTTGAACATGGGTCTTGATCCCGCTCAAGAAAAGACTGATGAGCTTGGATACAATGATATTCACCTAGAAGTTCAAGGTCGCTGGACCCAAACTCTTTACCCTGTCATTTACGGTATTCCGGAATCTCTCATGACACTCCTGTCACAAACAGTATCGTTGTCCAATGAGAAGAACCGTCTAGAGACTGTTGCACGCTGCAACCCTTCAATATCAGAAGCTCTCTCAAAACACACAAAAACCCTCGAAAATAGAATCTGGGCATGGCCCTCAACCCTCGACCCCACCGAACCCGTCAAGATGCCCACAGGTGACGAAGATCTCGTCCGCCATCCTCAAGTCCGCTCCATGACACTAGCAATCCACCAAGCGTTGGTGATATACTTCTACCGAAGAGTCTACGACATGAACGCCATGATCTTGCAAGATCTTGTGCGTAAAACGCTAGAGTATCTTGAGCCGTGTTTGAGTGAGTTGATCGATGATCAGGACTTTGCGACAAGTTTGGCGTGGCCTGCTTTTGTGGCGGCTTGTGAAGCTGTTAGTCCGGATTTACAGGAGCGAGCGTTGAAGTGTTTGGGGGTTACGGATGATAAAGGGGTTTATTTTACGAATAGGCCGGCGGGGGTTGTTGTGCCGTTGATTTGGGAGAGGAGGAAGCAGTCTGGGGATTGGACTACGAGTTGGCAGAGTCTTGTGCAGGAGAGTCTAGCATAGGTATGAGATTGACACTTGATTTCGGTTCTCACATTTGTCTTCTTGAGTTCTCATAAAGTCATTTTGTCTATTTAACTATTTTAATCATTAAACTACCTAATGCAAAATATTCATTCAAGCCAGCTTGACACCAGCATCCTTCAGAAGCTGCGCAAGCTCAGCCCTCTCATCATCCTCCAGCAGAGCAAACGGCTTTCGCAGACCTCCCGTCTTCCAGCCCTGCAACTCCATACCAGTCTTGATACCAGCACCATAATGATGCGCCTCCAAAAACTTGCACACAGGGAAGATCTTGGACCATAGCTCACGTCCCTTCTTCAAATCGCCATCAACAGCGATGGCATTCCAAAGCTGCACTGAGAGTTCGGGGAGAACATTGGTAGTTCCCCAGACTGAGCCCTTGGCGCCGGCGCAGAGACCGTAGAAAGTCAGTGTGTCCCAGCCGTTGAGGGCGGTGATGTCGTTGTGATGGTGGAAGAGAAGATCTGTAAGAGCGGGTGCATTTCCAGAAGTATCCTTAAGATACTTGACTCCAACATCTGAAAGACCAGCGATTTCCGCAGGCGACAAGCTTACACCGCTCGCACTGGGGATATTGTAGTACATAATCGGCAACCCACTCTCTTTATAAATCTCCCCAAACATCTCCCTCAACTGCTTCAGATTAGGCGCGTCGTAAAACGGCGGCACAATCATAGTAGCAGCAGCCCCAACCTCAGCAGCGTGCTTAGCGAGCTCTACAACACCAGAGGTGGTGAGGTCGCCGATGCCAGCGACGACGGGGACACGGCCGGCTGCTGACTTGACGCATTGGTCGAGGACATCTTTACGTTCTTGGAGGGTGAGGGCAGTGAATTCACCAGTGCTGCCACCGGGGACTAGGCCGTGCACGCCGGCGGAGATTTGACGCTGGATGTGGGCGTCGAGGGCGGGGAGATCGACTGTGCCGTCGGGTTTGAAGGGGGTTATGAGGGCGACTAGGATGCCTGTGAGTGCTTGGGGGGCCATTGTATGTGATTTGAAGAGACACTTGAATGAGTGAGTGATATGAGATGAATGTTTACGATGAAACTCTTGATTCTTGTTTGTCTATTATATGCTTCTTCTCTTTATCTTTCTTTACCAATTGGTATACCCCGCGTTGTTCTCTATCAGTCTCAAGATGAATGGTTTCGTCAAAATAGGTAAGTTTCCACGACGTGGGCGGAGATGCTTGCCAACCGTGTTTGGTGGGGTATCAGCTGCCACATAACGCCCAATTTGTTAGATCAAAGTCAAAAGAGGGAGAGAAATGAGAGTAGGGCACTTTGTTAGTAAGATTTCTGGCCTTCCTGTTCGAGAGTTGCTAATCGGGTCCAAGCACACGGGATCGTCGCAATCGAATCTCCGTCTTACGGCCTGTGCGAAGGGAGCCTGCGCAGTGACTTGGGTGCTTTCGAGTACCATGAAAAGGAGTCACATATTTAGCAATTTAATAATAAAATATCTCACTTAGTTTTAGATGTGCAGATAAATGTGTCGACTACCAGATCAGCGTCATTCCTTGATGCGAGCTTACTGACAAGTGAGCAGCTGCAACAGTACAGTGAATGGAACAGGACATCAGAATCGAAGGCCAGTACTTTTCATCTAATAAGCAATAAATAGGCTTCGGGTTGTCGGAGGGCAGACTTCGATGTGATTGGACCACGGGGGTTGTGTCACTCATGTCTTGATCGAGCTGTTACTAAATCTGGACCAAGTAGACGCATATCTGCTGTTATCGGCTTGTAGTTCTTTCTGTAGAAATTGTAGTTATTTTGCATATTTACATCTTATCTCCCTGGACACCAAGTAGCGTTGGTTTCGCATGGTGCTAAAGACGGGCTAGGAGCTGACCAGTCAGTATCCTTGCTACCCAACAGCCACATAAGTCCTCGAAGGCCGTAGCATTAAATATTTATACATATAGAACTTAGCTTGAGATATTTGACCTTTCAAAGGTTACTTACCATGCTACACGAGACAATTGAGTCCTCTCTAATCATTTCTACGAAACTATACATAGCCCTCGAGCTTGAGCCAAGCGCTCGAACTTGTTTCGAAGACGCTTATTGTGAGCATAGCTTGCCGACCTTGGCCTATACCTTAGTGACAGCGATACTGCCGGAGGCAGGTCCAAGCTTTCCGAGGTTTTGGGGTCTACTTGGAAAGACTACAATGCCCCTCGATCCTTTGAGGCCTCTATCTACAGGAAATCAGCGGTAGTTGAGCCTGTACTAGTGACATCTGACTGGTGGCAAATTCGCCCTACAGCAATCAGGACGGACCTCTTATTCAACATCAGAAGACTGAGATCATAGCTCTTTTGCTAAGGCATATAATATGGTCAGAGATTGTGTATTTACTGCTCCGGAAGTCTCATAATCTACAATAGTGGTCATCAGCTTGCTTGCTAAATCCAGACCGGGTAGGTAAGTATTAGCGCTCAAGGCAAACTCCTGCATGTAGACTCTATCAAAATACAACACTACCACCAGCTTTCATCCGAGACTAATGCAGCATCCTCCATCAACCTGTGTCTAACATGTTGATTCCGACATCAACTGATAATCACTGGCCGACCTGAGCAGCAAGAGTCTTAGTGGCTGGGTAACTATCGGGGAGCACTCCGGCATCGGATCTGGGGTCCGAATTAAGGTTGACCGTTGCATGACACGGCCCAGCTTCAAGAGCCCCATCTCTTCTCTACTACCGACGATTGCCGACATCTCCAACCTCCCTGTATGTCAATATCCACTTCATAAAGTTAATAAATACACCACTCATGGTTCAAAGATCAATGCTGAACTCTGGTCTTCATAAGCCGACAAGAACCAAAGTATCATCCAAAGAGGACCCCAGCTGCATGAAACATCCCTGACGTCGGCCCAACTTTCTCCAACTCAAGTGGCGACTCTGCGTTGAAAACTTTAGAGTTCGGACTAACTGTACAGCACAGCTGCACCGTGTCCTGTCCCTCGTCAGCTAGTTACCGCCACCCGACAGGCTAGTATAGTAGTACCCGCAGATCCAGACGTCAGGATGGACAAAATTTGATCATCATGATTCTGGAGTCTTCCCTGAAATACCCACTTTGATGTGATGATGAAGTTGTGGATATGCGTATCGAGACTATTGATGAACTAGGGATGAAATGCGCGCAGTGGAGATGGGGAAGCGCTTAGGCTAACGGTTTTGCTGAGGATGATATCCACAAGAGATCATGGGTATTTATCCAGTGTTTTGCGGGGAATGCGATGGTCAAGCTTTTTGGTTGAAGAAATGGTTGGAAAGTGATGGCTGGTTTGATGATGAGTGGAGTCACCCAAGTTTGAGCGCGTGGGAGTATCTTGAGAGCCCAGTCGTATAGGTATAGAGTTCTGTAAGTTTGACGGATCACAGAATATGAAGTTGGAAGAAGTAACGGGAAATATCTGCTGTGAGCGAGGTCAAACTGTCACATTGCGGGAAGCGGGAGCCATAGTGTGTAAATATGATGGTAGATTTATACCCCAATCTCTAATGTATGAATATGTTTTCTCTACTCTAAATCCAATGGTATACAATGCATAATGCTAAAAGAAAACAACGCTGCGCTTAAGTGGAATTCGAGTTATCGGCACAAGAGAAAGCAGCAGAGCCACCTGAAGCCTTGTACGAGTCGATGATGCCAACAATAGATCCGTAAGTACCACCGATCATAAGGAAGGTACCCGAGACAATAACAAAGATGCTGAAAGCAACCATAAGGTACCACTTCATATTAGGATCACGCTTGCCCTTGGCCCAGTTGTCATATAGCCACATGAAGCCATACAGCTGGAAGGACATGAGCGTACCGAGCAAGGCACCAACGAGGGAGACGAGACCACCGAAGACGGGAATGCCAGAGGCGATCAGGTAGGCGATGATGGTGGTGATGATGGTGCAAGCCAGCCAAGTTCCCCAGTGGACGGCGCTGTTGGAAGATAGATGCTTTGTTCCGCGGAGGAGGCGGACGAAGACGTACTTGGCGGCGAAGTGAATGACGAGGACGGTTGTTGCGAGAAGGCCGGGGAGGGAGATGCCGTAGGCGACGCGCTTGATGAGATGGCCGGCGGAACCGAGGGCGGGCGAGGCGACGTATGAGCCGCAATAGAGGTAGACGACGCAGCCGATGACGATGTAAGTGATGGTGACACCAGCTTGGCAGATGAGGAGAGATCGAGTGTAATGCTCAGGGCGCTTCATCTCAGCAGCAATGGCACTTTGAAAGTTAGCTTATTGAATCACGTATCACAGCTGAGGTAAACTTACAAGAAGCCAGGAGTTCCAGCATAGGCAAAGATGAGAGAAGAGATGGAAGAGATGGCCTCAGTGAAGCTGGGGTTTCCAACAACCTTCCAGTCAGACTTCCAGTGGCCCTCTTGGGGAGCAGCTGCAGGACGATCTTGAACACCAACTGCGATGGTGACGGTGAAAATAGCAGTCATGATGCAAACGAGGCCGACCCAGGCTAGCATGCTGATGCGGCCGAGGGTGCGAACACTGGCCAGCAGGAATCCGCAAATAGCAGCAACAGCGACGAAGACAGCAGTGCAAGTACCGTGAAGAGAGACGGCATTGAGACCAATTGAGATACCGAGCATACCAGAGCCCGCAACAAAGATCCAGACTGACTTGTTAGCTGCTGTTGTCAAGGTATAGACCGGAGTACGTACAGAGGCAGAAAGCGATACCGAAGATCTCACGTCCAACTCGACCAAAGATCAAAAAGCCTGCATCGTCGATACCGTAGATTTGAGGATGGTTGCGCTTGAAAACACCAATCATGTAATCGGACCATGTTGTGATGCCGGCGATGACGATGAGGCAGATGATGCCGGGGAGGATACCGAGGACGTCGAAGACAGCTGGGATGGACAGAACACCGAGACCGACCTGGGTCTTCATCATAAGAGCGACGGTGCCGATCCAGCCGACCTAGAGATGTTAGCTGACTTGAATATACTGAGGTTGTTGTTGTGAATGACGTACAGCGCGGTAGTTGGGACCTTCATCGGTGATATCACCAAAGACATCATCGTGAACTTGTGCTTCACCAGCGATGGAAGGGGTGTTGTTCAAAGCAGGCTGATCATTCTCAAGATCGTGCTTGAGGTCCTTCTCAGCAGGACTAGAGTAATGCGACATGATTGTTGAAGGAGCAAAGTGAATTGACCAACAAACAAAACAACTCAAAAGACTGAGAGTGCAGGAGTAGAGAGGCGAAGAAGGAAGAGAGAGTGGAATGTGGAGGAGATGAAGCAGAAAGTCTGGGGATTGTGGACACAACTTATACAAGCTCAGACAAGTTTGAAGTCGATCCTATACAGTAGCTGAACAAGTCAGGTTGGGTGCTTTGCCCCCCTAGTAGATCCCCGTGGTGGTTTACCCAAGAGAGGTTAGTCCGTGATACAAAACCTGGCATGCAAACTCGGTGTTGGCGAGGCTTATTATCTGGGTGTGTGGAGTAAGTCAGTCTCCCCTCAGACATTCTACTTTGTGTCTCTTGGCTACTCCATGTCCCCATGGGGTTCCCCGTACAAAACTCGCGGAGAAAGAGGGTCTCAATACGATTGACGAGTCCAGAACAGAATTGTCTAGACTCTTGGTCAAGAATTATCATCTCGTAAAAGAAAACAGGCAGAGGTCAGGCTATGACGTTGAAAGTTCCACTGGGAATAGCGAGTCGCGGTGCCTTGCTCCCCATAAACCCAAGGGATACAGTGTTATTGGCTGAGGAGTCAGTTTTTATTACCCCATTGCTCCGCAGTCGGGAGCTGCTCCGGTCTCCAAAATATCCACAACCCCAATTTTTCACTCTCCCAGAAGCATCAGACACGAGAGCTTCAGTTAATTATTGTGGAATTCGTTACCAATGTCGTGGAGTACGGAAAAGCGACCGAGTTCCACTCCGAGACCCCTTGATTAAATACCAGTGCGTTTATCATAAAATGGCCTGCTTTCCCAGGTGGTCTCATCACCTTCTCTACTGAGTACGATTGCAGCTGAATCTTTACAAAGGAAAATATTGCAAAGGATAAAAAGAAAAACAAGGCTGACGTCGGTGCAGCCGAGACAGGCAAATTTTCTCAGGCACGGCATTACTCCTCGGCACCCGGAAATAAGAGACACAGTAGACACAGTGGTAGAAAGAGGTGCGTCTCCAAATTTTACCTCTATACAGTATCCTTCTGGAACAATTCGCGCATGCAGGATGGTTGGCTGCGAACGATTGGGGAGGGGGCAGCACGTCGCAGATCACCGACCTTTCCGGGGTTCACCCTGTAAAGTCAAAGTCAAGTCAGGGGTTTGCACTTGAACCGATGGTATCCCATCGGGAAAGCCTCCGCGCTTTGTTGATGAACTGACTTTATCAGCGAGGCATTTTTTACTGATAAGTCGTATGTAACTTCAATCTGGTCAATGCATTTGGCATGAAACGTTGGAGAAGCGGAAATCATCGGTACGGCCACGTATTTGGTGGAATCTCCAATTTGCTGCACTGATGCTCAAGCAGTCAGTGAGCCTTTGAAGAGCGGAACCGTTTCCGATAAACGGTGACGGCAACTCCGTAACCAACGGATGACCTGCCGCTGCATCTCGCATATCTTGGGCTGTCATCAATTATCATCACCGTGCTCTGTATGGTAATCTCGGAAGATGACTGCAGGGTGGGTTCAGCCTAGTTCCCGATGTTAACGTTGCGTGATGTCTATATCGCTGAGCAATTCTTTATGTAAATATGGTCTCACTATCAAGACCCAACGGAACATCTTCTGTTTCTAGAAGCTCAGCAAAACCAAATGCTGTCCACTGGTGATTTGTACGAACGGGTGATTATCACGAGGTTGGTCCGTTCGCGGCAACGGTACCGAGATCACGGTCGTTCACACATGAAGCTTTCTTGGCGATATCCCACGTTATTATCAACAGCAGGTTTGGGAACGTGTTGGGGCTGATAATGGTCATAGCTTGGAGGGAATCGCTCACGTAATGGATATCTTTGTTCATGCATGATCTGTGCTGTGCGGAAGGGGGCGGAGCTGGTGGAGCTGGGCATGAGCTGAGGTATTTGCGTGATGACAGATTTCGATAATTGACTTTGTCCGAGCTGCCTTTGGGAGAGTAGGTTTGTGATGGTATGTGCAGATGGCTAGTGGAACGTGTCGAGCTTGATGAGTCTGACACAGGACTGGCTAAGTTGCAGTTTGTATTGCAGCAAGCGTTGATCACTGTGGTTGCTTTGATTGAACTCAAGTTCTCTATATAGGGACTTTACTGACTATTTATCATCTTTCTGTTCCTCTCTCACGGTTTGTTTCGGCTCATCATCGTGACACATACATTGAGATTACCCAATACTCCATATTAACCAAAGACGCTCAAGGCCTTCTTTCATGTGTTTCTCTCTAAATATTACCCTGGAGGTCTAGACTCAGCCATCCAAAAAGGCAAGTAATATGCATCTGCCAAGCCGGCCAAGGGATCATGCCAATGCTGGAATCTGCCATCCATGAAAGCGCCAAGTGATATATCCTGGGGGTGTTCATCAGACCCTTTCTCCGCTCCCCGCACGTGTCAATTCTTAGCATTCGCCAAGTTTATCCACTTGCCTTTCTGCTCTGCCACTCTCCGGGGTTTACGACATCTCGTTTGCTCAATGTGGATTCCGAATGGGTAAGCTACCGCGATGAGATGATAACCGCGCTCAGGCTTCAGAGGCAAGACAATAATAATACTTATGATTTTTGATATGAAAAAGTTCAAGTGATTATTTGACTTGATTCTGCTTCCAGCTGCGCTGCATCTGGATACTACTCATTGACTGGACACTAATAGAGCAGCTCCCATTTGCTAACTTTAAATCAAGGCGGGAATGCAATTTGACATGGGCTTATAGATTACACGCTACAATCACCTGGAGACATAGATATTACATAAACGTCCATGTCAAATTCATGGAAAGCATCGGGCCTTAAATATCCGATACAGGAAGCAACATATCCTCGGCAGATACCGAGGCACGGCTGTAAACTCTTCGTTCTAACTGCATAACAGTCAAGTTTGATATAGACTCATGCGTCGAATGTCCATGGGTTCTTCAGCGCACGTTCACTGACCGAAAAATACTCCTGGTAGATTCTGAGTACTCTCACCAGTCCTCTCTCTATATTCGCACGTGTCAGATATCCTGTTTCCTATGCTACGGTTTCGCAGGTCGCAATAGCAGTGGCCTAATGGCCCAAAGGAATAGGTACAGACTTGAGCGCAATCGGCCAGTAATTCATTTTGCAACCGAGCAAGATAAGCATACATAAGCTTGGCTGATACAATTGCCACTGAGACCTTGCTCTTATAGAATATTGTACACATATGAACAAGCTTAAGACTCACCATCTCAAGAGCTTAATGATTACCACTACCTATTAGCCAGACAGAATATGATACAATTAGGGCTCTGAAAACGTAACCGAATCAATCCAGGCTTCAGAGCCTGCATTACACATAAACCCAATATTAAGAGCCAAACCACCCTGATCGATCTGGCTCTGAGTATACGTACATGTATACGATATTTCTTGCCACTGATTGATAGTCCCCGGCTGCGTACCCATCGCCGCAACAACAAGGTTTCGCCGTCCAGCGAATAACCCTGCACTTCCATAAGCACAACCCAGCACCGCCAGGGTGCATCCATTTCCAGGGCGCACCCACGCGGAAGCTGGATATCCAACCCCAGCTTGAGGAGGCGACGAAAACACCTGGGTGATGTAGCTTGTTGATCCGCCAGCGGGGGAGAAGCTCATACGTGCAGAGCTTCTGCCATCGTGCTTGATGTTGGTGTCGAGGGATAGTGAGACGAGATTAGGCTGGGTGACGGTCCAAGGTTCTAGAGTGTCGTCGAATGAAAGATTTGTGACGGTGGGAGGACCAGCTGCGTCTGTAGTGGTTGTGGTTGTGACTTCAGAAGTTGTTGTACTCTCAACAGTGGTGGGGATTAGCTCTGTAGTTGAGATGGATGCTGTAGCAGCGGATTCTTGTGATGAGGTTGATATCTCGGTACTACTCTCGATGACAGTGGAGCTAATCTCAACGACTGAAGAAGTTTTCATGGTAGTAGAAGTGGCGTCTTCCGTAACTGTAGATATCCCGGTACTACTCTCGACAACAGTAGAACTTAGTTCCGTAGCTGAAGTTACTGAGATTGCAGTAGTATATGAGCCTTCTGTAGCGGTCGATTTCTCAACACAATCAGAAGTCAGTTCTTTGGTTGAAGAAACCTCCGGAATCGAAATAGCAGCAGTGGTAGTAGTGGCGTATCCTATGATAGTTGATATTTCAGTGCTGCTGTCGATAACAGTAGAGCTTAGTTCCGAAGCTGAAGTTGTTGAAAGTGCAATAGTAGCAGAGTCCTCTGTAGCAGTAGATTCCTCCGAACTACTTTCAGTCATCTCGGAACTCGTCTCTCTGGTTAAAGAGGTCTCGGTAGTTAAAACAGCCAAAGTGGTAGTGGCATCTGAGATAGTTGATGTCTCTGTGGTACTATCTATGATAGTAGAGCTTGGTTCTACTGTCAAAATAGTTGAACCCGCAGTAGTTGTAGCGTCTTCTGTTGCAGTGGTTGGCTCCACGTTGCTCTCGAAGATTGAAGACGCCACAGCTATACTTGAGGAGGTCACCGTAGTCGAGGCAATAGTTGCAGTAGTATCCCTTGACATAGTTGAAGTCTCACTCTCTGACTGGTCGGTAGTAAAGATCAAGTAGCCATCAGAGGAAACGTTGGTCGTTGAGAGGATAGGTTCGGCTGTACTGGTCGCCTTGGCGGAAGAAGACGTGATTTCAATTGTAGTCAGTATATCAGTCGTCCTGGCTCTCGGCTTACATGGACCGGCCTCAGAGCCTGCCAGTAAGAGCGCTGCTATAAAAGCAGTCATGATGGTCTTGGCGCTCATTTTCAACAGCATTGACGGTGAAGAATAACAAACAGAAACAAGGAAAAGAGTGAACAACAAGATATAGGACGGAAATAACTCCTATTTATTATTTACATAAAGAAAAATAAGCTTACTCGCTTGAAGAGCGTTCAGATCATATCATGCTGAGATTTTGCTCCGTAGGTGTTGGACTATTGGCAATAGTGTCAGCTTGGCAACAATAAAAGCATCACTTTCAAGGCGGTAAGCCAGGAGAAGATTCAGCTGCCAATCTTTAGTTTAATTAATATTAGCTCGCTTATATCAACAGAGTCAACTTGTTAGCATACTTAAAAGTCTCCGAAAAAGAATATTCTACCAGCGTTAGCTAAGCTTGTATCTCACTTTAACATCTAATGTCAAACTCCAAAGCCGGAATGATTCCAGAGACACTTCTCTGACCCCACAAAGACTCTAGAGTATCTCTTCCACACAACGCAGATTCAAATTGACCATTATTGATTGATTGATACTTAAAGCTTATGACGCCTCGGCGAGACATATCAAGCCACCACACTGAAAAATCCCATTTAACTTTAGCTTTTAGAAGGCAATATCCACATAGCCTCAACAAAGATAAGCCTCCTAGGGGAGGAAAGAAAACTCAGGACCTTAACCTTAAATAAATAAAATCTTTAGGTAAATTTAGCCTAAGCTTAGGGGACTCTTTACTTAGTTTATTTTGACACCCTAAATCAAGGTTTGGTGTTTTCTTGCCGCCCGAGGGCCTCTTAATTAAAAGCAGAATAATATACTTTTGTGATGACTCAATCAGTAACCTTGTTGACAGCTGCTGGAGGTATACAAATTGACCATTATCGATTTTTATTTATACCATAGGCTGTCTTAACGTGCCCTGTTAGGAAGTATTTCACGGTTAAACGGGATTCTAAAGTCAGCGCATGGTAACGAGCAAGAGGATGTTCAGAACCGAATCATAATTACAAACTTTATAGTTCCCTGTTGAGCCGGTTCGCGACATGAGGGGATGCCGTAAAGACAGTAATAGTTGTAGTTATTGTAACTGTGATTTCGCTAAAACTATAAAAATGGACGGATTCAGTTGATCAGCAAAGAGTTGAGTGAGATTGAGCAAGGACAGTGTGATTTTGTGTCCCTATACTAGCAGTTGACGAAACATTCAAATTCCTAGAATTAAGATTGTGTTGAGATATCGATACGGGACCCTTCCTATGAAGCTGAAATGTCATATACGGTCCTGAAATTTCCCCACCGAGACATTCCCTTCTGTGCCATGAGTCTGAGGCGTTATGTCTGCTCAGAAGTTCATGCATAGATTTATTGTCCGCGAACACTGCTAACGCGAATTGACCGTAGAAAGTCTCACGTATACATCAAAGGTATCACAGAACAGCCAGCAAGTCTTCCCAGAATTGTTAGTTCATTAATAACTTTTCATTATATGATTCTATATAACCCAACCCAATTTATACAATTCATCATCATATCGCATTAATTTATTTGAGCTTGAGGACAGCCTTGCCAAAGTTCTTGCCCTGGAGCATACCAATGAGGCCCTCAGCGGCGTTATCGATACCCTCAGTGACGTGAAGCTTGGCCTTTACACTGCCGTCGGCAAGCCAATTCTGGAGGTTCTCCTGGTGCTCCTTGTAGTAAGCAGGGCCGAATGCAGTGTTGCCGACGAGGAAACCCTCCATCTTGACCTGCTTGGCGATGAGGTTGATAAGACCCTTGGTACCTTGGCGCTGGTCGGCGGGGGTGTTGTACTCGGAGATCTGAAATTGATTAGTTATGCGATATTGAAAAGAAAAAGGGAGAAAAGAGTTAACTTACCAGACCGCAGACGGGGATTCGGCCACCGACGTTGATGTTGTCGAGAGCAGCCTCGAGGTGATCACCGCCGACGTTCTCGAAGTTAATATCGATACCGTTGGGGGCGAGACGGGGAAGAGCGTCCTTAGGGCTCTCCTTCTTATAGTTGAAACCAGCATCGAAACCAAGCTCCTTGGTGATGAAGTCAAGCTTGGCATCATCACCAACAGAACCAATAACAGTGAGACCCTCACGCTTGGCAATCTGGCCAACGATCTGACCAACAGCACCAGCAGCAGAGCTAATAAAGATAGTCTCGCCCTTCTTAGGCTTACCAATCTGGTGAAGACCAGACCAGGCGGTGAGACCAGGCATGCCCAGAGGACCGAGGAAAAGTCCAAGGTCAAGGTTGTGAGGGTTCTGGACCTTTCTCAAGTTGACCTTGGGAAGGGTGTCCTTGTCGACGCGGACGTACTCGGCGATGGGGAGGAAGCCGGTGACGAGATCGCCCTCGGAGAAGTCAGAGGTGTCGCTCTTGATGATCTTGCCAAGGGTGCCGTTGACGATGGGGTCGTTGATCTCGAAGGCGGGGGCGTATGACTTGACTGATGTGTCGCGCATCTTTCCGCGCAGGTAGGGATCGAAAGAGGCATATTGAAGCTCGACGATGACACCGCCCTGGGGAGCAGAGTCGATATCGACGGGGCGGTCCTCAATGACGAGATGCTCGCCGGCGACGGGGAGACCAGTCGGGATCTTTTTGTAAACGAGAGTCTTGTTCTGTGTCATTTTGGCGGTACGTGATGTGTGTGGTGTGAGAGGGGTATGAGATGAGATGAAGTGTATGAGATGAGATGAGAGTGAAGGGTATATAAGATGAAAGACGAAGATATGATAGAATATGAGGAATAAACGACGTCACTGCAACTTTTATAAGACACGGTGCATCAAGTACCGAAGCCACGTCAAAGTGGCGCTGGGCATTATACCGAGGCTCGTCGCAGGCTTGATTTGTAAGGGAGGAAACAGCATTGAGAATTTCTTGGACAACTAAAACGTCACAGCGCGGGAATGGTCCACATACACGGTGATGTTTCCCGAAGCGGTAATGACCTCATGGATGATGGTTGAATCACATCACGCAATCTCTCAGTGACAGCTTGAAACAAGGTGTGTTTATGTTACATGCCGAGGTTTACTATGTATGAGTAAGCCAATGCAGTAAGATTCTTATTGCTTCTCGATAATATGTAGATTCTGATATGAGAAACGGGAGCGGGGTGCAGGCTCAGCAGTGGATTGCTCGGATAATTAGCTGAGAATGGATTTGATGCGCTCTACTCCGTACCTCGGTCGGCGTCTCCGTTTCTTTTGGTTGGTCGTAGAATCAAACCGTAGAATTCTTTACATGCTTCTAGCGCTGTCTATCATTTATTTTCTGCATTAACGCCGAGTGCTTTCCGGTCTGTTCGTTTTCCTTCAACGTTATTTAAAAAAAAATGGAGAGACGTGAAAAGTCTAAGACTGCTGAGTAATGAAGCAAGAGTCATGCCAAGCGTCAAACCTGCAAACCCACGAGTCAAGTCATGGTGGCGACCTTCTACGTGGCAGTAAACTCTAACAATTTCTCACCAACCAATCTAATACCGTATCAACACTGCCGAGCCTCACAGACAATTCTGTTTTCGTGATAGCTTCAATCAAGCCATGTACTTACCCTAAAGCATTTCACGCATCAAAGTATAACCGAACCCCGAAAGCTTATTCCTCTTCTCCTCTCTGTTTTCACAATCACATCACCCCACCAGATAACCTGCGATAAACCTCCTCCCCCGCTGGCAGCCCTGAGAAAAACCACCATGACTCGGAAGTCAACCAGGCAGGGTGCGATTGAACCATGCAAGGAAACTACAGGAAGATCCAGCCGGCTCCGAGAGACGACGCCGATGAGATCGACCGCAAGTTCCGCGTGGCCAAACGCAAGCGCCAGCATGTCAGGATAGCCTGTAATCCCTGCCGCGAAAAGAAACGCGCCGTGAGTCTCATCACCGACTCAACAATCCCATGGTCACTAATAGAGAAATGGAAAAAAGTGTAATGGTATTGAACCGACCTGTGATCAGTGTCAAACTCGCAGTCTGGCGTGTATCTACCGCATACCACCCAAGACAGTTGACTCAACAATCAAGATTCAGAAACAGCTTGATACCCTGCAGCACAGCTTTAATCACTACGCGGACATCGTAGACCAGCTCAAGACACTACCTGAAACAGATGCGCTCAAGCTTCTGCAGAGGCTGAGATCCCCGGCGGATGTGAATGGGGCTTTTGCGTCGTTGCAGGGGAGTGTACATACCAGGATGCGACTGTCGAATCACAGGACGGCACAGGCTATACTGCCGACTACGAATTCAAGGCTCGAGTTTGAGCTCACAGCGTTGCATGGCATTGTCTACCCGACGCTGGTGCCGATTGATATTACGTCTCTGGGGATATCGCCTCTGGAAAAACCGGCGCTTCCTGTGGCGCGGACGGAGAGTTTGATGCAGAAGATATCACCAGCGAGTCCTGTTGTACTTTCGTCGGATAGAAGCCGTCAGCTTTGCGATAGTCGGCTGGAGGAGATTGATATTTCGTACTGGACGAAAGTTCCGATCAGCAATGAAACTGCTGCGGCGATGATCTCGTTATTTCTGGAGACGGATCAGACGATCGTGGGGTTTGTTGATGCCGATCTATTCGTCGAGAGTCTTGTGGAGCGAACTCCCCATTTCTGCTCTACGTTCCTAGTCAGCGCGATGTTATACGTTGCTTGTGTGAGTGCAGTGGTTTCTTCTTTTTCTTGTATTTATCAAACACGTACTGACTCAGTATGGGCGACAGCATGCATATACAGCCTTCGATCTGGAATCCGTAGCCGTTGGCCGTCTCTGCTTCCAAGAAACGGAAAGGCTGTTTCGCGCTGAGGGCTCCTTCGACGACATCATCACCCTAGCAGCCATCAACACCTTCAGCCTCGCCTGTCGCTTCCACGGACACGAGATGCTAGCTCAGGAACTGGTTGCTTCTGCTCGCCACATGGGGAAGAGGCTGGGCCTGTACGGCGTCCCGCTGGATAGTCCGTCGTCGCTGGCGTTCCAGGAGTTGCCTGATGACTTGGTCCGGATGACTGCACATGTTGCCTGGGGCACTTACAACTGGTTAACGTAAGTGAGTCGCCAAAAATGGTTCATTCGCATTTTTTCTGAGAGTTTTTTCAACACAGGATTCATGTTCTGTTTTTTCACGATGAGAGTATAGCGATACCGCCTGCTCTACCAGTACCTGGACATGAGCGACATGATGACATGTGGCCTCAGCATCCGCTGCCAGAATACATGGGCTCCTCGTTCACCAAGCTGTGCGAGTACTTCACGGTGATCCAGGAGGTAGCCGTGGTATATTCCATAGGGGACGGGAAACCTGTCGTTGACCATGTCCCCATTGCTTTCGCAGAAGCCAAATACCAGAAAATCCTAGCCTGGGCGGATTCTCTCGGTAAAGGAATGGCATGGGATCAGAACAGCCAAGAGCACGTCATGCTATTCCAGTGAGTCCACAAACTCTCCTCGAGGTATTCTGCTGACTCGATACTTTAGCATGTGGTTCCACTGCGCAGTCCTGGATATCTTTCGCCCCTTCGCCCACGGCCGCCACAAAAACTATACCCTCAAATCCTTCTCCTCCCAAGACAGCACCCCGAAAACCATCTTCTCCGCCTCCCTGAACCAGCTAAAACGGCTCGCCCTACTCTACCGCACGCAGCAAATGCCCAACAGCTACATGCCCTACATCAACATATCCCTAATCCACATCGCCAACACAATCTGTAGGGAAACAAACGACCCCACGGCCAAGTTTTACTTTCTCCTGTGCATACGCTACTGGCAGCACTTGTACGTAGGATATCCCATATTCGGGGGGATAGCACAGGCGTTCCTGACAATGGCGATAAATAACGGGTTGATCACGAACAGAGAGGCCAAGAGGCTGATGGCGGAGGTTAAGGCGCAGGGGGGGCATCATGATGAAGGGATCTCGACGAGTTTGATTGTGGATTTTGACTTGGCCATGACGAATAGGGACGAGGCCGATGTCCAGGCTGTTGCGCAGAAGTTTGAGGAGGTGGCGCTGTTTGATGAGTTTGCGGTGTACAAGAAGGAGGATTAGACGGGCGTTGGATTGAGGAGTGTCTTAGGAGTTATTATACCCTTGCATAGCTTGTCTTGTTTACATTATCGGTTATGGGACCAGGCATAGAATATGAAATAATTATGTGCTGTGTTTAATCATTACCTTTACAAGAGTTTGAATAGCTTCTCCTGAATCTCTTGGTTTTCACTCCGCTTGTCTTTCTCCCAAGCATCAATAGCCTCGCCGTCCATAAGCTCATGTACGTAAGCTGCCCCAAGAAACAAATACTTATCTGCAGTCGTTGGCCGTATGACATATGGTGTTCCGCCTCCAAACAGAACACAAACAACATCCCCAGGCCTCATACAACGCGGTCCGAAACCGATATAACCCGTGCCTGTAAGAAATATCTTGCTGTCATGAGAAGCCTCAATCAACTCTTCAAACCGCTGCGGCCCCATGACAAAATCGAAGTCGATCCTGCTCAGCATATCCAAATCAGCCGCTACGACTGAGGGATCATGGGAATAAAGAGTGTCGAGCATTCTTTTCAAGAATTCGAAATCCTCGGGCGATGTCCAGCATGGCTCTACCGGCAGAGAAATAGCTTTTGCGGCGAGCCTCACGAGCTCGAGGTATCTCCTCTGCTCGGGTTCTCTGCCGTCTTGGGAGATGTGAGAATGGATCATGAATTGCAGGGCAAAGGATATGAAATTATTGATGTATCCGTCGTCGGTTGGACGGGTTGTGACGTGGTTGATCATAGGGCCAGAGCTCTCATGGCCGGCCATCAGTGTCAGGAGGATCGTTCGGATGATATTTAAGCCGTATCTTTTGTTAAACACTTCCTTGTTATGTGTGATCATGTCAACGACAGCGGGAATGTCTTGGCGGATGTCGGTTCCTCTATCACACATGTCTCTGACTGAATCGGCCTGGATACCTCTCAGACTCAGTACCTTTTCGTTCCTTGATGGAACTAACACCATCGGTACGTCTCGTGAAGCAGTGAAATGGTAGTTGAGCAAATAGTGCTTATGTGAATCGTCATCATAGTGCCATCTCGGTGCCCAAAGAGGATGGCGTTCTAGGTCCTCAGGATCTTCCACATATGAATGATCGAGAATATTCAAATTATCTTCCGCCACTACCACCGAACGAGCAAAATCTGAAAAGACCTCTGTCTCACTCCTACTATAGTCTGGCACAATGTCGTAGGCTCGATCGCCAGCGAGTCCTATTAATGCAAAGATCTTGTCACGCACGTCTGTTGCGGTGGATGACGATGTCGACGAGACCAGATGCAGGAGACTGTCCTCCCCTACTTTATAGTGCCCCATGTACAACAGGGCGACCGGGTTCCACAACACGCCTGGTGAGCCTTTTTCAACGTCCACGTCGGAGAGTTTATAGTAGAGAGCGGCTAATCTGAAATTTATGAAGTCGCGTTTGGAGATGGTGATGTCTCCCCAAAGCAGCGCGAAATCGGAGGCGACTGCGACTTCTTGTATGATCCAGACTCTTGAAAAGTACGGCGCCCTAAGCATTGCGTTCAAGGCGTCCCAGGCAGGTGAATCTCGTGTTGGCAGGCCCAGCTCGAGCAGTTCGTGGTCCTCAGGGAAGACATCTTTATCATAAAGAAGAGGCTTCGGATTTGCCAGAGTTGAGATGATTCCAGCTGCGGAGGCTGCTGCATCTGGATCAGCAGGGCCAAGCCATGCATTAACTAGTTCTGCATTGGAGTAGATATGCCTCATGATGCTGACTTGCTCTGATCTCTCTGCTATGGAGTCTTGGTCTATGCAAATCTGATCGATCCATATGTGCCGTGGCTCTCCGGGGAGTCTGAGGCGTCTTAGGGCTGTGTCAAGACCGTCTGTGATGTTCAAGTCTTGACCGTTGCACTTGATTGCCTTGATTCGATCCGGAGGTCCCCACACATAGCTCAGAGCTTCATACTGAGGGGTTGCTTTGATTGGGTGCGTATGTAGTGTACCGCAGAGCTCATCACCGTGTCTTCCGGGATCAAGCGTAAATATTCGGATGGAGTCCTGACCTAATTGTTCATCGTATTTGTATGACAGGCTACCTTGAGCCTAGTCAGCAAAGCTTGATACACTTGACGGGAGACATACGCCTTGAGCAATAGATATATGATGGGCTTTTAAAAGGACCATGACGTCGCCATACAGGGGATCTAGCACGTAGTGTCTCTAAGCTGAGGGATAAAAGTGGCACGAAGCCTTTCCGTTTCAGTGATGAACACATCGTATCATGATGGACGAGGATTGCTTCAATGCAGAAGATTACATTGTCTCATGAGTAACAGTATCAGAGATTGAAGTAAATAGCTCGCGCTAGAGCATCGTATATATGAAGTCGGTTGATGCTTGTATCAAACACAGCCTCGTACTTTGGAAATTAGGCAGCCACTGCCTGATTGGGATTTCAGTCTTCACGTGCTTGTCTCAGCCGCATCTGCAACCTTACAAATAACAAATCAACCAAGCTCCGAAGTGGAAAATGCTTAACTTGATGGCGCCTATTTGCAATTCTACATTACTTATTTATTGGTATTCTTCCATTTGTCTCTGATGTTCTTTAGAGCATGCTGCCAGAGGCCTTACTGACATTAAGTAATGGTAATCTTGGTCAACCCGTATAACCAGATGTCCAGTGTTTCTCAATATTGAGGTTCCTCGGCCATTCCGAGACGAACATCGCGGCTCAAATGGGACGTGGTTGGGACCTTGTCATACCCGAGCAATGATTGGTCACCCAGAAGAATTGGGTGATCTGGGACCCTGTCATGCCCAAGAGGTGATTGATCAGGCCCTGGGACTGCACTTGGACCCTTGAAAAGTCGGATGTAGAGCGAACCTGTCAAAAAGCCTAATTATTAGTTAATAATGCATCAAGCCTAGCAAGTAACCCTAGAAATTTGCGTTCAGAATGGCTCTTCCTCGTCACACTCTTCGACTTTGTACTTGTACTGCCAACTTTCAACTCTCCAAAGTTTCTAGGACTTCGTTTATGGGTCATCGCTTCTCTAATATTTACAAAAGCTTATTCTCTCAAGATGAATGGACATGGAGATTTAAACAACTCCCACGCTGGGAGGACGGCAGTTGAGCTGACCCCCGACCCAACCTACGCCTATCGATCCCTCGCCATTGAGCCATCCAAAGATGATACTGAAATCCGAGAGAAATACCGCCCGTTTCTTCTTGAAGACGAGTTCGATAAAGATGATTGGGTTGCAGAATTGGAGCTGAGCACAGCTATCCAAATGGTTCAGTCTGAGATTCTCGATAAAGGTCTAGATCGTCTGCGCATTCTGGTCCTCTACGGTAGTCTACGGAGTCGGTAGGTATTCATCCGCAGGCTTGAATGCGAATAATGACCTCACCTTCCTTCAGATCATATTCCCGTCTCCTCGCCTTCGAAGCCTCACGGATCCTCCACCGTCTCGGCTGTGATGTTCGAGTCTACGACCCAACCGGCCTCCCTCAAAAAGACGATGTTCAGCACAATCACCCAAAAGTTCAAGAGCTCCGTGAGCTGAGCAAATGGAGTGATGGCCATGTTTGGATAAGTCCAGAGCAACATGGAAACCTCGTAAGCCCTACAATAATCCAGCCACCGATGATAAACACCTAACACAAGAGCAGACCGGCATCTTCAAACAACAAATAGACTGGATCCCCCTCTCAACTGGCTCCGTCCGCCCAACACAAGGTCGAACCCTCGCCATCGCCCAAGTCAGCGGGGGGTCACAATCCTTTAATGCTGTCAACTCGTTGCGAATTCTCGGACGATGGATGAGAATGTTTACAATACCGAATCAGAGTTCTGTGCCAAAGGCTTATACACAATTTACATCTGAGGACGAGGGAAGTCGCATGCTACCGAGTGGAAATCGCGATCGTCTTGTCGATTGCATGGAGGAGCTTGTGAAGTATACTATTGTTATGAGGCCGCACTTTGACCTCTTTGGGGATCGGTTCAGTGAGAGGGAGGAGAGGAGGGTGAAAGAGAAGAACGAGGAAGTCAAATAGATGAGATCAAGATATCATGTTAGATAAGTAGATTGAGCTAATTGTTTCGGATCAGATGAAAATGTAGTACATCGTCAAATAGATTGCGCTGGGCTGAACGAGGCAGAGCCTTGACATGCCGACCACAACTCAATCATGACAAGAGAGGCGAGGACAGCAAGTATCAGGATATACAAACTATCGCGAACTCATTCAGCCGGCTCAAATAAAACCAGCGATATCCAACTCTATCTATCAATTGTACACCGGTAAATCCCAAGGTCTTACGTCTTCATCGTTGCTTCGTCGCTCAACCCCCAAAAAGCAGCCCCAGCCCATATCTGTTCTCCAATACGCCCGGACGATGCGTCAAATCGACCATGTCCCATATGCACCCCACCCATCCGATGCTAAATGCCAACCCGGTCTATTGTATTTTTTGTTGTTTTGTCGCAGTGAGCTCATGCGGCGTCGGCTTCCTGCTCGGCGAGGTTCTCATCCGAGCCTTGCCAATCGTCGCTCTCAAGGCCGTCGCGGCGGATGAAGAGAGATGAGACCCAGCCCAAAATGGCCAGACCGCCGAAGATGCTCCAGGCCAATGCCTCGCCCTTGGGTCGAATGTTGATGGACAGACTGAAGAGACCGCCTGACACGAAGGGTCCGAAGCTGCGACCAAGAGCCGAGAGGGTTTGCGCCATGCCATTGAGGCTACCCAGGCTGGAGTGCGATGGAGCAGAGTTGGTGATCTATTGAGGTTAGTAACGTTCGAATGATAGCGCACAACGTTGGAGGGCTCACCAAAAGCATGACACTGGATAGACCGCCCACGGCGCACAGGTTCTTCAAGATCAATACCACACCAAGCTCAATATACAACCACATTTTGCCGCTTCCCAGGCCAAACAAAGGCTTGCTATCGGCGTAGCCAACCCATGGCATAAGCAGCATGCTGATACCCAGTCCCAGAAGCGAGATTTGGTAGGTACCGAGATTACCCAATCTGACCTTGAGCGCCTGGAAGAGGAAGGCTTGGAAGATGCAGCTTGCCAAACCTGCAATGCTCAGACTGATGCCAATCTTACTGGGCAACAAGTCGCGGCCGGCAGGTGCTGGTGTAGCGGCAAAGATGGGGTATAAGCTGTTGAATGAGATGTTGGAGAGTTGGAAGACGAGATACGTAAACAGAATGAGGATCGTGGTTCGGCTAAGGTCTTTCCATGCAGACATTGCCGGATCCGCCTTGTTGTCGCTATCGTCGTCGTCGTTCTCCGTCTCTTCGTCATCGGATTCCGATTCGAGGGCTCGTCCGGAGGAGAGAAGGGGCTGGTTCTGCGATTGGGATCGAGGCCAGCGCGCGCTCCATGATGCTCGTCGAGGCGGGGGCGTGGGTGAGGAGAACCAGGAAATAATCTTCTCAACCCAGGCAGGCTTCTCAAAGTTGACTTCTGTCTTGTCCAGTGTCTCTTCGAACCAGATGCTGACCACCACCACGCTAAGAGCGAGGAGACCAGCGGACAGAATGTTGGGGGCAAGATAAGGGTATTCTTTACCCATCCTGCCGACAAGAATGCCGCCCAGCGCAGGTCCGGTGATGCTGCCGAGGGAATAGATGACGGGGAGGTACGTGAAGGCGCGACTCTGGTTAGAGCGGTCTGTAACCTCACCCAGTACAGTCGGAACACACGCGGCATTTCCATTGAGGAGACCCATTGCGACATGGACGACTACGATCTGCCAGTATTCCTTGCAGAAGCCGAATACGCAGAAGCATCCCATCAAAGCTGTTGTGCCCATGATCAGAACCGGCTTGCGTCCAATGACATCCGAGGCATATCCCCAGAGGAAATTGGTCGACAGCTGCGCCAAGGCGAAAGAACTCGCGAGGATTCCCACATATAGACCGGCCTCGTCGTCAGGAATACCGGGCATATTGAGTACCATCTCAGGTAAATACGGCGATATCGAGTTCAGCGCGGTCTGCTCCGCAAGGGAGAGAAACGCCAGCAACAGCAGTTGTCGCACAGGCAGAGGCGTCTCTTCGTGGTCGTCATCATCTTCGGAATCGCTTCCATTCGACGGAGCATACGGTTGCTCGAGAGGTGTCTTGGGAGGAGTGGTAGGAAAAGTCTGGTATCGATGGGACTGTCGTCGCAAGGAGCTGAGAGTAGGGATCGGCGCGCCAGCATGGAATGAACCAGACGAGGCTGTTCGATTGACAGCCATGGCCCTGGCGGCGGCGTTGGAGGAGTTATTTCGTGAGGGCGCCATGATGAAGAAGTCAATTCTTGCAGTCCAAAGGCCTCTTCAGACCTTGGGAAAGCGTAGGAGGATGATCACCTCTCAAGCTTTGGAGGATCGAGTCGAGAGAGTGGTGACGTAGGATGTGCGTAGCGGATCTGGAGAGAATTATTTGGCGGGGCTGACACGCGCCACGATGAGAACAAGGCTCTAGCTTGGCATTTGCTTAAAAGTCCGTCAAGCCTTGATGCGAATGATGAGTATCCAAGATGATCGACCAATCTTCAATTGAGGTGAGACATCAATGTTGGATCGCTTGCAGTTGATTGATGGCCCGAATATCGGCCGATCGGTCTTTTCTGGGCAGGTGCAGGAAGAAAAAATGCAGGTGATTGTTGTTCCTGCCCTCGTGAGCCTGTCGCAAGGTACGATCGCTGATGTAATTGTGGGTCCATGACGATGAGCATCCAATGACGTGTAACCGTTTGTGATGGCGGCGGGCGGCTTACTCCGGCGAAAGCCCAAGAGAAGCTTATCCAAGTTTGTGATTGTTGAAATCGCTCTGTTGAAGATTTGCTCGAGATCTCGATTGCACGTGCTTAGATGCCTTTTGGGGAACATGAGGATATGATGCAATTGGTGAGATGCGGATGAGATTGATTGCGCGTGTATGCCTACCCTGTATGAGACGAGGTTCTTGGCCGAGGGATTGGAGCCTCGTATATACCTCCAAGGCCGGCCAAAGGGTCATTATCTAGGTTTTCCTCTGACGGCTTTATGCTGTAGCAATTGGTCAGTCATTATGGCACAATGTATAAGTTGTGAGGTAGATATGTTATTTGCAGTTGAGACTTGTGGCTAAGAGCTTAGTCCAAGAGTCAGAACTTAGTTCATCCCGACTGAATGTCCGTTACACACTATCCCTCAACCGGATCTGTAAATGCCTTATATCAACAATTGGGAACATGAGGCTGTTTGCCAGTCAGTCTTATACAAGAATTGACGCAGCCATCCGTGAACTGAGATAGTACCTCCCTCGCAGTTTGACAATTTCAGGTCAGCATTGCTTCATGTTCCTAATTACGACGCCAGGAATTCATCAAGATAAGCGTAATTGGTTTAGTGGTAAAATTCTCCGTTGCCATCCGAGCAGCGTCGGGGAGCCCAGGGTTCGATTCCCTGATTACGCAGTACAACCTCTTCTTTTGCTCTTCTCGAGTCTTTTATCTCTTTTTGTCGATATCGCGATGTTCTGATCTTCGTGTTTTGAGTTTTGATGCTGTGGCAGAACTGGTGGCTGTGTTGTGTGGCGCGCTGTAAATAGCTAAGTATCTCTGCCCTATAAACTTTCAAGCGCTGGATTATCAGGATCAGAATGACATTAATGAGTATGAATTAAATTAACTGATAATTGCATCTTCCTCTTTATATAGCCCTACACCCTCCTGTACCAGCATATCTATCTCTTCCTCGATAGACACCTCCTCTACACTGCTCTGTGGAAAATTGTAATCTGTAAGGGTAGGGTAATCCGTAGAGTCCAGAAAGCTTCTAAGGGCGCGATCGCGTGGGACTCCGAGTCCGAAGCTGTCAATGAGGTCTCTAAATGGCTCCTGGTCGAGAATTCGATGACAAAGAACCCGGGGAGGTTCTCCTCGACGACGCGCAATATGTCGTACGTGTGCATGAGGCTTGGTAAAAGAAGCTGCAAGCTCGCGGATCCTGCTAAACTCGGTTGAGATGTTCCGCAAGGCGGCCACAGTCAGTAGCCGGTCTATCAAAAACTGTAGATCGACCTCTAACGTGACCCAGACCTCCACTTCGGAAGCTCTATAAAACAGCCATCTACCGTCACCTGCGAGGAATAATATGACTCTTCTATGCAAGTCCGGACAGGTCTGCACCAGGACTTCGATCACGTCAAGAAACGACCTTGTCCTGCCACAAGGATTTTCCGTCGGCAGGAACTGGCTCAATGCGCCATAGAGAAGTGACTCGAATGCCGTGGTGTGTTTGGAAATAGATATTCCGTGTCCCAGCCACTGGAATGACGTATCGAGCTTTTTGGCGACATGCGCCTCTCCACCAAGTTCAATCATTCTTTGAATTATCCTGACTGCTAGTTCGGGTCTTGACGGTGGTAGACTTGCGAGTGCCAACTCATAAATGCTGTTGGTAGCAAGGTCCGGTGAGGGAGTCTGCAAAAAAGAAGAAGTGACAAAATCGTCGAAAGCAGTAAGACCATATGCCGCGACACACGGCCAGGACCGAAGAGGCTCCTCGAACCATAGATCAATATCCAGAGCACCAGTTTCATAGAGGCCTCTCATTGTTCCAAGTATCTCCAACATGATATCTTTATTCGCTCCCTTGTCGTTCAGCTTATTACAGCTAACAAAATCTTCATTACCATTAGACACGACCCCAAGCTCACGGTAGTAGGTGTTCGCCAGATTGAGTCGACATTGAAGCAGTTTGAGTTCTGTATCAACCAAGGTTGTTTCTTTTGACTTGTAAGTAAGGATTGTTTGACCAGCTTCTGTATCAATCAGAAAGTCATGAGCTGTGCGGTGAATGAACTGGACTGGTCGTGTGAGTGAACGGATCACTTCCGGAAGACCCTCTCCATTGTCGGCAAAACCACATTGTCGACCAACTTGTAGCATACCAGCGCATCGGGTTCGAATGTCGCATTCTGTCGCCTTGCACAGGGTACTCAACTCCGGCAGTGTCTTCTCATTAGAGTTGGGTGGGAAGATGAAACGGTCCTCAACCTTTATTGCGAGTGATAGTTGAACCAGGTTAGGCTCTTTCATGTAGCAAAAGTTTCCATCCTGTGCCTCCAGGCTTGTAACCCATCCGTCAGCAATGACAAAACGGAAGTACCTTGCGGCAGTCTCGCGGTATACTCGATCATTTCCGTTTAGTCTCTCCCACATGGTCTGATAAAGAGACTCAAGCTCATCAGGGAGTTCACTTAGCCTTTCAAAAATCAAAGCTTGATCATCATCCTTCAATATTCCATCGGTAACGCTTTTTATAGCAAGGGCAAGCCAGAGGAACACCCCTTGCGCTTTATCCAAAAGGGTATCCGTGAACACTTCCAGCGGTAAGCCGGCGGACTTCTCCTTTGGCAATGTCTCGAATTGCTTGCGTAGGTAGACTACCATCTCAGGTTTGGTGAGATCTTCTAGACGTAGATTCTGCGCTCCAATACTTTCGAGCCCTTTGACTATTTCTGTTTCAGGTCGACTTGACACACATACTTTCACTCGCTGACATAACGCGAGTCTTTGGATGACACTGAGTAGTGCCCGGTAACCATCATTGTTCGATATTTCGTCAAGGCCATCGATGAAAATGCATGTTGACTGAGCGCCAGCATCCAAAAGATACAAGAGAACTTTCTGGGCTTCTTTAGGCGACCATTCCTTATAGAAGTCCTTTTCTTGGGAGAACTTAAATCTCTCCAGTACTTCGTCGACGGCATCGGCATCTTCTGATAGGAGATTGTAAAGCAAAGAACACAAAAGGCCTCGAATGCTGTTTTGAGGTTCACTTCCGATCTTCCAGAAGAAATGCGATAGAAGTCTAGTGTTTGGTTTCCAGGAGCCAAGCAAACGCTTCGTGTTGTCGTTGTCGATAACGAATTTGACCAAAGTGCTTTTCCCTGATCCTGGCTTGCCTCGAATCCAGAATAGTTTATCACCTGACTGCAGCCAGGCACTGAAGTGTTCCCATATATGATCAATCTCATCGACCTCCTCTTCAAATCTTGCCTTTTCCAATTCAGCATCGCTTCCGTCATCATATTTCTGTTCATACTCGTCCCATGACTTGTATTTTGGGTCTCGGCGACAGACACGCTCATACGATGCGAAAACCCTTTCGAAACAAGCGTCTGATGATGGCAGCACATTATTATATCTCTCTCTGATTTCTTCGGACTTGAGGCTTTTCAAGAGCCGTTGGCGCTGGCTGTCTGAAATGTTCTTGGTGCCCAAAGACTTGAACTCGGAGGTGACGTGGGTGTTGATGGCATCCCGTGTAGTTTGGGCCTCGATAGAAACGAGTTGCTCTACCCTGGTAAATCCTTCCGCAATCTTCAGAATGAGGTTTTGGACGTCAATCTCTAGGCTTTGGAACCCTTGGCTCTGTTTTCGAGCTATCGCGGTGTCCTGGTCGCTTTTCATATCAAGCTGTTAGCAGGCGTTGATGAGATGAACCCTGAATTGAATACTCACCATATCTTCAACAGAAGTTCAGTCTCCATCAATTCCTTGCATTTCTTGAAGTATTCATTCAACTGATTAAGTTTGGATCTATGTCTTTGCGCCCCAAAAGCAGAATAGAAGGACTTGAACACTTTGCCCTTTTGGTACCGCTTGGTAAGCTTCTGAGCTTCTTTCCTCAGATCTGTAGCTGCATCTATGCAATCCTGTGATACCTTGGATAGTTTGTCGCCGACCTGGTTTCCCTGGAACATTTGGGTGCCTCGAGACTGAACGCGACGGGCCGCCTCCATCATCTTGATCGAGTACTCCTCAAGCTCGTGCTCAGAGGTAAGTTTTCCATCGTAAATCCTGAAACTGAGGGAGACTAAGCTCCCAGCAAACGAGATCAACTGGATAATAGCGCTGGCAGCGCCCAAGGCCTCTAATCCGGTTGCCATCCCGACCTTCTACGTTGTCGGGGTGAGATATTTTCTTGACCTCTGAGGCCGATGGGTAAGTCCGGTGTTGAGGGAGGGAGAGTCGAAGCTGGAAGAATTGGGCAGACATTGGGCGGCACTCCTCCCCTAGGCAGAAGACCACTGCGTCAAAATCTGACTGCATTTGTGATGCTGTGCTATGTTGTTGTCCAATCACGCGTGTCGTTTCAAGCCCAGTTTCACCTGCAGGATGCGTTAGCTGTGGCTGTTGGACATGGTTTTATTCCGGGGAAAATCCTGACTGGGCTTCTCATCAAGCGAGAAACGCACTATCTCTTTTATAGAATGATTGCAATTTCATCAAATATTATACACAAACACTCTATTCCTTTCTCGGCATCGAATCTTATATGCGGCTGACTCCAGCGTCTAACACTTGCAACATGATCTGACCAAAAGCTGGCAACCAGGTTGTGCAGTGTAGGTATCTGAGTGGATGTCGGGGGAATAGAGAACGCTATGTAATTTAAACTTCTCGCTTGGTGACTAGACAATTATCTTACTCACGATATGTCCTCAACTGATCCGAATAGGCCTTTGGTCATTAATTTCGGGGTAGAATTATCAGTCCATAGCCCTAGATAGAAATAAACCCGAAATATTATACTAGAATTTCAGTGCGAGCAGCTTTGAGCATATTACATACGAAGACAAAATTCATGTAAGAGAGCGCCTTAATGTTGCAATCACCTATATTAGTTGCAACGCCGTTCAATATTCCGCTTACCTGGACCACTAAAAACTTGCTCAACCACCGATTCGGTGAATGTTTGTCCCCGAAAAGTGTCATAAAGTGTCCGAGTAAAGAGAGAAAAGAGTCCGAAAAGCCATATAATAACTAAGAAACCGCCAAACCCTCCCTGCCTGGGGAAATTTGCCCCAAATCTTCCGTGAGAGATTCTCCAGTAACTCATATCGTGACGTAATTCTGCCTACTTTGACTTGACTAGATCTTCCATCATCAGCTTCAGCGAGAGCAAGACAACATGGCCCACGCAAAAGCCCAAGACGAGCTTCAGAAGCGTTACGAAGAAGGATCCCAGTCTCTGGAAGATCCCGAGGTGGAGCACATGATCCGCCAGGCGGATGAGATGATGGGAAAACCGGCACGCATGCTGATCGCGCGAGCAGGACTAGAAGGTTCCACCACTGCAAGCTTCAGTCTTCTTGACCATGGGTGTGGCACAGGTCTGATCGCATCCTGTCTTCAAGAAGTGATTCAGCCTTCGGTCCTGTCACAGAGCAGGATTTTCTGTGCCGACATTAATGCGCGGTTTGTTGATATTCTCCTGCAGCGCGCGCGGAGAGACCAATGGATCAACGTCGAGGCTGGCGTGCTGGATGCTCAAGTAAGGTCCTTGACGATGTGCTACAGCTTTTCGAATACTGATAAAACTAGGACTCAGGTCTTCCCAAGCACTCGTTCAGTCATGTAACCATGAATTTCGCCATGCATATCATCCCTGACCCAGCAGTAGTCCTGCGCGGTAAGTCTTCATCTTCAACTCAATAGCCTCTCTGTCATCTGACATTGCTAAACAAGATACGATTCGCATTCTTCGACCTGGCGGCCTCGTGGCATTCAGTGTGCCGCATGCCAACAACGGTCATGATGGCGGATGGGTACCAGATCTCCGATCAGCACTCGAATCTCTCCCCTTCCAGACGTCGTTTCCGGACCCAATGCCGGTGGCCCTTCACGGTAAGCCGGAATGGGTAGAGCCTGAAAGCATTGAAACGGAGCTGGCCCGTCACGGCTTCGTTGATGTCAAGATCGAAACTGTTGGTTCCATCCATCCCGTTGCCAATGCCGAAGGCTTTTTAGCTTCGTTTGGAATGATGATTAAGTGGATAATCAACACGTATTGGACTGTGGAGCAGAAGGAGCAGTATGAAGATGATTTCAATAAGATCCTGGTCGAGCATCTCCAGATTAAGCATGGTGGGAAAGGCTGGGACCTCAAATCAACAGCTATACTTGTTACGGCTCGGACGCCGCAGTAGTTTATATGCCACATAGTGTATAATGAATACATGATTCAGCTTGAGCTTAATACTAAGTACTTAATAATTTAGGAATCCTGTTAAGAAAATCTATCTAATTTTCCCGTTACTCCAAAGTCAGCATATTCTCAGGCATGATATCCGGATCCCCTATCTGATGCACAATCGACAAAAACTCCTCCGAAGAAATCCCAATATTATCAAGAAACTCCATATCACTCGTCATAGGATTCTGTACGCAATTCATCGGAACCTCCATCCCCAGCGTCTCCTGCGCCAGAAGTCGTTGTTGCTCCTCGTCAGCCTTTCTCGCTAGATCTTCGTCTGTTACTGCGAGGGATAACGTCTGAAGTCCTTGTTGCTGGACTTGGGCCACGAGCTCTTGGCATTGAGCTTCGAGATACACGAGCTCTTGCTTTCGAACGGATGCTAGGTGGTTGCCGCGGGCGATCATGTTGTCGAGGAGTTGGTGGATTAGGAGCCGGCAGCCTTGGTCGTCTGCTACACCGGGGAAGAGGGCGGTTGCCATGATTAGATGGAGGGCGGCTCCGAAGGTGAACTCGAGGTCGTAAGGGAGAAACACCTCTGTGAGGTGTCAGTAGAGACAGAAGATGGATAAGGGGTACATACCCAGAAGACTATACTCGCTGGTGAGGATTTGAAGTGTTTTGACAGCCGATTTTATACCGGTTGAGATCACGGCTGCTGTTTGACCGAGGAATGCCTCTGAGTTCTCATCTCCTGGTTGGCCAAGAATGTCAAGGCGCTCTTTTAGAACCGATAGTAAGAGAGGTCTTGTGGCGACGATGACGCACTGGGACTGTTAGAACCGACTACAAGAAAATAGTGGATGGCTTACTTGATGGTAGAGAAGTGTTATGTACTTTGTTCCTCGAGGCATGGTATCCACTGAGTTTTTGAATTTCAAGGAGATAATCCTCTCGATTTCTTGGGCGTGATGAGCAAGTGTGTGAAGAATTGCCTTGGTTTGCTCGAGGAACTGATCAAGTGGTGTTTTCTCTGGTTTATAGAGTGCTAAAAAGTTAGAAAACGGTGCAAAATGCGGGGACTAAAACTTACTGGTTAATATCACGGACAGAAGATGAGACAGATTCACTTGAAGACTGCGAGCGCTATCATCTTGTGACCCAACATTTGGTGGGTTGACTGGTGTAGAAATGTCACTATCTTGCACAGACATAGGAAGTCCCAAAGAAGACGAAAAATGCCGATCCATGATGTACAACGTCCACCATAAATCACGACAAGATGTCACTGTCTCACTACCGAGCTCATTGTCAGGTAACTGCGTATGCAGACCCTCCAACTGAGCTATTCGAATAGCCTGACCAAGCTGTAATTTGTCAGTAATGAAACGCAGACTTCCTCAGAAAACCTACATATACGTGAGCAGACTCCCTCTCATCAATCGAATACAAATACAAGCCAACCATGGCCAAAACCTCTATCGCAAATAAGCTATCCTTCCAGAGCGCCGTATGATCCGGCATTAGACCCATCGCACGCACAAAGAACTTTGCACCGGGGGGTTCCTTGGATGGGAGAGGCTGGGATGATAGGAATGCTGTTCCAAAGGCTAGAATCAAGAGAAACTTGACATACCAGAGGCGGTTCTCCTCTGCCTTGCTCTGCGCGTCAGAATAGAAATCACGGATCTGATTCACGAATTCTACCTCGTCGAAGAGGCGGTAGGTCTGGCCTAGGTGGAATTTGAAGGTGTGGAAGAGATAGATTGCGTAATCGAGGGAGGGTAGGCCTGATACGTCGGCTCTGTCTAGTTGTTGCCAGGACAGCTTGTAGACGTCTTCTTCGATTAGTTGCGGTGGTATGTTGAGACCGCCTGGTTGGAGCTTATCGCCGAGCATGAGCATGAGTCGTAGAGTGAAAGACCACGTCGACCACGGCGCAAGCCATACTATCAAGGCGTCAGAATGTTTCTCATGAACCAGTTCTTGCACTCACTCCACGTGCGCCTATTCTTGCGAGTGTTCTTGATAATCTTGGAGGGTATTGTAAACGCGCTCGGCCAGATAGTCAACGGCGACTCGCCGGTTTGTTGCGAGTAGGACGAAGTAGCTGCATCTTGAACGGACGGGTCAGATTGTTGTTGGGAGCCTACCGTGAGCGAAGGAGAAGCAAGACGGATATCAACCCCGCACTCACCATTGACATCGTTTCCAAAAGCAGCATCGTTAGTGCGCTTCAATCCAGGAGAGTAGTTATCTCCTCCAACTTGAGATGATGATATTGGTGGCGAACAATATGAGGGGTGAGAATTATGAGAGTGGACGGATGTTGCGTCCATTGATGAGCGGTATGGAGGTGGTGCTGAGGCCGTGGGAGGTGAGCGGCATGTAAATGCTGTGTCTATTTGTCCTGCATTGTCGAAGATGTTATTTGACGGTGAGCGCTGTTGCTGCTCTACTCGCTTTTGAAGATCTTGGAGATATCTTGGAATCGTCAGTGAAGGTTGAGTGAGATAAGGATATCTGGTGACGAACTTTTCTGATACCATCACCTTTGCACCTCCCTCTGTGAAGCGACACTGCACAGAACGTCGCTGACAATTCTGACACGGATCATCGCCAGAGCATTTGATCTTACTCTGTCTACACGCGACACAGCTATGACGCCGTCAGCCCAGAAACAGTCTCAGCCACCCAAACGAAGAGGGGCAAAGCTTAAAGCGGTATAACATACGCATTAGCTGTTCTTCTTGTCTTGCGAGGTTCCTTCTGCGCGCCTGATGCCATTATCTTACGATTGCGTCGAAGGAATCTTTGGAAGCTCCAGAAGGAAAACAGTTTTTTTTTCCCCTTTGGCTGCAGTGTCTTGGGTTCCCCTGCAGTTTGGTTTGGGTGTGAAGTGCCACTGACCCTAGCACCCCCGCACAAATGCCGATCAAGTGATTGGGTTAAGACGTGGCCGTTACCGGGGGCGACACTCGATTGACTACCGGACTTGGTATGATGCATGATGAGATATTGCGCTGATATTACTATTTGAGACATTCTAGAAGGGTTATTGCAACATTGACTACACCTATTTCTGACCTGAATTCTCTTTCTGACGCTCTGTGAAAGGATAGGCTGTTTCCTTGACCATCAATATATGCAGCAGTTAGACACCCAAGTATCCCCCATCCCAAACGTGACCGGCCCTCGCTCACTGGAATGCCGTGGCAGATAAGCCAACCTTCTCCCCTCGCAACGTCATTGAACAACACACTATCGATCCCCACAATATGCACTATATCCCATTGGCCACTGGAACAAAGGGCGTCTGGCCACGGGATCAAAGCTCCCAATGAGGAAATAATTCTTCATATCGCACATTAAAGCGAGGTCGGCGTCATACATGACGATCTCACTCACTTATCATGATTTGTGTGTGAGATATTCGAGGGGAGATTGCAGGGATCGGGATCTAGGGCCTTCCGATTGGTGAGGGGGTGAGATAATTACTCTTTTGGAAATGTTTAGCGGTGCTAGTGGGTTTGGTGTTGATAACGGTAGGTTTGAGATATTGGTGTTCGGGTCAATTGTTTGATATGGATTGGAGTATGTATGATAACGGTTGTAGGAGGAAGTATTGGAGTGGTAAGATGTTTAAAACCAATCATCATTGGCTTAAGCTTTCAGGCCCTGGTGTGATGCTGATACCAGACTCAGGCTAGGGGAGGAAATAAAACTCGGGACCTTAAGCCTAACTGATAAAAAGATTTAGGTAACTTAGTATAAATTTAGGATGAGTTTAGGATACCTTTTATAGAGTTTATTTTATTACCTTAAACTTAGGTCTTGTGTTTTCTTGCTCCCTAAGGTCAGGATAATTTTGAGGTCTACGGCTCTTGTTCCGTAGTGCATTCTTTGTTCATTCCGGGCTGATATCTTCAACTCAAGTTTGTCTAGATAAACAGCCGTCTCTTCTGCCGGTAATACCATTTAAGTAACATATGGTCTTTTGATAGTGATCTTTGAGGGGATTATTAATGACTCAAGATCGGATGGTCAACCAACATAGTCCGGCCCCTTCTCCGCAAACCCAGACCCGCAGATACCCCAACCGTGCACGAACTCTTCCAGAAGCTATCGCTAACGTAACCAGATGAAGAAGTTTCAGCCGGTACGGAACGCTGAAGAAAATACGGGGGTTAGACTAAGCGGCTTGATCTCCACGGCGGGGTACAATGGTCTTCAGTCTCGGGTTGGGCATCCGAACATAGGATCATGTGGTTCAGCACTTTGTTGTGATACTCCAAGCTTTGGAATGCAAGTTACCAATGACCAGAAAGAATCTGTAATTGAAGTAAGACGGGACTTGCGAACCATTACCTTTCGACCTCATAACAGCCCGGAGCCATCGGAAGAGGAATTCAGCGTCTTACAAAGCCATCATACGAGCATTCTCTCTCTGTCTCCAATATCAGAAAATAAGCAGCTATAACTATGCTAGACCTCATCATAATCGGCGCAGGCTTCTCCGGTCTTCAAGCCGCAGTTACAGCCCAAAAAGCCGGTCTATCCATCGCAATCCTCGAAGCTCGCGACCGCGTTGGGGGTAAATCCTGGACCGTTCCCCTCAAGAACAGAAATGGAAAAGCAGATCTCGGTGCAGCCTGGGTGAACGATGAACTACAACCTCTTGTATGGTCATATATCCAACAATTCGGACTCGAGGATCAAATCGTAAAGCAAAGACTTGGCCATAAAGCTGTGATGGTTAGTGCAGATGGGGACAGGATCGAGTTTCCTTTTGGAATTACACCGGATGTAAGTTGTAAAGCATGATATGTATTGGAATTTTGGGGAATGAGTGCTGATTGGGATAGTTTACTCCCGAGGAGAAGAACAATCTTGAGATGGTGAGGGATCACATCCAAGCCGAATCTCTGAAGCCGAATGGTTTCCGAAATGAAGATGATCAAATCAGTTTGTATCAATATGTTCGAAATCTCGGCGGCGGTCCCAAAACCCTGGAGATGGTGAACCTATGGGTGAGGGTAATGCACGGTCTTGAATCAACTGAAGAATCAGCAGCGTGGTTCATCGAATACTGCCGTACCAACCACGGTCTTCTAGCTATACGAGCAGATGACCGTACAGGCGGTAATTACATGCGCATCAAATCCGGTACACAATCCATCGCCAAAGGAATCGCTGATCTCATCGGCCATGAGCATATCCATCTCTCAAGCCCCGTCTCCTCAATCGAGCAAACCAAATCCAGTGCCATCGTAAGAACTACAACTGGAAAAGTCATCAAGGCCAAGAAACTCATCATCTCGATGCCTTCAGCTATGCTCAAGGAACTCACCTTCTCACCCCCTTTACCTCAACGTGCACAAGATGTCTACAACAACACCAAACTAGGTCATTATAATAAGGCTATCGTGTTTTACAACAAGCCTTGGTGGCGCAATGGCGGCTTCAATGGCTTTTTCATGGACTTTCGCGGCCCAGCCTGCGTTGTACGGGATACCTCTTTCGACGATGAAGGGATCTTCGGGTTCACATGTTTCGTCAACGGTAAACCCGGTCAAGAATGGAGTGAGAGATCTCCTGAGACTCGTAGAAAGATGATTCTTGATCAGCTCGCGCATGCTTTCGGTTCATCAGAGGCTTATAACCCGGTTGAGTTTGTGGAACAGATCTGGCAGAATGAGGAGTTTAGCCGTGGTGCTCTCGCCCCTGTTACCAAGATCGGTCATCTTGTCAAGTATAGGGATGTTTATGGAAAACCGGTGGGGAATATTCACTTTGTGGGGACGGAATATGCGACGCACTGGAAGGGATATCTTGAGGGTGCGTTGACGTCGGGGCGTGCTGGAGCGAAGGAGGTTATTAAGGCGCTGGAGGATCAATCTTTGCAGGCAAAGCTCTAGCTTGTAAGCTTTGGCTGATTGCGGTTACGGTCCGACCATATGAGTATGTTTTCAATGCGGGATTGTTGGATTTGTTCCTAATGATCAAGCCCCTTCAACTCTATCAGTGTACTATGCTTCTCACTGCTGTACGTACCCCCTAACTATGCTCCCGTTTTACCGCTCTCGGCCAACCTCCTACGAGAAGTGTCTCCCTTGTTTTCTTCATGAGCTCGATCTCTGCCAAAATCCATTTCTCGATGGCTGTATGGTAATTACGGTCTTGGATTGAAGTAAAACCCTTCCGGTAAAGACGCTCCAGAATCTCAAGCAGCTTGGCTTCAGTCTCTAGAAACATAACTCCAGGAGCGCCAGCCTGAGAAAGAAGCACAACAAGCAGAGCGACAACGGTCTGGTAGTTTCCATCGTTCCTGAAGAGACGCGTGTGTTCTCTCACAGACAGGAGTTTTGCAAAGTGGTCTTGGTATAGTTGGGCGAATCTCCCGACGCTCGACAAGTTCATGTGTCTCGAGTAAAGTAACGCTATGGCGGTCATGACGAGGTCGTCGGTTATCGCGGAGTGAATAGCATAAAAATCCCACTCGTGTTCATCGGAGCCTTTCATCAAGGGGAGGATGTGATTCGAAACTAAGGCAGATGCCGTCAGTGGCTGGATCGAAGATCGCAGAGGAAAGAACTCACAGATATATATAAACTTTCGTTCGCATGGTGTGCGGCGATCCCAGCCTGGGCCCTTAACCTCGCGAGCATTAGTTGGCATAGTGACCTGGGGAATAGGAATGGCTCTATTTGTGCGACTTTCAGGCTCCATGTTGAAAGAGATAAAATCGAAAGTAATGTGGTGTGCTGAATGTGATGATGCAAGTTCTGCGTTTGAAGGCTTGAGAAGATCCCAAGGTTTGCTTGGTGTTGAGCGATCCTGCCCTTGGACAAGAAGTCAGCTATGAGAAGAAGGTACTCTAAACTCAGCATGACTCCCCCCAAGTTATCCTAAATTGTTAAAAAACATGCCTACGACTTTAATGACTGAAGATGAGAACAATAAAGATGCTTACCCTTTATGTCCTCCTCGACTGAAGTATAGAGAGTGTTTGACTCAAATCTCCATCTCCATCTCCATCTCGGGTTGAGGTTTGCGCTCAACTCAGCATCGGCTTCTAAAGCCGAGATTCTCGAAGGCGCCAATTCTTGGGCGGCCGCATCGCGAAGGAAAGTGTCGGCAAGAACTTTGACGGAATTGGTGAGGCTTCCACTCCTTCCCTTTTTGTTCAGCGTATCATCTGTGGTCCTCGGGGTCTTCCCCGCATCAACAACTTCCCATAAAACAACAAATCTCCAACTCCTCACGAAACCTGACACCTTTGCATCTCCATCTCAAGCCAGGTACGGGAGATCCCAGCACCGACGTGTCATTCGCGATCGTTTTAGAACAATTCCCAGTGTAAACTCCAACTGCCGCCCACGATGTCATCGCTCGCCTCAACCCTCAAGGATCCCTCTCTCCTCGTCGAAAGGCGCCCTTTCATCAACGGCAAATGGCCTACCTTCACCTCCTCTCAAACCTTCCCAGTTTACAACCCCGCGACAAACACCATCATCGGCTCAGCACCAGAATGCACCGTCGACGACATCGACAGCGCCATCTCCGCGGCTTCAGAGGCCTTTCCCCTGTGGCGAGCTCAATCAGGCCGCCAGCGCGCAAAGATAATTCGCAAAATTGCAGAGCTACTCACAGGGCATAAAGCCGACATCGCAAAGATCATCACTGCAGAGAATGGAAAGGCGAAAGCTGATGCTGAAGGTGAGGTGATGTTCTCGGCGGGGTTCTTTGAGTGGTTCGCGGAAGAGGCGCCGAGGCTGTATGGCGACGTTGTCCCGCATTCGCAACCAAATTCGAGGATCCAGGTAATTAAGCAGCCTGTGGGCGTTTGCGGTCTGATCACGCCTTGGAATTTCCCTTTGGCGATGGCTGCGAGAAAGGTCGCTGCTGCGCTTGCGGCTGGGTGTACGGTTGTCCTCAAGACGGATGGCGTGACGCCTTTCTCGGGCAATGTTCTTGGTGTTCTTGCTGAGCGCGCTGGTTTACCAAAGGGCGTTCTCAATATCGTCACTGCTCTGGACAACACTCCGAAACTCGGTCTTGCGCTGTGCGAGTCTGACGTCGTCAAGAAGGTCTCCTTCACGGGCTCAACCCGGGTGGGCAAGATCCTGATGAAGCAGTCAGCCGACACTCTCAAGAAGCTATCTCTAGAGCTCGGAGGTAATGCACCGTTTATTGTATTTGACGACGCCGATCTCGAGACCGCGGTATCCAGCGCCATCATTGCCAAGTTCAAGGTCACCGGTCAAACCTGCGTTTGCGCCAACAGGATATACGTGCAGGAAGGCATCTACGAGGAATTCTCCAAGCGCCTGATTGAGGAAGTCGCCAAGTTCAAAGTCGGTAACGGTGCTGACCCTTCAGTGACACATGGTCCGATGACGACGAGCGTGGACAAGGTCGAAGAGCATGTCAAAGACGCACTCAATAAGAAAGCGACTCTTCTTTTCGGCGGCCAGCGATTACAAGATCTCGGAAATAACTTCTTCCAGCCGACAGTCCTCGGCGATGTTGACGACACGATGGCCGTGACTTATGAAGAGACGTTCGGGCCTCTTGCGGCGTTGACCAAGTTCAAGACAGAAGACGAGGTTATCGCAAGGGCCAATAAGTCCGATGTCGGATTGGCTTCTTACATCATGACAAATGGCCTGGCGAGATCGCACCGTGTGCAGGAGAAATTGGAGTTTGGTATGGTGGCCATCAACACTGGTGTCATCTCAGATTGGGCTGCTCCGTAAGTGCAAACACTTGTTGAAGAGGATCAGTGACTGACTCTTTGTAGATTTGGTGGTGTCAAACACTCCGGTATGGGGCGTGAGGGCAGCAAATATGGTGTTGATGATTACATGGTTCTCAAGACAATTGTCACTGGCGGTATCAATACCGTGTACAACCCAAGGCTGTGAAGAAGGAGCATCTTGAACAAACATGCTCAAGCAAACGACATTGCAACAACAATTCTGTGACCCATCAAGGTTGCTTCCACTGCATTCCACGTCATACCTTTGCAGTGAATGGAGTCATTGAGGCTATTGTTGCGATCGTGTGAATAGGCCCCAAACGACAGTGGCAACGACTGACAGCATATCAATTCTCACATCTACCAAATCGGATCATCTCTCTCCCAAACATCTTTCCGTCAACCTTTCCATCAACCACCCTCACCATCGACACAAGAAGAGAAAAAACAGCATCACCCCAACATCAGACATGGCTTCCGACAAGATGAAGTCGTCCCCTCTAAAGCCCTCTACCCCCATCGACATCCCACCCGGCCGAAATCGCGCCCTTACCATCGACCAGCTCCCTCAAC